ATCCATTTTAGTCAGAATCTTGGCGCCAGCCAATTTGTCCACTATAGTGAACAATCAAAGCCAGAGGTTCGGATTCTTGCTCAGTGTCCTCATTTACGTAGTGATACCCCATAATCATTCGCGTTTTTCCATCCTTTTTACGAATGAAGAACGCCGGGGAGTCTCATAGGACTTTTGGAAGGTCTGATGTAACCCTTCGTAAGTTGTTAGTCTAGGAAACTAGATACCTCATCTACTTTGGGAGCAGAGAGCATTATCATGTGTCCGTTTGGCCATTTGAAGGTGTAAGAGAGGTGTTTCTAATAATAAGAAGAAAGGCAATGTGGCAAGAGATAGAGGAGTTTGGACAAAAGGGGAAGTGCCGCGTGGTCACCATGTGTGAAAGCTAAAGTACAAGGTTAGAGCGGAGAATGAAAATAAAGGAAAGGTCCGAAAATTGTGTTATCGTAACAGTATATATACCCCAATAGATCCAGGAGACTCCTCAGCGAGTCCTCCTGTTGAATACCAACAAACTCTCTGCAGCTCAAGGGGTAACCACTCCCTCATCATCTTCCTTATAGTGTGTTCTGTATGCACCAGAGTAACTAACTCTTGGTTTTTACAGCTACAAGTTTATCTTCACTTCTCCATTGTCAGCACGTGAAGTGGAGCGCAATGGTGATGGCTTTGGCACTGTTATTGCTGCAAAGTGTCATGCTCATGCAAGTGACAGGTCCATGCAAGGCCATGTTGCCCCTTTATTGAACATGAAATCTGTAACACCTTGTTCTATTGCATACACTGCTGTACAGGTGAGTTTTTCCATATGTTTCACACTCTCGAGTGTGAACTCCTAGCGAAGTATTGATAGAGACTTTGACTATGAGGTTTTTTATAACAACATTGTAGATTATTTTGACAATGTTCCTGGAGATGAAGCTCAGGAGAGAGTTGACAAACTATTGCTATGGTGGACCTGGCAAGTGGTTTCTGGTGTTTTTTGCAAATTTTTACTCACAACTTTATTAGCAAGGTGTTTGGTAAGAATTGACACATTTAGCTGACTGAAGAAATAGTGCAGAACTATTCTGTATCGCGCACAATGTCACAACTCCGCCAATCATGAGACCCGTGCCAGCACAAGCTAGTTAGTGTCTTGCAATAGAAATACTACATTATATGTCATTAATCACATTTGAATATACTACTGTTGCTACTCCTTCCATCAAAGAATGAATTGCAGATGATAATAAGCTAGTCCTTCATTTAAATAATATATATGATCTGCAAAAATTGTTCTTCAGCTAATAGTGGCTATTTATGCATACAAATTACATGGCTATCTGAGTATATATATGTCTTTTTCTATGAGATACTTTGTTTAAGGATTTGGTGCAGCATGCAAGGATGTGTACCTGTATGCTGGTTTGAGAGCCAGGCCCAACCGCTAACATGAATCATCCCTGATGATGATAATATAACAAAGTTGCAGGGCTCGAGTGAAGGCAAGATGATTTATATGAGTGCCCAAAGTTATGACAAAGATGAGATTGATGCAATGAACTCACCACAAATCATGAAACTGTATCATAGACCGCATGCACAAAATGTGTGGACCTGCTGTATTGTATTATTCTAAATTGAAGACATGCCATTTTCTGGGCACGTCACAGTAGTTTATGAAAGACTAAAGCTGCTCTAAAAGTGATTGATGGCTCCAGGATTACAGTGACTGACTGTATTTGTTGTAGCACTTGTGCCATCTAGACTTATCGGCACAGCTCTCTCAATACTGTTTCTGGTCCTGTACTCATTATCTAAACATGCCTTCGTGATCAGAAATCAAGAACATCATGATGCAATTTAATCTCAAAGTTTACTTACTTTTGTTGGCAGTTTCAGCCGGCACATTGATGTTTTTCAGTTGGATTAGATTTTCCACATATTTCCTAATACCACAGTTTATATGCAAGATTGTAATGACCAACAAGAAAGATAAATTGTATGAGACCAAACCCAGCATCAGGAATTTTAAGTGATTGTGCTACTTTCAAGAAAATATTAGCTGATACTACCTACCATGATAAATTATATTCAATTTGTTATCCAGATGTAGATTTCTCCTGATAATTCACTTTTTGCCATTCACTTTCTGTGATTTTTGGTTCATAAATGGCTTTCAACATGGCAACAAAGACAAGTTTACAAGTTTTATATGCTACTGTTCCACTGAATACTTATCTGTACATTGTTATTAGCATGATACAACATGCTGACTTCAAGACCAACAACTGTTATTTTCATAGCAAATACAACCCACTACAATGTTATATCTGAGTACATATTTAATAGGGAATCTGTGAACTGAACAACATATGTGTTTTATCAATCAGGTTTCTTGGCCTTGTATGACCTTAGTTGCTGATGCAAAGATAGTGATAATTATTATGCAAAAGATGGTAAATGTGTTTATTATCAGACCTGTATATGGTGTTACACTATTTTCCTCAATTCACTGATGTAGATGATTTTTCTAACTTTACATGTTTGCAGATATCAATATCATTTTTGTGAATTGATTGTATCATCATTGGTTTGGTGAAACTGCAGTAGCAAAGTATAATATTACTATAAACCTATAACAATGACATAACAAATTTATTCTGTCTTGAAAAGCTTGTCACAACTTTACAGTATCAATGATAACAATTTAACCATACCATGATATTCATTCCTGCTTTGATGATTTACTCCAAGTGTTAGCCATTGGGTCTGATTCAGTTGGAAGCAAACCATCAACAAAGGCTGTAGTACAATGTGTTAGTCTGTGTTACTGTTAAAATATCAGTAAAGATGATATATCAATGTACTTGGATTATTACTGGACTATCTGTGTTGGTAAAAATTTGATGTACTTTGACATGATGGTGGTCGAGTGAGAAGAACGGGGCACTGCATAGCAAATTCAAATTTTGAAAGACCGGATGTATAAGGCATATGTGGCAAAATATTGCAGCCCATACGCCATAAGCAAAGCTGAAACACTGAAGGTTGAAGTGAAGTTAAGACTCACAACCAAATCAACAAAGAAACCATAACCTGACTTTGTGGCTAACCATCATGAAGGCAGAGAGAGCACTCTGTTATGTTTACCTTAAATACCAGTCATTATAAGACTGCAGTATTTCACCCACGGTGTTGATGATGAGAACTGTTGTTAGAAAACCACACACAAAAACAAACTAACACACAATCCCAGATTCCATGGAACTTGTGTGGGGGCTTTGCCTCCTAGAATAGTGGAGTGGTCTGGTTGTTTGTGGGGTGGTACGTATAATGATCCTTCAAAGTAAAACCCAGGGATGTATGGGTGTGGGTTTTGAGGAGGAGGGAGAGCTGGAATGTAGAAGATAGGGGCTTTGTGGCGAGTATAGACAAGCACTACCTTGCTAATAGTAGCACAAGGTAGGTTTGAGAATGACAAAGTGACGAGGTGATGAAGTTCCCAGTGATAGTAGGCTCCTGACGCACAGACTGTAGTCCTCAGAAGGACTCTAATCGAAAGGGGTGACAATGACTTTGAAAAGTGACAAGTGACAATGACAGCAGTTAACAGTGGTAGCAGTGGGAAGTGTTGTGACCACACTGGATCACAAGTAGCAGAGTAGTGAACTTGAGATTTAGAGAAGAAGTCTGGATTGGAGTTCTTGTTGTTATTTTACAAGGTAAAATACAGGGGTTTATATAGTAAAAGAAAGGTAGGCTATGCACAGTATAGCTGTGCAAAAAGAATGAGAAAGAACATGAAGGAAGGAATGTACGCTGACAAATCCTGCATAGGTAGTACAGGATAAGATCGTCAAAATAAGGAAAAGAAAGGGATAGAACAATGAATGCTGTGTAAGTAATGTTACAGGTTTGTATAGCCATAAAGTAAAGTCCAATAGCAGAAAGAGAGCAAGAAAATCATGATGTCATGGGAAGATGCAGTAAAAAAGGGCAAAGAAAAACAATATCAGTATCAACACAGTTCCTTTATTGTCAGTCAGGCATTTTAAAAAAATATGTGTCCATAAAATGATTCAAAAATCAAAAATAATCGCACTGTAAATGAATGTTCTGCTGAAAAAAAAAAGAAACTGGAGCCACCGGTCCACCACCTAGTCCAAATCCGACGGTTCCATGGCCTTACAAATGGACTGGTTGTATTGGATCACCTGGTCAAACAAGGGAGGGAGGGGAGTAGTTCAATTTGGAACAAGTGGGTCCCAGGCAGCGTGTGGTAGGTGTAGCTGTAGCGGAGATGATGGACAAAAGATAAATGTACCCAAGTGAATGGGACAGCGATGTACATAGGTGACGCAAGGGGATGAACCTTCTCCAGCTCAAAAACTACCCACCCATGTTCCAACCAGGTGGGACGAGTGACCAATGATTTGATAGTATATGATGGAAGATCGACATCATGAAGATGGACCTGTTGCCCAATTTGGACCAGCCACCGGGGCTTTGCTGATATCAGCAGTGGCACATGGTGGTTGATGGATTGGCGACGGAAGCAGATAGAAAGTGGTGATATCAGGTATGGTGGGGGAGCAAAGAAGACAAGTAGGAGGAGGAGGGTGGAGGTGACGAGGAAATGGACTAGAATAGGGATCCAGAAGCGATTGTCAGGTGAGAATAAAAAGAGAGTAAGGGACCCATGGTGGGGCTAGGAAAAGGAAGGGGAGTAAGGGAAACAATGAAGGTGAGGGCACAATGCAATGTGTAGCCAGTGGCGACGCAAAAATTTGCTAAAATGCCGAAACACGGAAAATAAAATACTGAATGGAAAGCAAAGGTGAGCGCAACTGGATTGCCTAATAGAGGTGGTGCTGATCAGCCACAAGTTCAAAAAAGTCAATATTAATTACTATTCCACGTGGCACTGTGCCTGTGTGGTGCAAAGGCGAGTCTTTTTGAATATTTGCTTCATTATTGACACCTGTCCATGCTACCAATCAAAACTTTGGTGCATGACAACGGAGCTCACATAATCAAGGCACTTCATCAGGAAATTGGGGAGACACTGGCATAACCAGGCGGAGTTGATATGTGGGCATCAATGTGGCTACAGTTTAGCATGACTTAACACGGTTGACCATAACAAGTCAGAAAAACATCTCATTTGTAGCAGAATGCAACCTTGATGCAACCATATTACTAGGCTGTCAATGTCTGTCCAGTTAGCAGCATAAGGATTACAATAAGATAGCTGGTTGTAGTGGTTGATATACAAGTTTTCCAGACAGGTATATTCTTGCAATTACAAAACATGTTGATGTGTGCTTGATCTAGTCGTGTCATTCAGAAACAGTATAGCAAGGGATGATAATTGATAAGAAAGTCTTCAACATCCGTTTGCAGGGCTGACAATAATATTCCATTCCGGTGACAGGGTGTAGTGTATGACATCCAAAACAAATGATCACATAACCAATGAAGTTAATTCATAGCATTATTAGCTCAATGAGTGTTGTTTATGGAGAGAACAATGATGGTGTAAGGACCATTTACATTTTCTTATCTTTTTGTTCCATATCTTGGTTCTCAGACACTTCCCCCATTACACCTCTGGCTCTAGGGCTAGATGTATCCTTTGCCATCTTGCTTCTCATAGCCCTAACAGGCTTTCTTAACCATTGTTACCACTTCATATTGCAGATCAGAGACTGGGTAGTACTCCCAGCCAGCCAGCACAATGGGTAAAGACTAGTAGCTGAGATCTTGCCAACCAGCTCCAAGTCCCATCAGTGCCTGGATATATTAATAGACACTTTAGTCAGGATTGTACTTCATCATGAGGATACGGTTTCTGAACATGTATGACACTACCTATTATTAGTACATTTTCTCACCTGCTGATTAATCCCTGAAGTTGTATGATAGTTGTTCTTTTTCTTATTGGATAGTTTCACCCTCAGACCACTTTTCTTTTATTCTACTTCTGGTCTGAGAGATAGACAATTAGCTATAAAAACCCTATGTACTCATGTATCGTTCTTTAGCTTTTTATTACTTGAATAACCCGCTTTACTCCTCATCAGAAACTCTTGAGTTTACTCCCAGTCCTCTACTTGCTATAGTCTCTAGCATCTGTTGACCTCAAGCTCATTGTACCCCTTACTCCCTGCAAGTGCAATCAGAGACAGGTGTTGTTTTTGTTATAGTTTAATATTGCCTCACACTGGTAGGCAGCATCTGCAAGTTTTTTATGCTGGGTGAGGTCTTGTTGCCTACAGTCATCAAGGTTTTGTTCGACCCAGTAGAAGAGATTGGGTTCATCATTAACGTGTTTGTTTTGGCACTCATAGGCAAGATCATCATGCATATTTGCTTTGAGTTGGTGGTTGATGTTGTTATCAGAGAGGTGTAAGGGAGAGTCACGAAGGAGCAAATTTTGGTCTTGACATTCAACCACCCATTCATAGAAATGACGAGAGCCTTACAGGAGTTGAGTATTTTCTTCCTCATGATGGTGTCCCAATCTCTCAGGAGCCATTTATCACGGAGCTGGATAAGGAATTTGTCAAAGGTGAGGATGAAAAATTGTGGCTTATTGAGACAAAACCAAGTTTTGATATGTGAGTCCGTCATAGAATAGGCAATATGTTTAACTTGGGTTTCTTCATCAATATCTTTGTGCATACAATATGATTTACAAGTATCTTCCCATGCAATGAGAACCTCAGGAGTGACATCACCTGAGGTTAACCTGGGCAGTTTATTGGCAGTATTGTCATTGACTGTAGCATCTTTCCTTGAGTGACTCATGGTCACTACTGGGGTTGTGAGATATTGGGAGGAGTCGGAATTGGTTCCGGGTGGTTTTACAGGTTCCGGTTGGTATCTGCAAGAATGGCTTCTTGTTGTGAGAGGCACAGCTATGGACAAATGGCGGGACAGTTTGGCAGATTTTATTTGATCGGCAATTCAAAAAAAAAAGTGGAAGACCACCACAAGGTGGACAACACTGAATGAGAAGGAGAACACAGAATTGGAATCAAGCTACAATAGAAAAGAGGGAAAGGCTAGTCTATTGTACATGACAGCAAACAACAGGGTTATATAGAAACAACAGAATTCCAGGATGTAGCAATAATGTAGCGTGATGTGGCATGAGGTCAGATGTGCGAGCCAATCAGCTTACATTGATGCAGCTTTTTTTTGCTTGCATAATGTTCTTCACAGCTGCGCGCCTAGGAGAATTTATTGTCACCTCAGTCAGCAAATTCAATCCCAACGTCTGTGAGGAATCAATTTTTCTCATTGCATTCCCATCATGTCGTGGTTATCCAACTCATTCCCCGTCACCCCTCTCGCCCTAGGACTAGAGATCACAGCCAGTATCTTATTACTCTTATCTTTCTTCTTCTTATTTTCCATTCATACTCCTATCGTACTTACAACAAAGGAGAACCGTTGTAGACCCTCGAGAAGATATCCAGATGACATAGCAATGATCCAATGCTATGTCCGGGAATACTTTGGAGAGATATTAATCAGCAATATAGGCTATGACTCAGCACCTTCTCATGGGCTTACTGATCCAGCCAATCATACATCTCTTACCAAGACTCTCTCTCACACAATTAGTAAAATACAATAGATCGGACCACTTCCCTTTTCTCTTATTGGTCAACCATTTAGTCAGGCCACTCTTGTACCTTTCTCTCTTTCTAGCCTGACTGCTATTATTCAGTATATAAGGAGTAAATATTCCATGTACTATTCTTTAACAACAAGGTCCTTGTGATCCATTAGTGGCATGGAACAACCACATTGGGGTTAATAAGCCACAAGCCAGTGATTGCACCTTTGCCTACCATCAACAGCCCCATTATTCATCCCACACTCTCACTGCAAAACAATTACCCCACTTTTCAGGACACAGCTTGCGAATTGGCACTACACTTGAATATCTCCTTTGTGGAGTTCCATTTGAAGTTATGAAGGCCAAAGGTAGATGGCAAAGTAATGCATTCCTGATATACTTACGTTGGCATGCGCAAATTCTTGCACCGTATATTCAAGACAAGCCTGCTTTACATGCAGCATTCATTCACTTTACTTCCCAAAAAGAGGCATCAGCGGCATTTCAAACTTCTTAGAATGGTGAGCACATCCTAACTTTGCAGGTTAGCGATGCTTTTGCGTCGTCGCTCCTACCTACCCTGGGTATGCAGCTCGCTAACCATCAAAATATAGATCCCCATTTTGTTTCTTTTCTTTTCCTGTTCTCCCTAGGGAGGGCGGCATGTTTGCTGTCACCCATTACCGCCATCAAATTGTTCCGTCTGCTTGTTTGCTCATGATTGTTGATCTGTTCCCATACATACTTTTTGTGATTCAATTCGAGCGATTTACAGCTGATTTCATAAAGATAGACCTATCCTATGAGTTAGTGTGCAGGCGGACTTCAGCGGAGTGTATATTTTCAGGAAGAACCCAAAGTGTCTGGGAGAGACTAGTCAACCCTCAACCAACATGCAGCGCCATATTCCCAAGGAGCAGAAGATACTAGTGTACGAATTGTCTTGCATCCATGGCCTCTCGGACAGACATGTTAGCCGTTACCTAGGAATCAGTCAACGGACCATCGGGCACATGCAGAAGACCTTCCGGGACACTGGTGAAGTGGGACACCAACTAGCTTGTCAAGGATGGCCTTGTGCCCTTGATAGCTTGGAAGTGAGTGTCAGTTTTTCTTTTATTCTTCTGATGTGCTGATAAAACAAGTTTTTGATTAGTTCCTTGAAGACACACGTCTCCACGAAGAAGATGAGATTCCTCCCCGATCGATATACAGATAGATCTGGCGTATAGTGGCCCAAAATCTTTTTACTCCCATCACTCCTAAGACTGTATAATTGGAAGTTCGATCCAGGACTCACACCCAACTTCCCTCGCGGATTAGAAGCGTAGTTCATGCCGACAGCTATATTCTGGGCCCTGATAACAGTGTCGAGTGTAAAATATATGTACCTTGTCGATTCTTCATGAGTAGGAGAGGGAGGACCGAACATGATCAAGCGGTGCGATGTAGAGTCCCAATGATATCTGTTGTGGGATTATTAGTGGTTGATAGTATCAGATGAGCGTAAAACTACTTTAAGGAGATGGTATCTTCCTTTTCAAGACTACTGAGCATCTTGTGTAAGGCTGAATAACCAACGTTGCAGAATGTGAGCTGTTAGGTTTAGGGTAGATGCCGCGAGATAATCAGCGTGTGCACGATATATTTCCCTCGGAACTTGGGAAAAATCTCTATTGCACATTTCCGTACCTTTTTGTCGATAACACTCTGTGCTTGGCTGCAGGCTTTGGCAGAGAAATAAGTCAGAGCCTTGTTGGCCATTGCTGCCCAAGAGTCGGACCTCAGCACAGGGCTTTGAGCCTCAGTGGAAGGGTATTCTGACTCTGGCTCTGGTCCATGAGAATGGGGATGTCCTTCTTGTGCTTTGATATCATCTTTTAAACCAGGTTTGCCACCACCATGGTGAACAAGTTGTTGGTTACGACGCACAGCTACACGCCCATGACTGTCATGATGGCGTAGCTGTTTGGCATCCTTTGTAGGTACAGAGGAAGCTATAGGGGGAGGACTAGCATTTGAGAAATAATAGGACGATGATGGGGGACGTGTGGCATCGCCTCTGTATAGCATCATGGTGAAGAACTAAGTGTTGTATGTAGTGTTCATAAGAGTTCCGCAGGTACCCCCAAATGGGTGGCGCTTGAGTTACAGTCAGCTGATATTATTATTATTATTACAACACCAAATTTCAGCTGAGACGTCTACACGGATAACTGCTATAACTGCTACGGTAGTAATGCCATGACCGGGGCATGATGCATGAGTCCTCTAACCGAATAATAGATGGTGTTTGAGATGGACTATCCTAAGTAAGTACTTTCTATGCGTACCAAATCCACCTGAGATGCTGGCAAACAGCGTCTCCATATATATGTACTGACGAGCCTCCTCGGCCCATCTCAGCTCCCATTTCTCGCTCTGCTTCCTGTATGTAGTCATTTGAGTACGGGTGTGATTGAGCTCCCGATATGCCTCTTCGGATTGAACACGCAGGGAATCATTTTCAGCTCTTATAACCTGAAGTTGTTCCAGTAGGATAGCCTTCTCTGCGTCCGAAGCAACTAGGTGAGCTATTAGAACATCTCACTCCCCTGCCAGGCGCAATCAGCAATCACTGGTGGGGCAAGAATGGGACCAATGGACCATGCGCACATGGGGCGAGGTTGCTGATGTCCTCCCTTCTAGGCCAACCTCCCCAAAATCTTCTCCCAGTCCTACTTCTCCCACCTCCCTGGATGTTGCCCAAGTAGCTGAGAAACGCGGGGCAAGCGTTGACAGAGGCACAACCACAAAGAAGGGCATGCAGCGAGGTGGATTTAGCCCTTGCGGTCATATTTCTTTCTTCACCCGCAACAAGGAGCCTTCAGAAGGTGGCAAGGAGAAGAAGGACAAGGACAAGAGCAAGTCGACTTCTTCCTCGTCGTCGGGAGGCGGTTGGCTCGCACATAGTCGCGCCTCTTCTTCCACAGCCCGCGAGCGTGACAAGGAGATGTCCATCGAACGAAACAAATCATCTCCTCCGTCGGCCCATAAATTGCAAATCAAAGAAGCAGCTTGAGCTCGAAGAGGACGCGGCAGACGCGCAGTACGAAGGCGGTCATGCGGCGCATGGCTTGGCGCATTTTTGTAGGCTCATTCAAAGGCTGGATTGTTACCCGTGATGTACGTTCTTTCTTTTCACTTTGCAGCATCGTTTGGTCGACTGTCTGCTTTTTTTCTTTCATCTTGAACATGAGCAGTTACTGATTCATCGTTTTCGTGCAGCACGTAGCCCAAGCACTATCCTCCATCCTTCCACCCACCACACTCGCATCTCTCCCCTCTGTCCCTCCTCCATCTCACCCCACACCACCACTACACATTGATCTCTACGTCCCACCCCCACCTCTCCTCCATAGCCCACACCGCAGTTGATATCACCCACGAGGCGCTGTCATTGGGTGCTGATGCGTTGAAGTTTGCGCCTATCCCTAGGTTGGAGGAGGCTGGCTGCGAAGGCGTTGTTGGCGGTGCGGGAGGGGGTTCAGATGGTTGATGTGAGGTTGACACCCTTTTCTTTGAATTTTATCTCGGAAATACCATATTAACCCTTTTTTGGAAATAGATGAACCAACTGGCGTGTTTGCGCATTACCTCTCGTTGTGCTACGCTCCTGTTCAGTGTACGAGAGGAGGTGTTTGAAGCTGGAGATATTGTGGGGGAGGAGTTGAGGGGGCCTGTGGGTGCGCTTGTTGGGTGAGCAGTTTTTTGATATTCAAGAAAGGAGTGCTGATTTAATCCTTTTACTCATGTCCCATCGCGCTCACTCGACATTTTTCCAATGATCATTTAAAACGCACATCCAACTCGTCAACGCGTCAACTCCATCTATAAACATTGGATGCTGCATATGCACCATATACCGTAGGAGGCATTTGTGGCTTGCTTCATATTTATGGACAGTGGTATATATACATGCGGGATCATGTGAGCCTTGCTAGATATGGTATTGAAACGGCATGTTGATAAATATCAGCTGGCTGTATACTCCTTATGATCATATGTCGTACACAGTGTACTACAGTGAGAAACCGTGCCAGTGAGAGGTCAAACTGTCGTTACAACAGTACAGGTCTCGCGGAGCTTAAAAACATAACAGTCAGTTTTGGTTTCTCACAGTCCAATATTACTTATTATCTTGCCTCGTGTTGGTCGCGACTTGTACAGTTGGATATCCAAGTCTGTAAGTAAGTATCTGTCCTTGTCCTTTCAAAGCTCACGCTATCCCCAGTCTCTCAGCACGGAACGTTTAGCAGGTTATAGCCTGCATATATAAAGTTCATTCTTTAATGCAAGCAACTATAGTACCTTTGTCATGATGGCGCTGGTTAAACCCTATCAGCCTTCCTGGACTATTCCCATCCAGACTTTACCCAACGAAATACTGGCAGCTATATTCACAGCAGGTGCAGCAAGACCAACGTCATTTCAGGAATATCGAGACATCCCTTTCCCATGTATTGTTTCTAGCGTCAATCGCCATTGGCGAGAAGTGGCACTCCATCTGCCTATCATTTGGACCACGGTGGTAATATCCGACGATAGGCCACTCAACTTACCTACATTATGTCTGCAAAGGTCCGGTGATATGCAAATACACGCATTCGTTTTTATCTCAAACCTAGGTGGTTGCGATTTCAAAACGATCTCTTCGTTGTTGGACTCCAGAAATGTCCACGAACTCTCAGTGACCATTGACGCGGCATTTACTTGCCCTCGGGGGCAATTTTTTCCGAATCGGAAGTATCATTAATTCCTGTGTAATTCATCTAAAGCATCTCGAGTTCACTTTTACTGGACATAGTTGCGGAGTCACTGGTGTTGCTTCCTATTGTGATTGGGTGGCCACGATAGTTTTCGCAATATTCATGGCAGCAAAGCGGTCAAGCTTGGAGTCCTTGCGGTTCAATGGTGCTGGCATCTTTAACTCACCTTCTTTACTCACTATTATCCAAACACGGGGTTTTATTCCACTTACCACCCTATACCTCAAACTCGATTCTCGAAATTCTCGACCCATAAACGCAGGCTGGCCTGCTTTCAAGGTCTTTCTTTCCTCCTGCACGAACTTGCAGGAGCTCATTCTTGAAGGCAACGACTTTTCTTTACCAGATGACGCTAGGCCAGAAAACGTCATCCACATCGAGTCACTCCGTTCGTTAGCGCTCCGATGGTCTCGCAGGTTTCACAGCGGGCGCCTTGCAAGCTTTGTGCGCTGTATTGAAACCCCCGCATTGACATACCTTGAGCTTGTTGACGCGATCGGGAGAGCTTTAAATATATTTGCCCTCCGTTCTAATCCAACCACGTTCGTCCTGCTGCATACGTTGCGCGTCACTGGCTGCCGTTCTGGACGCGAACCTCTGGCGGATAACTTTTACCAGTTGTTTAGTTCGGTTCGAGAACTCCAGCTGGCTAAGAGTGACGGCCACTATTTTTTGCCTGCTGCTCGGCTCCATCGTGAGGGGGCACCGCTGGTTCTACCACATGCACCCCTCTGGCCTACATTGGAGGTTCTATCATATGACGGTAGCGATTTCAACTGGCTTCGTGACGTCGTGCGGTCTCGCTCAAGTCTGGGAAGCCAGCTTCAGACCGTTCGCATCATCGGCAATCACTTCTCGCGGGACAATCTGAAGTGGTTGAAGGAACACGTCACTGTGGAAAGGATGGTCGATGGTGATCACGGATTATTATCAGCCAGGACTGACCTTGAAGACTTGGATATAAGCAGCTTTATATCGGCTCTGCAGGAAGGTGCGTCTCTCGAATATGTATAGGCAGTGGGTGGTAAGTGGACATACTATCATCTCCGTGTATCCGTGCCAATATAATTATCTGGATATATATAGGCCCTCTCTCTTGATAAGGTATTCGCATGTCTACTTGTTTTCCCCCCAGTCTTCATGCCATACTGTAACTGGGGTGTATCAGGATCTTCTTTCTTATTTGTATCTAGTTGTCTAGTGTGATAAAAGTCAGTCAGCTGAAAAAGGACTGATCGACATGTCTTTTCCTGTACCTACATGCTATTGGTAACGTTATACCGAGTCCTCAGCAGCTACACTGTAGGCTCGTAGGTGTTACAACTCTACTGTTTTGCGTCGTTGACGGGTGGATGCCGAGCTGGTGCCGTGATGCCGTACGGATGTTGCTCGTTTCGCAGGGTGTGAGCGATCACATCTTTCACAACGTTCTCCAGCTTTTAGTGCAATCTTGTCAGTCAACATTCAAGCCCATAGCTTTTCTTTCCTCAACCACATCATTTCCTCTGTAGCACTAGAACCAATATCCTAGTCTTAGATTTCTAGCGCATTCAGCTGTCGTGTTCGTCGCTCCACTTCGTATTTGACGTCGACAATGCTCGCAGTACGACCTGTTCCAAGAGTCCAGCGTCTCATCGTGCTTGCTCGCTTTTCCCAGTCTCGTCTCTTGTCTACAGAACAAGTTACTAGCTCGCACCCCGTTCCGCCCCCACCTCCCTCGCCTTCTAGCTCCACCCATCCATCCCCCGCCTCCAAATCTCGCCCGTCACGTCTTTACCCCCGTCCACGTCCAGCGGTCTCTCACCAACACCAGGCTCTGCCCACACTTCCTGCAACCTTTGGTCGCAACCAACTTCTGCCAGTTTCAGACTCGACACGTGCCCTGCTCGAGGACATTGTAGCCTCTTTTGACGCTCCAATCCGATATGCTGTTGCGTATGGATCAGGTGTATTTGGCCAGGATGGGTATGCAGAGAAGAAGGACATGGGTGCACAGGCACCCATGCTCGACTTTATCTTCGCAGTAACCCATCCTGATCACTGGCATTCGATTAACCTTCACCAACATCCAAGCCACTATCCGCTCCACGCGCGAGCTCTGGGTTCATCTTTTGTATCAAAGGTTCAGGAGATCACTCCGGGAGTATGGTTCAATACTTTTGTTCCTATGCATGGCGTGGTGAGTACATCCATCACGTTGTTTATTTATATATAACTTGAATGTGACTATTTGTTTGTAGAACATCAAATATGGTGTGACTACTGTCGATACACTGTGCTCTGATCTCCTTAACTGGCGGTCGCTCTATCTTGCTGGCCGTTTACACAAACCCATTCGAATCATCAAAGACGATGCGCGGGTTCGTTTAACTCAACAAGTCAATCTCACTTCAGCTGTGCGCGCAGCCCTCCTCACGCTCCCAGAAACCTTCACCCCATCCTCCCTCTTCTCTCGCGTCGCGTCTATCAGCTACTCTGGTGACCCCAGAATGTTCCTCCCTGCAGAGAACAGAGGCAAAGTAGACAATATCGTTCGCAGACAAGAGGCACAGTTTACGGAATTGTATCAGAGACTCGTCGTCGGTCTTCCTGGTATCAGATGGGAGGGCAATGTGATTGAGCAGGATCTGAGCTCGCAGGCGAGGGTGAAGCATCTAAGGAAGCTGCCGGAAGAGTTGCTTAGCAGGGTACGGAGAAATTACGACCAGCGGATGGATGGTGCGATGAAGAGAGGGGCAGACGAGGGTGTATGGTGGTTGAATGTCGCGGGAGATCCAAGCTTGAGCAAAGTACTGAATGAAGGCAAGTTTGATAATATTTTGTCTTTGCGTGCCCATATGCTGAGCAATATAATATTAATTGTGTCTAACAAATAGAAATGGCCAACATTGTGCGCTACCCGGCAACTGTGCAGACCTTAAAGGGTCTCGTGAGCGCAGGTCTAGGTAAGAGCATGCGGTATACGACGCAGAAGATAGGCAAATGGTGGAGTGGATCATCCTCAAAGACTTCGTGATCTGTCATGATCTCTTCGAAAGTAAAGAAGGGAACGGTGAGGTGTGTTCGATGAAAGTTTGAAGTTGACCTTCAGCTTCAGCAGCAAGAAATGCATTTATAATCCCTCCAGTAGAGCAACACATTCATTTTACACTACCAGTCTTCGCCATAAGGATATACATATTTAACATTAGGATGTATAGTATTGTTAGTAATATCTATCAATCGTCTCTGTCACAACAATTGCCCATATGGGCGAGCAGTCATTGCTAGTTCAGGATAAAGTGAAATGAGCCTTTGTACGTGAATAGAAGCGAAAAGTGGACCTTCGTTTATTTAATTTGAAGACCTCGGGACCGATGTATACTGGTGATCGGTTCCAACATTGACGAATCTTTGGAGGTCTTTCTATAATCTATGTTCCTCTGTCTTTCGCTATGTTTCGCTATGTTTCTCCGTTGAAACATAGTGAACGCTGCTGCAAAGGCGTTGGAGTGTCCAGGGTCCCATGGCCGGGAGCAATACCGAAATGTTCAGCTGGTCGCTGGCTGGAGAAATACAGTGTCTTGTTCCCAGTTTCCTAGTTTCGAAAGCCAACGAGCAGTCTTGTTCCAGTGACTGGCTTTTCTACCTTTCTGCTTGTCTTGTATCTTACTTTCTCCTTCGCGTCAACGTTCTCTCTTTTTTTCTTGTTCTTGCGATAGTCTCGAAATCACGGGTTGAGCTCATTGCCCAGCGCCCAACAGTAGCTCAATCAAAACATACCCAAACCTCTATTCAAATCACTCGCATATACCCACTCTTTTCCTCAAAATTTGACTATGTCGAACCCACCAAGTCCCAGCTCAGCTTTGTACGACGACGAGCCTTCAACTCCCATCGCCGCTTCATCCGCACATTTATCTCCAAAAGTGCTTCCTACAACACCATCTCCTGGATTATCCCCTAATTCCGCTACATCCCCTGCATTAGGAGGCTCACCCGCAGCTGTAACGCGCACGGTGGCTATCATTAAGAATCATGCGTTACAGAACAGGTTAGATATCGAACCTCGAATATTAGAAGCAGGATTTGAGGTGCGTTTAGCTTTTAATTCAAAATAATATGAAAGGGGTGTAGTGTGTTGGAAGTACTGTAACTATAGGATCATTATATGTCACAGTTTCACTCTTCGTCCTTATGTGAAGTGGAAATATGCGATACTCATTTATGCTCTTTTTTCTTTCCATATGTCATATTACAGATCGTTAAAGAACGCCAAATGGAGTTTGATACGGAATCGGACCCGGAGACATACTACGAACTCTTTGGCGATGATGCACGTTCTCTTGCAGAGTGGGTCCTGCTTTTCTCGTCTGCTGCCTATGAATGCTCATGTCAGTTTCTCACCCACTTGTATCTTTTTCGACCCTTTCCGTGTTGTACTTATGCACTTGTCTGTAATGGATTCTATCACTGTCACCCATCCATTCATCTCTGCTCCATCTTGTTGTTTTGGCCCGAATCATCGGTTCTCTTCCCATGATTCGCCCATATATCCTGCTTAAACCCTCAACTACTGTTCTTTTTGACATCCATTGTTCCCTGGCCCACTGTACAATATTTGGTTGAACTAATCGATCCGCACGACATATATGGATATCACAATACCTATATATCTCATTATGGCTTCTGTATGGCCTGTAGCGGACCTGTGTGGGTATACGTTCTTGAACGTCGCCGCGCCGTACAGGTGCTTCACACCCTCGCTCGCTCGTCATCTTTTTACCCTCCAAATGCATTGATGATTGCCCCAGACGAAGACATTGCCGAGCTACAAATCGCCTCTCTTTTCGCCAGCAGCCCTCCTTTCCCCACATCCGAGCTGCCTGACGAAGGTTTAGGTCTAGGGTTATCCGATGAAGGAATGCTTAGCCCAGGATACGCCGTAGGCAGCGAATTCGACCCAAGCTCGATCCGCTCAGTATCGTCTTCGGTCCTTGAAGCACTCCGTGAGGGCGCGCAGCTCTCTTCCTATGCGTCCACTACCAATACTGCACGCTCCAGGGCATCGACTAGTGCCAGTATCACTACTTCTGCTAGGGGGAGCTTGACAAATACGAATGGGAAACCAACTTTCCGTGCTCGACCTCTTCCACGTACGCACGCAGCACCTGATATCACTCCCCGTCAGACTCGCGCGGCACTCCTTCGTGCTGGTGTTGGTGTTGGTGGCACTGGCCCTAGAATGAGCTTAGGACCACCTCCACCGAAAACAGGAGTTGGAAAGGAAGCTGGTACGCTTTTTCTGCGGCTCTCGCCGTCTTACTGTCCTGCTCATTACACTTTTCCACTTACATATTTCGTCTACTCAACATATTATGCCCGTTGCGAATGAATCAACAAAACAAACATTACTTGAATACCTAACTGACCTCCTACGTGACGACAACAGTAGACCCACCCCGAGTTCGAACCAAAACTAACTTCCTCGATGTACCAGGTCACAAACGCTCGTCAACCATCACTGTCGCGTCGACAGCACCTCCTGCCATCGCCCCTCGTATGACAAAAGCGGCAGCCCTGAGGTTAGGGATTGAGGCTGCCGCATTACCACCAGGCAAGAGATCCGTCTCAGCCTCAGCGACCGTGGGAAGGTCTGGTGCCAACGCACTGTTGAACAAGAAGTCAAGCGCAGGCTCGACTCCAAGTGATGGAACAGATCCTAATGTACCTGAGAAAAAAGCGATTTTCGACGGTGTACCTGGCCATAAACGACGCGAGACTATTAGCGTTGCAAGTGTACGAGCGGGACCGACTGTTGCACCGAGAATGAATCGGAGTGCGGCGTTGAGGACGCAGAAGGAAGAGGGCGGAAAGGCACCGCCTAGCAGTTTCATGTGTGAGTTTGAGTCAGTGTAATACTGACGCATTGTTTGAATATTGATTTTGCTTAATTTCATGTAGTCCGCACTCCTTCCGCGCCGAAAACGCCTGGTTTATCGAGAAGCAACTCTGTCTCGTCCTTTACTGGAGGTTCTCGACCAGCTTCTCGTACAGCTACACAAACGCGTCCTGCATCACAAAGTGCCGCCCGCCCTGCCTCACAGACTGCTGTACGTCCACCAATTTCTCGTACTTCCTCCCGTCCTTCAGTGGCGAACGGTCACTCCAATCCGTCTTCTAACAAGAGTGCTGTGAATGGCACCTCCAATGGGACTGGAAACGGAAATCCAGCGCCAGCTCCAGCCCCTGCCAAAGTTCGCCGCCTTAGCAGTCTCCAGGCCCCTACTATTGCACCACGCCCGAATAAGAGTGCTATGCTGCGTGCTTCCAAGATGGTTGTCGCTGGTACCGGTGCCGGCAGTCGGTGATAGCAACCCTGATAGGCTCACATTTTTTGTACGGAAATGTTCTGCGTTTTTTTTTCTCTTGGTAAGATGCGCAGGCCGCATTCTCTGATTTGATCTATGCTTCAATCCGCCATTCTTTGATTTTCATTTGATTGTGGTTATTTGATCGCTTAAATTATGCATTTCTGTATGTATCTTCCTTTTTACCTCGTGTGCTCGATGCTTTTTTACGTCGCGGATTACGGAGGGATCGGTTCTATGCACATATCTATTGGTCTTCCATTTTACCCTTTCGTTGATCTGATTCTGATTTTTTCTTCTTTTGAATATTCTGGTACCCTATGCTGCAGGAAGAGGGGAGAATATAAGATGAGTGTTTCATACTTACCTTGCACTTTTTTTTTTACCATATTGTATGTACGGCGAGGTCTACAAGTTTCTACAAGAGGAGACGGTGAAGATCTGCTTGTGTATCCCTGATGAAAATGACGTATATGATGCCGATACATAACTGAGCACTTTCGTGATGAGCGGTTGACTAGCATGAGAATGAACCTAGAGAGTGACGATCCAATACATGGTCAGTCTGGTTGTTGACGAAACCTTTTCTCGTACTTACTTATGTTCCGGCTAGCGCTGACATCCGCTGACCATGACATGAGCAACTTGAAAGTCCGCGAAGGCGGAACTTCTACTAACAAATGTAGTACGTGGCACATTCAGGTTAGTCTCAAATATGAGCCTGTGTTCGATACTGGTTGTCTCTCAATATAACTCCAGGCAATGGCTTTGGGTGGTATGGCTGTTCTTCACAATTGAATCGCCAAGCGTCCAAACCGATTAAGATGTTCATGTCAGCTGGTATGTTACTTACGTACTTGCAAATCTTCTGTTATTCAGAGTCCACCAAGCTATCGTCTTCTCAATGCTATAAAGTCCAGGCTTGATACAACTTGTGGAAGACAACAAACACCATGATAATCCAAACGGCTTTGACCTCTGCCCTCCTATTCACCATCGGGACTGTGGCTACTGGCCCATTATCCGAAAGAGCCCCCCCTTTGGTACAACTGGACAATGCCACCTTCACAGGTGTCAACTCTGGTAACGTGTCGAAGTTCCTTGGAATACCCTTTGCCCAAGCTCCGTGAGTATTTCGAAAGTTTATGTGTAGGATTAGTTGCTAATGTATCTATCACCGTGGCGGTCACCCACCTCTGGCAGCGTTGGCAATCTGCGTTTCCAACTTCCTCAGCCTCATCCTTCATACGTAGGCGATCACGCCGCATCAGAATATAGTATTGCTTGCCCTCAACAAGCGATCAGGATACCCGCAATGAAAGGCGTTCCCGCCTACGCTGTTGATTCTGTTGTACAATCATTCGGAGACCTGGCTTCTCCGGCTGGCGAAGATTGTGAGTCCCGTGTCCAATAAACGCATTTACCAAGTCAAACTTACGCCCTTACAGGTCTTTATATCAATGTCATAGCACCTGCCAATGTAACATCTATGTCGAAGTTGCCAGTTGTATTGGTGGGTTGTCGCATTTCTAGGGTATAGAAACTAGCTGATATTATGGCTTATTATGTTTCAAGTGGATCTTTGGGGGTAAGCACATAGATGTATGAACGGGACAGAAACTAATTTTCCTTCCCCTCCACCCTCTAGGCGGGTTTCAAGGTGGTTCGGCATCTAGGTCAGTTCACAAGTGTCCTCACCGGAATGCAACTTACGCCGTATTATAGTGCAAACGGAAGCGTCATAGTCGAAAGGTCTCTTGAGCTGAACGAGCCAGTGATATATGTCAGCATGAATCATCGGTTAGTGTGTTTACAGATCTGCATATAACCTCTCATCAATGAACACGTCAAAATAGTGTCACTGGTATGGTTTTACTACTAGCGGCATTTAAAGTCATTTAAAAGTTGTTTTCACCACACTCTAGCATTTGGATTCCTCGCGAGCCAAGAAGTCAAAGATGCAGGCGTCGGCAATCTTGGTCTTCAAGATCGTCAGATGATTTCCTTTGTGCGTTGATTGATTAGCTGACAATTTTTTTCTTTCTAGAACGCGAGGCAATGAGGTGGGTTCAGAAATACATCAGCTCGTTTGGTGGTGATCCTACAAAGGTTACCCTGTATGTATGATTTCCATTGTCCGCTATCAGTAACTGGCGCTAAGAGATTTTCAAGTTGGGGCCAGAGTTCCGGAGCAATATCCGTTTCGCTTCAGATGCTCACCAATGGTGGTGATACTGAAGGTTTATTCCGTGCTGCTTATATGCAATCTGGATCCCCTATCCCTGTCGGCGATATCACCAAAGGACAAACTTATTACGACTTCCTGGTTGATCAAACGGGTTGTTCAGGAGCTTTAGATACACTTCAATGTCTTCGAGAAGTGCCATATGATATCCTGAAGTCTGCCGTCGACAGGACTCCAAACATATTTTCTTACCAGGTCAGTATGTGTCCGATTTTCTTGGACTTGCCCTGATAATGAATATTTTATCACTTGTAGTCCCTAGTGTTGGCATGGGTGCCCAGGGCAGATGGTAATTTTTTGATGGATGATCCTCAAAAACTAGTGCAACAAGGATCTGTAGCTAACATACCTATCATTTCTGGTATGTAGTATCCAATTATTGTCCGGCATGTTTTTTGTTTACTACTGGTCTCTCATAGGCGATTGTGACGACGAGGCAACTATGTTTTCTTTCAGTACCCTCAACATCACGTGAGTACACCGATTCATTTATTCATTTCGATTGAACAAAATATTCAACTACTCATATTAACTTGTGTAAACCAGGACCAACGATCAAGTCTACGAGTATATCAAAAGCTACTTTTTACCAAATGCACCGAGCGAGAACGTAACTACTTTATTGGAGATGTACCCTCAAAACGTGACAGAGGGATCGCCCTTCAATACTGGTTATCTGAACGTAATAACACCTCAATTCAAACGTTTGGCAGCTCTCCAAGGAGATGGAACGTTCCAGGGTCCACGCCGATTTTTCCTGCAGCAACGGTCGGGCAAACAAAATATGTGGTCTTTCTGTATGTCCTTCATCCACTTACCTTTCGAATTATCAGCAATTTAAGATTATTTTAGTAAGTAAACGGTTTAAAGCTACCCCTTTCCTGGGCGCGGTAAGTCTTCTTCACAGATGGATATACATGCACAGCACAATCTAACTCGTTCACGTTTCAGTTCCATGGAAGTGATTTGTTCAACGTATTCGGACCGGGTGACATGACAGATTATCTCGTGCGCTTTGTGGCCAACCTGGACCCGAACGGAAACACAAGTATCTACTGGCCGCAATATACGACCCAATCCCCGAACCTTCTTACATTCCGGGGCGGACTTACTCGTTTGAACATCACACAGGATACGTACAGGAAGGAGGCTATGGATTATATTACGAACCTGTTCTTGCAATATCCTATGTGATATCGCGTGCGCGTGACTTGCACCGCTCGTTCTTCTTTTTTAATGCGCCTTCGCTTTACTGCATTCCTTTTGTACTTTTTTGAATCGTCATTATTTGAATGAGCCGTTATTGCAAGTCAATATCACGGGTCTTGATAATTCATGTGGTACGAGGAGAAACGTGATTGATACATTATTGCATCACCAGGTTAGTGCGAGTAGTAGTGCACACGCCATTCCGTTGCGTTCCAATGGATTTTGACTGCCAGAATTAGTAAAAATAGATTTGTGCATATCTGCACAACTCTATTCATGCCCCAAAAATCTACGGATCACCAAATAACCGTTTCCTAGCCAGAGAGGTCAGCGACATGAATGCCTATGCTTCGAACAACGGCATAGCACTTACAGTATTTCCGGCGCATCACTCAGTATGCTATTCCCACCCACCATCTCTCTCACCCATACATCCCTCATGAACCACCCTATATGTCCTACAGCGCAGCCTACGAGATCACCAGCTGCAGCACGCCAGGTGCCGTTAAGTACCCAGGAAAACGCAACGAGCGCAAGTGGTAAGTAAGGCGCAGTGATAGTAATCAAACCGAACAACGATATCGGGGTCGATGGGTGTCGACGTGACCAAAGATATATGGGGACAAAGGCGAGAGAAGAGGAGAGAAAGGGAAGGTTGACGAGAGGGGACAGAGCCTGGGTCACGGCAAACATCAGGCGGGTACATAATGGATGGGTGCAACAGATGGACTTACGAGTAACATCAAAGAAGAGGATAAAAGGAGCCAGAAGTAGTCTGCCTTCCTATTTGCAAAGGATGATTCTTCGAGCATCCGGCTATATCGCATGCTACCGTGTTGATGTCAGCACGATACTGGTGTTCATCTCTAGAAATATAGACGACGTACAAAAAGAACATATGGAAGACAAAGTCAAGCGATATTGAGCCAAAATAGAAGAAGGTCGTGATCATCCTCCATGGCTTCATTATACCAAATATCACACATTGTCAGCACATATGCAACCGACCTTTCTAATCCTTTGTAAGACGAAGCAACAACGTAGCTTACCTGAACATTTGTAAAAGCCGATTTATAGCTGAAATACAGTTGGAGAGGTGTAACAAGTTGACATTGCTAATCAAGATTTCAGTTTGTTAGACGAGTGTTTTAGAGACGAGGACATACAACAGCTAGACTCGTTAGCACAGACAGGGCAAGCCATGCACGCGTTATGGGCGGTATTTGAGTGAGCCATGCTTCAATACCAACGGGCATTATGGAAGGTGGTGGTAGTCTGAACGAGCGGTTCCACTTGAGCGCCTGCAGTAGGATAACGTGTCGCGCGTATGTGGGTGGCTGACTGGACTTTCCTTTTTGGCCATACCTGCCGGTATTTGCCGCATCTAGCTCAGTCCAAACTAGCGGGCCCACATCTTTCCAGTGTTCCATCATCATGGCATCTACAGCAAGGCAAGCCCATGGCCATCAAAATATAGCAAAACATAGCTAACGTATTAGTTCATTTAGATCTCTGGCTACGTGCATATTCTGCAAGATTATTAAGGGTATGGCAACTGCATCGTTGGGTTATATGGATCTTGAAAGACGTTTTGGACAGGTGAAATACCAAGTTACAAACTAATTGAAACTGAGTTATCGTGCGCTTCTATCCTTATCCTCTTAAATGAGCTATTACCCTGATGGACCGGATTTGCGGTATGTAGGTTCTCTTTCCTTGACATTGGTCCTCTATCCAGGGGTCATGCCCTGATCATTCCGAAAGGTAAGTACGATTTTGCCACTGTCATAAGTCTTTTGAGATTATATTCTAAACATCTTACATGCAATTTCTGCCACGCTTTTCACTCTCCAAACCAAACACCCTATCTATCGATGTTACTGACATCTCCCCTCGGATATACAAACTAAATGGTGCAATAATGGAAGATCATGCTGTCAAGATGCACGAGCTTCCAGATGAGTATCTGGCAGACGCTATGCCCATTGCAAAGAAGATTGCTCAGGCGCAAGGTCTAGAGAACTATAACATTCTCCAGGTACAATCACCTATCTTTTTCTCGGCGTAATGTTTAATTTGGTGTTGTTTCCACTTAAATATAGAATAATGGAAGAATTGCACACCAGGTATGTCCTGGATCTAAACAGCCGGGAACTTTCAAGGGATATAGTAATTATCTGATTTGTCCTCCCATCTAGGAAGTTGACCACGTACACTTCCACGTCATCCCAAAACCAACTGCCGGTGATGATGAAGGACTTGTCATCGGCTGGCCGACAAAGCAGTTACCCAAGGATGAGATGGTCAAGATTTATGAAGAGATCAAGGGAAAGTTGTGATTGCAGGTGGTAACATAAGCTAAGCTGAAGTGTATGAATAAAACGGCAAGAACTGGCTGAAAATGAGGTGTTCCCATATTCTAGAGATGAGATGGAGTGATTTTGATATCTCTGAAGGCCTGATGTGTGGCTGCACTGGCTGTGTAACGCACCCGGGAATGTGCCAGGTACACTTGACCCCCTGTTTTCATTTCGGGCTACGGCACATGGTTGTACCCAGTGGTCCGGCAATATCAGAAAGTTCTCTACTGGAGCGTGGCTGCTTGTATCAAATACGCTTTTCTTGCAACCCGTCTCCCTGTCTTCCTTTCGAACCTCGACTCATGCTACGCAGTATTTTGTTCGTTGGCCTTCTCTTTGGCTTCGGTGTAGATGCGTCTGGCGCGCTCACCCAACCTACCGTGAATTTGGATAATGCGACATTCACTGGAATCACTGTCGGAAACTTCTCTAAATTTCTAGGCATACGTTTTGCACAACCTCCGTGAGTCATGCCTGTATGCGTCGTCGCCGCCGCTTATCAGCCGCTCGCTGTTCATTATTCATGCATCGTATTCACAGCATAGGAGACTATCGTTTTCAGATCCCTCAACCTTATCCGGCTTACACCGGTATGCATAATGTTACACTATATGGTCCTGCCTGCCCTCAGCAGAATCCTTCAAATGCCACTATCAAGCACGATGTTTGTACTTGCTTTCCTCACTTATGCGAGTCTTTTCCCATCCCGCCCCCCACCACGGATTGGCTCAGCGAAGACTGTCGGTTTGATTTATCACTGATGATCTCGCTCCTTTGACTTGATCGGTCTTATTAGGTCTCTATATTAACGTCATAAGACCCGCTGGTGCAACGTCAAGCTCGAAGCTACCTGTGCTAGTTGTACGTAACTTTGATAATTTTACTGGTTCAAGATCTTAACATACCACCAAAATCGTAAATTAGCAATTGTATGGGGGTAAGCGCACAATTTCACCATCGTTCCGCAGATTCCTTGATTATTTTTAGGTGGCTTTGAGACAGGCATCGCAGAAAAGTGAATTCAACTGCATTGTATATTCATATATCTCATTGAGACGGTAACTTTTCTACAGTAACGATGAAGGCTCTGTTATTGTACTGAATAGAGCCATCGAACTTGAGAAACCTGTGGTGTATGTCAGTATGAACTATAGGTAAGTTATGTTATGTCGTCTGGGGATTATGCAGTGGTTGATACCTTACAGATTGAATGGTAAAACATCATCTTATGATTATCGGAAAAGTGATTTAATATTCATGGTCTCTTGTACTAATCTCAGCATTCGGGTTTTTAGCTAGTCAAGAGGTCAAAAACGAAGGTGTAGGAAACCTTGGCCTTCGAGATCGTATGTTCTTTATTTCTCTAAGTGTTAGTTAGCCATGAAATATTTTTCTGTAATTTAGAGCGTGAGGGGCTTAGATGGATTCAAAAATATATCAGTGCATTCGGAGGCGATCCGACAAAAGTCACACTGTGCGTATCCATACATGCTCGTATTGCAGTGACTGAACACGATTTTCTATAGCTGGGGCCAAAGTGCAGGAGCAATTTCCATCTCCTTTCAGATGCTCACTAATGGTGGCAACACGGAGGGTCTATTTCACGGTGCTTTCATGCACTCCGGGGCTCCAATGCCCGTAGGTGATATCACCAATGGTCAGCCATATTATGATGCGCTGGTGGGAGAGACAGGCTGTTCTGGGGCGTCTGATACGCTGCAGTGCCTTCGGAATGTCCCATATGATGATATTATGATGGCCGTTAATAAATCCCCTAATCTTGAATCCTATCAGGTTTGTGATAGTGTTGTATCGTTAAATTCAACATCGTTTTGATTCGATTTATTGTTCCTAGGCTCTAGCATTGGCGTGGGCACCAAGAGCCGATGGCGATTTTCTAGTGGATCATCCCCAGCTGTTAGTGCAGAATGGATCAGTTGCTGACATTCCATTCGTTTCGAGTATGTCAACTACTTATGCATATCTCCTCCCGTATCTGATGTAGTACTTTTGCAATAAGGTAACTGTGACGATGAGGGAACTGATTTCTCTTTCAGCACCTGTAACGTTACGTAAGGACTCAGTTTTTCCCCGTCGTTCAGGACGATCTGACATAAAGCATGATGTAAAATAGGACAGATGGTCAGTTTCGTGACTACCTCTCAACCTACTGGATCAAAGGAGCACCGGATGAAAATATGACTACCCTGTTGCAACAATATCCTCAAGATCCGACTGAAGGATCACCTTTTGATACAGGAAACAACAATACATTGACATCTCAATTCAAACGCGTTGCAGCCTTCCAAGGAGACGTAGTATTCCAGGCTCCTCGTCGCTTCTTACTGCACCAGCGCTCAGACGAGCAAAATACGTGGTCGTACCGTACGGGGTTTCTTATCTAGTGATCTACAGCACAACCTGACTGACATTCATTCAGTTAGCAAACTAAACAAGACTGCCTTGTATTTAGGTTCGGTAAGTCAATCATGGCCAGCTTCCACTAATCCCCAATGACTTTTTCTTGTGCAGTCTCACGGCAGCGACATTCGAAGCTTAATCGGACCTGGTGACACACCAATGGCTGACTACCTTATCAACTTTGTCGCAAACCTCGATCCCAATGGGGGTGCGAATCCGGAATGGCCGCGGTATACAAAAGAGTCCCCTAATCTCCTGATGATGTCGGACGGACCAACTTTTGGAAATATACAGATCAATTTCACACAGGACACCTACAGGACGGATCCTATGGAAGTTTTGACTAGTCTTTCTCTTGCTTATCCGCTCTGATCACGCAGTTGTTACATGGATCCCGTTTATTTGTACATTATGATCATTCAACTGGTCATCATTTCCCCCTTGCATTATGTTTAACCTTTCTTGATTTTTGTCGTGTACCAACCAGCACGGCGATATCGTTTTTCGTGAAACAGCTAGCACTGTTCCTTATATTCTGATGCTTTTTGGCTCTTCTCCGCGATAATGAGTTGCTGTTTGTTGTATGAACTTGGAATAACTTAGAAGGAGACATCGTCTTTAGCTTCGGATCCTTGCATGTCAAACTGAAGACTATCTACCTCCCCACGGTGCCAAACACGCATACGAGATGTCACAGAGATGACGACCGAAAAAAATAGACCAATTTTACTGTAGCTACCCACATGCAAATAACCGTAGAGGGCCTTGACCCTTTTCCAATTACACGTCTTTCAACTACATCCCTTCCAGCAAACACGACATATCCGGCATATCTTCCAGATCTACGATGGGATTGACAGATATTAATACAGAATCACAATCAACCATACTCTCCAGAGTAACCCATTCCTTCAGCCGGTCCAGTTGTGCACGCTGAAAACGATGCCTTGATAAATGGACGCGCCGCAGAGGACGTCCTAAGCTGGCGCGAGAGCGCACAACACCATAAAGCCAGTCGAAATCGCTGCCATCATATGATAGAATATCCAGAGCGGGCCACCAAGCCAATTGGCCCTCATCTTCGAGGGACTCTGGCAACAAGTGATGGTAGTCGCTCCTAGCTAGCTGGAGTTCCCCCACCGAGCAAAAGAACTGGTAAAACTCGGGGCAGAGAACCTCCCATTGCGAGGCATGGCGGCCAAGGCGTAATGTATGAAGGTTGGGGTATAATGGAAGATGAGAGCTACGGGACAGGTTGTTGAGATCGTTACAATGCACGTCGACAAGCTCGAGATATGTCAGGGAAGGGGCTCTGATGCAGCGTATCAGTTTTTCGAGATCGTGGCTCTTAGCGTCGCATGGCCAGCGCAGCGCCAGCGTATGGAGCGAACGGAGGGAGATGATATTGTGTGTGCTAATATCCAACGGTAAGGGGAGTATATCACCATACATAACAAGCTCTTCTAAGCATTTGCAGCAGGACAGAAGACCTTTGAAACCAGCCCAATCCGGCTTCGTAAACGAAACTGACGCATAATCGAAATCGAGGCAAAGTTTGGTTAGCGACAGAGTTTTGTCTAACATGGATAGTCTTGAGCTTATTGCGACCAAAAAGGGGGAGTTTAGGATCCCTACTACACCATGCAATTTCAAGGACCCCAAGTGTGGTCGTCTGATATCCCAGAAAAAAGCGTAGATGATTGCTGTTATTATCCTGTCATGTACCGTCAGATGGGCTACGTCTGAGTTATCCACGAAAGTGCACTCGATAAATTCCAATTGCGTCGAGCATATCTCGATGATTCGGCAAAAATAAGCGAAATAACAGCTGCGCAGAATCGAGTATGTAGCCGTTATAGTGAGTCGATTAACATTTCCAAGTCTCAGCAGCGAGGAAACTGCAGCGCAGTGGAAATTTTCGACGTCCCATATATTAATGAATGCGTGTAACGGCTTGTTACTGGCCCGTTTTATGCACAGCGCCGGGAGGGTGAACGGTTGGATGTTGGATATCACCACGTTCGTCCAAATATCAGGAGAACTGAGTGCCACTTCTCGCCAATGGCGATTGATGCTGGACACGACGCATGGGAAGGGAATGTCACAATCAGCACTACCTGCTCTTGGTTCTGATGCACCTGCTTTGAATATCTCGGCCAGTAATTCGTTAGGTAAAGTCTGGATTGGAGTGGCGCGAGATGCTGGATGTGATTCAATGGTCATGAATACAAAAATTTCTTGAAAGAGCTAGTTGAAAGTAAAATCAGGTTAGAGATACAAAATCCAAAATTCCAAAGTGTTCATATACTGACTCAACAAGATATGGATAGCGAATGTAGAACTGATCGAAACAGCTTCGCTTTTTATAAACTGTGGCACGTGGTCAAAACGAGGTGTATAGAAGCGCCAAATCCTGAATAGGAACTCGAAAAGCATAATATACACCAGTCACAACGGCAGTATTTGCAGGTTTTGTCAGTTCCTGGAGTTCTTGGTTACTAACATGTACTGGTCGACTTGAATTCTGGTTGTAAATGTCAGATGGCGATTTCTGTGATTCAGTGGAGTAGCCTGTTAATGCTCGTACAGTACCTTATAACGAAGTATGAGTATGACAAACAAGACAGTATCCGCAGCGATAACAATCAAATAGACCCGTAAACCATAAACCATGAACAATCCTTTTACCCCTCGTGAACATCAAAAACTGCAAGCTGGCGATTTCTTCTAAATTCCCGTTGAGCACGTAACGATAGCAATAGAAAGCAGGGCGACGGAGCCAAGAAACCAAAACTTGACGGGGTATAACAATCTAAATGGGTGACGATGGGATATTCTCTACTTCCTCCACCATACGCTGCTTCGAGAAAGTGACGAAAGTGACTACAATGAAGTCAGTGATATTGATCCCGGCCGGAAATATCTCCAGAAAAGCACGCCTTGAGCGAGATACGATCCCAAGTTTCGCGCGTCGATATCGTGCCAATGGTGTCTGTGAATTATCGTTCAGAAATAGCTTTATAGAAATAGATTATAATGAGCCACGATAAATCAAAGTGTTGAATGGTACCTACCACAGGTGATTGAAACAACATTCTCCAAATATACGGTCGACCATCAAATCCTATGAAACTCCAGGGGCTTTGAAGTTGGTGACGGAACTGAGCAAATGGCATGTTTACATAGATTGGTGTTTGTACTCACCGATCTACACCCTCGTCTGGATTTTGAAGTAACGTGATTTCGAGGCTACTCTCTGAATCGAGTATCTGCAGCCTCAACCCATTCACTCTATGGTACGTAATCTCGCCGACTAACGATAATACACGACCGGTACTGGATCCTTCGAGTTCATAGCGGCTAACCGTTGTCGTTCCTGTGATCCATGTATCAGGGGTGTCGATTTGGTACATGGGTACTCCTTCGATAGTCATGAGGAGTGTATGTATGGGATCATTCTGGCACAGAGAAAGCACGTGAGACATGACTCTGCTCTGTGCTACCACCGTTTTGTAGTCGATGTCACGTATACACACTAGAGCTGGAAACTCCACAGCACATCTTCTGGGTGGAAGATGAATGGTCTACGACAATGTGGCTACATCTGCCATATATAAGGACGGACATGGGACAATACATCAGGATGCACCTTTCGAAACTCGAGGACTTGTCGGCACTTGTGAGGCCCGGGGTGATCACGGTAAGGTTATAGCCAAGGCTAGAACAGTCTAGATGTGGACATAACCTTCATAACCTTGGACATAACTACACCTGCCCGCGGCACTGGGATAAGCGTCCCCATGAATTTATAACCATGTACTTTGATAGGCCATCAAGAAACAATGAAAAAATGTGCGGTTTCGTCTTGTACATTGGCATGAAGAAAAAAAGTTGAAGGCTGAAGGCGGGAATTACATAAGTCATGCCGAAGATGACCTCTTCTAGGCAAGAGGCGTAGCAGTCTTTATTGCCAACTTCCAAGGACGACTTGCACGTTGCAACTTGGACGACAAACGTGTCCGCATTCTTCTTATGCCTTTGATACTGACTTGAACAACTAGAATACATGTTCGACATATTACCACTTACTCTGCGATTTCTCATTGGATCTTTTCTCTGGATAAAGGAACCGTCAGTTGCCACCTCACCTCCCCTGACCTTCCAGCTGCGCCATGAACACGCCCTATCTAATTCATCCCTTATCATATTCTCTGATATAGCGCCCTCCTTTGCGCCAGAGGTGTATGGGGTCAACACAGCAAGTGTACGTGCCCATAAACCGGTGTCGGCAGCTGCGTTTCATTCCGCACGTTTTCGCTCCATGAGGTATGCCCAGAGCGAGCCCTTTCTGTGGGAAGATATTGAAGTGCAAGGACCGAATGTCGAAGATCGTCAGGTATTGCTGACTCTGGCGAAGATGACCAGTAATGCGTACGTCGAGAGCACGGACAAAGAGTGGTATGCCCAGGATGGCTGGAATAAAGTAAGTGCCAAACCCTCAACCATTACACCATCTAACGACTTCATTAGTCCTTGCCATTTGGATATGAACCAGATGCTGATGGATTTCGTGGACACGTTTTTGTGTCTGACGATAACTCTACCGCTATCATCTCCATCAAGGGTACATCGGCAGGATGGATGATAGGCGGCGGTGGGCCGACTGTGGTCAAGGATAAACTCAACGATAACATGCTTTTCTCGTGCTGTTGCGCGCGCGTCGGACCAACCTGGTATACTGTATGCGATTGCTTTTCTGGTGGATACAAGTGCGACCAGACTTGCGTTGAGCAAGCATTAACCGAAGAGAGTCTCTTCTATTCCATAGGCACTGTGCGTTTCCACGCCCTTATGAGTTCACCCGTTATGCTGAAATAACTGCTTTCAGAACCTCTACAATAATGTAACGTACATGTATCCAGATGCCAACATATGGATCATTGGTACGAACAGTTATGTATCGCCCTTGAATGACATTAATCTTGATTTCAGGTCACTCCCTGGGCGGCTCGCTTGCGTCACTTCTTGGAGTCACATTCGGCGCACCAGTCGTTGCGTTTGAAGCACCAGGTGAAAAACTTGCTGCATCACGACTGCATCTGCCTACACCAGTAAGTATCCCTCTTCGCCTGATTCACTCCGCATAATGTCCCTAACCTCCACGTACAGCCCTCCACTCAACACATCACTCATATCTATCACACGGCAGACCCACTAGCTATGGGTACGTGCAACGGCGTCACCTCCATATGTGCGATTGGCGGCTATGCGATGGAGTCACGGTGAGTGCACTTCTTTCTTTTGGGTCACGATTGGCGCATACGCTGATATTGTCCCTGCTCCCTTTGTTGTAGATGTCATTTGGGCAAAGTGGCACGGTATGATACTGTCACGAAGCTAGGCTGGTCTGTGGACATCCGGACGCACGGCATCAAGGTTGTCATCGAACGGCTTCTTTCGGAAGACTGGGAGCCTACAGGAGACGATAAATCGAACGGAAAGTCAGGTCAGAATAGAACAGTTCCTCTTCTAGAGGAAGAGAAGGACTGTGTGGTAAGTTTCTGTTCAACATCGGTTGACCTTAGCTCTAAGCGTTGACGTTGAAACTCTAGGACTGTTTCAATTGGGAATATGGAAATTATAACAAGACGAAGTAGAGAGAAGGATAGATTATTACTAGGGGATTAATTTTGTGATTTTCGTTGTAACTACTCGTTCTTGCCAATCAATGCTGTATAGCTTTCATTACATCCTCGTTGACACTCGTCTCGACAGATGTTTTTGGAGGAACCTCACTGACTCTACGATATCGATTCAGCAACATCATATGATGAGCAGACGTTGTCAACCAAAATGATAGCATAAGCATGCTACCTTGTCCGTCTACATCGAGGAATCCAGCTTATGAAGTGAAAACCACCAAAGTATTATCGACATAATATCATTGACGCAAAATCTAGCTACTTTACATTGAAAAACATGATAGAATAAGAAAATCCATCAGACAGACGCCAACCTCGCTGGCTCGTCGTCATCAAACCTGCAAAAGCAGCCAGACAACAAAACAAACCAAACGTCCTCGAGACCCCTTCATAAGAAAGGGCCATGTTCTCTGTTGAACGAGGCAGCGCTTATATCATCGACTGGATCTGAAGGATGCGGCATGTGTAAACATGCGAGACTCGAGTTAGTTTCTATAAAATAGATCCTAGCTGAGTATGTTCTGAGGAAACAAGGAAGCAGGGCGCGAGGTTTATATAGTTTTTTGAGAGCTAGGTCCGTGCGTGGGAGATATGGGGTGAGTTCTGTCTCGTGACCTCGACGCGTTGACTTGTGTTTATTACGACTGTTTGGTACTGACTTCATTTCTATTTATAACGCCTCTCCTCTAGCTATAGATCGATGGTTTCGTGAGATTGTGCGTATTTGTATATCTATTTTGTCGTTCATAACCTTTCGTTTCGCTTTTTATCTCTTATACAATGAACTATGACCTTCAGGAAGGACAACCATGTTGAAATACGCAGAGGGAAGCAACGTCACAACAGATATCTGCAGAACATATCAACAGAACAGTCAACAGTCATACGACAGCGATATGACAGGCGGATACAATTCGTATCAGGATCCATCGAATCTTACGAATAGCAGAATCAGCGATATAAGAATCAGCCGTATCGGCCAATGCTTCCTTCGCTGACACAGCCCCTCAGCAACCATATATTCGCCATTACGACAATATCTTCAGACGACCTCACAGGCTGTACACAATGACGACATATGGGCACATGGCTTCGTCGGGATATACTACCACCTCAGAGTACTTGACCACTCCACCTTGTTCCATGGTCAATGCATCAATCTAATAAATGAATTATGATGTTCAGAACCAACATGAAGCAACAGCAGCACTCACTGAATCGTATCCTGGAGGAGCTCGCTTCAAATTCTCATTCCTTCGATCGGCTCGCATACTTAAACCAACGGCAACCTTGCTTAAGAAAACAAGCCGATATGGCGACGTGTTGTTGACGTCCCGGAAGAAATGGTCGGCTTCTGAGATTATGAATAGAGCTATGAGCACACACTTCAAACATCGATAGTCTACACTCACTATTAGAGGCAGATGTAGTGTAAATACCCCATCCCCAGTATCCATTTTTCTCTGCAAAGATATATTTCAGTGTCATGCATCTGAATGTATCACTGTCATCACGATACGCACTGGCAGTTCCCTGTGTAAAATCACATTGTAGAATGCGGCATACATAGCATTGCGGTAAGGAGCATGGAGTGGTTACATGAGCCCTGCCGTTGGTATCATCTCCAATAGTACAAGCACGGGCTTGTCCATGAAAAAGTTTCTGCTCCACTGGGCTATTGTTGCGTAGGCTTTTTCTACAGATAGAGGTTTTTTCAGTAGGGTATCCATCACAGAATATACTAAACAAGAGCTGGCTGGACGCACAAGTAATCCGAATACCGGCTAACGTGGTATTGAGCCCGGTCACTTCGGTATACTACTTCGTAGATGCTGCGAATGGAAGGAGAACGCTTGTCGGGATTGACCCATCTCTCTTTAAAATACTGTTCCGCTAAGTCATAGCTCAATGACGATCCTTCATATAGAGGGCTTCGTGTAATGTCACTTACCTTCCTGATAGAGAGGTTGGTTAGATTTAAGCTTCTTAAGCACCTGCAAATAAGATTGTATAAGAGCGAGTTTTTGATTTAACAACCAAGGCATACTCACTGAATTGGGGGATTCAGGTTCATCCTCGCTGCCGTCTGAAAGGTTAGGATCATCGTCTGAAAGGTCAGGTTCATCCTCGCTGCCGTCTGAAAGGTTAGGATCATCGTCTGAAAGGTCAGGTTCATCCTCGCTGCCGTCTGAAAGGTCAGGTTCATCATCGCTGACTTCGTGATCTGACTGGAAGTCTATGTCAGGTATTTTATCAGGAAGAGGAATCTTGAATCCAGAAGCATGGCCCATAACGTCATCGGGGTCATATGTTTTTCGTATTTTACTGAGCAGTCCAAGATTCATACGGCCATATATACGCTCGACAGGAGTAGTGTCGAGTGAAGTATTGAGATACATGGGATAGTTCTTCGTGCACTTCTCCTTGATGGCGACCTTGTGTATAGCTTTTAAAGCAGAATTCATCTGCTTTAGCCAGTATTGGTCGTCCTCCGGTTTGTCCCATAAAAAGTATACTATGCAGGGGCTGTATGATTTCCCAATGGGATGAGGCCATGCGGATGGAGTGCTCTTCTCAAATATAGAAGGAAGAAATGGCCAAACATCAATACAGACTAGTTTCCCCCTATGTCGCTTCATCTTTGCGGCCTTTTTCTACAGGCAGAAAGGAACATAAGGGGAAATGTATCGTGACAACTGTAGAATACTTACCTGTGCCTGCTCGGCGATTGTCTCTATTAGTTTTGTTGTGTAATGTGACACCATAGTGCATGCAAATCGGCCACTAGATTTTGTATAAAAAAACAGATAAGCTCAATAGTGGAGAGCTCACCAACTTGTGATTTCCCCTACCCCAGACATGCCAGGATTCTGGCTATTTGTACCATTTTGGTTTCGAGGAGGATGAAAGTGGCCGAGTGGATTATCCAGTTGGTATTGGGGCATATCTCTGGCGTTGTTTGTGGTGCTGCCTTGGAAGAGACGTGTTTGAGCAGCCTCTTCAAGTTTGGCAATTGGATCGAAACGTCTAAAAGGATCAGGATTTGGTTTAGGGCCATCATAGACTCCAAGAACCATGATAGTTGACTATAGCAAAACGTAAAAGATGATTTCAAGGTTGTAGGAAGCGATCCGCAAACCTTGATAGAACCTTGCTCAAGTTCATGCATGAATGCAGAAACCAAGGCGGCTTTCTTCCTTATTTCATACTTTGCAAAATCTGCGATGGCAGCCTTGACCTCTGGGAAATATGAACTGAACGTATATCTAAAAGTCTGGTGATTCAATGAACTTAAGTCAGCATATTTCTGCACATGAAGTAAAACTACTGACATAGGTTTTATCCTCGTAAAAAGTATTGATAATGAATTTCGTCACAATGCCAAAATTATTGCCACCACCCTGCGCAGATCAGGTTTCCTACGCTTCACAGAAATTTAGTTTAAAATAAAAAAAACTGACCTTCAGCGCTTCAAAGAGGTCCTTGTGTTTAATTTCGCCCTGCCTAACATTGATGACATTGCCACTTGGCATCACAATCTCGAACCCAACAATATTATCAATTCCAAGACCATATTGATTTGTTTTGAGCGAATAACCGCCACCCAATAGCCAACCGGCCACACCTAAGTCCAATGTAAGCTTAGTTCTTATGACATGCAGTTCGAAGTTCAGTACACACCTACTCCTTCAGACGTGGAGCCTCCAACTACGCTACGCTTATATGGCAACAATTCTTTGTACACCTGATCCCAGAGGCACCCAGCACCAATATCTACTGTGTCTGTGGCACTATTGTATTGAATTAGATCAAATCGGGCCATATAGATCTGGATTCCAGAAGTAGAGCTAAGACGAGGACTGGTAGCATGTCCACCACCTTTGATCTGTGAAGATTGACGGTTAAGTTTGTTATTCATAAAGTGTAGGCTAAGCACATACCCCAAATGGAACCTTTCGCCTTGCCAAAACTTTAATCTACAATCAGTCAACAATCGGATGTCTGCCTCAAGTGAGAGAAAAAAGGAGACTACGTACTATTGCTGATAAATCATCGACACTACCAGGCTGGACAGCAACATATGCATTTTCACTGCTGCTCACAAGCCAGTGCCGCACACTGTCCTTGTAGCTTGAGCTGCCTGTTGCATATATGACGTTTTAAGGAAACCACTCGTGCCATATTTAAGGGCTAAAGCACACCGAATAAACAAATCACACTGCGACCCTGGGATGCCTTACAGATTTTCTCTATCTCCTGTTTGGCTTTTGCAATATCAGTGTTTGACTGAGGAACAGTAGAATAAGCAGGTAAATATGGTTCATAGCCAGGGAGTATGGACAACGTACACGGTCGCGCATGTTGTATCTCTGACCAGAATGATACAACGGACAGTGGAAGCTTATCACTGAACGGAGATTTTTGGAATATGGTTGGAGTATAGCTGAATGAATATAAGTGCAGCATAGGTCGATTGGCGCCAGAAATCACAATGCAGGGCGCTCAGCCTCGAGTCACAAGTTCACTTCAGGCGTCAAGATAAGTATTTGCCGTAGCATCTATCCCCTGACTTGGGACGGTTGATAGGAGATGGCGATAGAAGTGCCATATAATTTCCACAAGTCCTCGTAACGCTGAAGCTGTAGAGTGACAGAATGGAAGTACATACTATTTTTGGCACCTGTTTGCAAGTAACTTTATCCGCAATGCAAGAATTGAGCACAGGTTACGAGAAATGATTAGATATTAGCAAGAGTATGTTATGGATGTGATGACTTGACATGTCCGAATACGAGTAGTTTGCATGTAGTGGCAGACCTGATACGTATACATAGATACATAGACGCGAGCGTCAGCAAATGCCACTCAACTCCGGTCCAACTCCGAATGGCAGCGGTATATGCATGCAATCATAAAACTGCCGGGCTGGCAACTGAATTCGGCGTCTAACTCTGGCCGATAAACTTACTTCCTTGTATCCTTTAACGCCTTCTATTATCCGAGCGCTGATCTCTATTGTGATTTGTGGACTAGTGGGAGCATATAGGCGCTACTGTCAGTAACAACGTGGGGGTGAGTGTCTATAGCTAGCAATGTTGTGCCAAAGGCGACAACATTAAGACCGCAGAAATGATGTGCTGAAGGCGCTGAGACTTTCTGGAAAGTGTTCCTGTCTGTATCTACCAATTATGCAGTTCACGGGGCGATGTAGGGCAAGGAACAGGTGGAATATTATCAAACAGGGGTGACCGGCACGTTTATGGTTGGGGAACATATCTTGTGCCGTGTTCCCTTATATTATCGCGCTCTCTTTTATTTAAGTAAACAGTAGCTTTCATCCGGCATTCTCAAAGTGATATTTGTCCCTGTCTTCGAGCTTCAACCTCTCTCGTCCCAACTTCGCATCTTGAAATCATGTCTAATGACTTATTCATTACGTCCAGCAATATCAAATCTTCCGCATTTTATCAATCAGGCAAGCACCATCCTCCATCGTTATCCCGCATGGTTTTGACTACGTCATATGTTTGACCATTCTATAGTCAAAAATGACTTCGTGAATGCGTGGAAAGATACCAATAAACCTCACCCTACCGTACACAATATCTGGTACATTAACCAGAGCACCTCATACGGACAGCCACGCTTCCAAGCGTATGTTAACTACGAGTAATTATTTTGGAATTGCCATGGTGTTCTGCTGTGACTCATTGTCCCCATAGACAACAAATAAGAAACCAGCTTGGTGGTGGTAATGTTATACAGCAGCTATACCGTGGGGTCAAACGTGCATGCAATATTGGTGATAGCAATGGTCAACTGCAGCTCTGTAATCTTTGGAACTGTGATTTATGCCACATTCTTAAGACATCCTACGTCCTAAGGAATTCAGGTCAGTGTTTTGACTGATGCCAGTTCACGCATCGTTAACTCATACACCATTCCTTTAGGTGGAGCCGCAAATTTCGGAACAGGCATCTACACCTCCAGTCACTCTTCTAGTGAGTGGGACTTCGTACTTATTCCCGTGATGTCAGATTCAAATACCACTATAGAATCTCATGATTATGCCATCAATGTCAATAATCAATCTCGCTACCACGTTATATTACTTAGCCATATTGTGGTGGGCAACACGTACAAAGTGTACAACCCGGCTCCAGGCACATCAAGTCCTCCTTGGGGCTGTCATTCAGTAAGTCACTAACTAGAAACATATACTGATTTGATCTGATTGTTATCTTTAGCTTGAGTATGTTCCCAGCTATAATGGGCAAATGAAACATCCAGAAACTGTCGTCTATCGTACCGATGCTGCTCTTCCTTCAGTTATGATTGTTTACAGTACCTGAGTCTAACGGAGACCCTGCGTTGCATGAGAAACGCACGGGAAAGCGCACAAGAAATGTATGGCAATGTACTACTATTAATAGTCAAATATTACGCAGGCACTTTTCACCAAACTGCAGGACTAAGGCCATTTACAAACAAGTCTGATTCGTCCAGAAGAGGAGCCTAGAAGACATCCTATTGTCGAGTTCTGGTGATGTAAAATTGATGTTAGTTGACTTTAGACGAGAATGATTGGGAAGGCGCGATACCTTATGAATGTGAATAGAGGATCAGAATACTGGCGGCCGTAAGGTCCAGTTGACGACATATCACGGCTGATCATTTCATCGCCATGTTGGATAGGATTGCTCTGCAATGGTCTGCAAGTGGTCCAGATTGAACTATCCAGCACAATCCCGGCTCACATGCGACCGCAAGCATGTTGAAATCTTGTTTGATCAACAATAGCGTAATATTTGTAAGAGGAAGATATATATTTCATGAAACTGGCAACACAATAATATCCCCTACTCGAGTTAGGTAGACACCTCGATGGAGAAAAATAACATACTGTTTTCACTCCTGCTACCTCATACAATCATTTAGGATCGAGATGACCCGACCTTTTCTTGTTCGTATATCAGTTTTTTTCTTATGACTTCGTGGATTCTGTCTTTCGCAACCAAGGAACAACGACTGGTAATGGAGTTGGTGCTCCTGACCCTACAACGGATGAATTATTACCGTATTCGAAGAATCAGTGTTCGTTGAGGACTGAAGGTAAGAAACTTGTTAAACTCTTGCCCATTACACATCTTTTAGAGACAGCTCATCTAACAGGGCCCACATATCTTCCGCGTCCGGAGTGTCCACGAGATCCGCGATGGGGCTGACAGGCAAGAGTCCAGAGTCACTATCGGCCATACTCTCCAAAGTCACCCATTCCTTCAACCACTCTAGTTGTACGCGTGAGAAGCGGTTTCCGATGACACGAACTCGTCGAAGCAGACCACCTTGTAAACTGGAGCGTAGTTGCACAATGTCATGAAGCCAGCCAAAATCACAACCATCATACGATAGAACTTCTAAAGCAGGCCAGCAAGGCTGAGTGAGAGCTAGTGAGCCCTCCATTTCACTTGCAGAAGAATCACTTGATGAAAAATAGTACTGGTCGCTCCTGGCTAACTGTAGTTCCCGGACTGAACTAAACAGCTCGTAGAATTCAGGACAAAGACTCTCGGGACCAGGGGCACAGCAACCTAGGCGCAGAGTATGTAGCGCAGGATATATCCCAAGATTAGAGCGGCGAGCAACTTCATTTAGATCGCTACGGTTCACACAGACAAGCTCGAGATATGTTAGCAAAGGGGCTTTCAAGCAGCGGATAAAGTGTGAAAAGTCCTTGCTACGGGTCTTGTAAGGCCACCGGAGAGCCATGGAACGAAGCGATGTGAGGATGATGGTATTTCTTGACGTGGTACCGCGTGGCAATGGCAGAACACCGCCCTCGATCACGAGCTCTTGTAGACATTTACAGTAGGAGAGAAAAGCCTTGAGGGAAGCCCAGTTCTTATTTACAGGCTCGATGTCCTGGCGATCGATTTTGAGATGGAGGCTGGTCAATGATGGGACTCGTGGCTGGGAAAACAATAAGGGAGGCCAATTAAAAAGCCCAACCCCGTTGATTCGTAACGAACGCAAGGTTGATTCATCAATCTCTGCGAAGATACCAAGGAATATTGTGACCACCCAATCAGCTTGGCGATCTATTGCATTTATGCCCTGCCCTGTGAAAATAAACTCGAGGAATTCCAAATGGACTGAGCAAACTCCAATAACATGACGAAGTTTGAGAAGTTGTTCATGAGACCAAGTAGAGCCTACATCGATTGTTACGGTGAGCCCATGTATACATCTAGAGTCCAACAATGAATACATTGGTTCGTCGTTATATGTTCTGAGGTCCGCTATGGGAAAGAACATATGCAGTGGCGAACCGCTCGACCGCTCCAAGCACAATGTAGGCAGTTTGAGTGGTTTCATGTCATGCACCACTATGTTGGTCCAGATGGTAGGCAAACTAAGCGCGACTTCTCGCCAATGGTGATTTACTCCAGAGGCGATACATGGGAAAGGAATGTCACAGCAATGACCACTTGGTTTGGATGCGCCAGCTTTGAATATTGCCGCTAACAGTTCGTTAGGTATTGTCTGGATTGGAATGATCAAGACCGATTCGTTTGCTTCAATGAGCGCCATTAAGACAATGTGACTGGTCCTTGAAAGAACGACAAAGACATTTAGGCTGTTTACCTTCAAAACATTACTGTACTCACCCGAAGACAGCAAGTATAAAGAGGGTAGTAGAGCGAAGAGTGTCCTGCTTGACGAATGTAGATGGACGAGAGCAGCATTTAAGTATCGACTTTGGAGACTTTTGAGTTTAATTATTCAGCTATGACCCTGGTCATGACGAGGTATTAGAAAAGAAGTGCAAAAAGCTACAATAGGCTACTTCGTGCTCTAAAGAGATGTGATAGACGCCCGCAGTATCGGTAAAAGGGTCAGGGATCTTCCAGAGAAGAAGTTCGTGTACTGCTCGTGTTTGATGGCGAGAGAAGGCTACGGCTTGCATAAAAATGGACAATTCGTATCATTGCACGATTTCTGAGAATTGAAACTTGAAACCTGAAGTCACCTCCAATGGAAAACTTGAATAAGCTTGTTTTCCACTGACTGTGAGTGGCCCATGGTGACCTCTCAGTCACTTTTTCAACTTGCAACCTCTTGGGTACAAAAGGACAATCATGAAGAATGAAGGTATCTTATGAACTCTGGATATAGCGGATCCGGATTTTCCCGTTCCGGCTTGCCAAATATGGAGGAGAGATGACGTTCTAAAGGGTTACTCATCCGCTCAATAATCGAATAAGGGGATTCTTCTCTCCAGTCATGTCTTTCCCACCACAATACGAACCGCTTCCTACATCTGAAAATCACGACGAAGTGCCCAGCTTTGTCGTTAGACCTCGATATCAGAAAAATAGAAAGAGAAAACTAGTACTTCGCACTCTCGGTGTTGCACTAATCATGCTGCTTGCCTTCATGGGAGTTAGGCACTTTGCCAGGTCTTCGAAGCTCGCACAAGGCATGTGTGGTTCTTGCAAATGCTCGCAGAGAAACTCGTCAACGATCTCGAAGCTGCCCTCGCACTATACACTACCCTCTGGAGATCAGATTCCGTCGGTAGCTCTCGGTACGGCACCGGTGAACAAGTCATAGCGATAGATAAGCTGAACTCTTTTGACACAGGCGTCTGGCAGGCTAGCAAAGGCGAAGTGGGTGCTGCAGTCAAGGTTCTGAGTCTAGCATTGTCGTATGGATCTCAAAGTACTAATAATGGGCTATAGGCTGCTCTCAAATCGGGTTACAGACACATCGATGATGCATGGGCTTATCATGTGCGTATTCTCCGTGCTGTGCCTTATTGCATTTAAATAACATGCCTACCAGAATGAGGAAGAGGTTGGTCAGGCCATTCGAGAAAGTGCCGTTCCTCGTGATCAAATCTGGATCACATCAAAGGTATGATCTAGTTAACTGTCTATTACACTTATTCTGGGCTTAACTTAAGGACCAGCTTTGGAATACTTTCCACGCACCGGAAGATGTCGAATCGGCCCTCGATGACTCTCTTACCAAGCTGGGAACTGATTATCTTGACTTGTATTTGATCCACTGGTCGGTACACCTTCCACAAGTAAATTTCGCAAATATTGATAACCTCATCTTATAGGCCTATTGCATTCAAGAAAGACTCTAACAACGTACTAGAGGAATCTCTTACCTCCGACCCTTACCCTACCTGGCAGAAACTCGAAGAAATGGTCGAGAAAGGGAAAGTCAGAAACATTGGTATTAGCAAGTATGTATCAATATATTATTTTATTCTCAATATTCTGATTATTATATCCATCATCTAGCTTCAACATCCCAAGGTCTGCTTATTTACAAAGTACATACCTTGATCTAAACGCTAATAATGCGACTTAGAATCAAAAATCTGACGGCCAATCCTCTGAAGATTCAACCTGCAGTTAATCAAGTTGAACTCAATTTCTGGAACCCACAGCCCGAATTATTAAAGGTTAATCTAACACTCCTATTTTTAATGTATCACACTGATCCTTCTCCGGTGCTTATCAGTGGTCAAAGGAGAACAATCTCCTGCTCGAATCCTACTCACCTTTGGGAAGCAACAAGCAAGTTGGTAACACGCTTTCAATTCCTGAGGTACGCAAAGCAGCGCTTACGGCATCCGACGGTTCACTGTAACAAATACGTACAGGTTAAGGACATAGCCTGTGAGCTTGGTATTACCGCTGCCCAAGTTATCATTTCTTGGCATGTTCAAAGAGGCGTAGGTCATATATTTATCAAAGTGGTCATCCATTCTCATTCTTAGCGATTCATTAGACTATTGTCCTTCCTAAGAGTGTGACGCCCTCTCGCGTTGAAGAGAACTACCATAGTATGCCCATTCTAATACTATCGCTATGGATCTGATTTTAACAACTCTTTTCTCGCAGTTTTCGAGCTTCCACAGGACGCGTTCGACACAATTGAAAGACTTGCCGCCGCTCACCCGCCGAAGAGAGTTGTCAACCCTAGCAAATCTTGGGGTTTGAACTTTGATATATTTGACGACTAGTAGGCGGTAGGAAACATTCCCTGTAGGCTATTTAGCATTGGCATATGTGTTGTATTGCTTGTATCTAAGACGACGATCTTGTATCCATTTTATGCGCTGTTTTGCGTTCATCTGGTGAAAATTACTGCATAAAGACTGCTATGAGCAGCTTCAAGGCTCGGCTAATGTCTGACTTCACTACAGATCACTTGTTCGCAATGCATCACGTGCTATTAGTGGTGGTTGTTTGCCAACAGCCTCTAAACCAAACAACCGCATTCGTGAACTGGTTCCCAAGCGAAACACCAACTACAGAGTCAGACTTCACCAGACTAAAAAATCGTTTAGTACAATGTCTTTTCAGCAAATGCCACCAGATACACCATGTCTTCGATATCCAGAAACACCCGGTTTACACCAGACAGTCACTTATGAAGCAGCTATCAATATGTTACTTCGCGCTATCCAACTATCGCAAAACGTACCATATACCTGGAACTATATAGACAAGCCGCAAGGTGAGCAGAGAAAGATAAAAGACTCTGTCTCTCTAATATACACATCCTCGTGACGTTCAGATGGACAAGTAGTACTCATATTCCTCAACAACCTCGCTGCGTTCCCCAACGATGGTATACGGTATCAAGACCAGGAGACGAGGTACACTATACCAGCAGGTTCCACTCGCGTACGTATCTCCATTCTCTCCACCCACCTTCGCCTGTCCTTCGTGATGCACCTAATTTTGATGAACCGCATGACCCACAGGAACTCGAAGTGATGGAAATAAAATATGGTTTCGTCCCAAATTCACAAGATACATCCGCTTGGCGTCTGCGTCGGAGATATCGCCTTCACAAAGGTGGTCATCCCCAAATCGTTCTCGTGCACTACACACGAGGTCCCCCCATCCGTGAGCAGCCGAATCTTCTCTCATCCTTTTTTTCTCACTCCCCGTTCCGTTCCCTTTCTTTACTTTCTAATTTTATGGCCCGCTAAGATTATCGTATCTCTTTCTCTTTCCAGAAATCATCCCCTCATTGTTGAATCAACCCGTTCGTCAGTACCCTCTCCGCCAGATAAGTGATCCACCTGTATACGTTATGGGCGAAAAAGCGGGGCAGAAGGTGTATCCCGGGCCTGGCGGAGGGCAAATCCAAGGTCTGCCGAGTGGAGCTCCTTCGGGGCCTATGCCACCTATAGGCATGGGCATGGGCGGGATGAACATCAACACGCAGGCCATGTTGGCGCAGCAAAACATGAATATGGAGGCTCTGGAGAGACGCAGGGAGCGCGAAAGGGGGCGTGAACGAAGTAGCAGTATGGGCGGGGTATGTTTCAGTTTTTGGCATGGTCGATTTGTGCTCATGCATTTCTGCCCAGCGACCCCCACCGCCTCGGGTGGATGAGGACGACTCGGCTGGTCAGTTGTGATGTTATGTGTTTGCTTCTGCATTATGATGACATGGCTTCTTTACAGATGAATCCGAGTTCATATCGACTCGCACGCTAGCGTTGACGCGGTTCAGGCGAAATCACGAGCTCATGGAAGAAGTATTCAAGCAAGCTGCTTTTGGTAGGCGTGCAAAACAACTGGCCTAATAAGAATTTCTGATATGGATATGTTTCTTTCAGGAAACAAAAAATCATCTCCGCCGCCATCTCCTTATTCAATATTTGACAAGTCCGAATTAGATACAAAAGCGGTGCGTGCTTACTCTTGACAGTCAGACATGATTTTTTAACACAATCTATCATCACAGGCAAAATTAAGTGAGGAGATTGAACTGTTAAAGACAAAGGCCGCTGTTCGCAAAGCCTCCAGGGCAGAGAAGTCTTACGAGTCCGACCAGACTCATGTTGCAATGGACATCGCAGATTCGTGATAGCACGATGAACTCATAAATGTTCTTTATACTTTTATTATTATTTTGTATCCATATTGCTTTCCCTTGCAAGATCCTCCAGAAGAGAAGAAAAATGTGAAGTGATACAAGTGCATCGAGAATGGACTGAATACCGGGTATGTGTGTCATGTCAAGTAGTACAACGTATAAGATCAATGAGTAGAGCTATAGTTAAATAGAGAGGTATTCCACGAAACAAGTAATGGATCGCCGTAAACCAGAAGAAAAAAGAGAACAATGTAAAGAAAATGAACATAATGGTTACACATAAGATTGTATTAGACTATAATATGTAGATAGAGTGATAAGCAGACTATAATAACAACAACGATGAAAGCAAAACACGAAGGACTTACAAATCTGCAACTTCCTACAAAACTGGAAGAAACCTAACAAAAGGCTATATGCGCCGAAAAATGCTTTTCAGACACCAATACTTCGGCTCCTGTTGTTGTTCTTCATAGGAATGGGAATGGGAGTTGCACTGGGATCTCTCAAAAACCCACGAACGTCAGGGAACCTGACCGAATTTGATACCTCTTTGCCAGTAGTGCGTGACCGCACAGGCCAAAGAGAAGGAGCAGGGGGAGTACTCTCTGCTCGCCTGTTACGCTCCAGAGAATTCTCCAGTTGGAAAGAACGCAGACGCTCATGTCCTCGTGGCCTAATACTTTCCTCACGCACATCAGATGGTCCTGCAGAATAGCCTCGCTTCATACCATGCCGTAATGCCCATCGCGCTGTGTTATCAAGCGTATCACTGCCAGCATATATTTCCGTATCTCGTCCAAAAAGCCGCCGGCCGCGCGATGCCTCACGAGAAAATTCAGATTCAGACGGGTCTTCAGGAACATTCATAGAAACTGAAAACCTATCCGAAACGTGAAGGTCTGTCGGCGTTGCAGGCACAAAGCTCGCACTGGGTGATCGTGACGAAGGAAGTTCAAGGTGAGTCTTTTTAGGCTTGCGTCCGCGTTCGTGGGAAGAAGGGGTTGGCGCGATAATAGCAGGAGTTGTGTTCTCGTAAGGAGTAAGAGAAGACAACGATGACGTGGTACTGAATATGGAATTGGACAGTGCGTCGTACGTTTGAGACTGAATGTGGCGTGCAGGCGGGGGACGAGAGACACTTCTACTGGTGCTTCTTGTGGAACACGAGTTGCTTGTCACTACAGATGCACGCGAGAGCGAGCGATTTGCGCGAGCGTGCTTTGAAGCATCCAAAGGCTTATCACGACACATGCGGGGTCGTGACCGCGAGTTTGAATGCGAAGCAGAGCGCTGGCTGGGATGATCTATAATTTCAAACTCGTCTTCGTGTGATACAGAGGTGTCGTCAACTTCTCCCCATCCTACTCCCCAAGCCATCTCATCCACCATTGCTATCGTCCAACGGCCGCGAACAGACCGCTCAAGACAACCTTGCAAGACTCGCTCTGCACCACGACCAACACCAGTAGGCACTTCGTAAACACCTAAAACAATATCGTGTCAGTACTGGTACTTTTGGACAGATGTGATCGAGTGAGTTAATTATGATGACTTGCCGTGCAAAATTTTCATCTGCAATCTTGGTTCAAATGAGTCCATGAAAGGTAACCGTCCAGTTAGCAGTGCATATAGCAGAATTCCAAGAGCCCACATATCCTGAGCAGGGTTCGCACAGCTAGATTTAGGAGATAGTTGGGGAGACAGTAACTCAGGAGCAGCATATGGCAAAGAACCAGTCTGAAAGACATGAACAGGATGGGTTGGAGTTGGCACAGCAGAAGCTCCCACAGGGGTTGAGGTACGATGGCGAGGACCACCGTGATGGCGAATTAACGAAAGATGAACAGGGAGATTTGCTTTGCTTTGACGTTTGGGCTGTGGGAATGTTGAGCTGTGTTGCTGATTGGCTGAGTGGTTACCATCTTCTCGTGCAGTTTCACCATCATCTAGTTCACCGATTTTGCGAGCCATACCAAAATCACCAATTCTGCATACACCCATTTCATCCACAAGCACATTCTCTAATTTTATGTCCCTATGGACATAGCCAGCAACTTCGTGCAAGTACCGTAAACCCCTGACAACCTGCCTGAACATCATTCCGGCATCATCATGGGGTAGAGCCGGCCGGCCATCCCTTTTTAGAATGTCAAAAAGAGACCCAGCTGGGCATAGTAGCGTGATAAAGAAGTCGGCGTAAGAGGTGTGAACTGTGGAAAAGAGTGGGAGTATATGTTCATGACTGAGGGAAGCCCAAACACTAGCCTCATGGTCGAGGCGTTTCTGCGCCAACGATGGATCTTCCCGTTTGGCGAGATCCGAGCGACGCACTATTTTGACGGCTACTGTGCCACCTGAAGGCGAAGACGCACGTCTGATAGTAGAAAACCCACCATACCCAATAATAGGACCCAGTTCATAGCCAGAAATGGTAGAGCCCTCTGAATCAGGTAGGAGTGGAGAAGGAGCAGGTGGGCTGAAAGCAGATAGAAACATGGCTGCAGGAGACATCAAGACCTCATCGCCTTGCGAGAACGGGCTCAATGGACCATCATCTGCAGGACTTCTGCGGTCCTGGGCTAATAATTGTCGTGACAGACTCTGCTCCAGGTCTGGAGGATCTTCCCATCGGGAGTTCTGGCCCTCTTCCACAGTCGATGTCCTGAGATCGTCCGAATGGCTTCCCCACGGAGAAGATAATGGTAAACCTTCGAATATGGAGTCTTCGTGAAGAGAATGAGACAGAAAACCGCCTTGAGGCAAGAACCGGGATGAGTAAGCCAGGTGAGCAGCGGATTCCGCAGAGTACATTGAATGTGGGCAAGACGCTGATTGTGAGATTTCTTTGAAGAGAACGTTATATGTTTTGTAGCAATGTATAGCCCAAAAGCTGGATGGTGGTGGTATTAAAGAAAGAGGAAAGATGCGGGGAAAGGGAAGGGCGACGGCCAAAGGAGAAGGAAGGATCAAAAGCACAAACGGAACAGGAGTGGTAATTTATCGTGGGAACATTAACCTAGTCAGCCGGTTTCCGGATGCCGTTTGCCAAGGAATAGGAGTACCCCGCATCCCAAAAATGGCAACCGTAGTGTTCGAAGGCTTCCACGGTCTTGGCTGCCAGGTTCCCTCAGCAATGGCGAAAAAGTGTATAATCAGTAGCCCTATTTCTCACAGAACGTCCATTTCTTCGTCCAACAATTTCTGGTAAAAAAAAAACATCACAGCCTGACATTGCTAGGGTCGCATCATGTGGCTGTCATACTATTAGTAGGCTTTTCTCAAAAAAGGTTTACGCACTTCGAAACCTGTACTAACCTATACCGAGTAAGAGATTTACTCGGGCTTACTTCCTCTTGGGTTTCGGACGTGACCCACCGAAGCAAGCTCGTACGTATTACTGACGTGCACCTACTTACTCAAACCTCACTAAAGCTACTGTCAGAAAGTTCCACCTGCGAGTGGACTGAGTACGTGCAAGACAGCAAGTGCTTGCTTTGTACTCACGGTCTGACTTGATGACAGCTTACTGTCATTTTCGATGGAATGCGACCAACAATCCCGCAGCCCGGTGATCGTAGAGGATAGGATCATTCACGTCAGCTGCACAGCCCATTACGAGGATATCCTTACTTTTTTCACATTGTTATTGTCATCGCAAGATGTAATAAGAGCGCTAGCTATGACATCATGATGGTAAATGGAACATCAACACAACAGTGTACAATCATCCTGCTTGCCTTCAAAAACGGTCTCGACTTGGATAGGTCTCGACTCTGCTTGGTTTTCACTTTTATTTCAAGAGTTAGAAATCTTCAATATGATTTTTTTCCATGTCAGTAGTCCGAAAACGAACCAGTCAGACAAGATTACTCGCAGATCTACACGACGTCTCATCGTCAGTGACATGTTCAAGGAAACCAGGTGATGGTGGTAAAAGGAGACATAAGTAGATGTAGTGTTTCAACTGGCATATAAGAGTAAGCTGCGATGACATGGAACTGCGTTTTCATTAGAAGCATAGCTCATTGAGAATTTCCATTTGGATTGAAGAACCTAGATTCAACATAATCAACATAACGTTCAGTTCATTACTGACAAGGGAGAGTCACCCATGACGCTGTTGCCAGCTCGGTGATGAAAATATGACAAGAAAGACACGCCGTCAGGAGAATACAGGCAAGGATACAAAATCCGAAAACGGGATCAACATACCTCTCATAGTCGACAAAATCGGAAATGAAGCTCACCTGAACAGATGTGTCACTGCTGCTTCGATTAAGGGCACATGAAGATAGATAAAGTACATATCAGGGCACCAATCGCAACCTACCGAATGCTGATGCAATATCTGTAAAGAATCCGGGCTCTTTTGCAGACCAATGGTTTTCCGAAATTATTGGATTCAAGAGTGCTTTGCTGACGATACGGTCTCTCCAGCACGACAATCAATAAGGGCGAGAGCTGCGCAAAGCTTGTCTCCATGACATATATGCATGTTCTAAAAACGACCTGTAAGTTGAATGAAGGCAAGGCACCAAAATAAATTCCCAAGAGATAAACTAATATCTATGATAGGTCCAGGGACACACCAGATGGGTTCGGGTATGGAGACACGACTATGAGGTCGTACCTTTCCATGCCATTGCCAGCCTAGGAGTTGTCTGTGGGGTTATCAAAAGCGTGGAAGGAGCCGTAGTACCCAGGCCGTTTGTATAAAGTAGTGCAAGTAACAACAAAGTTCTGTACGCGTCTAGTGACCATAATGGAGACAGGATAGGTAGACTCACAATCCTGTATGCCACTGCAAATTCATAGCATATATACGCTTTCATGTATTTCGAGTTTTGTTGACCCGGAAACCATCATAGGAGCTATGAGAAAAAAGGGACGGCCCTACTCTAGAAGAAGAGGGAAAAGCGACTATCTGAGACAGTACTTGTTGGCTGTTGGCAATTTGGTAACAAATGAAGATATAGCGTCGTGGCGTGGTTTCCTCGAGTTCAGCATAGTCAGTCGAAGTTTGGCATCTCTTTTCTGTATCACCTTCACGAATAGCATACGTGCGCCTCGAGTACACATGTACTGAGTAGTTGCGTGTCTGAGGCTCTGAGCTGTTGTGCAACTGGCTGGTTGGCAAGAGAGCCGAGAGGCGGAAATATCCGACCACGTAGGTGTAGCTCAGCCACCACCAGTTTGTTGTTTGTGCTTCAGCCCGCTCAGTTTCACTTTCATAGCCTAATAGGCGCGCAGGACACCAAAATGCGAGACAAAGCAGAACGTTGGACCATCAGTACTTATGTTTCCCGTGGCCTCAACGCTTGGTTACGCCTCAAGACGCTTTATTCTTTCATAGACTCGTCACGAAAGCTTTGACATGGTCTTTTGTCTGCGTGTTCCTTATAAGTTCTCTCTTCTATTCACAATGTACTCACCATCTCTCGTCGAATCATGAGTCTTTGCAAATTCAACCAACTCCCGGACGATATCTTCTTGGAGGTCTTCACCTACTTTGACCTGGCAGATATTATATCCACATTACAAGTATGCAGCAGGCTGCGTTTACTTTCGTCTTCTCGATTCATGTGGATCACCGCTCTCCGTAATTCTCGCATGGAGCGTCCTTTGCCTTGCACCGTTGGTCAAAATCTTGCAAAGCTCTCCTTGAATGCGCTTCTGGACCTGGCATCTCGGACTCATCGCCTCAAGAGAAACTGGGCGCGCCCGTATCCGCGCGCCACGGGTGGTATAAGTGCTTTTCGAATTGGGACAGGAGTGCGTATTGTCGCAGTGGTACCTGGAACGCCATTGGTCTTCACCTTTTCCCCATCGGAAAGAAGTTTGTATTGCTGGAATACCTTGACTGCAAAATTAGTGGATACCATCCACGTCGGTCGCGTGATCTTCCATACAGCACACCAGGAAGAGCCTGGGCAGTTCACACTAGCTATAGTTACCGGAGAGAGCCTCGAAGATCGTTTGAATACTCTTGCGTGAGTAATCTACCTTGGTTGATATCCTTGACATGTAGTCTGACTTAATACTTCTTTAGACATTGTTCTCTCAGTGTTGTGAGAGTGTCGTACGATGTATCTAGCGTTGCTTGCATGCAGTCTACGTTCCACTGTCGTGTACCGTCCGACGTAGTCGGACTTTTCGTTCACAAAGATGTTGTCGGTGTAATCCCAAACGACCCAGACACGCTCTCCATCTTTACAATCAACATGTCGGATCGAAGATCGATTTACATTAACACAGACGTCTCTACCGCATTGAATTCTCGTTATGTAAGTAACTACTCTATATTTCCACTTGTATAATTGAGCTAAGTTTGATTATTGCAATACAGTCTACTTCAGCCGCTGCATACGCAAACAACGACGATATATATGTCTCCTTTGAGAATGACTGTTACCTCCACGTCTATCGCTTCCCTCGAGATTCTATTCCTTATGGTGGTACTCCGGCGCATACATCCCTTCCCTTCAAAGTGGTTTCCGAGGTCGACCTGAGTGGCCGCGATACCTTTGTGACGCGTACTCCGTCTTGTACTCCAGTTGAAGCGAGGTATCAATATGCTCTTGTTCCAGGTAATCCCAAGTACGGTGTTCACACAATTTCTGTACACCGCCGACAACAAACGAGATTACACAAGGCCAGTACGACCGTCAGGTTCTTGCCTCTGCCTACGTCCGGCCCCGCCTCTACAAGAAGTTCGGCATCATCTCTTGCCTCCTCTACCAGAAGTTCCCAAAAGATGGTATCTGTCCCAGGACCTCTCCAATACGGCTTCTATAAAAGATCTACGGCCTGGCAAAGCGATATCATGTGGACTTCATATACAGGAACCTATGTGCTGCTCGCTACTACCATAGGCCAGTTTCGACCGAGTGATACCCAGACGTGTTTCCATCTCGTCCATTACGAGGGTACTGGCAACACTGAATGCTCCCTGCACAAGCTCATTTTTCCACGACCTCCAGCAGATATCATGTCTGTCGCGCTTGAAGAGCATTGTGGGACGTTGTTCGTGACGACGCTGGATGGAATGTTATGTTCTGTTCGTTATGCTTGACGTGGACAAATGGATACTTTTATATTATCCTACTTTCTGTATTATCTTCATTCGTATACCGCATTATGTTCTGTATTTTTCATAATATTACAAGCCTGCTTTTCCAACCATCCCTAATATAAGTTTATACTGAACTGTCAGTCAGACATCCAGAGTTTCACCAAAACCCGCGGATACGGGCTCCGGACCTGACTTTTCTTCTCTGACTTCCAAGAACAGCACTGCGAGGTCATAAGACTCTTGAAGTGCCCACGATTTATTGCTCACATGGAAGCATGTTTACATCTCATGTTTCCATCTCACTTGTGTACTCTCACCTTCTTACTGCAACCTGAAGTTCCATAATCGATGAAAGTTCAAACTCTGGAGCTTAACGCGAACTGGCTATGGAAACAGCGACGCTTGCTGTCAAAGCCCGTCCTCAGCCAGGAAGAAATAACAGGGCTTATACATAGCGGCGACTTGGAAGTGATTCAAGTGATCAAGACAATGGGACCTCCTCGGCGACGTGTGACTGCTTCCCTTGAAGAGCGACTGGCATTATACGTACAGGATCATTGGATGTCTGCAAAGAACTTTCCTTCCGAGATTCATGTCGAACTGCTAAAGTATGGGATTATTTCCGATCCTTATGTAGGATTCAACGAGCACACGGTACAATGTGAGCAGTGACATCTTATGCGAGTGCTATATTGTACTAGGCGCAGGGTGAATCCTGACTTCATTTTGACAACGCCTGGCTAGGACATGTGACTGTAGCCGCCTTACTATTCGTCACGATTGCTACCTTTTGTTTCTCAAATTTGTGGTGCTGATTATACGCTTGCATATCGCCAGGGGTTGCCGACAAGGAATGGTTATACAAGAACACCTTTCAGTTTGCCCCATTTTTCCCTGAAGCAACTACAATCTTAGAGTTTCAGGGCCTTGACACTTTCTGTAGTGTCTACCTGGTATATTCTCTCTATTGCGTGTACCTCGTTGCACCAATAGCTGATACCTGTATCCTTTCAGAATGAAACTCTGATATTCGAAAGCGATAATCAGTTTCGTACTTATAAAGTACCTGTTTCCCTCCTTGAAGGAAAGAACACTCTTCTGCTGCACTTCAAGTCTGCGAAAAGTATAGCCAAGTTGCTCGAGGCGCAGTTCGGTGCCGTACGCGCAGGCTCGACCAATCTAGGAGATCCCAGCAGAGTGTACGTCAGGAAAGCACAGTATGACTGGCGGTGAGTTTCTCCTTTGACTATCAGCATATAGCTACCCCATTGTGCATTTCCACTATATTTTGCATGATTACGCTTACGCGCGCATTTTGTTATCTAACAGGTGGGACTGGGTAAGATATTTGCTCGTAGTCTTGAGTTATTACCCATGGTATTATTCAGGGCCCAGAGTTAATGACGTGTGGTCCATACCGTCCAATAACGCTCATATCATACACATCGCGTATTGCAGGGGTGTATGCGCACGCTCATGTGTCATCAAGTCTATCTCCATCGTTGGAAGTAGATGTCTTACTGGAGGGCGCCAAGGCTAAAGCGCTACATGTCAGCATAAGCGAAATGAATGGGACAGTAATCTGCAGCAAGGAAATACCGTTGGAATCTTTTGGGCAACCTGATGAAAAGCATGTTATGGACCTGAAATCTATCGTTAAATGGGAGTTTGGCAAAGAGGATGGGGTACAACTTTGGTGGCCCGTAGGTTACGGTAAACAAAGCTTATACGTTGTACATGTTTCTTTGATATCCCTTGTATGTCTCTCTTATCGTTTCTTTGCTTCATCTATTCAGTTCTATCTTCGAAACAGGATTCCCGTGTTCTCCACAATCATTCTCAGCGAGTCGGTTTCCGGAGTATCCGCCTCATCCAAGACCCCATTGAAAGCCCAGATATACATGGTAAGGGTACAACATTCCTCTTTGAAGTGAATGGTGTCCGCATATTCATCGGAGGTGCGTCTTCCACAATCGGGTTTCTCCTTGTCATTTCAATTTGTTGAGTATCAGGTTCAAATTGGATCCCTGCCGACAATTTCCTGACTACAATTGATGACAAACGCTATCGTGCATGGCTTACCCTTCTGAGAAACGGTAATCAGAACATGGTGCGACTCTGGGGGGGTGGAGTATATGAGCCTGATGTTTTTTATGACACATGCGACGGTGAGTAGCATACTCTCATTCGATTATACATATAATTTCCAAACGCTATAAATACACACACGCTTAGAACTCGGAATTCTTGTGTGGCAAGACTTTCAATTCGCTTGTGGTGTCTATCCTGCGCACGACACCTTTGTGGATAGTGTCACAAAAGAAGCGGTAGACAATGTGAAAAGACTCCGACACCACCCCGCGATGGCGCTGTTCTGTGGAAACAATGAAGGTACCTGAACAACGCTCCTTTCGTCTGCACAGATTGTTAGATTGTTAGTCTAATCCTGATGTTCTAGATTATCAACAAGTCCTTCAATGGGGAGGTACATAAGTAACTCACTTTCTCTGTCACATATTGCTAAGTATAATCTCGATAGGGATCACCGAACTTCCTGCTCGCAAGATCTATGAACAGGTACTCCCTGATATCGTTGCTGCACTTACCTCGTCAGAGGTTCCATATCACCGAGGTTCACCATATGGAGGTAAAGATTGGTGGGAGACGAGTGATCCCACAGTGGGAGACATACATCAGTGGGACGTCTGGGCGGGAAAGGAGAAAGCGTACCAGGACTATGACATAATGGGAGGCCGATTTGTGAGGTCTGTCTTCTCTATTTCTACTCGCCGTCGACAAGGCTAATATAGTGTAATTCAGCGAGTTTGGGATACCGTCTTTCCCTGATATGCGTACGGTTGAATATTGGCTTGATAGCAAAGACGTCGGAAAGGGTCAGGACTACGCTCAATCAAAGATTATAGCGCAGCACACTCGTGCTGGGAATTTTGAGAGGCGTTTTGCCATCGTCATGAACGAGAATTTCCGACTGACTTCCGACTTGGAAACGTGAGTTAATCGTGTTATATTCTCCAAGTTACTGATTAACAATGCCTCATTAGGCATGTATATAATACTCAAATCATGCAATCAGAAGCCGTGTCTTATGCATATCAAGTGTGGCGAAGGGCCTGGCGAGGAAAGGGCAAAGAATATGTGTGTAGCTAAAATTTGCAGTGGTTTTGGATATGCTGATTTTCGTATAGACGGCAGGGGTTATTGTATGGCAGTTAAATGACTGCTGGCCTGTCACGTCTTGGGCCATTGCTGATTACTTTGTGAGTTCACCAGCATAATCAAATTTGAAGTTCTAATGCATAATGTAGCTGCGTCCCAAACCTGTTTATTACTCGATCGCAAGACAACTGAAGCCGATCACTGTGAACATTTTTCGTACGGTTTGTGAATTTCAAGTTCATTCACAAAGCTCAAATTGACATATCTTACAGGTTATCAAAAACAAAGCTAACGACAGACCGCGACAAGTATGTCATATTCTGTCGTTTCATATCCTCAACTTTAATGAACTATTGCAAACAGTTCTATGAGTTTGGGGCGTTCCAGTCCATTGACGCTCGAATTGATGTTTGGGCGACTAACAGTACTCTTGCACCTAGAAAGGCCCAGCTTGATCTATTTTGCATAGATCTCTATTCCAGCTGGACCTCCTCAGAAACGCATGTAGTGGATCTATTGCCTAATCAAACGACAGAGCTCCTGTCTAAGCGGTGTCCCTCTCCTGATCCAGCGACGGGCGATCAAGTCGTCACCACGTCGCATTCGGTCGTTGTTTCTGCCCGTTTGCGTGATATACAAACGGGTGAGGTATTATCTCGATTTTCAGACTGGCCCCAGCCGTATCGTTTCCTCGAATTTCCCAATCCGGGGCTCAAAATCCTCGTGAGTGGTGATGAGGTCAACATCGAAGTGACGCGGCCAGTGAAGGGTTTGGTATTGAGTGTGGATAGTGACGAGGTTAAATGGAGCGATAATGCATTAGACGTCATACCTGGAGATAAACAAACGATCGTTGCCAAAGGCCTGGGTGGACGAAGGGTCAAGGTGGCATATATGGGGAAAGAGAAAAGTAGCTTCCTCGAGTAAGACCACTCGTACAACCAAAAGATATCTGTTCTCTTAGTACTCTCACAAAGGAAAGCAAGCTGTCATGGGTCTTTGTTCATGAAAAATGTACAACAGATAACAGTCTTAAATGCTGAGAAATGAATGGAAGACGATAACTAAGAGAATCAAGAAAAAAAGTCCATTTTAACTAGACGGAAAAAGCATTCTGTCCTACTCTCTCAAACTAGTCCAAAAGTCGGTCATACAAATATGGTAGCAACAAATACATCCATGCCAATCCAATTATTCTCCTGCGAATAACCGGACAAGCATATACATTGTCGAACCGACGAAGCGCACAACTGTGAGGGTATTTCACGCATCAGCAGTGTCCCGGCTGGGGTAGCGTGGTTGCAGTGGACTTACATGCTAGACCGGCTACCGAAAATAGTATGAAGGCCATATAGCCGTTGACTGCGGCGGAAGCCCCGCTACTAGCAGCTGTAGGCGTTGCCGCACTGCACAAAGAGGAAAGGTATGAGTTGCGGCATGCTGAATAGATCAAGAGGCTGTGTCACTTACACTACTACAGCTCCCAAAAGTGCCTGAACAAGAAAAGATATCAGCAACGAGGCTTCATCGTGTAAAACTTTCACGTACATTACTCAAAGTCCAAACCAGAAGAACCTAGAACAGATGAATAAGCTGAGGATGACTTGGATATAGAACAACCACCCACATTAGTCCTAAACGTCTTGTAATAATCTTCTTGCTGAGTTGCAGGATCAGGCTTCGACTCTTCTTTAGGTGGCTTCGTCGAAAGCACGTGAATCGCGTCCTCGTATGCAGCATCGATATCCGTCTCCGCAGTTGGCACCGCCACTTCGACCTCGTTTTTGTTCTTGCCCGCGCTGACGACACCAAGGTCTGTGCTAACCTTGTTGTCGCCTTTCGTTCCCCAGGAGACATCGTGTACGTTTGCAAACTAGATAGGATGGAATGATGAGGGGGACCCGTTGAGTGTACTGTTTGGGGGGGGGACACTTACTGCGTATACGTTTAGCACTGCTATGTATGACGGTGCCATGAGCATGTACTGGAGGAATGAAGTGATCATGTGCCAGGGTTCGAACTAGAAGGGGAACAAAATGAGTTCCATGATACACGAATGATGCAATCACGAGAAGCCGAAAAGGCAGCTTACGAAAATGAGAGAAGAGACAATGTAAAGACCGAGCGTCGCACTAAGTGAGAGTATAACGTCTCTGAATATCGCATTAGAGAACAAATCGCTAGCCTGGATCGATCCATTGGCCTGCTTCACGCCTTCAATGCCCTTGTAAGCAAGCAGATAGGCCGCGACCGTCATGTAGACCGTAATCAACGCAAAGCCCAACATCGCGATCGTATACCCCCACTTTGATCCCTGCGGCCGATTACCGAGCGAGAGCAGGAAACACATGATGAGAAGACCTAGATAGAAGTAGTTCAGGATGTCGTTGACGATGTTGATCCCTTTGATATTGAACTCGCTCGACTCGAGCGCCCTGGTTAGGATGGTGAATGCGATGTAGAAATTTCCCTACACGCCATGGGTGGGTACATTCGACAAGCACTCGTCAATGAAAGTGGAAAGGATGAATAGGAATTGGAAACTCACGAGTGCGAACCATGAGAAGACAAGATTGTAGGTTTGGTATACCAACTCAATGTGAATCCAGAATTTCCGCATGAAAGAGTGTGAAGAGCGATATATGTAGTAGAAGTGTACCGTACTATGGATCGCGGCGAAGAATGAACCGTTCAGCCAGCGTCGACGCTGTGATATCAGTTCCGGGACCTATCATACATGTTCAGATCAAGATGCTAGACTAAACGTTGTCTTAAAACGACAAATGCATACCTGATCAGGTACATCCGTAACAGCATACGCAGATTTGACGTAGTGCAAAATCCATGACCCACCACGTTTAGAGACGAGTTCCCAACACAAGATCTACGCAATCCAGGTCAACCCAAAAAAGGAAGCAGACGATCAAAATCGAAGCTTACTCGATCTTCGGCGAGATACATGTTCGCGGTAAATATGTTCGCGCCTGCGCCATGCATCTTCTCGCCCAAGAAGTATTTCTGTAGTGGCCCCTCGCCCATATCGTCATTCATCAGCGCGTAATAGCGATATGCGCTGAATGCACCAGGAAGCACGGTAATGTATCCAAAAACGGATTCTCTGCGCAATTTGTCAATCGGAGTACAGACAAGACGGGATGGTAAAAGAGAAATACTTACAGGGGCTTGTCCAAGATGTTCGACATTTTGTACTCGAAGTTCTGTGCGGCAACAAGAGGATTGATGAGATATTGTCCGTACTTGCCCTTGAGCGCAACAATTTCGCCGCATGCGCCGCCAACATTGGAATTGATGTCGAATGCTTTCCAGAGATGGTATATCGATGTTGGGCCAGGCATGGTACCGACATCGAGAAGGACGCAGACGTTGGGTAGGAGAATCGGGCCGAATGCATTGAAGAACCAACGGTGAGAATTGATTTTTTTCTGATTCTTTTCTTTTAAGCAGAAAATTATCTGCACCGGAACTACTCCCTTCTCTGCACCTTCGATCTTCATCGACGGCGAGACCGAAACTATCGATAGCAGATATGCTCAGAAAATATCGGGTAATGGAGTAAATCAAACGAGCGCTTACTTTGCGTGGTATATTCGTATATGTGAGCCGTTACAGCCTTTCCATTTACGATGTTCTATATAATAGATGTAAGCATGTTGTCATAATTTGTAGGTGTATGCAATGAAACAAACCTTGGCAATTCCATCCTGATATGCACCCATGGCAGCGATGACACTGAGCGTTCGAGAATTGATTTTCGACCGTCCATCACTGACGATACACACCACGACCTTTTTCCACCCATCCTTTCCCCACGTCTTGCTACGATCTCGCTTGCATAAATGTGCAATATTCTTGATCACACCATGCATGGTCCGACAGAATAGCTCCTCATCCTCGTTGTACATAGTCAACACGATAAAGAGCTCGGTTCGACGCGGCGGATCATAGTGAACTTGACGGAGAGTAAAACCATCGTCCTTGAAATCGTTGGGGTCAGAAGTAGCAGCGGAGTAGCGCATGTGAGTGAATTCCCGTTCGTTGCGCAGAGCGCACATGTTGAGCAGCTTAGAGGGCACGGCAGCATCGAGGACGAAATTTCCATGAAAGAGTCTGAACAGAAGATGAGTTCTGATAAACGAGCGAAATATAACAAGTCGAAAACTTACTCCACTTTCTTTGTCGTCTTATGACGTCGAGGAACGCGCTGCGGTATACGGCCGTAACGGATATTGTTCTCTTCTCTGTCATCTGGTGTCGGTTCGTCGTATGATCCAATCATGGTGACAGATGAAGACGGGTACACGCTGTCTCTATTGAGAAGAGGAATGTCACCCGTATCACCGATTTCCTGCTCCTGGTCTTCTTGTATTTCATAGCTGGGGTTAAACTGGGAAGGAGGGCGAAGAAGGGGCTGCGGAGTGGGCGCATAATGATCGTAGGGGTTGTCGTGAAGATTGTACACCTCAGGCTGGTGCTGCGGAGGCGGGGGAGACTGGACATGGAGGTATGGAGAATGGGTTTGAGGTGGTGGCGAATACACGGTTGGTGGCTGAGGGACTGGGTTGGAGAAGGGGTCAGGAAGTATTGGTTGGTACGGCTGGTTCTCGTATTGCTGGTGTTGTTGTTCGTAAGGATGAGGCGTCTGGCTTGTGAATGGATCCTGATACGGATGGTATCCGTCATTCACGTTGTCGTAGTATGGCCTCTGGCCGTCCTGTTGATGCCACCCCGCATCAAAGGTCATATCCTGCAGATAATGGCTGTGATGATGCTTACCTCTGGGTATCTCGACATGATTGTCCTTCCTGAAGGTGCTAGTTCGATGTATAAGAGGAAAAAAAGAGAAACGAAAGGGTTATGTCACTGTAATAAAACGTGGATCCACAAGGCGGTTCAGAGAGACTCACGCTCAGGTCACGCGTCGGGCGGCTACACCGTTGCCAAGGTGGCAGTGCATGCTACAGCCACCGTATTTTTGATTCAAAAATGCTGTGGGTGGTCTTATCGAGACTCATCGCTCCCTTACTTACTCATGTCAACCAGTACTTTTGTATCCCGCAGCACTTTGCCCAGCATATCCAGTGGACAATATCTGCGCAGCACAACTGCGGGGACAAGCATTTGATATGACGGCCATGGAGTCCCGCCAGGTCCCGCAAGAGGTCTCACAAGGATATCAAATGTGCTATGACGCCCAAGGTCTCTATTATTTGGTTGCCGAAGCGCTTTAACGAGGCTACGAAGCACGCACTTTGAAGCATTGATATTCAGAAACTACTCTAATCTTGGTATCACTTCCTCCACCTGCCTTATAATGAAACAAAGTCTCGTTCAAGACCAATGTTCGACTCGGATTCGCGATTATGATACATTCCAGTGTTGAGCACTCTCGTGAACGAACCTCCTGGTTTTCCTACTGTAGAAGTGGCCATTTTCGTTATCTGTCTCTATGTTGGATGTAACAACGCTGCTGGCTACCAAGTTCCAACGCTAGCCTTTTTCATACCGAGGCCACGAAATAATGAAAACGTGGTCATTTCGATGCGCTCACTTGGTTGTATCTCTGGCTGGTATCGACATCAACGCATCTTACCGCTGGCGCCAACCAAAAACATAATGCTGTTTATCAGTCCCGGTTCGTCGTGACGTCATGTGGTCAGCTGGAATTACTGCCAGGCCCGGGACACCTGCTCTTCCAAAGAGTGAAAATAGTCCATATTCTCAGGGAGAAGGACCCGGTAATCACTATATCCACTTTCCCGTCGTGTCTCGTACATGTCCTCGTCTTCCACCGCCTTGACCACAGACAGCCCATACACCATGCCAAGAGTCTGGTTCAGTGCGTACTTAACCAAGCGTGCATTAACAAAAAAATTCCACCCCCTCTTCTAGTCACAGGCGCATCATCAGGATTCGGCTATCTAGTCACCCAACAAGCCCTCAAAGCAGGCGATAACGTCGTCGCCACCCTCCGCAACCCATCTGCCCTCACCGCCCTCACCGCCCTCTACCCCCCCTCCCAGCTCCTCGCCCTCCCCCTCGACGTCACCGACCCCTCCTCCATCACCGCCGCCTTCCAGCACGCACGCGCCACCTTCGGGCGCGTTGACGTCGTGTTCAACAACGCTGGGTTCTACGTCGTGTCCGAGGCGGAGGGCATCAGCGATGTGCGCGCCCGGCAGGCGTTTGAGGTGCTCTTCTGGGGCGCCGCGGCGGTGTCGAGGGAGGCGGTGGCGTTCTTTAGGGATGTGAATGATCCGAGGGGGGGAAGGCTCCTCCAGATGTCGTCGCGCACGGCGCTGGAAGGGCCGGCATGCTCTGTCCACTACGCAGCTGCGTGAGTGACACGATGTTGCCGCTTATCTTTTGCTGGCAGACTAACGCCATATCATTGTACGACGTAGCAAGGCAGGTAAGTGCCTTTACTTGAGAAAGCGCTTCTCTCCCACCCAACTTCGCTTAGCTTTGGAGTGTTTGTCCGAAGGATATGCCGCTGAGCTCGACCCTAAGTGGAATATCAAGGTAAACATCCTGAGTAGCGCAAGAATACAAATGCGGGAATTTTAACCAGACCACCGGAATTAGATAACTATCGTCGAGCCCGGGCTGTTTCGCACGCCCGCCACTTCGAACTGCATCATCGAGCCCGTTCACCCAGCTTATACCGACCCTGCGCTGCCAACGATGAAGTACAGAAGCTTGTATCCCGGCGTAGAGCGGATCTTCACGGGGGATGCAGAGAAGCTGGCGCAAGCGATGTTGCGTCTCGTCGAGCTTGACGATCCGCCGCTGCGCCTCCCGTTGCATCAGATCGCGTTGGATACGCTGAAGAGGAAGGGAGCGAGCTTGATCAAGGCCGCTGATGACTGGGAGGGGTGGTCAGACGATATTTATCTCAGCCAGTGAACAAGCGCTGGATGTCTATACCCGGTGGACACAGACGTGTCTGACACTGTCACGGCGGAAAAGAAAATATATTGTCATAAATCACTACTCTGACTCACAATCAGGATCAGTATCAAAGTCGGTGTCATTATCGTAAAAGAAACCATCCGTGTCATGGAACTCCTCCACCCTCACGAGCTGCCTCAACTGGCTCATCTCCGCATCATCACACTCTAAGGGGTGAAAACATGATTTTGGCAGACGCACGGCCTCGAGAGGGTATCCAGCAGATGCTCGTGCTCGAACGATATCGATTAACGGACCAACGCCAGATTTTCTGCCGCAAGAAATAGTGCGCATACGCTGGCATGGGTATCCTGTGAGTATCTGGTCCGAGCTCAGGTCGGAATCGGTGACTTGAAGCTGTTTGTTGGATCCTGGCAAGATGTTATTACTCGAAAATGATAGCGCTGGAGTATACGCTCGCGCGTGAATAGCTTCCCCCCTCAATCTCCGCTGAGACTGAGGTATCAGAAAAGAACCAAGATCGTCCGTCACCTCAAGCTCAATATTTTCAAGCATCGGAAAATGAACCAAAGATTCTGGTCTCAGCTGATTAAGGTATATCACGAAATACAGACGGAGAGTTTTGAGAACAGGGTACCATGGTTTGTGTGACAGCTGCCCAAAGATCTTGTCGAGAGAGAAGCCAGTGGTGTAGCAGAGTTCTAGATATTCCAGAGAAGGCGCCATGAGCGAAAGGAGTAGTAGCGTCGATTGTCTATCGGCGCAGTTAACGCCCAAGAAGCGCAGCGAAGGTGCTGTGACAATACTCTTCGGACCCACCGCATCAAAGGAAGGCGATTTTCCACGAATGACGAGCTTCTCCAGGGCAGGGCAGTTTGCAATGACATCTTGAAACTCGCTCCAGCTGAGTCCCCTACTATCTAAATCAACCAAAAAGTCGAGACTGACGAGGCCAGAAAGCGGAGAACAGCACTTTAGGCAAATGTGCTTGAGCTTGAGGGAGCGCAGGGAAGGCGTATGTTTGGGAAGGCAATATTTGTGGTCAGATCTATGCGGCGTTTGAGGAGCTGCGGACTGTTCCAAGGTTATGTGCCTGAGGAATGGAGCAGATATGTTTTCGAATTGCGGAATGAATCGATCGTCGAGCTCAAGCGACTTCAACACCAAACATCGCCATCGATTTGCGTGGGGAATAAATGTGTCGATCAGTTGTTGTGTGCTCCAGGTAGAAGCCCTATGCGAGTGATTTACGATGAAATCGATCGACAGCGGCTCAGATCTCTCCAAGCAGAGCTGGGGAAAGGAAAGGCTATATTCGGGGGTGATGCAGATCGTGCGCCAGAGAAATGGAAGATCCCTTGCTACTTCACGCCAGCGGCGACAGATGCACGCTACCAGAAGGGAGAAAGGGGGGAGCGTTCGAGGGGATTTCTCCGTGTTACCAATAGTAAAGATCGCTGCGAGAAGCTCGTTAGGAAGATCTTGGATATGGAACCTCCATGGTGGTTCCCCGACACCCTCTTCCACAGCCAGAAGATCAAGAATGTTATCTGCTAACGACGACTCTGAGACAGAGCTTTCTGACCCAGAATTCCTGTAGCGAATAGGCAATTGTGAGCTGGTAACAACGGCCATAAAATTTGTGTGTTGTACCTTGTGGGAGACATGTACTGCTCAAGGACTGTAAGATAAGATGGAGTAGTGTGTTTATATAAACTCACTGTTCTGGATCAGAGAGAGGTGAACTTTGAGCTGTGATGTGGTGGCCAGCACTTTGGACTGTTGCCGTGACGTCACCCACATGCATATTGGTATTCCAGATCGGAAATGTGGAAGGAACCGAATATCAATGGCAATCCAAGCGACTATCAGGTGATACACTGGAAGCACCTGGAGTAAGTAACAACAAGCTGAACACATCGAGCAAAAAGTCAGGGGAAATCGCACAAGTGCGATCGTTTAGAACTGCACTTTCGAATAGAGATGAGAGTCTCAGGCATGGCTGGATCCTTATCTCAGGAACGACTTCCTTGCTTAGAGAAGACTAGGCCTGTTGAGATAAGATAACGAATTGACCATAAGTGGCGTCGGCAACTCGGCCATAAGAGGCGTGACACGGTGTGACTAATCAAAACCCGTGCACTCGGACCCGTTCCAAGTGTCCGTTCATGTTATAGGCTGTTTCAGCCCCACACTACCATGCCTGCTTCCATGGACACCATACTTCTGCTTTATCCAAGACCGCTGGTGCAGCATTCTGGCCGTTTACTGCTGCTCCCTCTTCTCCCTCACAAACCCCCCTTGAAACCTTTGCCATCGGAGGTATGGTCAACCATATTCACCCATGTCCTCAGTGCCACAGACCACACACCCGGGCATCCCAGTAGCTGCAATAAACCGTGGCAGCCATTGCTGTTGGTATGCAAGAGTTTTACAGTGAGTTCTTATCTTTCTAGATAGAATATCCAAGCACCAGTGAGACACTCTCACAGATCATGTATGTTATTCTTCCTTATTTTTTCATCCCACCTGTTATATCGCGTTTCGAAGTCGGCTACTCATTATTTTGACTTGCAGAGCGTTGTAATGCCGCTGTTTTTCTCCCGCGTACGCATCTGCACCCTCACTTCCCTTGACATGTTCACCTCCCGTCTCCAAAACGCAGACAAGAAATGGGACTCAATCTGCCGCATTCCATACTCTACTCCCGGTCGGTGGGTGCAAGTCCTCGATCTCGCCTGTCTCCCAAAGTTTGAAGCGTTCGTCATTGACTCGCTCCTGACCCAATTGTTTCCCTTGCTCCCCTTTCTGACGCGCTTGTCAATTAACCCGACGATGTCTATGAGCCGTCGAGCTCTGGCTGCATTGGCACTACGAGACGGATGCCAAAATTTGCGCGTTCTAGAGGGAATATCTTACGACCCTTCTTTCAACTCCTCGATCACCACAAGCAATGACCCGCTTGTACAACTCTTGCATTCCTGCCCCAACTTGGAGCAGCTGGAAATGTTCGGCTTAGGGCTCGATCCGGCAGACATCGACAGCACGTCAGACGCCGAGAGCGGCATGCAAACGATATGCAACCTGTCTCTTCATCTCGGACAACTCCATACCCTCGCCCTCCTTTCTATGCCGTCGTCGTCTCTGCTTTGGGCACTCATCAACACCAGCCTTCCTTCTCTGCGTAAAGTCACGGTCACCCCTTATGATGATATACCCTATCCCATCTCTCTCGTGTCACGATTCATCCAAGTCCACGGGCTCCTACTTCACTCGCTCTCATTCTTCACCCCCAAGTTGTGGCCCACGCTTTTGCACACCTCTCCGTCCACGATCTTCCACTCTGCCCCGAATCTGAGGCATCTCTCATTGGAATGTCCCCTGCCCATGCTAACCGTCCCGCACGACTCAGACTCATCTTCCCCGTCGCTCTGCCTGAAAATACTATCCATCCCGAGGCCCAACTCTGATTCATGGAGGATATTGGAGAGACTGCTTCCCCATTTGCCCCACCTCGTAGCCGTGCGAGTGCGGGATGTACGGTGGCTGAGACGGGGTATGACGCCTAGGGCTCAAGAGGCGGGTGTGCAGGGTGAGATGAGGGGGTGGCGAAGACGGTTGGCTCGTCGGGGCATCAACTTGCTCGATGGAGATTGGAAGGAAACAGACTAAAAATCCAAAAGAGATTTAAAGCTCATTATGCTTGTATATAGGAATATATGCCTCTCCACTCAGTCCAGCAATGCATCATCAGCCCGTTGGCCCTTATGTCTATCATCCAGTCCCAAGCCCTCTAGCAAACAAAGTTCTTACGTGACAAGGCGACGAGAAATGAATGTCCGTGAGGTTTCGCTTCGTGTCAACGCTAGTACTGTGATGGAGCATCACATGACAAGTCCGTAAGCCGTGATACAACGAAAAAGGATGGAAGGCTAGCGCCTTTCCTTTGGCGCCAGCTTTTGCAGTGAGTAAATGTATATCGGGTACATACTAGAAAAGTATATCATCTTGTTTACAGTGAGTTCATGACGAACAAACCCCTCTCTTTTAATAATCGGACGGCACTCGATACGTCCTCTTGCAAATCATGGCGCCATACAGGTTCCCACTGATTGTCCAACGCTTCACGCATCTGCTGAGGAGGCAATCCGCACTCGTAGACTTCCCCCGCTCGAATGCTTCCCCGCAGGACCATATTGGCGCGTTCAAGTCGAACTTGGTTGTAAGCTTGGAGCACATCCTGCAGTAAACCATCAGCACGAACAAACTCGTCGAAGTCGCGATGACACGGAAACAAACCCGAAGATTTGAAAGTTTGGTGTGAGGGTGAGAGAGGAGACGAGTAAGCACAAAGGAATCCTCGATCCCTTGGCCAACGCCGGCTCCCAAATGCGGACACATGGCGTGTGCAGCGTCTCCGACCAACGCGATGTTCTCCCTTACAAAAGTATCCAGGGGTACCATGGTGTGAATTGACCACTTGCTCGTAGGGTTTTCCATCAAAGACAACATAGCTGTGACATCTGGTCCACAATCCTTGAATGCATCCAACATCTCTTGTTTCGAAGCTGGTGTAACCCACTGATGCGAGGGTACTTGCACTGAACCCATGGGAACAGAAGGATCCGAACTAAAGACAACAACGTTGATCTACGGAGGCTGAGAGTCAGTATGCAAGCATGACGTAGGCGAACTAGCACACCGTATTCTTATTGTGAATCGGGAACGTGATGATATGCTAGCACATATCCATGTCAGTGAGCAGGACATCTACCTAGTGCTCCGTCATACCTTATGCAAACCAGTCCAGCAAATTGGGCGCACAGAAAGATCAGTTTTCACACCAGCACGTTTGACGTCATCGAGTGGTATCAAAGCACGGTAAGCAACAGTATTGGCAAAGTGTACGCGCTGCACTTCAGAGCCGGGAACGCCTAAGACAACGTTACGAATGGTGCTCCTTATCCCGTCAGCACCCAGTACAAGGTCGGCCGCGAACGTGGTCCCATCAGTAAAATGCAAGATAGAGCGTGGGGTGCCAGCGTTAGAGGATGGCGTGACGTTCGTACAACGCTTATTGAAGTGAGTCGTATCCGGATCCACAAAGGGAATCAGGGCATCGAGAAAAGCCGCCCTAAAACCAAGATCATTTAGCATGGCGCATCCAGAATCTCGCACAGAACTACCTGTGAATGCCTAGACCATTATCTTCCGGTAAATACGGGTACTGTTTATGGCATTGTCAGCTGTTACTATCAGCAAGGATAATAAAACGGGTCCCATACGTCCAAAATGTGTTCGTGGCCAGGAGAACAGGATATAATACGGAAAGCTCTCATATCTGGAGTTTCTTGGTCCGCCTTCGCCAAAACAGCTTGGAAAAGGCCCATTGCATCCAGCGCACGAACAGCATTAGGACCTGCGAAAAAAAGGCTCAGCCCTATATCCTTGATTGAGAAAACTCGACACACCCAGTCCAACGCCAGCGCCAACTTCTCCAAACTTCGACTATAAGACAGTGAAGGCGTGTCGACATCACACACACAGTATGGCATAGTTGGTACTCACTGCGGACTCGAACAGATCAACCCGAATACCGGCCTGTGTTAAAACAGCTGCGCATACGAGTCCTACTATTCCACCGCCCACAATGGCTACTTGAAAGTCTTTCGTATTCGCCATGCAAGTCAAGACGACGATGATTACAAGATAACTTGAGAAAGTGAGCCCCATTTAAGCTCGGCATTCCACGTCAAAGTGGGTCACTTCGATGATGATTCGGAAAATCCATTACCCTAGCACATGTCAGGACAACACACAGGGAAAGTGACCTCTTGATGCGGCTAAACCTGGCCAAAAATAAAAATAACTGGTAAAAAGCTCAGGGTATACTTCCAGAAGGATAAGCATCAGTATTTACCTGTCGCCGGCCAGTACTTAGTCATCGTGATAGGCTCAGCGTGTTGACATTTGTCCAATATAACTCACGATTTTAAGCAACAGACTACCTATGCGTAAATAAGAATTTAAAAGGCCATTGCTAGATTTTGAGTAATCGGCGATAACAAGATAGCCCGCGTCCATGATAATAATTAACCAAAACTGTGCGGAATCCAGCACACGTAGGTCACGAGAGAGAGATGGACTACAGGCCTTAGCGTGGCGTTCCTCCGTAAATGGGGAACGGCTAAATACTTAGCAGAGTTGCACATGCGATGGTGCGCTCATCAAGGACTAAAACATATACAACAACAGTCAGCACCTTCCACATTAACAATAATGAAAGATAATATATTTACGTTCTGCGGGGAACCGAGAAGTAAACTTCCTGTTGCGTATTTGATAATACATCCACGGTTGAGCAATGCGGCGTGCAAAGACGCAAACCGAGCATCTTCGATGATGACCTTCCAATCTCCGTGGAATATGACGTAACGAAGAGCAGGTAGTGACGGTCCCGCCAGGAAAGCCAGGTGCTCAGCCAAGAAGTCCCAGCCATCATGAAGCAGGATAAGGTTGGGGTGAGCATGTAGCCTTATACAAGAGATGGAGGAGTGAACAAAAGTAAAGCGAACAGGAGAAGCAAAGAACACGTAATAATTCAGCTCTTTTAACCTCGGACAGCCCTGTAGAATGGCTGTAATTTGATCACCCACACAAAATGCGAGATTTTGTCCAAGTTCGACCGTGCGAAGGCGATCACCAAAGGCCTCCCAAAAGTCCTCTAGTGCTCCATGCCACGTTTCAGGTACATCGACGATGACATGCTCGAGAGATGGGAAGTCCCACCGGCATATTTGGCGAATAAATAGGTGGTTCATTTTCCGTAGACGAAGTGTTGATAATGCTGTAAGACACAGAGGAGCCACGGAGATGAATCTCGGTAACACTGATCCGCCGACAGCGAGATATTGTAAGTTGGGAGCATTCTTTAGGACATCGTAGAGTGAATTGATTCCACCTGAGCGGGCAGCTCCATTATAATGCCACCATTCCAGGCGTTTCAATGACGTCAAGACGACGTGTTCTGCGCTGAATTCAAAGCGCATATTGTCTGCTGATTCTGGGGGGAAAGGCCTGGTTAAAACTTCAAGGGTTGGGCAATTTTTGAGGATATCAAGAGCGGTGACAGAGCTATCGCTAGTAGCGGTGGTTGTGTGCGCATATGGTAACTCGAGTCGTCGAACCCATCGTCCGTTCCCCTCTGCCAAACATTCATCGCCCTTAAGAGCACTGGCAAGTAAGTGCATACCGTGCCTAACCCTCACATCTTCGTATAGTAAATCCATCGCAAGTGCTCGCCAAAGCTGACAAACACGCACGATGGCATACTTCGCTTGCAAGGTGGCTTTGAGGACATCCTCTGAGCCTATCTGAAATGGCTCATATGTGAGAGCGAAAGACCCAGAGCTCAATGGAGATGTGGCCCAACGAAAGATATGCAACCATATTTCTGGAGGTAGTTGTGCAGCCTGCATTGTCGTCGAAGTGCAATTACACCGCAAACGCAAAATGATAAGCAACGTTCAGGTCATGTGATGGGACATCACCTTCATTTAGTAAGCGCTGTTCCGAGTCCTCAGAAGCTTCAGGTTGCTGTGAACCACCGCAGAATCCTTCTCAATATCATGATTCCTTCTTTCCTTTCAAGCGATTAGTGGACTTGGTTATTTCCGAGACAAAGTTTCTGGAAAAGAGTGTATGTAGCGCTCGAAGTCCTGGAGCTCTGGAGGCCTGGAGGATGGTGTCGGACTGAACAGGTTTTCAGAGTCAGGCTCAGCTGAGTCACGGTTTAGTGCCACAACATATAGTGGTCAAACCCGCCCCACTGTGACTCACCTATACTACTTTCCCCTCAACCGTGCTGTCAATACCAAAGGCATACCGGTTGCAGCTTGAACCACACATTCAAAACGGAGCTGAAGCTATATAGATCCCACTATACGCAACCACAGCGGTCAGGCCGACCTACACAAAACCTTGTCATATCATGTCGACAGGCTTGCGAGCACTGGAGTATGCCTCGGCCATACTTATTGTGTTTTTTTCTAGTTGCATATTTCTGGCACGTCGTTTGAGGCAGAGGTTGTTCGTAGAAACCACTGGTGTCAATGACTTTCCTTATCTCGGACAAGCGCGTCCTGAACACGAGAAACTCAAAGGCACGGTCGTGATATGTGGCGGGAGGTGATGATATCCCCTCTTATCCCAAAATATATCTCACAAACTTCGTAGCATTGCCGGACTTTTGTCTGCTCGTGTATGCCACAACCATTTCGAACGCGTCATAATTGTAGAACCTGAACCATGGTTAGCCACTGAAGAGGCACGAACAACTCAAGCATGGACACAACAGCAAAACCGCTCTCGGGTTGTGCAATATCACTCCGTACAGGGTGACTACTCTGTTAAATCATGGTTGTCTCGCCTACTGATGTATTTGATGTCAGGTCAGCAGGCCCTAAACTTGACAGCTTATAGAGCACTGTTCCCCCATTTTGATGAACTAGCCAAAGAATCTGGGATCCGGTAAGCTGTTGCTTGGGTCTCAGTTATCAGATGATCTCAATGTTCATATCGATACATGCTTCAGGATTGCTGCATCTGACCTTAAGTTGTGTATATCAGGACGTTTTCCAGGAGCCCCGTATGATGAATATCCAAATGGATTACCAGAGACATGTTTCACAAGTCGTCAGGGCCTCGAAACGCTGATCCGTCGACTTGTCCTAGACCAGACCAGGTATCCTAATATTGAATACATCGTTGGAACCGTCTCAGAGTATCATGGTGATCCGAATAATTCTTCAGCAATACAGAAAGTCACTGTACGGGATGATAATGGAACAACTGATATAAATACCGATTTGGTTATTGGTTCGATAATTCCCAACATTACTCTCATGCTATTTACTCAGTACGTGATTTCCAGACTGCACAGGCGCATTCCACACAGGGATTAAGATGCTGAAGCACGCAGGGTATGGCTCAGCTGATCCTTACCCAAAGGGCAAGCTCCCTCTCGACGACATCAAAATCTCATACGACCCGAAAATGTTCTACTCAACTCTCGAACTAACAGTCCCCCCGAAACTGGCGAAGCGGCTACCGATACCAGGTGGGATCGACAATCACCCAGGTATTGCAATGTGTATCAGTAATGCTCAGAAGGATTGTAAAATGTTATATATAATCGGTGCTGATGGCCCATACCGAAGTACGTTAGGTTCCTTCTCTGATCGCATCACGAAGTCATAACCCATGATCTGCAGTTCACATAAGTCCCGGTGCCTGGGGTATGTCTGATCTGCCCAAGACTATCGATGGCGTGAAGAAGTTTGCTCGTTCGATGGTCATGGACGTGCCCCTTCCAGATTGGCTTTTCCAGGTACTGGACATGCTGGAAGAAGATCCTCAGGTTCAAGAAACAATGACTGTCAGCTATGTACGCGTTCGTAAGTATCAAATGCTATGTTGCTGGTGCCTATGTTGACATTAACCTAGCTCCTGCTTGCTACTACCGCTTCCATATGGCCACGAACTTGCCCTCGAATTGGGTTGCACTAGGGGATAGTGTTATGCGCATTAATCCTGTATTCGGGTATGTTACGCATCCATCATATCATTTTCCCACTTCAGCTCACTGGATGGTACAAATCAGAACTGGTATAGCGAAGACTATCTATGGTCTGCTTTCTTTGAGCCGGATTCTAAGGACTGTTCCTTCTGCGGCCTCAAGCTCAAGTACGGACTCGGCTGTACTGCCTTCCGACTTCTCCTCCAAGTTCTTCGATATTCAGAGGCCAAGGATTGAGAGTTTCTGGTGCTTTTTTATTTCATTCGCCATCGTAAGACTACGCTAATATATTCGCTGTGTTCGTACAGGACCTCTACGAAAGATGCAGGTGTGTATCCTTTTACACTCTCTATGGCACCTCAGCCTTGATGTTCGTTTGCTAGATTATGCTCGGCCTACTACCATACGTGTTCCTGGTGAGAATGTAAACACCGGTTCTTTCATGCGTTGGTATATCCGTAGATTGCGAATCGTATCTCTCACAGTGAGTCCATACCGCTTTAGCTTTAGGGCTTGAAAACCTGCACTCCCGAAAACCAAATCTGACTGTGCTGCACAGGACAAGGAAACGAACTCCAAGTTCTGGCACATTTCTAATTATTTGGCGCCTGGAATAGATGCGCTACATCCTAGTTTGGTCCTCAAGGTTTTATGGAGTTATATCAAGTCTAGCGTTGCCTGAGTTGTGGCACCACGCTCGAGGACTTGGCTAATTGGTAGAACACTGTTATAATCATTTGAGTAGATGTCCGAATCCGCTATATTTCGTTCAGTCCTACTCCTATTTCAAACGCTGATGTTTACTTTACTTGCTCAGTAATATTAGCATCGAAGAATTGCAGCTCATGGACGCGTTCTTGTGGGGTGCATAGAATTTGCAAAACATCCACGACCTTCACTGCCATTATTCCAAAATAAATGATCGAAGCCTATTGGTACAGATTCCCTACCCCATCAAACGATTTCCAAGTGGAAATCCGACACGCATCTGGAATGGAATATACCAGAAAATATTAATGTCTATCATTTGGGCGAGGATTTACACGCTTCAGCAGATCGCCCTTTGCTCTACGTGACCTTGTGCCAGGATCTGGGATCTGATAGTCTCGAGGTGAGTCTGCATCGCGGTATAATGGATCTCCATCTTGAGCATCTCCGCCTCATGTGCCTTCATCTGCTTCTCATGTTCCCTCGACGCCGCTTGATTCCTCAGCTCAAACTCACGAACCTGAAGCTCTTTCATCTGCCGTGCGTGTTCATTTGCTTCACGCCGCGCGGCTAGTGCCACTTTTCGTTTTTCGACCTTGTACTTGTATGCCGCTTTGATCTTGGCTTCTGACCGAGAGGTCTCTGATTGGATCATCTTCATAATCTCTGCGAATTTGCTGTACAACTTGTCTCGCGCGTCTTCTTTGGCAGATCCTGAGCTTATTACAGCCGTCACTGAATACGATATCCTCTCGTACCTGCTGCGGACGAATCGTAGAACGCGAAGCTACCTCCCGCTCTGATTTGTTCCCTGCAGTATGCAGCGTCCTCTTGTTCCCAATCCTCAACGTCCTCGTGTTCCCAATCCTCAACATCATTCTGCTCATTTGTGTCAACACAAGTATGTATTTCATGATGTACGGAAAAACTTACATCCCCGAAATAGTTGGCGATTCTCCCATGGAATGTCATGGTCACCGTCGCTGGACATGATGGCCACCTTGTGGTGAGTAGTAGAGTGGTGGTCGGACTTGCGTACCATGTTTAAAAACGTGGTGTACGTCATGTTGATGTCAGTTCAGTCGGCGTCCCGCAGAAAAACCTTTGCGCCCACAATTATCTCCCAGAGAAGCCGTGCGGCTGACCTTGAAGCGAAAACGACTCGGAAATTCAATTCAGATAAATGGTCTAGCCAAGGACCCGGACCAACACGTGTTTGCTTTCTGCGGTACACAGCCACACTGGCCGGGATGTGATTGGTCGACGGGTACGTTACAGTACCTACTCTGATTTTAGTGGGGCTAACGAATCTTAACCAGTTTGCCAGGTTGCCGTTCCCAGACCCTAATTGTCAATTTTGGGCATGACTCGCCAGTTCTCCTGGATACATATACACGCGTCTGCTCCATGAGGTAGCACTCGCCCATTCCCCCGCTGTGTGTCCAGTTGAGCCCCTGAGGACTGAAACTCGACGAGGGCCATGCCGATCCATATGCGACTGCCCACCTCGCCTCCTAGTCCTGCACAAGACACGTTCAGCAAATGCATATCTTGGGCCTCTGCAACTGCTGTTCAGCTTTCTCCCGCAGGACCAGCACCCCGCGCTTACTTCTCCAAATCCCAAGGACCTGTTTCACGGGACCGGGTAGAGGCCATACTGAAGTTACATCCGAAATACAAACCTGTCCTCGCAGTGAGCATCTCTTTCGCTGTCCTATAGTCAAGTCTTCTATATTTAGGAATCCGGTACTTGCCTTGCAGCGTGAAACTATCCCTGTCCCACCTTTCCTCGAGCGTTGGGCGGACCCCAGTGACCTCTTGACGTTCCGAGCCGTTCAGCTCTCCGTACTCGAGGCTGAAAAGGCTTTGGCGGAGCAAAAGATGTGGCAGGCGCCGGGAGGTTGCACGGCGCAACTCGAACGACAGTTGATCGAAGACCGCCTTGAACGTGCACGGATCGAGGTACAGCTATATAGTCAGGCTATCGCGAACGCAGACGAGCTGCCTCGTCTCATGTTCGTTGACACAGAGAGACACAGTACAGATATCCAGGTAATTGCTTAGTGGGTTCATGCCTTGCGTGCTCACCAAAAGCAAATTTAACAGATGAGCGTGGATGATCCGTCGTCGCCCCTGTCTATGTCTCCCGACCCCGAGTTCGAGCATATGTCGGACTTGGATCAAACGTCGATGTCATCGGTCGATTCTATTGGGTTACCTATGTTGTCCACGCTCGGCAAGTCCGTCTACCATGAACTTCCCCAACAGTTGTCTAATATCCCATACGGTGAAACAGATAATATCACCATGCCAACATTTCCTCCTGTAATGGATACGTTCGGTTCTGAAATATCCATGCCTGACATTATATCACCCTGCAGGCGTGAATTTGGGCCAGTTCCAGAGTCTGAGATGTCGAGTGTGGTCAGTTAGAGATATCTTTGCCGACACAGGCGTTCGCGTCCAGTAGTATCTTTCCAAAATGTAGCTTACAGCCTTTAATCATGCCCCTTCCTGCCAATAATCAGATGTTGTTTGACTTCAGATAGACGAGTTATGATCAAAGAGATTGCCAAAAGATCCGGATGAACCGTTACAATAAATTGGTAACAGACAGAGATATACAAAATATCACATTCCGTGCTGGAGGTATAGGCGGTTAAATAAAAATAAGCTGCTAGTACTATGAATTCTCCTCCACTTCAACAGATTGAGCCCTGAACGGCAGCCTTCGACGACTCTCTCCATACCCCAGGCTCATAGCCCGCACGCCCATATCACGCCTCATACTTTCGCCGTTTGCAGCAGCAGCTCTCTGAGCGGTGCTTTCCACCCCAAAGCGATCTTGAGAAGCACTGGTTTTCATATTACGAGAGCCTGGAAGGCCTTCGAGTGCCCATCCCACCTCGACTCCCCTTTTGATGCTCCAGAGCCAAATGAGGACGAAGACGGGCGTGCTGACAAGAACATTGAGCACGGGGAAGAGATCGGGATAGCGTGCGGGCGGTGTGAACACGAATTCAAGGAGATGCAAGAAAACGCATGCGCCATATACAGCCTTTTGACATTTATCATTCAGCGGATTTGTAACGCAGAATGGAAGAGGGTACATACGGTGGATAACAGGTCGACGAAAGACTTCTTGCGCAACCTGAGAGGGTTATACCCGATTAAGCGATTCCACACGACAAGAGTTGCTATGTACTGTATGCCCAGGCCGTCTCTCTTTAGAAGAGGCCACATACTAGAGGCAAAAACATAGTTTAGCCACACGAAATACATAAAACACGAAGTGCGTACCTGAAGACGGCTACATTGTTCATCAACGCACCCCACGAAAATGCTGCCGAGTCGGGAGAAGACCCAGAGAGTAAAAGGGTCATAGGCATGAGTGGAAGCAGAATGGTCTTTTCGTGCACCTGGAACGAGAACAGGAAGAAAGACAGGGACGATGTGAGTAGAGCGTAAGGGAGGAGCGGCAACGTTGGAGTATTTGCGGATGACTCGATCTGGGCTGCCTGCGTGCTCTCCTGAGAGCTAGACCACACTCGCGTCTTTATGGACCCCTGTATGAGTCCAATTACGCTGGGAAGGAATCCGATAAAGGTTAGTGCAGATGATATCTTCACGAGGACATTTGATGCTAGCCAGTGTTTCCACTTGAAAGCTACATTGGTGGCACACCAAAAGTTGGCTACTTTGTCTTCGAATAGGCCACGGTTGAAAGGGAAAATGCGGGTGATGGGATCGAGGATGGTTGTGAAGGAAGAAAAAGGAGGGAGGAACGGCAAAAAGAGTACGAGAAAAGTAACGACCGTGACGGCTGCCAGGCGAGTGAACAAACGAAGACTGCTCGAAATTAGAGTGATTAGAATACCTGCAGACGTAATACAAGTGTGGAACACTCACCCGTGTACGGGACCGAGATATATGCATTTTCCTAGTAGATATGATCCGATTGCAGGTGCGTAGTAGAGTGCCATTTGTTTGAATCCAAGACTTAGAACGAAAAAGAAAGCACCGAGGAGGTCCTGTCCCGAGGCAAACATGTTCATCGCAAACAACGTAAGACCTTATCCAACGACGTAAGCGGATACCAGGACTCATAGGTGTGAATAAATATACCAAGCATCACAGAGTTATATTGGAAATGTCCAAAGTCAACGAGATGTAGTGCAGGTTGGAATAGGAGTGTAAGTAAAGCTAGGTGCTATTGAAATCGATAAATGTTAAAGCGTGAAAAAGGTTGAAGAGTGTGAAGAGTGTGATCACCGACCTGAGTCCTTGATGATCGAGTGCCTTGCCATGCCCATATAAAGAGATAAATAGCTGGAACATATACAACGGTGTCCAAGGCGAGCACCGTTGCGCGCATGAAGACTTTGCTGTCTGGTGTTTCAATTCCACGAGACTGATCCAATGCAAACCACTGAGGGTTGAACATTGTACCGCTTTGAACACAAAATTTAAGTATTCGAGCAACCTCAACAATAGGTGAATGGCTTACATCTTTCCACAAAGCCATGAAACGTAGGCGGTTAGTGGCGGATAGTCTAATCCCCAATATTGTAAATCATATGTATACCATTGATGAAATGGAAGATGGATTGTAATTTCCATCCAATGTCGTTGGGCCTCATAGTCACCATAGATGGGTGGAGTTGCATATCCTGATTTCGTTCAGTCGAACCTGCATTACGATTCCAGACAATATTCAAACTTACCAGAATAACCTCCCAGTCCTATACACCACTTCCAGTACATAGCTGCTCCAACAGCGCTAGGTACTATCCACTGCTTCAGCCCATTTTTGTGCATCCACCGCACCCATCGTCTACCGGCGCCCGGCTCTTCCTCGTGATCATTTGGCTTTATTGTTTGATACGAGGGAAAACTACGCATCCTCTCTTGTTCCATCAACGCACTGAAATTCATATGTTGGGTTGACGCTTTCCTCCTCCGAAACGATGCGACAGTAGATGTCGCAGAAACAGGAGAGGGCTCGCGTGATACGGCGAATGGAGGCGTTGCAGGAGGATGTAGCCAATGCTGGCTTTCCGACGTCTGCAAGAGATGCCGACGTGGTATGGGAGAGATGATTTCAGACCGCTCGGTGGGCGACCTGCATGTCGTCCAGAGAAATTATACATTAAGCTTTTCCCTCAATAATACATCGGAGAACGGGGATGCTTACCCTGCGCTTTTCATACTGCTGGCTGAGGCGCGATTCCGCAAAACTGGTTTGGTCGTGTCGATTCCAACGCGCAATTTTGCTGGTTTTATATAGGGAAGAGAGTTGAAAGATGTCGTGCGGTCGCGCAACTGTCTTTTGGGCGCTCCCTCAGGTGGAACAAAAGCAGAAACCTCGTCCATTGTGGACAGTGATGGTGAGCGCTGTTAACCACCTGCGACAGCGCTTTGCTGGAAAGGCGTTGCCGTAATATCACCGCCCCAGTCACGTGGACTAAACATATTCTACCAACGAAGTCATGAAGACAAGATTAAATTCAAGATATCGAACCAGCTATGCTCGTCTCACAAATATATATCTACCTGTAATTAATGAAACAATAACTGTCGGCGCCATTGCCATAGCAAGATCGCCCTGTGGTCTACACAAATCGCGAAGGTTGAACGTTCAGTAGCGATGACCGTTAATCTACATCGTCTCCCTCAATAACCGTTTCCCCATCTTCCGAAAATAGGATGTTTCCCTGTTGGTAAATATGTGAGCACAGAATGTGTCATTCTTGTTAGGAAATAAACTTACGGGTTGCTTTGCGGATTTACCAATATACTTCGTGTGGTCTAAAGCATAACATCAGTCTATTTCGTCACAGGTTAGGGTGCTCCAACTTACATCCATAAGCGACGAGGTCTCCAGCGGAATTGTTGAAGTCAACCCGTGTGTAAGCAAGAGATTTACCTGTGGAAGATATTTCAAAGGGCCAATTTCAACATCAAAGCCCGTATCTGCTCACCCATCCCCGTTACTGTTGCCACTGCATGTAGAACGTCACCTGGTCTCCCTGCAGGTTTCACGAATGATGCGCCAATGTCCGTTGAAACACCAGTCATGTATTGACCTTTCGAAGCAACAGCAAGAGAACCGAGAGTGTCTGTCAATGACATGATAAGGCCGCCGTGGACCGTCTGACTTGGCGTATTAGCTGATCCAAATTCGTGCAATCGAGATGCACACTCACACCAACTCGATTCACTTGAGAAGACGGTACATTTGAGAAACAGTTATGCAAAGCTTGAGCATCTCACGCACGGTTATAAGGCTCAATCTTCAATGAAGTGATAACGGCACCTGGTTTGGCGGAATGGATCTCGAGCTGGTCGGAACTTCATATTGAGTCAAAGAAGATTGAGTCAAAGCATGATTGACTAACGTTAGGAAAACATTGCGCATCATGTCCTGTCTATCCTATTCACCAAAACAATTGCCTTTTGATGACTACTCTCCCGTACCTTTGTTATCAATGAACGATTTCCACACCTGCCCAACGATGATAATGTTTGTCAACTACCATGAAAATAGAAAATAAGCCTACTCTTCGAGTGAAACGCAAACAAGCAGCCATCGCAAACCGTCACCAAACAGGTCAATCGCCGCACAGTCTGGCAGGTAAGAACTCGGGAAGAACCGTCATATCGTCATTTTACACTCCGCGGCGTGTTTCTGGAGTCTGATGCGCTTTGAATTGAAGACTTTCCTTTCTGGAATGTCTATTGATCAATGTTTTGCGAACGAGCCGGGAGCTGGCTCTTGAGATCTTGTGCGACCCATTCCAGGCGAGGTACTCAAACATAAGAGGATACAGCAAAGCGAGGGTACTTCTCTAGCGAATACATAATACTGGACATGCATGGTGAGCCTTTCGTACGTGAATCAATACATAAAAGCTTTGCTTGCCGTAACTTTTTTGCACTGGAGACTGTATGCGCATGTCAAAGCCTGATTTGGAGACTGTCATTAATAGCGGTGTGTGCGTCCTCATATTTGACGGTGAAGTCGACTGCATCCTCAGCTTCTACGACGTCCAGGTTACGGTGAACAGTTTCAACGTCACCCAATCTGTACTCTTCTCAGGCGGGCGGCATCGCAGGTTTTCGAACAGCTCATGGCTGGTGGGGGCTTGTCAAGCACGCAAGCTAATATTCAGAATTAATGGACCGCTCCGTCGTGATCAGTGTGATTCTACTTTTTATTATTTTTTATTTGTAGTGGGTGTAGAAAGTAACCCACTGCGTGTACAGTGCCATTTTATAATTTTACATACAAAGAAATTATATTAATGCACTCTAGAATACTTTTGGATTTGTTGAGATGAGTGAAGGTCAGAGTCCTAGAGATGTGCATTGAATGGGGAATCGATAAAATCCTAATCTACTACGTAACTCAAAGGATTGTCTTTCATATGCGCATCCGTTTATTGTCTTCCAAGCGACCCGTTCCTTCGCCCCCCTCCGTATCCCTCGTTTGCGAACCAAAGACTGTGACAGAGAAGCATGGTAGATTGGTTCGTCATGGATAGGCCCTGACGACGCAGGTGGAGGTAAAGTTTCCATCCTATGTGCGAGCTCGAGCGGCGTTGATCCCTTATCATCTGGTGGGTCCAATGCAGTGCCATCCTGTGCCAGAGGGGGTTCTGGGACTGCTTCTCCTGTATCCGCAGATGTACACTGGACCAATTCTTCTTCATTATCGTTTACCGGGATGCTAACGCAGTACAGTGCAGTATCTCCTGAATTTGAATCGAGTGCGATATTCTTCTGCCGAGCAAGTAGAGAGGCCACCCTGTCCCGGCCATAACGTATCGCCAAGTCCTGCGGTGAGTCATCATTTTCATCTTGTATGTTCACCTCGATGTCATCTCTAGAAAGTAACTGTTCCACGAGAAACTCGCTTCCATGCGCTGCTGCTATGTGAAGGAGTGTCTGCCCTCGTTTGTTTCTCCAGTTGACGTTGACGTCATATCGTGCGAGTAAATGCTTGATGGTTGCCTCTGCCTCTGCCTTTATGCCATGGTCCGTGTTGTCTCGAGAATTATCACTGTTATCACTGTAGTCAGAAACATATCTGATCTGTCGCCATTACTGTACTTACTGTTGATTATCCCCATCTGTACCAACCATGCTGCTATCTTCGTTTATGTAGAAGCCAATGATCTCAATTTGATTATGTCTAAAAAACGCTCGCTCAGCTGCAGCCCATAGTGGTGGTATACTACTCCACTCTGGGATTCCGTTCGCGTCGATTTCGGCGCAAGCCAATAATAAGTTCACTGATTTTTCGTCGCTATACCAGGCCGCCACATACAAGGGTGTGCAATCTTTGCAGCTAACATCGAAGTTTACCGATGCCGACCGTACGAGGAACAATTGTGCCAATTCCTTATCATAAGGAGCTTGAGGCGAGAATGCAAGTGTCATGCAGATGTCAATGTCAAGCGGATGCAACGTGACATTTTCCCTTGAGAGTAACAGCTGAACAACATCCTTCTTCCCTTCCTTGGCTGCATATGAAAGTGGTGTCCGACCATTGACGTTCTTTAAGTCGACGTCCACATCTTGCCTTGCCAAGAACAATTCAATGACCCCATTGTCCCAATTCCTAGCTGCATATGAAAGTGGCGTCCGACCATTGACGTCCTTTGAGTCGACGTCCACATCTTGCCTTGCCAATAACAGTTCAACGAGTTTGTTGTCCCTTCTCCTAAGTGCATATTCAAGTAGTGTCCAACCGTTGACATCCCTAAAGTTGACATCCAAGTCCTGTCTTTCCGACAATAATTTAACGATATCTGTGTTCCCCTCACCATCTGCAAGGAAGAGAGGTGTCTGACCATCTTGATCCGTCAAATTTACATCCACGTCACTTCTCGTTAAGAGCAGTTTCACGATTTCCAGATTCCCGGACTGGGCTGCGATCGAGAGTGACGTCTGACCATCCCCGTCTTTTGAATTGACGTCATGGCCTCGATGAGCAGTAGTTGTATTACCGCTACATGCCCTTCTTCTACAGCGATGTGCAGTCGTTGGTCTACGATATCGCCCTTTTTTAACCGATGATCCATGGTGTGAGCTAGACCGAAATGGGCACACAAATGCAACGCTGAACCCCTATTCCACACGCGCTGCAGAATCCTTGTAACTCTCTCGCCACAACTTAAGAAACCTTGTATCATCGCCTGGTCTGTCTCCTCGACAGGCCCACGCGCGTGATTTCCCAAATATTTTCTAGCATAAATCTCAAACCCCATATCATACATCCCATCGCCACGCGGCAGGGACAAGACTCCCAGGCACATCCTGGTGATTTCTGCATGAGGATTTGCGCAAGGCCACCCTTCATATTTTTCAAAGTGCTCCTGTGCAGTGTGATCTTATGGAAAGCCTAGTGAGCATCCGCCATGTATTGAATATATGAGCCAAGACACTCACGAACAAACCGAAACAAACTACCATAACGTGGATATGTTAGTGCTGTATCAATGATAACCAGGCCAGCGCATATATCGATTATGGTGGTTTCATCCACTAGATCATCGTTACTAATTTCGGAGAGATCACTTGAAAAAGCTATAGCTTCTCGAAGCTGCCGTGTTTGCAGAGGTACGAAGGCATTGGCTATTAACATGATGATCTTCAAAGCAAGTAACCGACGCTCCTCGTCCAATTGGCCAATCCTTTTTATGGTTTCATTGTACGCATCATCTATCCCCTTTGGTAGATGGCTGAGAGCGTCCAACACGCCACGAGGAGTGATCTTGCGCGATAATGAGTCCAGATGCAAACGACACAGTAGAAACCTTAGACAACCTTGTAAAACGAAATGAACATGAGAACAGCACCTAAACCACTCATATTCCCTGCGCTTTTTCTGGAAGACACTCCAAAACTTTTTGTTTAACATGGGGATGTTTATCCAGGAGTCTGCCCAACTGTGTAAGGTGGCTCCCTGAACGAATACGGCCTTCGATATATTTGCATATGTCGTCATGACGTGCACGGATATCCATACGTTGGTTGCCACGAAGAGCTGTTCCGATAATTGGAATGTCACGAGAGGTTACCAATAAGCTGGCTCCAATTACTTGGAGACTAGTGAGAAGCTCAGCACGACTGTCGTCCTCGGATACCTCGTCCAAAGCGTCGACAACGATGAAAACTCGAGAGAACTCGGAGAATTCCTTCTTTAACGTATTGCAAACCTCGGATAGAGTTGGTCTGATTTGCTTTTCTCGATGAGACCTGTATTCAGTATTGACGCGCTCAAAGGTATGAGGGAAATCTTGAACGAGTTGCTTTAAGAGGCTTGCCACGAGGTTATAAGTTGTCTGTGTTGATTGATCTTTGTGATTGCAATAGAAATAGACCACTGCAACATTGTCATTGTCACGCTTGTGTTGCTGGGTCAGATGATCGATGATGTATGAGCTAAAAAGTAGCGATAACGGGTCAAGATAGATTGAGGTCACTTTCCTGATAGACTTACGCAAGAACGGTCTTCCCAGCGCCGGCTGCGTCCTTACCAACATATGAACGTAGATCATGATCATGATTTACTTACGGATCCCAGGACACCAAAGTGTCTTCACATCACCACTTTTCCATTCCTTGAATCTCTCATCGTCAAGCACCCAACTTCCCGTTCCCTTTTGTCGAGTTTCGCTGACATTGCTCTGCTTTTGAGGGAAGTTGAGAGGAGAGACCCACTCCGCGAGTTCTCGTCGTTCTTGAGCTATATATAATTGGATGCGTTAGATTACAATCAGAAAATATATGATATGATTTTCGCACTATTGTGCTGCCCAACATTATTTATTGTAGTAATGAAGTTTACTTGTTGGCCATTGTCATGGACTTCGTTGAAGTGACCATGACTAGCATTGACATTCTGGGCTTGATTCAGAGCTCGCGCCACATCTACACGCTCCAGGGTTGGAACGTTCACTGGCATGTTACTGTAACTTGTCCTCGTCGATTGGTTGGACAGGTCGTCTGTGATGGACTCTTACGCCTATGATACGATGGTGAAGAATGCAGGCGAAATGTGCTGCCTGATGTGCTTTTGAGCATGCTGTAAAATGGCAGACATACTTATATTTGGATTGCTACTCACATTGACGCTGAGGCTATGAGATATCGCAGCACGACTTGCACAGCTTGACTTGCCCGAGTCAATCTACCCAAAATTTCATGGCCAGCACAGATTCTGTCCATAGAATACGAACTACTCAATATGTATGTCTTTCTTTCTCCTTGTTTCCTGTGCTCATCACGCAACTGACCCTAGTAGTACTACACATAGCAGACATGCCATCTATTTCACCTGCTGAAAATATGAGAAGCTAGCCCGTTCTGCACGCAACCACACACCTGGGCTCCTTACGTTCCTTCACCATTATCGTCCCCAACTCTCCCAACCCCCGCCAACTGAAATATCACCAATATACTCCCCACCAGGCAACACTCTCCATCGGGCCTCCAACTTCACATCTGCCATCTTGGGTACAATGTCGTTCTCCATGCGATCCACACCAAGTTGTCTTCTTACAAGTGGACTGGAGCTAAATGCACCTGATGTTGATCTTCACTTACCGAAATTATAATGGACAAGCGGCACACAAACTTCTGTTCGAGTATAAAGGCCCTATTCGTCTGGGAACGCAAGCTGGTAACTGGCAATAAATTTTTGAGAGAAGGGATTACCATATGTCTCCACAAGCGCAAAGGAGATGTCAATGCTTCCTTGACGTTCCTTTGAGTAGGCTACATGTTGACATGTCGAGCAAAGTTTCTACTATGCGGTCTGCTCATAGAATGATTAGCCGCCCAGTTGACGCGTCCACCCACTCAAGCCACTCTCACAAGCCTAGTGTGCCCCAAGTCAACAAGACAGGTATATTTAACATATCGATACTGTTACGTCCGTCTCACAAATGTATATCTACCTGTAAATAATAATATAACAATGACTGAACTGTCATCATAGCGAGATCACTTTGTGGTTTACACAAATGTCAACCATTGAACGTTCCGTCGATAGCGATGACCGTCAATCTACATCGTCTTCATCAATAACCGTCTCTCCATCTTCCGAGAATTGGATATTTCCCTGTTAGTAAATAGGTAAGCACAGAATGTGACATTCTTGTTGGACAAGAACTTACAGGTTGCTTTGTGGATTTACGAATTACTATGGTCTGAGGCATAACATCAGTCTAAGCAAGAGATTTCCCTGGGGAAGATATTTCAAAAGGCTAATTTGAATATCAAAACCCGCATCTGCTCACCCATTCCCATCACCGTTGCCACTGCATGAAGAACATCACCTGTTCTCCCTGCATGTTTCACGAATAATGCACCAATGTCTGTTGAGACACCAGTCATGTATTGCCATTTCATACTCCGCGGCATACAAATTTCCACTCCAAGTCTGTTGTCAAACCGCCACAAGAAATTTGCGGTACAGCTCGCACTCTGGCGAGCATATGCAAAGGGAAAAGTTCACCTGACCTGTCGTTATTTCGTTGGATCAAGTCAGAACGCTATAGGCTGTGTCAGCTACCCGTACGTCACCTGCCATGGAAATCAAGCCGATTAGTGGCTGGCATGTTGCTCACAATGTGTCCCGTCCGCTGTAATGATTCTGCAAGAGTACTATCAAATTGCGGACTGACACATCTTCCGCCGCGATCGTTTCGAATCGCCGGTCCGAGCTGACCGTGTGGTGCGGGAGAAGGCAAGCACAGCTTTACAGCTTTGCATCATGTCCATTCACGGTGCTATAACTATGTATCCCGAAGAAATCAAGCTGTCACGGTACGGTATCAGAGCGCGGATACCTCACTAAGACCGGTATCGAAAGCCCTCCCAAGGTTCAAGCGTTTCGAGTAATCGCAAGTCCAGGCCCATCTGACGCATGTAGTTCGTATAGAACGGCATGCCTCCGATCAAAATGCTGTACAGGATCAGAGGTGGTAGCGGCGTATGCCTAGGGGAAGAGAAGATAGCTCAGGCTAATCTGCAGCATGTACTTCCATTTTCTCTTCAATTCTCGCATGAGGTGGCGTCTGTGATTTCCTAAATAATAGGGGGATAGGAACGCTGGAAATGGAAGCTCGAGCATATAGAATGGTCTTGTCAAATCTCATTCCATGGTGATATGGCGAGGACGCAACTTTTGTCCTTTAATCGCATTGTAAGGTACGTGCGTAACTCTATAGCCTTTTCAAACCCTGCACAGAAAGTTCTGACAACGAGGTATCGCAATATCATATTATGGCTAGAAGTCAAGAATTCAGCTTACGAGTAAGATCAGTCTTCGGACTTCATGTGGTAAGCTACCATTTGGGTGGGTTCTATTTTACCCTCAGAGACGTTGTCAAATTATTTTAACCGCTCAATCACGTCCTTTTCGAGAGAGAAACGGAGTCACGGTATACTCTCGTTCATGAGCTCAAGCTTACGGAGTTGACGGGTGTTCTGAAGATGACCTTCCACTTTGTCTACAGCTTCTCAGGTGTCTCAGAAATGAAAATAATGAAGGTAAGTTTTTACCTCTTACGAACCTCACTTTCTTACAGGATTGAGATGATCACTGACGTGTTTAACCGCATCATATCATACTTTCGACGCATTTTTATTCGTGTTAATATCCTCATATGTGACTTGGTCGTTAGGTTTTGTTACAACAAATGTATCAGTCCACGCTATTCAGAGGGTGGCCTCAACAAGGGCGGAAATGTGTGCATTGATAGCATTGCCTCGGGTTTAAACATCTTGCGGGTAGTCGAATGCTAAGTGTGTTCATGAGTATTTAACAGGGCCTAATGGGCCAACACATAGCAAACATTGTACGGACGTCTCACTAATAGACAATGAAGTCGGTTGGAATAACTAAGCTGCCGCTTTTCAAGGTAGCCGAAGCCTGCGGTGTGGCAGACATCACGACAACGATAATATTGGTATGTAATTCGGAGATTAGAGAAGAGCTACCGGTACAGTGTCGACACTTCAAACCTGCGTGGCCACCCGAGTAAACAGCATTTGGTAGTTGAGTTATCTATCACGTTAATGCAAACTGAATATGCATTGAGGTCTTTGTAAAGTGAGGACTTGGTGCAATGACTACAGGTTTGGCGGCATCCACTCGACAGGATGTAAGTGATTCAGTAAGCAATGGTCAATCATATCACTAAACCATCCACAGATATGTCCAGGATCAGCTTCGGAGGGAGGCCCGAACGTTGGTAGACATCATCAAGCGCGCTACCTATGAAAAACTTGTAGATGAGTCCACCAGATGAAGACACATGCTGTAAGAGTGAGATCCATTCACTCACATGCTACGCAGTATTATGGGTAAATTAGGCACGAGAAAGTACAGCAAAGATTTCCATCGCGGTATAAAGTGAAGGATTCAGAGTTGATCGTCAATGTGTCCAACTCCCCTCGATAACTCCTCCATAAGATGCCTGTTAAACATACCAACACCACTTCTCTTCACTCGTCCTGCACTCAGGATTCCACCAGCTATATCCCTCGCCTTCAACTCCTTCTCCGCGAGATTGGGTACCGCTATGAAGCCCCATTGCCCACAAACCCCGGTTTTCATGAATCCTTTCATGAGTGGTTCAAAACCACGCTGGGTCCTGCCTTATCTTGGGACAGTAATAAACTGCATAACCTCGAGAAAGCTTCCTCTAGTCTCGCTGAGAGAGCGTATCCTTTCGCCGACACAGAGATGAATCTGTTGATGGGAAAGCTGATAGCGATAGCCCTTTCTTTTGATGATTCCATCAAGGACGACGAGATGTACACCAGTATGGCCGGGTTCACGCAGAGGGTGTACCTTGGAATGGCTCAGCCGCCAGGCGTGCTTGCAATATATCATGGGGTTCTAAAAGAGCTGTCCATCGTGTACGAAGAGGACACCCTACTGATGGGGCTGGCAGTTGTACCCTGGATTACTTATGTCGATGGCTGCCTGATGGAAAAGAGGCTATTGACGGTAGATGCTGTGGTGCGGGCTAGTCCCTTGGACATGGGATACCAGCACTTGTTGGAGCAGCAACACCATTTCCAGCGGTCACTTCCGTCCCCCAAAGGTGCTAGAATCGGTCCTAAATGTGATGGCGATAAGCAAGGCATGCTACCAATTCCATTGAAAGGGGATGCAGTGAACTTGTGAGTTATCTATTTGACTAGTATCGTTATATAGTGAGCTAACCTTTAATATATCTAGCCCACGTTACCTTCGCCTGAAGACGGGAATCAGCGAGTCATTCGTTGCAGCAATATTTAAGGCCAACAGGGGTCAGAAGCTACCGTTGACGAGATATCTTCATGCCTTGCCTGACCTTGTGTTTCAAATTGTGAGTCTTAAGAAACGGGTCAAATTGGAGTGTATGACTAACTCTCCTTTGCAGGAGATGATGAACGACCTTCTCTCGTTTCATAAGGAAGAAATCGATGGTGAACAATACAACGTGATCCATCTCCGGACTCAGGCCCTTCGATCTGCTTCGAAAAAGGGTAGCCAGGGCAGGGAATGGACGCTGATGGACACGTTCAATTTGCTTTGCGATGAAGTGAGAGATGCGACGTTCAGGATCGATGCAATGTTGCGGTTGGACGAGGTTGAAAGAAAACTTGAAAAAGGAGAGCGCCGAGGTCACGGCGAAGAAGACGTTGATATATTTGACGAGACAATAGCGAAGCAGTGGAGGTTATTCAAGGATGGGTATATTTCGTGGCATCTCGAGTCGAGTCGATACAAGTTGGATTTCTTGAAGAAGGCTGAGTATGCCTGAAGGTCCAGGGTAGTGAGCGTAGATTCCATGCGACTGTTCTGTATAAGAGATGATTATCGACTATGTGCTATATCAGCTGACTACCGATGAACAGCTGGCATGCCTCATGCTGGTCAAGAGACTCGTTTTTTGAACATAGCGCATAGGTAGTTGACATGGCTATCAAAGGCCCGTAACACCGAGATCTATACATGCTATTACTAAAAATGGCTCACCAGGGTCTACCTGGACTCCCTCGTCGTTGCCGTCGACAGTGCCAGCCTAAGGTATAAAAACACTGCTCATCCATAATGGTGGGGCAGTCAGAAGTCAGAAGTCTCTCGCGTTCACTTCATAGCTGCATTATAATCAGCTAGACATGCGTACGGACTTGAGGTATTATAAACAACCTCAGATTGGTGGAGAAGGGCGTCCTGCCTCTTCAGAGGGGAATAGGAATACGAAGGAGGAGGATCGTGAGTATATCCTAGTGCTTTGGTGCATAAATGGTAGACTGACTAGTTGGCTGGAAATGGCTGCGCAAGCTACCAGGGTGACGAGCATGAGATTCGCCCAGAATGAGGCTGCTAAGGTCTGACGTGGCGGGGACGACGAAGAAGCAGCTTTTAGTATACACCCTCATCTTTCGTAAATTTTGGCCAATTTGGTTCATAAGTAAGTGCATAGATTTTGTCGTTTGACCTATATTGATCATGTTTTTCTAAATCCACGAAGTCGAGAGACCCTAGGAAGAACGAGGATAATGGTCACTGCAAGCGGCAAGACGGCGACAAAGAAGGACGTTGTGGTAACGAAAGGAATGGCAGAAACTCTTCTGGGTGTTCAGTAGATCAAAGTGTTTTCGAAAATGGACCACTAGCTGTCGATAATTTCGTTGGTGATATTACTTACTACACCTGTGGTGTCAAAAGAGGCAAGGTGCGTCAGTTGCAATTGTTATGTCGGAAAAATCCATTTTAGCAGATCAGACACTGTGAGTATCTGAGATAATCCTGTGTTGTCTGTCAATCTGTTGCGTTCATGATCAGACGCTGATCGAGCGCTAATCAGGTATGAGAGATGAAACGATCAGGCCAATCAGCGAAAGTGGCAAAATCGGGACCGCAGATTACCTCTCACCAGGCATTGTCACGACATTGGAAATACGAGCGGGCCATACCAGATTCCTTCAGACACTTAGCGGACTCAGAGTCATTAGTTGATAGACAAAATGTAAAAGTATTAATATCAATTCCCAAAACGTAAAAACATGTCGCCGTCAATTAAATCGTTTAAATAAAAGCTCCCCTCCTTGAGATCAAACGCATTGATCATATGAACTCCCCGAACCAAGTACTCTGCTTTTACTAGCTCAAAATCTCTGGCTTCATCATACAGCCGAGCGCCCGTCCACCTAGTCCTTGGGTTTCCAGCCGAAAGCTTGAGCATCTTGACCACTGCAATGTCAAATGAAGAATGTTGAGTAAATATTCTGATCAGCTTTTTGAGTCGAGCAGGGGTTGGCTCTGGGGTGTCCGTGTTGACAAGAACGAAGTCGAAACGTGGTTCTTGATTGAAGCTGGGGTTACATCGGAGAATATCGCATCCTTCGTTCCAATCTTCCATGGATTAATATTTAATGTATATGCACTGATAATTTATAATCTGTAAAGTGAGGAACAGCGTTAGAAGCTTATGACTAGAAATATGGGAGCATATATTGATGAGCTTACAGTAATGGGATCTTCAGCATTTGCTACATCACAGTTGGCAGCCAGGAACCTTCGCAAATATTTGTGGAACCCTCGGAGACCATCATAATGCTCCATCACTCGCGACGTTGTAAGATTCATGGGTGAGCCTAGTGACCAAAGGTTTTGAGCTATTCTCGGATGACGAAGTCTCTTCAACAATGGGTGTAGAATCACGTCGTCGTTTTTTGCCGTTCGATGGCATAGTGTTGGCGACAACTGACTGTTTTTCAGTTCAATCTAAGGTGAGTGGATTCATCCACTATTTTCATTATAATTACTAATCATGACGTCTGAGGCTCCACCAACCCACAGAAAGTATATAAATCACTGCACGCAAACTTCCTAAGTAAACCCAACCTGTTCAACACCACCAATCCCGAGTTGCAAATGACATCACTACTAATGCAGGTGCGTTTTGACATGTCTCACAATACTTATACTTATCCTTTCAAAGCAGAATTAACAACTGGAAGCTGACTAATCAAAGGATTCACATCAATTCCTGGTATTTTCTTAGACACTGGTTTGAATTGTACGTTCATGACAGCTGTTGAATATATATATGTCTTAATAATTGTTGTTCCAAACAGTATGCCTCGAAGTTGTGAACAACTTCGCCAGTGCCGAACCAGCGGTCAGCAATGCATTCTTCCAACAGTACTTCTATATTTTCCTAATAGAGATGCCAGTGTAGTTCGGTCGTTTACTCTGTATACTTCATTGCTCGAATATCACATGTGCAATTAACTAGCTCTACTTTTTTCGTGCATTTATCTTATAAGGTTCGAAAAGATAATATAGGCCATACCTACAATAAGGCTTTGGACCAGGACAATCAGGCATGTTCTGTCTGTTCAGATATGACTACTGTTACTGGTACCAATATAGCACCATCGGAATCCTCAGCTCGAACGGCAAGACCGTTCTGGTAAGGCCTATCACCTTGGCCGGAGCGATCATAATGATCAGGGCCTTCAGACAAATCGGCCGCATCATAATGCCATGTGTACTCGGACATCTCAGGGCTATCGCAACAATTATTCTGAATAAAACCTGGTCTGACCTGTTCGCAATCTTTTGTATCTAATCTGATGCTCCGTTTTCTGCCAATCTTATCAGACCACACTCGGCCTAACCATGGAAAGTGGATTTTTCCGACATACTACTCCGTATATCAATATATCTGCACTATTATACTCATTTTCATTTACTTTTCTCAAGGTTCGCATAAGAAGTGTCAATTCCAAATTGTTCTCGGTGGCTTCGGCGCAGTCTTACTTGCTATGGTCATCGCAGATGATGGTGTTTATCAACTATGCTTGGAATCATGGAAACAAAATTTAAACTTACTCTGATGTGACGCGTAAACAAGCTGCCGTTATAAAACCAAACGGGTCGATCGCACAGACACTTGCAATTACTCCAAACTGCTCTTCCGTCACTCCGAGTCTTATGTCAAATCACAAGAAAATTCCGTTACAAGCGGTATTTTGGGCCTATATTTGACAAACATATGCATAGGTGTGTCACATTTTCAAAAGGAGAATAGAAAAATACTAAGGGAAATCATGTGAGTCATAGGTAACATAGATATATCTAGCCCTCCTTCATTTAATCATGATTGTGTTCATAAAGCCTTTCTTTCACATATTGGGCATGGATACATATCCCCTTTTCGGGAGTCGTCGAACGGTCCTCTTCTGCAAGCTGCTGGGGCAGGCAGCCTCGTCCTTTTTCTTTGGAGCCAATGACTTTACCTTATCGAGTTTCCTGTCGCCTTTCTGCGAGTCATCTTCGTCAGAATCATCGCTATGATCTTCCGAATCCTCAGAATCCTCAGAAACCCTGCCTTTCCCCGCATCTTTCTGCTGACCCAACAACTTGACTGCCTCCCTCATAAACGTCTTCTTTTCCTCTTCAACCTGCCTGCGTTTGATCTCTCCCTTGCTCAAATCCGGGCCCTGACCGCTTGGGACGTATCGAATCATATTATCAGCACGCTCGAAACGGCCTGACCATTGAAATATATCCATATCCGCTTTAAAATCCCGCACTTCTTCATCTGTCAGGTTGTGGAGTCTCGATTTCCTGATCAGAGACGGTGCAGAGCCAGGGAAGCGTACGTCGCTGGCGTCCCACGAATCGAAGAAACGCGACTTTGCATCGGTAGTAAGCTCGATGGAAGCAAGAGTGGAAAGGGAAGTCCCGTCAGAGGAGGATTCGCTGAAACTGCTTGAAGTCGCGGAACAGTTCGTAGAGGCGACGTTGGTGACAGATGAGGTTGTGGAGGATGACTTCATTGTGAGTGTATGTTTTTGACAAGGTCGAATTTTGAGGTCACTGGCGGATTGGACTGGAACTGATTGATGCTATCTCTGCATTGCGGGCGTGTTTAAATGGCTCGCAAATATACGCTTTGAATGTTGCTTGGACTGACACCCGCTTTTTGATCGTAGAAGACGCTTTGATTTTCATCCGCTTTACGATGATGTTCATGCGAACGCTTTGGCCATTCGCGCGTGGCACCCACAACAACGCTTGCGACATCGTGCTTTAACGCTTTGGCCTGCCTTAGCCACTCGACGATGGCCTTTTATTGTTCGCAATGGCCTGAAGTAACTTATCATTGCATTTTTCGTGATAGCCCGCTCATATACTACGACATGACGTGAATAGATAGTCACCTGTTTGCTGTGAAATGGTTCTTCCAATCCCAATCTCCAACAAATGCAGGGGCCGCCAGCCTTCGTCTAATTGAAGCACTCCCCTGCGTCCATGTCTTCTTTCGACAATGGAGCCTCAGGAACACAAACGGCTCTACCCTTGTATTCACAGTAGTATGCCTTGCCACCCATGTTCGTGCAGTTTTGTGAGGAGAGGAATCCAATAGACCTCGAGGGATCGCATCTAAGTATGTCAATAAAACCCCACAGTGAGAGGCAGAAAACAGCACCCTTTCTCGATATATTGCTCACTGGTAAGCTTGATACCGCCGTTTGTGCAGTTTATGACCTTTGTTGGTGAGTGCCTGGCCGATTTCCTTGGGTTGAAAAAATGCTCACTGTTACGTTCAGAGCAGTCACTGCAGAGGTTATGAGAACAGTGGATATAAGGAGTCTCTTAAGATCCTGCATGTTGATTGTGTTGGGATTTGATTGAACGGCGGTAAGGTAGACGAGAGTGAGGAAGTTGCTTGTGTCGAGTATTTATATGTAGGTGGGTGATGAGTGGCAGTACAACTAATGTATTGGAGTTCTTGAAATGCCAAAGGAGCTAGCTCCACCAGCTCGATCCCCGAATGAGGTGAGACAAAGAGAGCGCAGTAGCGCTGCATGCAGACTCAGCCCAGCTATTACCATACCTAGTTGACCAGGAACAGGAGTTAGCATCGAATCTTAATTCTTCCTCGGTCCTACAGGTTATAGGCAGATTGAAGCTATTGGCGAACTAAACATGGATATACCATTGTGACCGATTTCTCAGCTTGTACACCATTTCGGCCCATCTTTAGTTGAGCGTCTGAGTGTCGCTTACCGAGTCAGAGGAACGCTCTGGATATCTCCATTTTGCATTGTCAATACTTCTGATGGACCCGCGAGTCCAATCCAATCGGGAGGAAGTGCTTGGGCCCTCAGAGACTGTAGGTTTCAAATGTTGCAAAACACTCGTAGGGTGCTTACCCAATGGGACGCAGGCCTATTTTGCGGTTTGTGGATAGAACCAACTATGGTGCCGTGGTTCCTGCATGTCATTCATGGAGGAATACAAAAGTTAGGAATATACCAGGGCGACCTCCAAAGAGAAATCCAACAGTGTAAAGAACAGAGAGATACACCATCTGAGGAAGTAAAGAACAGAGACAGAGTAACGTCACGACCGTCAGTTTTGTGCTTACAGTGCACAAGAAGCCGGTGAACGTCTTAGTCGTCAGTTTACGGTGGCAAAATAGCTCGTGGATATATGGAATACATCAACTTACATAGGCGGAAACCATTGTTATCACAATTTACTTTTCCATTCACTCGCTTTGATCATGATATCTCCCCTTTTCCCTACTATATCACTGACGTGTTTAAATCCACATAAGCCCAGCGTAACATGCAAATCGGCCAAAGTCTGCTGCAAGATCTGTTCTACACCCGCCTGCCCTGCGATCGCTAGACCATACATGAATGGTCTCCCAACTGGAAAGAAGAGAAATATCAATACGACTTGAGAATCAGTAAGGAAAGAATGAGTCATTGGTACGAACTTAGAACGCCCTGGGCACCTAGCGCAAGTGCTTTGATGATATCGCTACCTGTGCGTATTCCAGAGTCGAAGAGAACAGTGAACTTGCCGGATCTCTGAGCTTCCAAGACCTTGCGCGACTGGCAAATTCGGTCCAACGCATCCAGCGAAGCGATAGCACCGTCGACTTGTCGGCCACCTATAAATGGGAGTGAGTATTTGTCTCTCATCCAGGGGATTAAGCGTGTTTACCATGATTAGATACGATGATCCCATCTACATTCATTTCGATAGCTTTCTCGGCATCCTTTATAGGAAAGTAAGAATGCAGTACAGGCGAGACTGTTTGTTGACGTACTTTTACACTTTGCAGACCCTTCAGGACCAGTGGCCCATCCCAGTTATCTCTCAGAAACTTGATGTCGTCCCAAGTCCTGAATACCCCAGGATTAGCCTCCGAAATCCACTCTTTGCTCAAAGCCATCATCTTCTTGGCCCCTTCATCCCCACCCACCGCGCGCTGTCGTATAGCCTGAGGGTCAAATGGGAACTTGGTGGTCTCGTGTCTTGGCTCCAGGCCATGTCGTGCCATAAACACAGGGTCGGCCACACCCACTTGAACGCCCACGCCATACACTGTCGGGAGGAACGCGGACTTGATCTCGGACGGACGCCATCCGAGGCGCATGGCGTCCACAGTGACGACTAGAGCAGTAAATCCGTTGGATTTCACTCTCTTCAACACCGACAGCGTCACGTCTGCAGTGCGAGGCCTGGGTAACAGACGGGTTAATTTACTATCCACTAAACGAAGAAAACGGAACTAGCCAGTAAAGTTGGTACCACCTGTGAGCGCTTGGGCCATTGGCCTTGGCGATATCCTCGATGGAACGAGAAGAAGCTGCACTCATAATGAAAGGTACCCCTATGTTAGCTGCAGCCCGTGCAGTGGCGAGTTCTCCATCTGCATGTAAGACACCCTGGGTGCCGATGGGAGCTACGAAGAGAGGTGATGGGTATTTTACGCCGAATATCGTAGTCTAGCATTCACATATAGCACCAATGTACTGTTGCGGCGATAAAAGCACTTGCCTCCATGTTCCGAACGGAAGCATCAGTCAACACTCTAGGAATAATCTTCCATCTGTCGAATGCTTTGCGGTTCGCACGTTTTGTGGAACCGGTCCCAGCACTTCCAGAGACATACAAATAAGCCGCTTATGAGGTCGACAATGGGTGAGTCATATAGCGGTTAGGTGAGAACGAGTGGGCGTACGGGAATCACGTTTGAGAACCTCCTGGGCTCTCTCGTCTATCTCCTTGATGTCGACGGTTCCCAGAACAGGTGGCTTCCCAGAAGTGAATATTTCCGAGAGATAACTTGACCATCTGTCGGGATGTGGTGCCTTGGGATCCATCGCTGTTCAAAGACAAGTTGATCTTATGGCAAAGGTAGTAACAGGGCACGGCGTGTCTTTTAAACAACTCGTGGCACGACAATGGCCAGTCATTCCTTAGCCGTCTATTTATGTAGCTCTAGATGAACTAAGTTAGAATATATCTTCTAGACCGAACAAGGAAACTCATGAGAATCAACCCGAGGAATCTCACAGATAGCACGTTGCTTACTAGTGAGCCCAAAGAAGGGAAAGTCATATGACGTTCTAACATGAGCCTCCGAGTCTAACGTAGCTATGGCTTGTAATGTCTGCAGCGTCACCTTTAGGAGACAGAGAAGGACTAAAAAATCGGATTTTGAGCGCGTGAATCATTGCCATTCTATTCCTATTAGCGAAAGAGGGAAGCTGTATCGAAACCAGACCGACGTGACCGAGTCAGACCGACCTTCCTTGCACGGTTATAGATATGTTTATAATTGAGAGCTATCTAGTATTGAAGAATTGCCAGTGGATAATAAGACATGGCCACTCTTCAGGTTATTTGATTCCAAGCCCCCAAGCATGACTTGTATTGAGGAAGTGATAGCGGGAATTGCCACGAGTGCTGATAGAACCCTAACCTCAGACTCCGCTTTGCCTCGCGGATGACGGGAACGGTGACAAGCTTTGCGGAACGCCATTGAGCCCATAACCACTCCCAACACGCTACGGCCATTCGAGCTCACGCGTTTCATACGACACCCCGGAGGCAATGAATATTGCACCCGCACCATCACTGCTGGTACCACTAACATTTCCAACCTGCGCCCAAATACGCGATCCAGGCGAACCTTCGTCTGATGCTAACTATGTTCTAGATATTAGTTGTTCAACAGAACACTCTACCTCTCTTGTTACCTGGGGATATGGCCAGGCAGTTCTAGGAGTGCAGGATTCGAGAACAAAGGGAGCGGCCATCGGAGGAGAGCATGGATCCATATACATATTCCATCCACCGCCCGTAACCCCGTCCCATACACGGACATCCACTCCCAGTATCCAATTGGTGGATCCGGCAGGAATATCCAGGCCTACCAGTCCAGCATCTCACTCTCGACGTCCCTCTCGCTCAGGACTTCCAGCGTCTCGTTCTGCTTCTCCTTCTTCACTCTATTTCAACCAAACTTTTTTGAACATCAGTCCTAGAGCTCGAATCGTGTCTGGGGTGTCCAAAGAACAAGTCGAAGCTCCTAAGAATTATGTCGACTATGAAGACGAGCCAGACAAATTAAAAGGCATGCTAAAAAGTAGGAGTTTGCGAGACCGTACTATCGCGGATACGCTGCTACCAAGTTTTGATAAAGGTGTTGTCATTGAAAAATCGCTTCCTCAATCTGCTTCCTCTCCTCCATCCATTCCAAGTGGCTCATTCCTCAAAAGAAAAGATGAAGCAAAATCACTTCTTTCAGCAATGAACTCCCCGACGATCTCATCTAAATCGATGTCAAGTCCACCATCACCGCATGTACTAATTCCGTCACCACTAGAACCAACGCTACCTTCGCATAATCTGAGCTTGAAGTGTCATGTATTTCCACCTCATTGTGGGCCAGGGCATGCAATATCGGATATGTGGATGTTCGAAGAATCGAATCTACTTCTCGCGCTACAGGAAACTGGGTAATTAGGATATATGCGTTAATATGTTATTATTATTGGGCTGACGTCCGCTTTGTGACAGTGATATTTCGCTGTTTAGGGTCCAGGACGGCACACGGGCTGCTTTTGTGCACCTAAACGAGCCTGTGCCTAAATCGACAGCAAAAAGCGTCTGGAAACATTTACGAGTAATAGATCTTGGAGAGGTGCGGCAGATATTTAGGTCTTTTCTCACCTATTTTAACATGTATATATGTCAAGAAAATCAAACTGATTCTCGCGTGTGCTGCGCTCTGTGAACATTCGCAGTACGAGGATGACAATGAGCACGAGCCTGCTCAAGAAAGCAGGCTTGTACTACTTGAACTCATAGTAAGTGAGGAACAAGGACTTTCGGAGAGTAAGCTAGAAGTTCTCGGTGAATGGCATAGCGAAGGTCCTGCCCAGTGCGCGAACATATATAAGGACAATAGTGAGTGACTAGTCAAGGCTTGGCGCCATCGCTGTCTCTTAAATCATTGGATTTTAGCTGGCTTAAATTTCCTTCACACCGATCGTGAAAACTGCATAAACATACAATCTATTCGCATTCTTCCCTCGTTTGAAGTCCATTTCAGTATTATCTCTAACCAAGGAGTCAAGCAACCGAATCCCGTTTCTTTGGCTATTACAAACGCATTTAAAGCCACCAAAAATAAATCAACAGAAGATATCACTCTCGAAGCAGAGAAGCAGAAAGAAAAAGCTAGCAGACTTCATCTCGGTGATGAACATGACGTAGGCGCATTAATGTCTTCTGGACCATTTTTAGGTCTACGGTCCCGGTTCGCGCTTGGTAAACTGTGGGGTCTGGTGTGGTCCTCTAGTGAGCTCACGGTGAGCACTTAGTGTCAATCCTTTTTTTCGTGTGATAGCTAGATTCAGCGCTTATCAGGCTTTCGACTATCAAGGGAATAGCATACGTGTGCTATTCACATTGACCCTGTCTAGAATCAAGGACGTGTCAATCGAGGACAACCATTTCGTCGTCATATGCGCGGTAAGATCAAGTAGTATTAGTCAAGAGGTATGTTATCTCAAATAGGAGTCATACAGGATCGTATAGAACGGTATCAACTTCATGCTGTGGATGCTAACAACAACGAGGTTGATATGTCGACAAACGAAACAGGAGTGAACTTCCAGTGAGTAGATTTACCACCCCATCAGGATTAAGAAAGTAAATGTGGGTGTAAAGGCCTAGGCTGGTGCGCTCGTCGACAGTAGAAGGCTATGAGGCGCTCCGATGTCTCTCTATGACTGAGGCGATGTGTATCAGAACAGGAAAAACAGGGCGAAAAGAGTTGGTGCTTGTTAATGAGGATTCCGGTATTTCAAATGGCGCAACGGTCTACTCTCGTTCCTTGTGGAAAGCCTTGATGAAAGGAAGCCATGCGCATTCCAATAGATTGACGTCCATCCTCCCACTTGAACTTAACCAGATCATACTGGGCTACAGTGAGTGTCGTTCACTACTCGTCTAGATCCATGGTCCTAGGCAATTACAGGTGATGGCCGCATCCGTCTATCCTCTCTTTCCAAATTGGCAGAAAAAGCAAACAAATCGATTTTTGAGAAGACATCAGATTTCCCTCTTGATGGATTCATCTGCAGTCTGCATTTAGTGCGGAATGATCGGACAAAGGAGCGTTTTGTCGTTGGAGGTGGAGATGATGGCAGTATCGGCACATGGTCTCTGGAGTGCGTCGACTCATAATCTATCGTGACTTCAAGAGCTATTCTAATATCTTCGGTCATCACAAGTTCACTCAAATTATGCGCTCGATGGACCGTATTCTTAACGCCTCTTGTACGGGTGATCCAGCTACAGAATGAAAAGGCTGGACCGTTACGCGGGTGTGCACTATGCGTCTCTGAAGATGGAACGATCGCTGTATTCGTGATAGATGGTTTTCAGTTGTTCGTACTACCGACGATTAACTATATACGCACTGACATCTCTTTTCTAGCCTCTATCTAATTCCAGGTTCTTCGGCGCCGTTGGTTAGAGTATGCATTAACGGTGATGACCTGTTACTCGTATATTCGGATGGCTGTGCCCGCTTGTGGGGCGTTCGCACTCGGGAACTTTGGCGGTCTACGACAGGTGAAAAGGCTGAGGAGCTCATAAACCAGGGTGGATGGATAGATCTGTGAGCCATGTGTCAATCAGGTATTCAAAAAAATGTTCATTTTCTTTGTAGATCTTTAAACGCCAAGGATCTTCCACCATCCACATCCATATCTGCCCTCCCGAGTTATCACACAGGGCTCGATTCCTGTTAGTTTCCTTTGCTTTTCATCTCTTGCAATCGTTTCTTACTGCTTTTAGTGTGCACCATTTCGCTTAATTTGGAGAGATTCCTCAAATACATCTCCATCACAGTGAAATCAGTAGCTAACGAGAAGACCCAGGGGTCATCGATAACTCAACTTCGTGCCATCTTATCCATAGTCTTGACACCTGGGCTCAGTCATGATGTAGACGAGATATGTGAAATCAAGCTGGGGATTCAACCTTCGTCGGGCTTTGCTGGTTATGGATGGTATGTGGTGTGCAAGTTCTTCGTGTCTTTCGTGAGCTTACAAACTCCTACTTTCAGCTACTCATCAACATCGTTGTTTCATCAAGAGAACCCCCGAGATGCTTGGTGTATATCCCCGAAGATATCGGCTGCGCGAGCTTTGGTGTTGGTCGCGTTGCTCAAGGCATTAGCGCTACGTGAAGGTCGTCTCCAAATTACTGACTTGATCTCAATGTATCTCATTGTCATGTTTTAGAGTTATATGAAGACTGCCAAACAGTCATCACATTCTATTCGACATCTCTTGCGCAAGCTGTGGGCACGTCCTTCCAGCCGCCAGATATTTCATTCCTGTCTCGACAGTGGTTCGAGTCTTCGAGTAAGCTTTATTTCGAATAGACAAGCCGAATTGTCTAAACCATTTCATAGATGAAATAAAGCAAGCTGCTCGTCTATTATTTGACGCTGGAGTAACTCGTTTATCAGACGAAGAAAACATGTCCTTGGTGGACGCATGGCAGCATCACCGTATGTACGATTGGCACCATCTTTTATTTATCTCATACATTCGTCTTGCAGTACCTTGCCTACAGCCTACCGCCGACAAAGAGTCTGCACGAGCTGCCCTCGCTCTTTTCGTTTGTGGTTTCATGGCGATTGAAAAGTACAGCTTGATGTCAACCAGGTAGAGCTCATGGTTTTAATGTAGAACTGGATGACTTATTCTTGATGCAGTTCCTTGGTTGATATTTCAAAGTCTATCGCCTTATATCTTCACGACGAACAGTCACCCCATCGCTCTCTAGCGATCGACTTATGTTCTCGTGGCTTCCATATCTGGCAACACTATGTTGATGCTATGGAGACGCTTCGAGCACTTTGCAGTCTAGCTACAAATTCACGAAAAGAGAACATATCGGCTCAAAATGCGGGGCCCCAGGCAAGACTGGCTGTTTTACAGATCGCGTCGAGCAATACGCCGCTGTTCATGACAACCTTGACGCTTGACATCCTCAACCCTCGCAACCTCGACCATCGAAAATCCATTATGCAGCTCGTTGCATTCTTGATCCGCAAGGTGCGTTGACATGCATCGTCTTGCCTTGTGAACTATTAGTGTGTCTTACGCGATAACAGAGACCTCTTGTGCTTTATCACAACCTTCCACGATTGATGGAGGCTGTAGTCAAGTCGTTAGATCCTAACTCAACTTCAAGCCGTGATGCAGTCCTGGACACTGCGACTGAAATATTGGGCCATGTGGTCAAGACGTACGTTCTCACCAGGACACAACTGTATTTTGCAGTTGACTCGCGTCTTTTAGATTTCCTACTGTCGATTTCCATATGGCCACGCAACGTCTTGCAGTCGGTACAAGCGAAGGAGCGTTTATCATGTATGATCTAAAGACTGCCACCCAGCTTTACGTTCTCGAGGCACATAAGAAACGACCTGCGGCATGTAGTTTCTCCCCCGACGGTCGAAGACTGGTCACCGTGTCTCTCGAAGAATGCGCAGTACTGGTGTGGAAAGTCGGATCCAGCTTCACAAACTTTTTCAACCCTGGTGCCCCTCCTCGGCAGGGCCATGGCGGTTCACAGCCATTCAAGACTCTAGCATTCAACGTTGGCGACGAAGGTTCGTTTTCAACTCGGGTCTGGGTGTAAACGACTCGCTGAATGTGTGACAATTTCTCAGCCAATATGACCATTGCTGCAACTCTCGAGTGGGTACGATTCGAGTGGCCTGCTGATCGTAGTGTCAAGCTGCGCATTCGCGAAAGCACACTTACTTTTAGCACATAGATATATCTGAATATCATCGCATCACACAACGTCATTCGACTTGTTAATATGTCATAACATCATGACAACCGTAAATGAATGTCCGTGAATTGTTCATTAACCCAAGAAAAGTCCCAACGGAGCTCTATCTGACGCACGGCATACAGCAAGCAAGCTATAACATTGTGCATCACTCGCGAGAGTACTCATGCGTACAGGTCACAAGCATCTGGACGCAGAGCACACCATTGGGGCTGCAACTGGATAGCATTCACACCACGCTGAACCATTCTGTACCTGATATCGTGCAGACGGGGAAGGGCTTCGGTAACGTTGAGAGCTGCACCGCCTGGCTGAGCTGCACTCCAGAAAATTTCGGAGGAGGTTGCTGCACGCGGCCAGACAATAGAATCGAGGTTCTGAGGGCCAGACTGCTCGGACCATAAGAGTTGCTGACCTATAGAAAAGTCAATAATCACATCGAAATGATGTGTTTGAAAGAAGGCGTACCCCCAAGTACGAGGTCATACTGAGCTTCAGTCAAGTTGGCAAGAGGATCGAACGTGTATGCCTGTGGTGGCGAATTAGTTGAGGATAAGGGAGTTAAATCTTAGAAAGCTTACATGAGACCATGTCTTGAAAGGATCACACCAGCTATTTCTGTATGTGGGATAAACAGTCAAAGAACGCCTGTGGGTGCATCTATCACGGTTACTTACCCATTGGGATCGTCACCGATCCATTCACCTGCACCACAGTCCTATGAAGGATTATCAGACAGTCGGATTTCAATTTAAAGTAAGGATAACTCACGAGATAGAAATAATCTGATGGTGAATGGACCATACGGAAGTTCTTCGCAGCAACGGCTGCAGCGTCATCGGAAGAGATCCATACCCTACAAGACACAGCATGAGCTAAGTTATTAGTATGATCATATAAACGTACATGACAACAGTATCGTTAGAGAGCGTCAAATTCCAGTCCAGTACCATCTCTGTTACAAACCTTTGAACAAAACTGCAGACTTCGACAAGGTACAGACACACCTTCCCAAACAACAGGAGTCTTTCCTTCAGAGATCAGCATACTGTGAGTAGCTTGTGTAAAGACGTTGAGAGCGTCATTCAATGTCATTCCAGTACTATTAAGCTCCTGCTGGGTTATGTAGTCTTGGGTGTAGCAATTAGTATTTAACTCGTCTCCACCTGTGCTGAATAAGGAGGAAGGTAAGGTTTTTGCAACAGAACCAATCAAGTTGGCGGTAAAGTTGGTGACTTCGGGTGAAGCAAGACGAAGTTGGCCAGCTGGCGGCTCGTTGGCGAAAGTAGCCCATGGGGATTCATCAAAGCAGGCAATGTATTCAGGGTGCGAGGCACCTATGATAGCAGTATGCCCGGGAGTATCAATTTCCTGACGGTAACGACAATGAGCAAAATTACTTATGACAAAAGCAGAACATCAACGAACCAAGAGAACATCGATGCCACGCTGACAAAAAGAACCAGAACGATGAGACTAGGTCAATCAAAAAATCCCAAGTAGACATACTGCACCAGCGTAAGAAACAATATATTGGACGTCCTCGGCGGTGTATACTTCTTCTGGGGAGTAAGCCCCATATGTAGCCAATTCTGGGTACTCGGCAACCTCGAGTGGGAAACTCTGACTGTCAGTGACGTGCCAGTGGAAGGTGTTGATCTAATAATTGACGTTAGTAAGAAATTACGAGCGACAACATTGAACTGACCTTGACCCAGCTCATGGCATCGAGGGTGCGCAACAAATCTGACACGGGATAACTATCATGCAAACCTATCAGCCATGCACTCGTGGTCTCTTTCTAATTGAAACCTACTAGTTCCTGGCAGTATCGAGACAGAATCCTCGGTAGGGCTTTTAGTTGAAAAGACAGTGAGCAGTAGCAGGGTCATCATTGAGTGAGCAACATACATAAGCAGGACTGTCGGTGATGGCAATGGGTGCCTCTATGGTGTAGCTAACTCCATCGTAGTAGTACCAGAGTTGTCCAAAAGTTGTCAAACCGCGGTAAAGGCCCAACGTCGAGTTTGCTGTCAAGGACGCAGCAGAGCCGTCAGACGGAATGGTAAGTATGTATTCTTCGCTTCGAGTTCCGAGGGGTTTTACAGCTTCTGTCGAGATACTTTCTACAACAGCACCCTCAGTGAGAGCCAGCGTCAGCGTCGACAGGCTCTGTGCTTGGTCAACAGTGGATTGATCAGACGATCCCCGGCCAACGACGAGACGCCCAAGCTTGTCATTCTTAAGATAGTACTTTGCTTGTTCTACGGCTTGAACTAGATCTGAAGGTGGGCTTGAGACGTCGAGCTCGAAGTTAAAATATGGAGAGAGTTTCAGAGCTGTGTATCCTGTGTCGAGCGCTCTTGGGACGGGCCACAGCGACAAAACGCCAGTAGGCAAGACTACAACACTGATCAGGAAAACCAAACTACCAAAAGCGCTGAGACGTGCCATGGTGGGGATTCAAGGCAAAAAATCATCCCTCTCCCATGTTATATGCGTACGGAAACATGCCATCTCAACATCATGTGGGCCTTATCATGAGACTTAACACGCTGCAGAATGCTAATTTTATGCACATTCATTCTTGTTTCGATGTAATTATGCTGTGAGAAATTCGCAGCATCAACAGTAATGATCCAGAGTCCCATCAAACTTGCCATCGCCGGCCAGGGAAAATTAACCCGCCAGATAGGTTCAAATACTTAACCGTCTGAGCGCTCCTCCTGTCGGGAGGGTCCAGGGGAAAAGAGCTAGGGTTACTTGCAAACGTTGATGGACAATCAAAGATCAAGCGAACATCTGGCCTCTACATCCTATAGCACCACAATAACATCGACCATATACAGCATCGCGTTTGACTTCCGCTTTACTAGGATCCTTCGGACGATCGATGATGAGAACACTGTAAGATACCCCGAAGCCTGTGATAAAAATAAAATACATACCTCATCATCAATTCCCGCGTATGAGAAGCAGAGTTCTTCGTAAGGCTCAACGTCTCGACTCGTGAATACCGTAAGCAACGGCTTGTCGATGTTGGCCTCGTTGATATAACAGGCAACTATGGTGCAGTTCGGATTGCAGCTGTGGTTCTGCATTTTACGTCAGCAAGCTCCGTCCAACCTAATAGACAAGTATACATACGAGAAAGCGAGTAAACTAGCCATCAAGGAACACATAAGTTATCATGTCAAACGAGTCATACAGATACGTACATTCCCCGCGTGGAAGGCATCCACCACATAGCGATTCTCCCACTCAGGCTCTTCATCGCTCGTGCCGAAGAGACCTTTCAGGTGAGAAAAATCTACATCAAAGAGATATGTTCTGCCAATTTTGTTGTAGACCCTTGATAGATGAACGACCCGATATAAGTAGGCAGGAACGACATGAAAGGTTCAATGATTGACTGACTTCCCCCGAATCTCGCCTTCTTGTTCGGTCAACAGCTCTCCAGCATAGATCCCGATGTAACTCCCTTTCGGAATCTTCTTAGTCCATGCAAAGACGCCTGAATTAGGAAAATAAGTCATATACAGCCTTCGACTCTATTGCGAAATGTAACATACCCCATCCCTTGTTTTCTGTCTTTACGATATTGACAGTGCATTTTCTCCCGTTTTGAACGACCTTCGAACATCGATTAGCATTTCTCACTTATAAAAAAACCCTCTACTCACCCTATTCGTACACTCATCATCGCACCCGCAAAATTTGTTACACTCGAAAATCGGGAAGTCTTGCATCCGCAAACGTCCTTTCTCATCGTATAGGAATCCCATCGCGTCCTTCTTATCGAGACTCCCTCCTTCTACATATTTGTCCAACCATTGTCGTTGTCTCTTCAGGCACACACAGCTCCGAGACTTAGGGTTACACTTTCCTCGACAGTTGCAGCTAGCCAGATTCTTGACATCTGGTGGGGGGATTCCTTTCCCATACCACATTCGATTCGTGTAATGAAACTCCCAAGGCGGGGTGGCTTCCTCGTCTACTTCGTTATAAATCTGTATACGTGGCGCATCAGGTTCGTCGTCTGTATTTTGCTGTATAGCTTCTTCGAAGATGATACGAGCATTGTCAGAATTCCTGAAGTCGTCGCTCATAGAGTTCATACGATCTTCCAATGAATGGGGAAGATCTTTTGCCAGGTGATATGCCAGTGGACGTTGCTTAGCAAAATAGACATAGTTTTCCCATCTGACAATGATATGCCCGGCCAGCGTTGGCAAAGGCTTGCCATTGACCATATACTCTACGTCGTTGTCGCCTATGATATCCATAGGATCCACGGAGGACGGACGGCTAGAGACCAATGATCTTCGCGACGACTCTGCCCTGCTTGACACTACAGACGAGGATGCCATACCATTGGCATATCCCTCAGAATGCTCTGACATTTGCTGACATTTACATTTTCAGTGAAATTGGTTCGTGCTAGCAATGATTTGGTACTGACCTCAACGCTGGGAATCTCAGCCTCTACAAGATGAGCAACTTCTTCTTCGGACGAGTCTCCTGATTGAGGAACCACCGATTGGGCATGTCTATTATCCCTTTCCCGCGCGGTTTGTTCCGCCTCCCCTTCTTCTTGGTCCTCGTCGGAAGGATTTGAGTCAATGACAAAGGGAGACGCGGAAAGAGCTGGAGTTGGTAGAGAATGAGATGCCGTCATAAAATCCGTTTCATGCACAGGTAAATGTATCTTGCGTCTAAGGACTACACGCCGCAAGTTTTGGTGGTCAACATCAGAATCAGGGTGGGACGGAGACGAAACGGGAACAGGTGCACTATTTGGTGCGGGAATAGCGATTGTCCCCTCAGTAGTAGGCGAAGTCTATCGCAACAAATTCAAGATTCAGAATTGACAGGAAAAAAACACTGGCTAAAGCTTACCGATAACATCCTTGAATCTACGTCGTTTGTTGTATCGATACTATCCATCTCGTGATCAGATTCCACAGTGGATAGCTGAAGAGACTCCCTAGGCTTGACTGTAACAGTATGAATGATGTCGTCCTCTGGCTCTGGCACGTCCGAGTCCATTAGATGCTGAGGTTGAATGAACTCTTGTAAGATTCGCATTTGATCATCCATCTCTACATCTTCATCTTCATCCGGAGATCGGGCTATGACCTGACAAGAGCCTCGAGTTGTAACGATGTCGGACGGTGTATCCGCGATCTCCTCTCCCAAGAAAGCCTCTAGACTTGCCGCCAATTCTTCCGAAACAGGTGAGTCCTGATGCAAGCTTCGAACTGCATCGGTTTCGTCCGGTGCATCCACGATCTCTTCTCCCAAGAAAGCCTCTAGACTTGCCGCCAATTCTGCCGAAACAGGTGAGTCCGGATGCGAGCTTCGAGTTGCATCAGTTTCGAACGGCGTATCCTGAACCTTTTTTCTCAAGAAAGCCTCTGGCATCTCTTCCTCTTCAACCGAAATTCGAGGCGTGTCCTGACGTAAGCCTTGAGCTGCGTCATGGTCGGACAGTGCACGCATCTCTCCAACATCGCTACTCTGGAAAGTGTCCAGATCCATGTTGCTGGGAGGAGACCTGGACGGATGCATCGGAGTTTTCGCCAGCACTGAATCGGGTGCTAGTGAATCTGAAGGTGGGGGAGAAGGCAAAATACCGAGATTAGAAAGTGAATGAGTATGAGGATTATTAGAAGCCTGCCGTTCAGCAGGAGGAAGATGTATGCGTGGCGATAATGGCTGAGAATTTTGACTTCCGCTGCTTTCGTTCGACGATTCTACATGCGTGGTCGTATTCGCATTACACATTGAGACAAGAATATGGGATCGTTTGTGGTCAAGGGATGCAGATATGGGATTGAGCGATGAGGTGGAGAGACTAGGTGAATCAGAGGCGTGCGGATTTGTGGAATGAAGGGCAGGGCCGAGAATTGTCGGCGTGTTGGTTGAAACTTTGCTAACTGTATCTTTTGCTAGGGTACTTTGCTTATTCTTAGAAACTGATTCGAGATCCAATTTCATTAAAGACTCAAAATTAACTTTGTTAGAGCTTCTCTTGATATTTGGGGAGTGGAGGGTGCGGCTGGTGGGCGTTGCGGAAGTAGCGGCCTGCGAAGGGGAGCGTGAATTGATATCATGCAATCGTGACCTTCCAGGGGCAGGTCTGCTAGACGAGGGGCTGTAACCCAAAGACACAGGGGAACCGTCACTTCCCCGCGCATTGCCTGTGGGAGACATGGTAGAGCTGGTGCCTTGTCCCGAAGGCTCTCGCCTGATGTAAGAGGAAAAAAGATCTGAAGAGGAAAGCCGCTTGCTCTTCTCTTTCCGCTCGCGTCCAAGCGTGGCTTGAGGCCCAGCGAGGCTGGAGGACGGGCTGTGGGCAGGTTTCCTTGTAGAACGGGGAGGTTGGATGAGGCTGATGGAGGGAGTATGATCAGTGGATCTAGGGGACTGTTGCGACAAGGATATCTGGCTCGAGGTGCCACCTAAATAGAAACGTACAAGATGAGCAAAGCAGAGCCTTGAAATGGAGACGATGTAGGAAATTCACCAGATTTCTCGAGAGGTGCACTTAGTACAGCATGCTTGCGACTCTCTGCTAGAAGTCTCTCGAAGACAGCTTGGCCTGGGTCGTCCGCAATAGGCAACTTGGGAGGAGGAGGGGTCGGGTGGACGTCGTCATCCAGAGTCAGGTCAACCACTTCTGGCTTGTTGCGGCGACGTGCTCGGTCAGCTGCCTTCTGCAAGTGGGCTGCACGCACCTGGTTCATGAGTTCTGGCAAGGTAAGGTCTGGGCCAGATCGTCGAGGGACACGAGGGGGAGGTATGATCTTAGACTGGGATGGCTCAGGAGCTTTCGTAGCAGGAAGAGAAGACAATCCGACGGATAGACTACCCGAGGAGGCAGGCCGCTGTGGGCTCGGGTATCGTCGAGGGACACGAGGGGGAGGTATGACCTTGGACTGGGACGGCTCGGGAGCTTTCGTAGCAGGAAGAGAAGACGATCCGATGGATAGACTACCCGATGAGGCAGGCCGCTGTGGGCTCGGGTAATCCATCATTCCTAAACGAGATGGAGGGACGACTCTAGCAGGCACCTCAGATGATACGGAAGGAGCGGGAGATTTGGGTAGACTTGGAGACTCAGCGAGAGCTGGTTTGGTTATGTGATGAGTCCTTTCGTTTGGCATGGCTACCTCCGTAACTTCTGGCCGCGTTGACGCACCCATTCCCTCAACTAGAGGGACAACTGGCACCCCAGGCATGGACTTGGCAGGAGTATGGAAAAGGGGATATGTTAAGGTTGGGCTCGATCCATCAGAGTTTGAGACGGAAGATAAAGGCTGTGCTGGAGCAGCATCTGTAGACACACTGAACTCCTCCGAATGTACCATAGACGGACGCGGCAAGGTAGCGGTGTTTGCATGCTGAGCTGGACTTCGAGTTGAAAAGAAAGTCGGTTCGGCATACAAATCACCAGAATCAGAAGCCTCAGCATCTCTCGTCGTGTCGTCCATTTCAGGTCCTTGCATGACCTGGTCCATTTGAGCCATCTCAATGTCACTGTGAGGACCACCCCACGATATGTGATCTTCATCCGGTAGATTCGATGTTGTATCATCTTCCATTTCAGGCCCAGTAATGCTGTTACCTTCGCTCGTCCTTGCAATTGCAATTTCAATATCCTTATCCGATGGAGCGTCAGATCGCAGCGGGTGTGAGGACATGGCCGTAACTTCCTTCTCTGGCGCAACGCAAAGTTGCTTCATTTCTCCACTCAGATTTGCTAATCCACTCTCTCGACGTATCGAGGAAAGAGGTGCTTTGGCTGGAGACAGATTTACTGGTGGTGACATCCCATTCAGAGTTTGTGCAAGGCGCGAGGTCCCAAAGTTCTCTAATAGAGCAGAAGACGACGAGAGAGGAAATGGGGGGCGAGGCACGATCATTGGTGTAGATTGTGCCTTGTTATTAGGGGTGCTAGTTAAATCTCTAAATGGTATGCTTGAGGATGGAGCAGATATAGACGATGACAGACGCTGGGACTGAGTAGACGGAGACAATTGTCCCAATGCACGGGAGAAGAAGCTTGTATTACACAAAGGTCCTTTGACTCGAATTTCGTTGATGCGGAGGCGAGGTTGAGTAGCGGTGACAATTGGCTGAGCTGCCGCAGGATATTCATTCGTGGACGTGGTCTCTCGGGGATGACTGGTAAACGGACTAGGCGAATGGACGCCTGCATCGACTACGCTTCCATTGGGGGTTGAGGGAGACGGGACGGCGGGATCAGCTACAGGAAGGAAAATTGACCGACGAAGAACAGCTGGTCGTGGGATTGGCGGCAGAGGCGTTTTGTGCGTTGGGATATCAACAACAGCCGAGCCCTGTTCATCATCTGGTGTAATTGGTAAGGCTGTAGTTCCAGAAGCAATAATGGGCACTGGACTAGGATTCCGGCTTTGCGGCTGAAACATTGGAAGATCGTCAACATCTCCTGGTGGTAAAGTCTCTTTCTCGTCTGAGGTCTGAAGTGAGATTACCTCGCGAGCATTCGAAGCTGGTAGACGTGATGCGCTTGATGGCCCTGATTGTACTTGTATGCGTTTTGGAGCCGGCTGATCTTCTTCTTCAGAATCGCTGGAGAGTACGATGACTTCAGAAGGTTGCGAAGGATCGGAGACTTGAGAAGGGCGCTGTGCTCTGCGCATGTGGTCAGCATCATCAGAATCTGTCACCTCAATCACGTCTTTGGCTTTGGACCGCACAGGTAGCGACTTTGTGGACTTTCTAACGGCTATAGTCAGATTAGTTCTCGGAATCGAATCTGCAGGAATGGCAGACACGTACTTTTCCTGACGCGCGTTGTAGCTCCAGAAGCCGCTGTGAAAATCGGCTCAATATATGTTCCCTTTGATTGGCAGTTTAGCTTACCGGATTTTTGGGCATCCTTTATAAATGACTGAGTGGACACTCGTCTTCCGGAACGAATTCGTTTCTTCGCTTGCTCTTTGCGCTGAAGAGGCTGTGAAAGTGACTCCATTCGATCTATGGAAGGCATGATGCGATCCTCGAGAGAGGAGCTTCTACTACGTGAACGTCCTGTGGACGATTCCAATAGATGTGTCAGCCCATTCAGATCTAATTGAAGGGAACTATTACACTTACCTTGAGGACGAGCCTCCTCGCGCGACTTGAGGGCTTTACTTTGCTGACTTCGAGAGGTAACACTGGCATGTGCCTTCCGTTTTCTGTTCGGGATGATTGCCGGACCATCGTCGTCGTCATCTGAGTGTGTGGATGCGATGCTGGAACCAGCGGTGTCTGAATATGATATTTGAACCTGGGTATGTAGATAGGAAACCATAACTCTTACTTGATAAAACGGTCCAGTGTGGTATGAGAGGCGAGACAGATCGTCTACCGGGCATCTGGAAGAAATAGGGCAATGTAGCAGAACCAGCGATAAGAAAGCGATGCGTGCCGACGAAAGCAGTGGCGAAGAGTCGTTTAATGGCACTAGGGCACCAGAAACAAGAGCGAGCGAGCTGTATAAGCGAACAAAGTGCCTCGATATACTGTGACAGTTGATGACAAGCATGAAAGGAGATTATCACATATATGTCAGGAGGATTGTTGATATCCACGACGGACTTACACGCAATGACTATCACACTGTAACTATCACTTTGCTGATGACCACGTCGATGTGGTTCGGGAACAAGAGCTAGTCGTTACTAGCCATCCACTGGGACGTCTTTGCTACCTTCAAGTTCGAAGTCGAGGCTAAGGACGCGTGTAACACGTGTGACATCCTCGTCACAACTTCTCCAAAAGGCAGCCACAACGTGCTATCAGCGCTGACCAAAACGCCATTGAGTGCAAAAGCAAAACCCCACACAATCTCATGATCCCAGAGAATAAATCATAGGTAGTACCTATCAGCTATGATGCTCTAGAACATGTCTGTCTTAGTTTAAATAGCTTGTTGATTTGGTGGCAATGATGGTAGTAAGCTAGATCCAGTATCAAGTACACTCAGAGTTTAGCAGAAGCTCATTCCGGCCAACACTGGTACTGAACTGAACACTGAACTGCAAGCCAAGCTTTATTCAAGTTGACAATGATACAGACAAGCAGACACCAGACAATGCTCAATTAATTAAACGATGTCCGCTCATATAATATCTACTGTTCTTTCTTCTCCATAGCACCTCTAATCTCGCTCTCTGCTACCATACTCATGATCTGGGCCTGATCCGCGACACCCTTGAGTACATCAAGTACCTGTTTATTTCCACTCACAAACCCAAACTCAGCATAAGTAAGCCCTTGCTCCTTGGCAAATTCTTTCACAAAGCCGCTAGCTTGCAGAAGATTGTGCCGTGGTAGACGCGGAAAGAGATGGTGGGTAACTTGAAGATGTAAACCACCATGAAGGAAGGAGAGCGCTGGAGGGCAGATGACGTCCGTAGTCGTCCTCAGCTGACGGTGTGGGAACGACTCCATAGGCCCGAGGTCCTCGGTTGACATCGAAAAGTGGGAAAGGACGAACTATAGGGTACGAGTCAGGACCACATAACATGATGAGATTGAAATTAAGATTTATACCTGGACATGCAAAGGAGCCGTCACGAAGTGGCTGACTAGTAAATAAATCAACGCTTTAGACCAGCTTCCACAGCCTATCAACACCGCTCCAAACCAGGTCCAGAAAAATAATAAACCTATAATTTCAAGCCACCATGACCAACGTCCGCCCTTGGCCCTCTTGTGACCGAAAGCTCTCCGAAATAGAAATCCGTAGGCTAACACATATAAGTTAAACCGACCGAATCCTAGAATGACGTAGAAAAGTTTGTGTTGAAGAGAAACGACGAAGGCAGTGAAGCGATTGAAAGTCATAATACGTTTGTAGTAAGATGACCATAACGAATTGAAAAACGCAGTGGATATAGCCAGGAAGGGTAAATGTTCGATATCAGGATCGCTATGTAAACGAGGATGAATAACGTTAATATGATGTTTATAACACAAAGTGGACCAACTGTGAAGGATGGTTCGTTACCACTGTAACCTGAGTTAGGGACGCAAATTAAGGTGACAAAGAGAGACGTACAGTGGTGTACATTGTGATTCTTGTCGAAATAATGAGAAAAAAAAAGCACAATTGGTAAAATAATAAAAACTAGGACTCACATCGACCCACCAACCGACACTCAAGCCGCCAATAAAATCTGCAAGTACGATGGCGATAAGGCGATCTACCGTCCAGTTATGTGTGACGCCCATGTGTCCCAAGTCGTGTACAGTAAAGACAAGCTGTTGCCATAGTAAACCAAGGCAGATAGCGCTTGTTATAAGCCAGTTATGGGTATAAGCGATCGCTGATATAACGGCCAAGAGGGCATAACGAGCAACTTCGGGGCCATAGCCCGTAACATAGCAAGTTTGATATAGGCCAGCATCGATGATACGTTTGTGAAGGCGTTTATAAGCTGCAGAGTGCTGCGATTGTACTTGGAGAGATAACTCGGTGGGGGCGAGGATTAGATCAGACATAGTGGGCCCACGAGTCTGCGCCAGTGCGTTGTGACCTGTTTCTGTTTCAATGAGGAGAACTTCAGAAGGAACGGTGTTATGCGCGACGTTTGCTTCGCGAAACCATTCTAGTTGACCATCACCACCAACTTTCCTGGTCCAACCTACCATCGTGGGTGGAACGAACGGTTCCCAGCCGTGCTCTGTTGTCTCCACCGTTCCCACTACATAACGCGACGTCCGAGTGATACGCATCTATTTCGTCCGTTGCATCGCGTCCTACAAAGTGAAGAATGGCGAGAGAACCACCGGGATGAGCGTCGAGCCATGCTTGGGGGATAGAGAGAAGTAGCTTGTTGTAAATGACCAGCGTTTTGCCAGCCACAATCTGAGCTGCGACTTGCTCTCGGGTCCAGAGTGCTTTGGTAGTACCCATCTATAATGCCTGGAATGGTCCTCAAGCTCAGATGAACCTAAGTTAAGTATTTTCCGAGTCGCTGTCAGGCCATTGTACGAATTTATGTAACAATATCGAGCGCAGTCACGGCAAGAGTCTCGAAAAACAGAGCTGCGGGCTGCGGGGTTGTGTCACTGGCACGTCCCGTCACAGAAACATAACGTGAATTATACTCACGCACGCGCTCTATCTGTTACACCAAGCAGGACTCATCGCTCTACTTCTCGTCCTTTTTCTGTCGTTTATCATGGCGAGTCTGAACAAACTAGCTATACGCGGAATACGCTCTTTCGACGACAAGCAAATATCTGTCATTGAATTTTTCTCTCCAGTAACCGTCATTGTGGGGCATAACGGCAGTGGCAAAACGACGATTATAGAATGCCTCAAATATGCAACCACGGGAGACCAACCACCAAACACCCGTGGAGGTGCTTTTGTTCACGATCCAAAAATGGCCAATGAGAAAGAGGTGAAAGCCCAAGTGAAACTACGATTTCATGCTGCCAACGGTACTCGTATGCTTGCCGTACGTAATTTGTCGGTAACAGTAAAAAAGACGGGGATGACGATGAAAACATTGGAGAGTATACTAGCGCTTGCAGACAGTAATGCTGATAAGGGAGGCAAGGTATGTTGTTGCAAGCTGCGCTCTCGCCACACTCTCAGGAAGGATGACAGAGAGGGGCTATCTCCACGAAATGTGCTGAAATGGACGCTGAAATACCCCATTTACTCGGTGTCTCGAAGTCGGTACTTGAAAATGTTATCTTCTGTCATCAGGAAGACTCCTATTGGCCGTTAGCCGAACCTGCAGCCCTCAAAAAGAAGTTCGATGATATTTTTGAAGCGACAAGGTATCTTATGCATGTAGAGAATCTCTGCAGAGCATATAATTTATACAGATATTAGATACACGAAAGCACTCGACTCCATCAAAGCTCTTCGAAAAGATCGTGTTGCAGAACTCAAGACGGAGAAAGAACGACTCGAATCTCTGTCAAAGGAAAAGGCTCATGCAGATAAACTGAAGTCTCGAATATCGGAGTTGAGCACCACAATTACTACCAAGCAACTTGAGCGCGAGGAGACAAAGAAAGTGTATGACGAACTTGTAACAAGTAACAAAAGCTTTTATGAGCATGCAACCAAATTTCGGGAAATGTACATCAAGGTAGAGAATCTAGAGCAGAAGAAGCAGCATTATTTGCAAGATTTCTCGAGTGCGAAGGAAAATGTGCCAGAAGCGGAAGGAAAGTATTAGCCGTTTTTTTTGTTGCGAAAGTTTTTAAAGTGGACTTTTGGCTAATACAGGGACTGATGAAGAGCTTCAAGAACGTCTCCGGAATTTTGACGATCATATTGTTCAAGAAAAGCAGAGAAAGAGAAAAGAAGAATCACAGCGGCAGGACTTAGAGGATGACCTCGCCAAAGCTCGGAAAACTCATGTGCAGCTTATCAACGAGCACGGCGAGCTGGCTGCAGAGGCCAAGGTATGCTGATTTATTATATCCTCGATTCCTCTAACTTTAATGGATGGATAGGCACAAGAACGTCGCATATCCGAACGAGAGGAGCTAATACGCAGAATTAGTGAAGCTCATAACATTAAAGGATTCAACCATACTCCTTTAGAACGGGAAAAAGTCGTTGAATTTATCTCACGATTAGCGGACCTTCAGAAGAAACAGAAGATGGGATACGAGAAAGTTCAAGTAATATCATCAGTACTTTACCCACCTTTGCAGACTGACAGACTCTTTTATATTATCACCAGAATGAAACCCACGCAAAGAATGACGAATACAACCACCGGTCCCGTCAGCTTCACACGAAATTAGAGGGTCTGAAGCTGCAGAAAACTAACACTAAAGAACAGATTGTCTGTTATGTATTCATCCTGCTGCTTGACCAATTTAATGACTGTTTTGGCGGCAGAGCGAGCGCCAAGCCTCAATCTTCAATGCAGAAGCTAAATTGGATGAGTCTCATGCTCTAGCCAGTGAGCTGCGGACACTAACCGGAGACGTTGAAGAGAAGAAAGTACGACTCGAGAAGATAAAGTCCGATATGAAAAGTGCGAGTTACGATGAACGCTTATCTGAGAAAACTTCAAAAACACGAAGCATGGAGGATCGTCGTGATAATTTGAATGCAGAGATACGTGCCCTGAGCTTGCAGGCCGACGCTCGAGCGATGTTGGAATTGAAGAAAGGCGAGCTGAAAAGCAAGGCAGGGGATATAAAGAACACGTACGTGGTATTGTGATCCTCGCGTATGCATCACACTCACTCTAAAGTAGGATTGAACTATGCAAGTCGAAGTTCCGTAAGCTTGTAGGATCGGAACCTCAAGCAAACAGCATGGAACGTGATGTTGACCGCCTTGCAAGGTGAATTGAACGGTCTATCCGATCCAGGGGATGTTCTGATTGTACGTTCCCTCAGAGACAAAGACGAAGAACATGGGGAAGCCGAAAGCACTTCTGCCATTGCCAACAAAGAGCTACAGCAAGCAGAAACTAATTTATCTCATGCTAAATTACAAGCGAAGATCAAACGGGACGAGCTGAAAGGTTAGTCATTGTTAGCTCATCTCGCTTTATTAGGTTTTTGAGCAGTCACGGTTTTTCAGGCTATGAAAAGAGGCTCAAGGACGAACTGGACGGTACTGACCTTGACACTGCTATAAAGGATGCTCAGGAAGAGATTAATGTTCGTCAAGAGTACGTACAGCTGTTCACATTCCTGTGACCATTGTGATCCTAACGATGTATGGAATTGTAGAATCAGCGGTAAAAATACTGGAACCAGTGAAATATACGAGGATTTGTTGAAGGTAGGAAAAGCAAGGAAGTTATGTACCGTTTGCAATCGTCATCTCGACGATCAAGAGATGGCCACTTTCGAAAAATCTGTTCGTGCCTATAACCTATCTGAATTGTTGGATATTGACCTGCCGTCACATCATCAGCTAAATGATTTCATGAAGAAAACCTCACCCGAGGCCATTGCAGCCAACAAGGCTGAGATCGTTGACTGGGAAGAGGAACTGGCTGGTTTTCAAGCATTAGTGCCAATCAAAGCATCTCGAGATCGCCTCAAAAATGTCGAACTGCCTGCCTTGGAGAAACAGATCCGGGATCAAGAATCCCAACTCCCTTCCATTAGTGAAAAGGCCGAAGAGGTAAAGGGATGTCATTGTAATTTAGAAGCTTCCTCACACTCCCAATTATCCAGGCTTCGCAGAAACTAGCTGATCTAAAGAAGGAGATAAGAGAGATAGCAGCACTGAAGCAACATGCTGTCAACGTCTCACGAAATCAAAACGAGATAGAACGTTTGAAATCAGAAATAAGCACTCTGGAAAGTGACCTTGCAATGGCCGGAAGCACCAAGACGTCAGAAGAAGTGCAGCTCGAACTCGATGCTCTATCAGCAGACATGTACGTACCCGATATTCTCGAATGCAGAGTCTCCGTAAATTATAGTATGACATAGACGCACAAATGAAAGGGAGAAACAAGCTATCATGACTGAACGGGATCGCCAGAATAACTCGTTGCGAACGTTTGAAGGCGACCTTCACTCAATGGAAATGCGCGAAATGACCCTTAAAAATCAGATTCGCGATAAAGATACTTTGGAAGAACGTATCGCCTCTATGAAAGAGGAGATCATTACGCTTAATGCGAGATCGAAGGTTTGTGGATACAACATGTTGTTGATCACGCCACTTCATTAAATCACGTGCAGGAATTGGACAGCAAGATTGCTGAAGCACAAGCTCCTATAGAACGCCTTGATCAAGAACATCAGCAAGCACAAAGCGAGCTAAATGATAAACTACTTGAAGCTCAGCGATCATCACAGGAGCTCAATGTAGAAGTAGATAAGTTGGAAAACGTAAACAAAAATGTTGAGCGGTGAGAAAGAAAAAAATCAGGTTAACCCTTGAACTAACCATTTTGTACTAGATACGCACGGGAAAAGCGTGCTCGCCTGTTGAAAGAATGCAGCGATAAGATTGAAGACCTGGAGGCTGAAATAAAGGACCTTGGCATAAAAATTGAAAATGTCCGCGACATTGTCGCAAAAATCGAGAAAGAAATTAATGAGAGCGGGACCTCTATGGCTAATCTACGCGAGAATATCCGGATAAGGAAACTTGGCCGCGATATCAAGGCTACGCAGGCTGAGATTGATTTATGTGACATGGAAGAAGCTGCTAAAGCAAAGAGAACTTTTGACACTATCTATCCAGTTCAAAAGCAGAAAGAAACAGATGCTCAAAGCAAGGTCTGTTCAATACCCTTTTGCCCACGAAGCATGAACTAATTGTCTGACAGTTCGCACATATGGGAGGAGAGATAACCTCGCTTGAGGACCAACTTCGGCAGCGCGAGGATGATCTTACGGAATTTAAAGACATTAACAAGCAGTATACTAATCAGCTAGTCAAAGTGAAGGTAGGTAAAATTCACATCAGCCGGAAGTTCGCAAATGTGTAAATTGCACTTTTTTAAAGATGTCTGATATGGCAAACAACGACTTAGAGAAGTATGCTAAGGCGCTGGACAAGTTGCGGTTTTTTTCTCCTCTCGCCGAGCGCAATTTTTGACATTCTTTATAGTGCTATCATGAAGTACCATTCTCTCAAAATGGAAGAAGTGAATGATACAATGCGGCATTTGTGGAACAAGACCTACCAGGGTACCGGTATGTTATACTCGGCTTCTTCCTTCTACTCTATATGACGCCTCTCCAGATATTGATGGTATCAAAATCCGATCTGATGTAGAAGGAGGAGCATCTAAGCGTTCTTATAATTACCGGGTTAGATAGATGAGCACATTCAGCATGGACAGCACTCATTTTCTTAACAGGTTGTTATGACGAAAGACCAGGTAGAGATGGATATGCGTGGTCGTTGTTCTGCGGGGCAAAAGATGCTAGCTTCCATCATAATTCGCCTGGCATTATCTGATTCCTTTGGGCAAAACTGTGGTATACTCGCACTGGACGAACCAACTAATGCTTTAGATACAGAGAATATTGATGCTCTCGCGGCGAGCCTTGTCGAGTAAGCTCATCTCCAAATTATTCGCATTTTGATACACTTAATTATCACTCATTAAGTATCATCAACGAACGCAAGAATCATGCTAACTTCCAGCTCATCGTTATTACTCACGACGAGAATTTCCTTCGCAAGCTGGGTCAGAGTGATGTTATGGAGTACTATTGGTAAGCCTTCGATCTATCTTCTTTGTGTAGTGATACATTGAGCAACCTTCCAGGCGTGTTTCAAGAGATTCCAGGCAGAAGTCTGTGATCGAACGGCAAAGATTCAGATAGTTTTCCCCAATTTCCTTCTATCCGCGCTGAGTGTCTTTATCCACACTGTATATTATCAATAAGCCACATGTTATCCTACACGCCAAAATCAGATTGTACACCTCTGAAGGTACGCCATATCGAAATCATTGATATGGTCAATCTCCAACTTTCTACAACTCAAGCCAGGCAATACATGTAGAGCGCGTGACTTGAAATTCTCAAAACGAATGCAAATTCGCGTTCAACTCGAGCTATTACTTGTGATTTTAAAGCCGCTTGCAAATAAATCAAAACCCAAGCTTTACGTCCTCCAAGTCTGGTTCTCAATTGCAAGTAACAAAAATGAGTCAATCGGTGGGTAGCGGAGCAGTGATCCTCTTAATCGACGTTTATAACACTTCATGTAGGATTCTGATATGTAAAATATCTATCAAGGGCCCTCTTTCTTCTTTATTGGTTAATCCACTGCGGATCCCGTTTACCGAGGAAAGCTCCAAAGCCCTCTTCGTGGTCCTTGAGGGCGAAGGATGCATGGTAAAGTCGACGTTCGAAGTGGAGGCCAGTCTGAAGGTTTAATTCTTCCGCTGTACGCAGTTGTTAATGATGATCAATCTTCGGAAGTTGCACACATAAGCTAACCTTCGTTCACAGCCTCTTTGGCCATAGCCACCACAGGGAATGAGAACCCTGCTATTTTTTGCGCTACAGTTAACGCCCATGTTAGCTGCTTGTTATGGCTCGTGAAAACGGCCACAACTTCACCTCTTTCGATGGAAAAACCCAACACCTGGTCTGCGGGAAGAACCTTGGCCACAAGCCCTGCCACTTCGGCCTCACTTGCATCAATCATTTCCCCAGTTAAAATCATATGCATTGCCTGAATCCATATATTTTCATTCAGCCTCCGATCGCAGGAACCAATAGACACCTATCTTCAGACCTTCGATTTTCCAATGGCCCTAATCAGACGTTGCGTTCCCCCAGCTCCTGGTATGGTTCCTAGTTTGATTTCTGGCTGTCCAAATTTCGCTTTATCTCCTGCATACAGGATGTCACACATCATGGCTAGTTCACATCCTCCCCCTAACTTGGAGCGAAATTGCCATCATAGACGATAAGCCTTGGATATACTTTACCTGTTGGTTGCTTACTGCGTAGCCATTTATGACACCGATCACTGGCTTGTGTATTGAGGACAGTCCATCATTCAAGTTTTTCAGGTAATCCGCGCTATACGCCTGGACGAAGCTTAACTCCTTTTGTTCCTTGATGTCCGCTCCAGCTGCCCTCACTGTCAGGAGAATCCTATCAATGCATGGGTATTTCACTAACCACAGAAAACAGTATCACTTCCGGTCAGGATGATCGCACCCACGTCTGAATCTTTATCAAATCCCCGCAATGCCTCCACAAGCTCCTCTACCAAAGCGAGTGACAGGGCGTTCAGGGCCTTTGGCCTGTTAAGACGAATGATACCGACTTTCCCGCTGCGCTCGGTTAAGATGGATGACATTGAAAAGGGATGGCTATGTGAACAGGTGAGAAATGGAGGTACGTATATTCAGGTTCAGGTCTTAAGATGGGCATCTAAGATTAGAGACTGATCATCAGACTTGAGGCAAAAACAGTACTCTAAGATACCGCATCTTCCCACCGCATACCTATCTTACCGCTGAAAATGATCGGCCATTCAGTGTTAATGGAATGTGGGACCACCACTATCATTACTAACAGGTCCTCGTTTGGTTCAACAGCTCTCCAAACGTTGCATAGACTAGAAATTATTGACACTCCTCGAGGACAACAACGTTACTATAGCTCTGTGATAAGCAGCCCATATATAATCGGACATATCCGGAAAACAATGTCGCCGCTACAATTACTGTGATCACGTTCACGTTCTCTTTGATCGTTGTTGCTCTGTCACTTCGTTCGACCTGCGTTTTCAAGGTTTTCAAGGCCACAACGATTGCACCGATACCGTAGGGACTAGCCTACATGGAACTTCTGCCCTTACCAACATCGATCCGTCTCGAACCTCATCCTATTGCTAGGGACCAAACAGTTGCAGCATGCCACATATCTTCTGGATCTATAGTCATTTCATTACCTCCTCTCACCACTGTCTTGCTTCCTTCAGAAAAAGGATGTCGCTGCGACTACTGTTTTCGCCGTGATTCTCCTGATGTCCATTTGCGACGGTGTACTGGCTGCGCTTCATATTGGTATTGTGGAGCTCAATGTGCGCCAGAGTCTTGCAGCTTGATCCCCTAATAATAATGAAACGAAATATACGCATTCATCCGTATGTACTATATAGGTCAGGACATGCATTGGGCTGTTCACAAGAACTTGTGCAAAGCCTTCAATCGGTATTGCGCTTCACCAGATTTTGTGAAGCTTGCTGAACACGAGAAGCTCGATGCCTTGTTACTCACGCATCTGGCCGCCCAGATAACTTCGAATTCATCTCCGCGGTCGACTCCAGCATCATCTCTTTCTACATTTTTAAACCTACGCCCCGGACCATTTTCCAAGGGATCACGACCAGTAGTATGTTCTATGACTGTGAAGCGATCAGGGCTTTCTTCTGATGAACTAGAAGCTGTGTACTCTCGGTTCGGAAATAACAACTTTGCCATACACTCTCACCTTACCACATATGCTCATGGCGTATTCCCACTAGCGAGTCGTCTATTCAATCATTCATGTCTCCCTAATGCTGCAGCTAAATTCGTCCTGTCTCCCTCCGAGCCCATCCATATGGAAATCGTAGCAATCCGCGACATTTCGCCAGGAGAGGAGGTGGGTCTACAGAGCCTTTACGGATTATCAATCGCCTCTCACTACTCTGACTTTCCGCTGTAGATATGTATCACGTACTTAGATCCTGCGCTGCTCCAATCTCGTCAGCAAATATTCGAACTCACATATGGTTTCACATGCTTGTGTCCTTCTTGCGCTCTTCTGAATCGAATTGGTCTAATCCCGCCGCTTCCGGAATCTGATTCTGAACTGGCTTCACTGGAACGAGCTCTCAGGACATTTGTATTTCCTTTTCATGAATCTGGTGTATCGGACCTCCGTCTCCCGACAGGCCTTCTTCAAAATATCCCGTCTGAATTGTTTCCTGCTCTTTGCGAATCCTATCTCACGAGGCTCTCAGAAGCGTTCAGCAAGGCTTCACACGACGGTCCATTCGATATAGCTCTTGATGTCGGTTTGACTTTGCTAGCGCTTTATTGCCTGATCTACCCACCTAACTACCCCCAGATCGGTAAGTGCAGCTATCAATAAATAAAGTCAATCAAAGATTGAGTCTTGACAGGGACACATCTTTTAGAAATGGCAAAGACAGCGTGGAATGCCATTATCCTAGCTGATGATGACCAAAGAAAGGCTGCGGTCACTGAGAATGATCTATCAGAACAAGTGCGAACCTACCTTAGATTGAGTCGCGACGTTCTAGACATTTTTGGCCAAGAAGGGGATCCAGGTGGCCCTTTAGAGGAAATACGAGTGCTGTATAGCCTATTAGATGGGATGTGATACGTCAGTACCCATCACTTTCGTCTTGTTTTCGCATGCGCATGCGGTGCAAGATCTGACCGGCTTCCTTCCTAAAGGCACAGCCCTTGATTAAATAGACAGGGTAACTGAAGAAGGAAATGCAGTTACACTGTATTATAAACCTATCTTCGAAATGATGCATCAGGAGGGCCGCTTTCGATCATACAATTGTGATGTTTTCTGGTGCACATGTCTTTTACTCCACATAGGCTTCTCATTTGGTATGAGTCCCAGACCCTGATGACTCCACCGACACTCCCTCCGCACTGACCCCGCTGAAATTGACGAGCACAGCTAGTATCTTGACCGACGCCGAAGATGGCTTATCTGTTACGGAGGAGACCCGCGGGGATCAATCCTTCATGCAATTTGATTGCCCGACCTCAGGTTGCGGTACTGCGTTAAATCGACTTCGCTAATATGACCAAAGGTCATACTCAACCAATCTAGACTCTGAATCGGGCACAGTCTGCAACCAGCCCTGGAATCCGCCGCTCACGAGAAGCTTGGCCAAGTTAGCTTGCAGGGTTAGGCTTGGGAAAAACATTAACGCCCAAAGGGACTAAAACCAAAACATAACCGCAATATTGGCTGGAATGTGGAAGTGCAGTAGGGTATTTGATAAGTCTATATCTAATGTTCACCGGCGCGATATTAAATGTGGTGAAGACTGCTTGTGACAGCTTTTGATTTCGATGTGGTGCATGATCATCCATACACACTACTTTGAATTCGACCTTAGTGCTGTACATACTTGCGAAAGTACACACCGGAGTCACGGAGAACAATTCGTTCTGCCTGATGCGGCCCCATCAGTTGATGAAGGGAAAGCAAAGAAGGATGGCGCACTGGAATTTTACCATGATTCCGGTACCGGTGTCCATCAGGCGCATAAAGCGTCCATATCGTCCACCGATGTCCATTGTCATTGCCCATGGTATTTAGAGAGGACATAAAGAGGCTGTGAGCTTGCTCAATATGGGTACTTCCCGATTTCTGGAAGACAGACTTGCGAACTTCCGAGTCATATGTCAGTACAACCGTAAAAGGTCTGTCCGAGTCTTTGTCATCCTCGTTACTTTCCTCGTTTGTTCTGTGACAATTTTTCGAAAGCTGTCAAGATTAACGCAAGGATACCGGCATGAGCGCCACCAGCCCATCGTCGACGAGTCTAAACGTTCTAAACTCTCAAAATTCGTGGTGGGATGAATATCCACACATTTCCCACTGAACATTACGAAGCGGAATCTTTAATATTTTCCGGTGTCGGTCTCTGGGGCAATAACAAAATGGACTCACGGCGGGCTTCCAGCGTTTCTGCTTTCCTGTTTAACCCAAATAGACATTAGAATTGACGTGATGCGGCTTGTACAAATATGGATATCCGCAAAAGCCTCCGTATGCTTCTCACGGGGACGCAAATTGCGGCTGTGCGGATATCGGGAACTTCATTTCGTTATGGTTTATCGGGTCTTCTTCTCGCTTGATCAAGGCATTCCGTTCTCGCCAAGATGAAACTAGGTCATCTATGGGCAAGTATTTAATGGACTGGCCATGAGGACCGACAAAGCCAAGGGACCCTGAACGGCCTCAAAGTCTCGTCAGGATTTTCTCCTCAACCTTCTTTTTTTTACCTTTTACTTCCTGTCCAATTTCCTTCTGAACCGCTCGAAGTCTTACAAGCTGTCATGGGTAGCACAAATCTCATAGGTCGATCCCGCCCCAGGGATATTCGTCTCGTGTCTTATGGTGGTGTTTTCCGCCTACAAAACTCAACACTCCTTCTCCTAGCTATTATTTTCTCTCTCTTTTTCATCACAGCAATTTCGTGTTCATTCTTTGGTGACGATGAGGACGAGCCTTACTTCAAGAGTATCTTGAATGAGGTCGCTCAGACTGACCCTGGCGTAAGTGGCTACAATAATGTATTATTTTCAAACTGACGAGGTCTTTAGATCGTCATGTTGGGTGAGAACGTCGACGTCGATGTCGACGAACCCTCCATTAGCATTCGCTGGTCCATCATTGGCTGTGGAGATGGATATGTGTTAGATGGAAGTGCTGGTATACATGAAAGTAGTTCATGTGGTCTTCCTTCAATGCCACTTCAAATATACGTCGACAGGTTAGCACGGAACTTCGTCTGTTCTGAAATTGGAGATTGACTATCGAAATTCAGCTCCTCCGAGCCGACAGCCGTGTATGATCCATCCCAGCTTCCTTTTATTCGTTCGTCGGGACAAAGGCGCAAGTAAGTTCTCTAATAGCGAGATATTATTTTCACTTGCTAACTTTCATTAAAGCATCCAGAATCTTGTACAATTTGATAGCGACCATACTCTCGATGTCCATGAAGACCGATTGTATCCCTTCGACACATATCTGTTGACAAGCACACTGCGTGTCGTCAATACTGACAATGAAACCGTCCCAATTCGCAAGATATCCACCATAGAAGTGGTGTCTAGCTTTACCATATCTATCACCGACGTGGATAGTTATGAGTCTTTGGCGAACGGGACTGATATCCCTAGTCGAGACATTGACATGCGCGTCAAGAGGCCAGGCCAAGCTCGCACATTTACGCTCTTACTATTCGGTATTAGCTGGATGCTCACCCATGCCACAGTTGGTCATGTTGTGCTTGCGCGCGCTCACAAAGAAGTAAAACCTATTATCAAACATCTCGTCTTCGTTTTCGCAATTCTCGTCGTAATCCCGCAGTTGCGAAATTCTATGCCCGATGCTCCGGGTTTTGATGGTACGAGTTCTCCGTTTTACTGGGCATCTATGGTTAGGCTAATTATCTTTACAAATAGGAGTTCTCATTGGTAAGCAATGCCGTTTCATTAAATGCGTCTATGCCTCATGTCGACTGTTGTACGGCAGACTGCATTGGTTTCTTTCCTCAAATGATTCTTTCCAGTTTCTCGGCGCTTACCTTACTACTTCTCATAATCTTGCGAGAGTTCAATCACCTTGAGGACAGCTCCCTCGGTGATACTGCGGAGGACTCTGAGCCTCAAACATTACCTATATCCCCAACGAGGATGATCACATCCCCATTACCATCTCCTAAACTACTCCCCTCACCACCACAGTCACCGCTAAAACCTCTTATCCTTGGCAAGGGGAGGACTAGCTCTTTGCTTCTACAGGGTGGCGAAGTATCACGTATCGTGCGCCACTTGAACGGCGAGTTTGTTTTTCCCCCGGTTCCACAGATACATCGTCGATCTAGATCATCCAAACCCACTCTGGGTCGACCAGGCGGCGTTGTAAGGCAGGATTTGGGAACCACATTGGAGGCGGTGGAGGAGAAGTGATCACCTCAGTAATTCTACCTGTCTACTAGTCTACTAACTTGTTGTGCCGTATGTATGAGTTCGTTTGATGTGTGTTTAGTGTCTGTTCTTTTTGTTTGATTACTTTTCTCGTTATATTTACAGTAAGTTGTACTCATTATTGTGTACAGCCCTGGACTATCGTGGACTGGAATCTGTTGTAGGAATATTGTCTGTTTCTTTGTGGCGAACGTTTCAATTAACAAGGATCATATATCAAGGCCTGAATTGCGGACCCATTGTTCTGGAGTGTAAGAGCCGAGGAAGCTTCGTGTAATGACGTGAAAAAGGCTTGGGCCAAGTTCTAGCGGTCTGAAAATTTCAATCCTGCGCAAATGAGCGCATCAAATCAAAATCCAGCCCCAGAGCTATCTCCAATAGGTCCGGCTCAGCTAGTATAACTGTACTGCGCTTTTCACGTTAATTTCGACAGGGTGGATGAAAGTGCTGAGCACAGCTCATCTTTCTCGTCCCATATAGGTAACATGACTAATCATTTCTTATCGTGGCCGCGGAACTGGAACTCAGAGGAGTGGTGAGGCTATTCCAACCTGCAACCGTGTTCTGTCTGATTTATTCCAGTGATTGAATATAAACATGTCTCTGGTCGACACCGCTTCTAAATACGAAGCCATTCAGGCTTTTGACCGTATCCCTATCGTGTATGGTAGTCCTTTCCGTCCCAGGCAACATAAACGCATCTGATAAAGATCTATAGAGATTTGGAAGGTCTTTCAAGCACCAGTCCACAGGTTCGATCAGAGTTAGCCCATCAAGTTCGGGATGCATGTGTCAATGTTGGTTTTCTCTATGGTTTGTAGTCTTTTCTTTCCATTTTTAGCCGTGCGGCTCAACGCACCGGCTCTCCAGTAAAGAACCATGGGATACCAGAAGACTACATCCAAAATGCCCTTGATGCCATGAAGCGTTTCTTCGCTCTTTCTCTCGAGAACAAGATGAAGGTGAATCGCTGATAAGGGAGTACGTAACTATAACCCCTGATCACGATTATGAACCCAGGTCCATTTCAAAACAACTCCAAATTACAAAGGATATAGTCCACTGTTGAGCGGTAACAACGATCCAAATAACCGCGGTGATCTTCAAGAAGGTTTTGAATTTGGTTGGGAAGAATTTAATGTTAGGACAGACGATGAGAAGAGAGCTAATGATGGAGTTATGGCTGGCGTGAATGTATGGCCACCCGACCTTCCAGAATTCCGAGAAGCAGTCCTCAACTATTAGTGCGTTCATTAGACTACTTGTAGTAATTACACCTGCTCATACGCACCTCAAGTCATGCTGCGGTTAAACTCGGTAAATCATTGTTTCCCCTTTTCGCTCTCGCACTTGACCTTCCCGAGACCTTTTTTGACGACAAGGTGAGTTACTCGCATGGAAATTATCGAGTATTATCTCATTTGCGCAGACGAAGAACTCGGCTGCTATAATGCGTACCCTCCATTATCCGCCTCAAACGGGTCCCGTAGATGACAGAATTATTGGGATAGGTGCTCACACAGAGTAACGTTTCTTTCTAAATTGACCAGATAAACCCACTCATTATATTAATTTAGTTGGGAGGTGAGTGGAGCAACTAATAGCATCCTGCATGACAGGAATCTAATCTGACCTTAGTGCTTCACCATATTGTGGCAAGAGCCGGAAATACAGGCCCTTCAAGTTTTGAATCGGGACAAGCAGTGGATTAATGCTCCTCCTATCCCGGGGACATTGGTTATTAAGTGGGTGCTAAAGAGGGCGCTTGCGTCTTTAAGCTTAATATGTCTTATTGTAGTCTAGGTGATCAATTTGCTCGATGGACAAGTGAGTCTTTCTCATTAACGATAAAAGGACACTTCCAGAAAATAGAGTAATCTATAGATGATGTTTTCAAGTCGACCGTTCACCGCGCCATCAATCGGAGTGGAGTTCGCCGCTATTCTATCCCTCTATTCTTTGGAACGGATTATGACGTGAGACTGGAGGTTCGTTTCGAGAGCAGTACTGGAGAACCGCCACCTGACTTTCAGACAGCCTATTTCTACTTGCGTGTCTTCTGAACGGCCGCCAAAGTACGAGGTAGTCAAGGCTGGAGATTATATTAGGACGAAACTCGAAGCCACGTATGGTCACTAGGATGAGCTAACTATCATACGTGAACCTGGATGGATCACTAGAGAAATCGGCTTTCGTGCGGGTGCTTTGATGTCCAACTTGAAGCTTCTCTACGGTGTAAGATCACGATAATTTATGCAGTCTTCATTTCATTAAGATATTGTTTAAATACCGCTACCGTACTTTGTATATCTGTACCACCACATCACTTGATGAAGTAGCCTCAGCATCCTGTTTTACTGAATAATGTATTTCAACATCCAGTTCCCGCGAGTTGGTCCCGCTTTTTTTGCAGTGGAATGTTCCAGAGACGATTGTTCCTACACAACTCAATCAGAGACCAGGGCAATATCTACCAAAAGGACACAACATACCTTCGACGGCATGAATTGGCTCTCTTAGTAGGAAGATGGTTTGTTTCCAATGGGTAGGCTGGCTCTTGGGTCCTGTGCTGAAGCTGGTGACTCGTGCTCGCTCTCTTTCCCTCAGTCCTTCGCCCTGACTTGCGCGCCTCTGAGGCGGCGGTTTTCCACCTACAGGCCACACTTCTGCCAACACAACGTCTCCTTCTTTGATGAGTTTCACGTTAGTGCCAGGGGGGACAGGCTCGCCTGTCGCAGTGAAGAAGGTATCAAAGTAAAGAACAAATGCGTGGATCTTCGTACGCCGGTCGGTCGTAGACACGAGGCTGAAAGGGGTGACAAAGTCGAGCTGACGAGTCGTGATATGTTTGAGGTGGAGGTCCTGAGACAACATCAGTAAGGCATTAGGAAGGACGGACTGATGCTTACCTTGATGGCTTGAGGCACGCTGACCATGGAATCCGGTCCTACAACATCGACAATTGCTTCGTCATAGAGATCATATCCCATTGTAGATAGGTCAAATCCTGGACAATGATGAAGTTTGTGGTGCCAAGTACTGGCTGATGTGGCGTACCGTATACATCTTCCCAGAAACCTACACGATCCTTCAAGATTTCACTACCTTCGCAGAGTCCAAGCATGATCTTGCATTGACTGGGAGCCATGATGCCACCATCTGGTCGGAGGAATCTATCTCGAGCATGCAAAACAGAGTCCAACATAGACTCATACAACAACGCATATCCCATCCACTCCGATATAATGATATCGACGTGTGTAATACCATCAGGAAGTGTAATATCTTCAATTTTGCCGCGAATCACACTGTGAAGCTATTCGTGATTCATACAATGGATAGTAGTAAAGATAAACGTACGTGATGACATCTTCCAGCTTGTTTGCCTTCACAATTCTTTCAGCCTTTTCAGCGATATCACTGGCGTCAACGGCAAAAACTCGTTTAGCTCCTGACTTGGCAGCAAACAAGGATAAGATCCCGGTACCACAACCAACATCAAGAACAATTGCGTCCCGAAACAGAATGGGGTTTGTAAGGATGAAAGACGCGTATGTTGAAGTCCTGACTTTATCTTGTATCATGACGGCATGGATATCTTTTGAAGTAATGATAATGAGTATTCCGCTGACTGAACAAAGGATATTTTACCATTATCAGCATAACTTTGGAAATAATGAGAATCATCGTCTCTTTTTGATGGTTGGCTAGTAGCTTGACTGGACGATGGAGCATCGGCGACTATGTCTGCGAGACGCGTGACATCTAATTTTTGATTAACTAGAGTACGATAGTCAACTAGATCTTGTTGGGCGTCGGCGAGCTTTCTCTCCAGTAATTTAATGCGACGGATGCTGCTAGCCAGGTCCGGTGGTGTGACTGCAGGCTGTGATGCGTCTAGATCTTCTTCCTCATCAGACCAATCATCAGACTGGAACTCTACATAGATACTTCAGCTGAATGACTGGCAGCGAAAAAAGCTGTGACTCACGGAGCAATGGATCATCCTCCAGGACAGGGCGAAGATACTCGTCGGAACTGAAGAAAGATTCAGCTCCTGTTAAATTCCCGATGTCTGCAGGGGATGGTTTCTGAATGCAAGATCAGAGGGTCTGAGATAATCGCTGAAACTGTCCAACCTTGGGTACGTACATGTTTCCTGATAAAATTGATGAGTCGAATGCGCTGATGTAGATCGAGTTCTGCATAACGTTATCGGGTTGCGAAAAGACGATGGAATAAAGACACGCACTGAGTCGAGAACAAGTCGCTTCCAGATCGAAATTATGGGTTGATTTATCGAATGCGAGAGCTTCAGTTGTGGATGGGAATCTTCTGTCCTCAAACAAAGATTCACAAGGTTGGTGTGCAACCTGATCCGAGACCCAGTCATCCCAATTGTTATCCTCCTCGTCGTCTTCAGAATCCGATGCTGAAGGCAGGGACTCTGTCTCAACATCCTTTAGATTTTCTTCTGCTAAGCCTGCAGAGGCGCGGAGATGATGGGCCATCGTCGTGGTGGAAGAGAGAAAATGGGCGTCGAGGAGCCGTAAAAGATGTAAAGTGGTTCTGGGAAAGAAACACGTTGAGTTGGCAGGACTATCGCCTCAAAGCTCGATGGCAAGCAAGCACCGAAAGCTATAGGAGTCTTGCCATATCCATATCCGGATTATACAGAAAATAATCATTTACAAGATTTCGAGATCGATGTCAATTTTCCATCATGATAATCATCCATATGCTCATATTGATTGGCTCCATGCCTCTGCAAGCTGCAACCCCACTCAAGCTGAACGTTCCCCAAACGCTACATGATATGGCAATATCATGATCTACTATCTTAGCGCAAGGACCTACTGTAAAAATATCACACGTGACTCGGATTATCCCCCTAGAAAGCAGTTAGGAAACACCAAGTAAATATTATTATACCTTCTGCAGACTAAGCACTCAGAGCAAGTTTAGTCCTGTTATAATTATTTGCCGTCAAAACTCTCAGGATAAGGTCAGACCATTAGTGGTATGATTGAAAACTGGAAAGAACAGAGACATTACACCTGTAGAAACAATTATTCCGATCCAATAATCCGAAAATCGAGCAACTGAGCACTTGTCTAGCAACACCCAGATATGACCACAATTACATGAAATCTTCTTCCAAATCCTTGCCTGTCTTTCTTTCACCCTCCTCAGGCTCCACCTCGACGTTGAACAAGGAATCATACGACCGCGCTTCTTTTTCAGCCGCTCTGGCCTGGGCCAATTCCGCATCTGCTTTTTTCTAGTCTCCATCTATCAGTCGCTAGCAACACTAAGAATAGAGTCCTTCACATGCCTTTTGAGCAGCTATTATCCTTTTTTCTGCGTTCTCCTTTTTGATACGCTCTACCCGTTCTTGCTCGTGGTCTACTTCCTTCTCGACCTTTGTCTTGTTCAGCCGGTTGACTATAGCGTTTTCTCGTTTAGCTACGTGAACTATACAACTAGTTCAGTCTAGCCATGAAGGCAGAATAAACAGAATGTAATACCTCTCTTGACCTTCATAAGAGTAACTAACGAGTTATATATCACTTAGTTTGGGATAGAGATGGTTTGGTAAACGTACGCGTTTATCACTGTGAAAGGCAACTTGGCCGACGGCCATGTCTCCCGTTTTCTAAGACATTATCTCAGTGGACTGGGTGCATCGGATTTAGCTGATATCGTATGTCGTGCACACCTTGAGGTTACCGCCTGGAGTATAGATAATCGTAAGGTTGTCCTTTTTGTTACCTGAGTGAAAGGCTTTTTCAAGAGCATGCGTTACCTCAGGGAGAATACACAAACCCTCGATAGAATTGGCCTTGACCAGTTGGGCACAGTCTATGAGTATAGCTTCTGGGATCTTCTCAAATTCCATATCGACGGGCATACGCAAGTAAACATGGGCAGAAGACAGCTTGTCGACGTGGAACCATATATCTTGTGGCCATGCATATTTGATGAGGTCTTCGTCTGTGACCGCGATTAATATTCAATCGCGTTGCAGGTAAAGATTGGGTTGGCATACTCTCAACCTTGTCCTTCCCCATGTAAATTGTCACCGGTGGTTTGTCAACGATAGCTTGGTGGATGGGAATCAACATATTGTATACAAGTTATACACCGTAATAATGCTATTTACCTGCGGATGTGAAGAAAAGCACCATTGCGATCCAAACTGATAGTTGCTGAGACCGCAAGCGCCTAATGGGAAATACCACACAAAAGTGGGCGCTTGTTACCGAGGCGTGGGATAGCGGGTGCAACTCCGCTTTCCTTTTCGGCGTCGAACCAAACGACGTCCAGCACCCTTCATTCTCTAATTGCTGTTTGCTCATCGTTGCTTGCATTGTACACTAAAAAACTTTGATATTTGTAGGAAACACATTATTATCTTTTGAAATTTCATGCTAATGATCACTCAGAATCAGAGCTCCATTTTTACCGCCTTCTGTTCCGATTTATCTCACCCAAACCTCAAAAGTTAGCGCATAGCGAAGACAATATGCAACCTTTACCAAACCGGTTAGGACTTGGTCTGCGTCCACCTTTGCCGTCTTATGGCCAAGGGCCCTCAATGTCGGCTCTCGCACAGCAGCAACAAATGCTTCATCAGAACTTTGTACCTCCGCAAGCGCAGAAACTGACAACTTTGTTTGTCGGTTCGATATCGGGAGGCATAACAGATGCATTTCTTAATCGGCTTCTTACGGTATGTGGTTTTGTCTGTCAGGTATTCGTGCACTGAAGATTCCTGTATATAGGCATGCGGGCCTGTCAAGTCTTTCAAGCGCCTGATTACACCTGCTAATAAACCACAAGGTTTTGGATTTGCTGAATATGAAGAGCCAGATGCCGCTTTACGTTGTCTAAATCTTTTGCAAAGCGTAGAGCTGCCCGCATTGGAGGATGGTTGTGCGAACAAGAAGTTACTGGTGCGTCCCAATTATTATTTATTGCTCACTACAAGCCTACGTCGAGAAACTCTCAGATCAAAGCGGACGAAAAGACAAGAATGTTTTTAGATGCATATCAAGCCCAGCGGATGAAAACAGACGTACAACTTACCTTTGTTTTCTCTTGGCGTCCTGCTGACTTCCTTTCCATTTCAGACTGACGATTTATTAATGCAACAGTCGAAAGCTAAAGTTGACGAACTCGTAGCAGAAATCAATCGTGCTTCTCAAGATGCAGCAAATAGTGGTCTGATCGACAAGGAGAAGTATGTTATACCGCCACATTTGCACGATTTGCAAGAAGCCGATCTTCCCGAAACGCAGCGTGGTCTTGTTATTTCTGAAATTGCCCAGTTTCGTGAACGTGCAGCCAAAAGAGAAAGAGAAAAAATGAGAGACGTGCGCGAGAATATACCTGTCGTGGGTGCGCCTAGTGGACCGAAAGTTAGGGAGTGGGGAAAGCCGCAGCCTCAGTCACCTGCTCAGGGGTCTCCTCAGCCTGGTAAGAGTGGCCCACAGGGCCACGGAAAGGGAGCACAAGGATATAGTAAACCTGTCGGATTTGTGAAAGCCGAGGATAGTGGCGCAGCAACGGGTGCATTGTCTGGTGAACGCCAAGTACCTGGTAAAGGAGGAAAGACAGATGAGGAATTGGAGTCTGATCGGAAAGAGGCGAGACGGCGCGACGAGGAAGTTTCTTTTAGAGACGTGAGTCTTCATTTTGATGGGTTTACTGTTTAGATCTGCCACAGAGAGCTATGCTAACAACTTCGAATATGGGGTTGATTTGGTAGCGAGAGCGTCGTTATGAGCCTCGAGAGCGAGCTCGTATACAAACTCTTGAACGTTCTATAGCTCGCCAGTCCGCAATGAAGGAGGCCGAAGAACGAGATCGGATTGAGATGCGATCGCGTTTGGATGTATGGGACGACGACGAAAGTGATGAGCTGTTTTATGTTGATCGGTATGCATATCTTACCTGTACATTGCTTGCGTTTTTTTATTATTGAATTACATCTTTCCCAACAGCGTTCGCTGGCGTCAATCTCGTGTTCGGCGGCTGGCTGCTGAAGAGGCTGCTGACAGTGAATCTCGGTTATATGAAGAGCGAGAAACTGAGAATCTACGACTGGAGTCGGAGAAGTTCCTTGCTAGACAGATGGAAGATATGCAGGCTTTAGCTGAAGAGCAACGCAAGGCTGGAATGTTACTGGATGATGGTGCTCCGGTGAAACTCAACATGTCGTTAACTACTGCTCCGATCAAGCAGGAGCCCTCTGGAAAAGAGAGCAAGGCGACGTTGTTCGGTCAGGAGGAGGAGGAGGAGGAAGATATCAAGAAACGGAAGGTTCCCCTTGTCAAGCTTGATTTCAGTGCTGCAGAAGGAGAGAAGGCGAAGGAGCGGGTGGTCAAGATTAAGGAGTCTGTACCGCACGATAAAGAGACCCTGTTCAAAGCGAAAGTTAGATGGGATGGTTTATCTGATGTGAGTTTGCCCCTTATATTTCGAGATTAGCGCGCAACTAACGTCTTGTTGATCAGATGATGATTGATCGAAAGTTCGAACCTTTGGTTAAACGTCAAATGGTCAAGTACCTCGGCGAACTGGAGGACGATGATCTAATTATGTTTGTACTGGAACATCTGAAAGACCACAAAGGTCCACAAAAGCTTGTCGAGGGGCTCGAGCCTGTATGTCTGTTCGTACTTTTGCAACTTCTTATCTAAGCTCAGTGCCTTTCTTGATAGGTGTTGGAGGAAGAAGCAGGAGAGTTCGCCATCAGCGTTTGGAGACAAGTCATCTTCGAGAGCATGGCGTATGGTGAAGGCCTACACACCGAAAAACTGATGGTCGACTGAGAGGCTGCGGCAATGAAAGGACTTGATTACTGATGGTACCTCTGCTCATGAAGGAGGGGGCAGGTGCGTTGTGTAGCATTATGTTTATATCCGCTGAGATGTACGAATCTTTCGTGATGAGCGTCAACGTTCTTCTGGCATGGTGGTGGTGCTCTTGGAGGAAGGCGTTACTGTGAAGCTGCAGTCGTGAGTTCACCTTTAGATCATCCTTGTAGCGAAATTACTTCTCCTTGTGCTTGAGCGCTATTATTCTATACATCGATATTCGATCTAGAAAGGTGGATGTCCTTTGAGACAGTCTAGTCAGTCTTCGCGTGGACTGATACTACTCACCGGTCAGTCTTCATTGTTCCTGAGCCTTATGCCTAACCTGTATCCCTGGAGCGGTGATATTTCCGCGTAATCATCTATAGGCTGAATCAGAACTACTCTTACCCTCTATTGTTTTTGGCAAAGTTCAGGTAGGTACTGTAATCGATTGCATCAAATTCCCTTGCTTGGTATGCCTGCATAGTTGCAAAAATGCATCTCATCCAGGAACATGCGGTGAAATTTTCATTATTCCTTTACGTTGTTAGCTGACACTTTTGATGGTGAATTTCCTGTTGGATCCTGAGTTTCGTCTTGCGTTCACAGGAACGTAATGTCTAGACGCCTGTCCAGCAAGACCACATGGTCGCTGGATTCATATTCATTCGTGGGGTCGGTTTCATTTGTGGCGTTATCAACGATCGAGATTTGGTGCCCCAGCATACTAAACAGGCCAAGCACAACCCATTATCTCTACGCTGGTGTTTCGAGTAGCCGACGTTCTGGTGCATGGACCATCCACAGTTCATTCACATGACTCTCAAAGAGCTTCTCGGCGCTGAGTCGGTATCTTTCTTGTTAGGCAACCATATATGTGGTATGTATTGAATCTATTGCATATATGATCCGACGACATCGTCTCCAAGCACTGAGACGTATGTATGCCAGTGGCATCAATTTATGACGTTGAGATGTTCAATAGCCTGCCACTGTTTTTCCCCACACGAGTCGTGTAGACCGAAAATAACAGTGGTAAAGGGCATCCGCCTGACAGTCATATATATATGTACTTTTATTCAGGTGTTTGATCATGAGCGGTTATCGATGCGTTTACAGCTTGTGCAGCTATTCTCAACTGGCGTGATATTTTTCGTATACGTATAATACATATCAGGAGACCTCGGCAAAGGTCGAAAGGCGTTGCCAGTCTTTCTCAATGTGCCTCCTGTCACTTTCCAGACATGTCTGATTGATCGCTATTTGCGGGATACCGGTCATTCCATTATGAACCTAGCAGCTGCCTATAAAACCTGTTATGAAGACTCGGAAGGTCTAAACTGACGCCCATCCCCACTCATCTCCGCTTTCCAGTCTTCCTTTCCTTGCGTTTTTATTCTCCTCTGTTGGTAGTCGTCTTTTTGGTTGTTTCAGAGGGAACGAGAGCGCGTTATGTTGACGAAGAGGCTACATTTGGCTGCGTTAGCTGGCCTTGCTCACTGGCATGGTGTACTGGCAGCACCGTCGGGGACTGCGACTGCACCATTCACTGTCCAGACTGGAGTGCCAACCCTGACATTCTCGACGTCGGTCCCAAGTCCCTCAGCTTCATTGGGTGCTACTTTGCCATCTCAGGTCGCTTTGCCTCCTAGTCAATGGTGGTGCATAGGTCAAATCTTCTGCGCCGGTTCAGTACGCACACGCACATCTTATTTCATTTACGTTGGCCTTACTGGTATTTCTATAGCTTTTGCAGACTGTGAATGTCGCCCAGCTATATCCAGACCCTAAGACATTCGTGGACAAGCCAACAAAGAAATCGTCTCAACAGGTCCTCTCGGATTTTGGCGCGTTCAATGTGTCTACTGTAACTGAGGGTGATCTTGTCAATTTTGTTGACAACGATTTCTCGGGAGAAGGGCTTGAACTCGAAGGAATTGCTTTGCAGGGTTTCAACGCTAATCCTCCATTCTTAAACAACGTCTCGGATCCTTTGCTCAGGTCTTTTGCTCAAATTGTCAATAGCTATTGGACGCAGCTAGCCAGGTCCACTAATTATTCTTCTACCTGTGATGATTATCCTGGTGGCCAATGCGAAGGCTCTTTTATCCCGTTGAACCACAGCTTCGTCATACCCGGCGGGCGATTCAGAGAGCAATGTAAGTATACTCATAAGATGAAACATCGTGAAATGTCTCATTTTTGCCGCGTTCTTGCAGATTATTGGGACAGTTATTGGATCATTCAAGGTCTAATTCAATCACAACTGTATGAATCAATCAATGGCACGCTCCAAAATTTTATGGACGAGATTGAGACTTTTGGTTTCATACCTAACGGTGGAAGGATTTACTGTGAGCATTATCGATAAACTGGCGAACGCAATTGGATCGACTGATAAGTTTTGTAGACTTGAATCGTTCGCAGCCGCCGTTGTTCATTCATGTGGGCACTTTCCCTAATATCAGATATATCAGTTCTGATATTCGTAATAGATGCTCTATGATTACGTTACGGCTACTAACGATAGCTCGATTCTAGAACGCGCCCTTCCTCTTGCTGAGGTATGTAGTCATGAGGATTCGACGGAGATTGGCTTCATCTCAATCATTGGTCCAGGTCGAACTTACTTGGTGGCAAAACAACCGCACCAGTGAAGTCACGAGTCCATTCACTGGTCAGACGTACGCGATGGCGAGATATGCAGTGACCAATACAGCGCCTCGTCCCGAGTCGTACCTGACTGGTACGTTGCCTTTGTAATATGGTATACATATAAGCCATCGATTCACTCGCATTCGTCGATATCTTTAGACTATCTCACGGCAAATGACCCTACTCTCACGACTCCCTTGACCGAAGAACAGCGAGCTGACCTTTATGGCGAGCTTGCTAGCGGCGCAGAGACCGGATGGGATTATACTGCACGATTTGAATCCATCCCGGCGCTCGGTAACCCTGGACTTCGGTCTTTGAACGTCAGCAACAACATTCCTGTGTGTCTTAATAGTATTCTTTGTACGTCTTCGTCTTCGCCTTCTTTGGTCTCGCAAGCTCTAACCGTCTTAACGCCACTCTGTTTCATACCATACAGACAAGGCCCATATACTTCTGGCTGACCTTTACGGAAGCTCAAACGCGTCCGCAGCGGCAACCCATCTTCAAGTGGCAGCGGGCATACGTGCTGGCATCCTTGACTTGTTTTGGAATTCCACAAAACTTGCCTTCTATGATTTCAATCTTACTTCTAATGCACGCAACGACATTTTCACGGCTGCTACGTTCTATCCTCTGTGGAATGGTATCATCCCCGATGAAGTCCTTAGTTCACAAGAAAATGCCTTTGGCTTCTTCGCGTCTTTGAATATGGTGTTCAACAGGTACAATGGAACCTTCCCTACTACATTCATCGACTATACAGGTTTGCAGTGGTGAGAATTTTGTTTAACTTTTGCAATTTCCAGCGAGTGACAATACTTACTTCAACAGGGATGCTCCTAACACCTGGCCTCCTCATCAATATATTGCGCTCCAAGCGCTCCGTGCACTCCCATCCAACCTTACTAGCAACCCTCTTCCCACACCACCCTCAAATGAATCGGCCTATAGTCTAGTTCCTGTAGGTCAACTCGCGCTCACCGAAGCTCAACTTCCTGGGCAGCCTCTACGTGGTCCTCAGGCGAACCAGAATGTTACCCAGACTGGCCCAGGGGCGGATTTGAACGCGCTCAATGGAACCGTTGTCAATGGGGGTAATGCCACTGCAGGGGAAGGCTGGAACCACGTTCTTCAACGTGAGTTGGCCAATAGGTTCTTCACTAGTGCGCTCTGCAGCTGGTTAGTACTATATCCTCACCTTGTGGCAAAAAATCAGACCTGATTCTTCTCCTTGTCAGGCACGCTACCGGCGGATCAATCCCCGGATACTTACCCCAGCTCTCTCCTGCTGAACTGAATGTGACAAACAGCATCGGAAACACTGGCAACGTACGTATCAGTTCAATAGTATACACTAAACTACTATCAATTTACCATTGACATACTTGTTAGATGTTCGAGAAGTTCTCTAACTTGAATGTCGACTCGTCTGGATTTGGTGGGGAATATACAGTTCAAGTATGTATCTCTCAGTACTATTGAATTAGGATACGATGTTTAACCACATCTCTAGGCTGGATTTGGTTGGACTAACGGTGCTGTGCTCTGGGTCGCCGCCACGTATGGAGACTTGTTGGTCGCACCCGAGTGCCCACCTCTTTTGTACACCAGCACCAATGCTGCTACTGGCTTGAGATCATCTTCAGCTGCAGTATTATTGGCTGTAGTAGTTTCCCTTCTCTTCCATTCCCTGCTTTCTTGAGGATAAAGGTTGATAGCTCGAAAAGTGTTTTTTGTAATCTGTACACATTTAATGTTGTTAATCTTTTTTTTGAACACCTGTTTTGAATATACTGATGAAGAGGTCTCACTGCGAGCAATGGCCGAAATCCCCCGTTGCGACAGACACGTGCCAGCCCACGGCATGGAAAAAAGTCGCGCTGATGCCACAAGGTGCGCCAGAGGTGAGGGTGTTAAAATTTACCATGTACGCTACACTTGTCAATCATAGCTGTAAAAATCAAGATGCTGATGTGTGAGACCATTTCATGGAAGGCCAGCAATATTCTATGTGGTGTCCGACTTTCAGCCAAGGTGTCATAGCCGTCATTATCCACATATTCAAGATATGTTTACTATGATGGCAGAGCGCCAAATATATGACTGTCGCACACCGTGAAATGCCACTAACCAGTTTTATGTACTCGCTTTGTATAGCTTTGATTTGTGAAGGCTGACACTGGCCTGGCCACATCATCAGCACCGCTGTGGTTTTCTTTATAGAGCCACCACTGTCGCACACTGCAATAGTCAAACCAGCAATTACATGACCTCACACTTCTCTTTATTGTAACAGAGCCTCGAATAGCAGCCTTTTCAGCCCTTACATAGCCTTGTGGGATTTCTCTTGTGTTGGGCAGTGAAAGGACTCTTTGTGCTAACACAGAGCAGACCTGTGGCAGTTAAACTTTCAACTCTGAAAAAGAAAGCGCTCAATGAGAAAAAAAGAACTCGAAAACAGAAACAAAAACAGAAACAAAAAAACAATTGAATAAAACCTTGAATAAAACCAAAAGAAACAGAAAAAATATCAGTAAACAAAGTAGCTACCTGAAATTCCCTTCAAAGACTGCATGACAGTCGGTAGCTACCTGACCTGAAGGAGGTGTGAATCTACTCCGCGAGTCATTGAGTGGTCATTACTTCTCATTGTATGGCATGAAAAATCAAAATAAGGTAACTACCAGTAAAGAGGGGTAGCTACGGTAGCAACTGGTCTGAACATCTCATTGGAGATTCAATTCATTTGAATACATCTACAGGTTGTCTATGAAACCAAGATCCAAGACTGGAATTCAAGACTAAATAGAATTGAGTCAGAGAGCTTTGAAAGAAAGAAGAGTACGCACCCTGTCCAACGATTTCGCAATGATACATTCTTGCCCGATATCCTCAGGTACATATGCTAAGCAACTGAAGTGCGAAACTATATCGCTCAGCTTTAGTACACATGGGTGGGATTTGAAGCGATTGTAATATAATTGGGCACCCAGGTTCTCGAAGGCGAGGAAGGGATCCTTATCCTTGTCTGATGGAGAAAGGCTTTCATATTCTTGAACTACAAGAAATGTTTCATCGGTTGAGTGGTCCATGGCTGCAACACGGTGATGTACAAATATCTGGCATATTTGTCCAGCGGTAATGGCTCCAGCGACTGTCAGAGATTTGAACAGCACAAAGGAGTTCCCGAGAGAACTCTTCGGAATCGAGAATGAAACCCCATCCAATTTCACACTTTTGATGGATTGAGCCTTGTGATCTAGAAGGTATGTGTTGGTACCCTTGACATCACTATCCCATCGTATAAATTGTAATTGATGTGGTGAAGATCCGGCATTGAGTCTGTCCAATAAAGCTTTGTATACATCTTCAGATAATTCCATCGAGTAAGCTGTACTAGACGTTGAGGTTGTTTCATAGCTGAGGAAATCGCTGAGAAGGGAGCTGTTAGGCTCGATGAAAGCTCGGTGAAAAGACTTCATCATCAAATCATAAAGTTCAGTCTGTGGAAATTTGATGCGGGATGCAAATGCCCTTAGATTTGCTCCTATACAGAAATATTTTAGGAAGCTTTTCTCCATTTCTCCTGAAAATAGCAGGCACATCAGTTTTCATGCACTAGAGTTCTGCGTCCATACGAACCTGGTTTTTGATTGGAGTTTAGGTCACGAATGATCCCATTGTAGCGCTCAAATGGAAAAGCCCACCAACTGTGGACGGGGCCGAATAATGACAGGCATTCATCAAGGTGGAGCGAGAGGTGGTGGTTTGGTTGCAGCTGATGGTCGGCAAAGAGCTCACGGAGAGTCTTGAGGTAGCGAGTCATGTGGAAGTTGTATAATGCGATTCGGGCAGGGGATGTCGAGCGTTTGACAGAGATTTCAACCGCTATTACAAGATCAATGAAGTTATGCAGGAGGAGCTTCTCCTTGTCGGTCGAAGTAGCACTCCCCCACATTGGCACGAGAGACAGGACAAGGCTCACAGTACATACAGTACGCCACTGGTCTGCCTTCAGCTTTCCGTGACTGGGACTTCCGAAATTATGGGGTGGCCGAACCATCCATGACGGGTATGATGTGTTTTTTATATCTGCCTGGATCTTGTTTAGGTGCTCCTTGGAGAGGAGGCAGAACTTGGACACGTCCGGATGTTCCATTCCTTGCAATACAAAGTTGGTTATTGCATCATTCAGCACTGTTGGTATACAAATATTTCTGCCTGGATTTTCACGGTACTAGGAATGAAAAGTGTGAAAAGTAGTCAGTAGTGCTCAGATGTCAGCATAAATATGTCTCACCCAGTTTAACAGGGCATTTATATATGCTGTTTTTGTGAACGAACTTCCCTCTACTACGACTTCATTGAGGATAGCAAATGCCATCACATAGCCTTTACGCAGCTGTTTCAAAGTATTTGATGACAGCTTCTCGATACCTCGTCTACCCTTCTCGATTTCGATTGCCTGTTGCTCTGGGCTATGAGGTTTCATCTTCTTGGGGTTCTTTTCACCGCTTTTGATATCGATACCCCACACCTGCCTACAGTGATGCTGAAATTCACCTAAAAACAGGTTATGCATGGCATCTAGCACGGTAAATTTCGTCACATCCCAGTAGGGTAGACAAAGGAGTTCGGACCAACGCAGACCCCAGCGAGCAAACACCTTCTCCCTCGCATCCTGCGTCCTAGCGTTTTTCCAATCATCTGCTTGGCGCAGATGATCTTTCCAGCTACGTCTAGGCCAAGTTGCCTTATTCAAATTGGTTATCTCATTTTCCGGCAGCTGACAAAAAGAGCAAAAGGCTTCGGCACTATAGCTTGCAAAACCGGCTCTTTTGTGTAAGGCGGGCAAATCACAAATGAGGGGTCCCAAGGCACAACGAACAAGGCGTCCAAACGGTTTTGACCATGTGCGTCCGAGTAAAATACCATGCTCCCAGAGCTGTGGAAGGTCGTTGACAAGAGGTCGGAGGATATTGTTCATATGATGGAGTTTCGGTTCATGGGGCCCAGGAATCAAGCCAACAAGGTATACATTTTCAAGCTTGTACTGTAGATGAAAAGGCAAGTTGAGACAAACCATATATATTGCACCTGTGGAATGTACTTTGCCAGCCTTCTTATTGCCATAGGGATTAAACCAGTCGACAAACAGGCTGAATACGAGATGTGCGGCTCCAGGCGGTTTGACGGCATAAGGTTTACCATCAGGACCTTTGAGTTCATGCAATGCAGTGGCATCCCAGATATCCCTCCATTCGTCACCAGATGTGGCTGGATCCCACACTGAATCCATGTAAGTCTCAAGATCTGGGCGCGAAAACAAACGGGCCAACCAAGAGGAAAGAGGTTGGTATGCAAAGACTTTGAAAGGCTTCGGGCCAGCGTCGTTGTTTAATGAAGTACCGCCTACTTTGACTTGTGATGTAAGTAGTGGCTCTCCACAAACATCGTCACTCGGAGTCTCGCAATATGTGCAGTGCTGAGGATAGAGTGTAGGTAGTGATTTATCTGGCTTGTAAGTTGAAAAACAAGCAGGACAGCAAGCGTACTCCACGATATCAGGCGCTAAATCAAATCTATTGAGAGCCGTACGAATATCCTTAGGTAAATCGTCCAATAATTCCAGTTCTTCTTTGGACAACTTGCTCGGTAGGCCCTGCGCAGATCGCATAAATGCAAAAGAACCTGCAATAATGACACGTAGAGCCGCCAAAGTGAAGTGAGAATCAGGCCAGGCTATGCCTCCCATAATATGCAGGACGACAGCAAGAAAGATAGTTGCTAGCAATAGAGGTGGCATGCAGGACTGTCTAAAGTATCGTTCTGTCGAAGGACTTCGTTACACAGGAGACATATCATTATGTGAAGCAAAAACTTACCGGTTGACAACAGAAGTGGCCCATCTGCCTCTGACATCTGCTCGAGAAGCTCATGGCGAGCCTTGAAAACAAGCCATTGCTGCTGTTTGACATCTTCTAGGCGTTGGTACTCTGCAGTAACTTCTCGAAGTAAACCTAACCGCTGTCCTTCCACATCCTTGTTCCCGCTCTGGCCAAGATCAATGAGAGACTGAACCGTCTCGCTTAACCAGCTCTCTTGAAGTATGAAGGCCTCATTTGCAGTGGCATTGGGCAGCTTTTTGGGAGCATGGCGAACGAAAGTTCCAGGGTTCCCAAAGTCGAGCTTGGCAATTTTGTTTGGTAGTGATCGAGAACGGCGGTCCAGCTCGGAGTTAATCGAAGATAATAACTTTAACGCACGACAATTGCAGTCATCTGACTGGAAGGTTGTATGAGAAATGATGGTCCGGAGAGATAGAATATATAATACCTCTTTGGTCCTTGATGATTCCACCGGAGGGTAGTCTTCGCCCGGTAATCGTGTCTCCTAACAGCACTGTCAGATCACTAACTTCAAGTCTACCCCATCAGTTACTCACATTGTCACTTTTTCATGTGCAGGCTATTTCTTGGGACTTGATTTTATAATCATGTAGGCGGACTGGTAGCGAGTGACTCGGTTGGCTTGATGCTAGTGTAGATGCAAGAATCTTGGCCTGTGTGCCACTGACGCCTTCATCTTCTGCGCCTTCCTTCGACAACCGTATATTATCCTTCACCTGATGCCTGGACCACGTACTGGGGACAAGCATCTGACCTTGCTTCCTAACGCCATCGTTGTCGGTACAATCAAACTTCTTGCATCGATTGCAAGTACATAGCTTGGTTCTAGTCATCTAGTCAAGTATTTCAGCAGTTAATACATGGCCAGTGACCAGTTTTGATCACCTAGTCGATGTCACTGCACTACAGCAAGTGGGGGGTTTAGGTTAGACTCAGTATCTGCAGCCTGACCCGAACTGTTGGTCATCATGATCATCATGATCAATCCGAGTCTCTTGAATCCAAAGTCCGACTGGCACCTACCGCAGTTACAGCCACAGTCTGCAGTATGTGATACAAATGTTCTATCACATGTACTTTGAAATGTTGATACTACTGATGGGCCATAACTTACTACGTCCCCATCCATGCCGCTTCTTCTCATAACCCATTCTTACACACCCGTTATGCCTGGGTCGAGGTTCTGTGAGTCACTCAAATGACAGTGTATCCCAAGCTATACACGCATCAGGACCACGAGGTTGTACTATTATGACTATTACATCTGACTCGTCAATGAAAGGACAAAGGACTTTCAGGTATAAGTATCAGCATCGCATATATATACAGGCAAAATATACTTCTACACTTTCTTTACAGGGACAGTAAGAGCTTTATCTGCAAGCTCTATATTCTCACTCGAAATGGTGGTCATCACACGTAGCCAAGGTCACAAAATTGTTGAACAGGTGAGTATATGTTTTGTCATGCTATAATATTCAACCTGAGTTCGACCATTCAAACTATAGATGGCGCTTCGGAGAGCTGTCCAGGTATTTTGTCATCCAGCTTTTCTATTTTTCTGTTTTTGAATTTCTTTCGTCCTTTCTAGTCTGTCATCTTTGTAATACATGCAGATTTCCTTGATTCCTTTCTCGATGCGGCGTTATATAACAACAACCTCGCCACATCCGTACAGTCACTTCACATTATCTTCCATCGCACCTTCCCCCCTATCCCAAAGCTGCGCCAATGTCTACTTGCAATCAGAAATGTGGTAGACTTGGAGCTGCAGCTTCCTCGTGCCTCAGCCGCTAATTGGGTCCGCTTACTACAAGGGATCCGTCTACCCAGACTTGAACTTTTACATACAGACTGTCCGCCTTTCAGCCTCGCTCAATTTCTTAATGAGCACGCTGCCATCACGCACTTGAACATGTCAGGTCGAAACTATCGAGGACACGATTATTACGAACTAGCAAATACCCGTTTGTCCTTCTTGTCTGAAATTGAGGGTCCCTCCTCCTGCGTAACGTCTCTGGTGCGGGATAGTCCCACTAGTCGAGTAGCAGCACACTGCGTCAATAATGCAGACTTCGCGCTGCCTTTGATTTGTCTACTGTCATCATTATCCACTTCAACCACGGCTTTAACAGTTCTCCAGTTGGATTTTGATCCGACTGATTACGACCTTCTTCGGCGCATAGCAAATGCCGCTCCATTCGTTACAACCCTGAAACTGGTGGAGAGAAGTCGAAGTGTATCTGTAAGGACCTTTCTTCTAGCTACAATAACCAATAAGGCTCATAAATTAGCACCTGCAGGCCCGAATGCCTCGTCTGCGCCGAGCTTGGAACTTTTACCACCAATGGGCGCAGGACCTCGCACAACTGAAGTGATTGCATCGATTTGCGCTTAAAACATCACTGTCCATGGTTCAGAACCCTGGTTCAGATGAAGATGAAAGGAAATTGTTGACCCAGTGGCGCCTTGACCATTACAGTACACACGACTGGATATATGCATGGGACCAGCCTAGCGTGTTGCGGCACCTCACATTATGGTATCTAGCTGAGTTGAAGGCTGGCATTTTGAGTAGTTGGGATATGGTAGATGGATGTTGGCTTAAGACAAGGGGTTATTTAGATCCCCCTGCAGACGCTTTCTGTTGAATAGCCTTAGTAGCTGATTGTGTCTATTACTGAGCGACTGTTAAGTATTATACATGGATTATAATTCGCTATCAGATATTGTGAAGTCGTAATCCTTGTCAACAATATCTAACTTGTCCCGCTGCCACCCATGCAAATCTTTCAACCAGTTGCTATCATAGCAATTTCACCATAAGCCGCGTGGAGCGTGCCCTGGCTTGCAACGATTAGATGCTATCCGAATGCGAGGGGCATTTCCTGCTGTAGCACGACGGCCATGAGGGTTCCTCCAGTTCTCCCTGTAAATATGGTCGAGCTTCCGCATAAAGTCCTTCATTTCTGGACTTTGCCAGTGCGGCCTACTGATGAGGTATGTTTTGGGCGCCCCTTGCACCTCATTGTCCGTCTCGTCTCCACTCATTGCCGTCGCATCAAGTAACACCAAAAGGTTGTTTTCGTGGCGCTGAAGTGATGCTCTCGACCCGCAAGCTTTAAATCGACTATCTAGAAGCTGTGTCGGAGTAGTAAGTAATAAGCTATAGCAACGAGTAATCAAGTATGTACCGTAGATTTGTGCGCATTCTGAGCCTTATGCTGAAGCATTTCAATGCGCTTCTGCTTGGATTTCGAAGCATTGATTTGCCGGTACTCTCGTCGAACATAATCTACGTGTCTTCCAAGGGAATGTATAACTCTTTCTTTAGTCACGAATTCTTGAGGAAGACCAGATCGTATAAAAATTCCATTCTGGACACATTGCATAAAGTGCTTGACAAAGCATTGTTCCACTGCTTGATTGAAGGCAAATGTCCTCCAGCTACGACTGAAGTCAATGCGAAATGATCGAGGCGTGTTTTCTATAGCACCTTCATCCCTGTTTTCGAATTTGGCTATCTCAATATCTGTCAGAGGAGGGGGTAACTTTGCAAGCTGTTCGCATTTGAGTGACTTGATTTTGAGAAGCCGTTTAAAGTTGTCGCAGACACATCTCTGAAGTCAAATTTATCAGAGACAACCCGAGAAATTACTTGCACTGGACGTACCCCTAGAATGGGCCATGCAGGGTTTTCTGTGTAATCATCATCCTCCAAGTGTTTATCTCGGGGACGGGTCTCCGCCATCTCACCTCCATCATCATTTTCTTCCTCATCGGATTCGACAACCTTGCGTCGATTACGCCTAGTTCGACTGAGAGGTTTTTTGATTACCACCTTTGTTGGGGACACTGGGCGAGACTTCATATCTTCTTCTAGTCGTGCCATACCCTTGGCTACTGTGTCCATGACGTTCATGGTCTTCTCGAACTGATTGGAGACGTGGTTGAGTCCATCAAGAACCATGGCCATGTAGCCCGAGTTTGGTTGGTTTTGCTTTCCCGACTACGCAAAAGTTAGAAGGGAAGTCATTGTCAAGGAAATGTAATCACCACTCACAAACGGTACATCCACCTCCATGTTCGTATCAGCTTGCTGTTCAATTGCCCTTATGGTGGCGAAACTACTCTGATGGGCGGGTTCATCCCCACGTCCGCTTTGTGTTCGAGCATGTTGAGCATGTTCTACGGATGACTAAAAAGTGGTTCAAGCATACGCATCGTATTACAATCCAAAAGATATGCTAACGACTGTGCTTACCATAGAAGTAGCTAGTAGATGGCTTTGAGCATAGCTCATGCCAGGAAGAGAACCATGAGGTGGTGTTTGTGATTGCGTAGCACTGTGATTGGTGCTCGAGTAGAGATCAGCTTGACCTTGTCTTATGGTTGTGCTTGAAAAAGTGCCGCAAGGGGCCTGCATTTGTGATGGCGAGTAGAAAAAAGGCTGATTTTGATCTACACCCATTGAGTAGGGAAAAGATTGGTTTTGGTACATGTTTGTCCCTGGTAAAGCGCTGGGAGGGGGTTGCGTTGGGGTTTGCGAGTAGGGATAATGTTGGTTTTTGGTTTGTGCTTGTCCCTAGAAAAGCACTGGGAGGAAGCTGCATTGGTGTTTGTGAGTAAGAAACATGCTGGTTCGGGTCTATACTTGTCCCTGGGGGGGCGCTGCATGTGTGTTGCATTGTCCCTGGTAAAGCGCTGGGAGGGGTTTGTGTTGGGGTTTGCGAGTAGGAATAATGTTGGTTTTGGTTTGTACTTGTCCCTGGCAAAACGCTGGGAGGGGGCTGCATTGGTGTTTGCGAGTAGGAAATATGCTGGTTCGGGTCTACACTTGTCCCTGGAAAAGGGCTGCGTGAGTGTTGCATTGTCCCTGGCAAAGCGCTGGGAGGGGGCTGCGTTGGTGTTTGCAAGTAGGAAACATGCTGGTTTGGGTCTACACTTGTCCCTGGAAAAGGGCTGCGTGAGTGTTGCATTGTCCCTGGTAAAAGCGCTGGGAGGGGTTTGCGTTGGGGTTTGCGAACAGGAATAATGTTGGTTCAGATCTGTTCTGACACTGGGTCGATTATTCACGACTGCCTGTGTGGAGGATGCGCGTGACGAGTGGGCAAAACCTTGATTCTTGAGGTAGGGGTTTGTGAGAGCTATTCTTTAAAACAAACATAACTCGACACTCACATATGCACTTAATGTTGCCAATAGGTTAGCTTCTTGAGAGCGTCGATCTACTGAAGCATGAACTTGAGGGGATGGATCCACGGTGTGTGGTGTTGGGCATTGGAATGCTGAGCCAGGTAATTTGCGGGGACCCTCCTTTATGTTTTACGGTCAATTAATCTTCCAAAATCGATATGAACAAAGTGCTTACTTGAGAGATAGGTCTGGTAAGCTGTATCACCGTTTGCGATGATGAAGTAGTGGCAGTTTGAGCTTGTGGCACGGGAGTTGGTGTTAACAATGGTACCAGTGGCGACGGTGTGGCTTCCCTTTGAGGTGTGACCTGCACAGAGCTTGAGTCTCTGTAAATTATCCGAACCTTACGAGCAGGTCGGTCTTCATTTTCTTGTTCACCTTGCGGTCTTTTTGAGGGAACATGGGAAGGAGGGAGAGAGACAGGAGGAGGGAGCGCACCAGCCTGTCCTGCGTTGACATTTGCGACCTGAGCTGAGGAAGTGTTCGCGGACGGCAAGACGAAGTCAGACTCAGAAGGAGCCTGGCCACAGGAACCTGGAGTGCTAGGTGGTAAGGCAGAGTTGTCGGGAACAGGCAAAGGAGGGAGCGCATCAGCCTGTCCTGCGTTGACGCTCGCGACCTGAGCTGAGGAAGTGTTCGCGAACGGCAAGACAAAGTCAGACTCGGAAGGAGCCTGGCCATGGGAACCTGAAGTGTCAGGTGGTAAGACAGAGTTGTCGAGAACAGACATAGTGAAGATGAAATCAACATCAAACTTACTGAAACGATTCCATGGGGCTCATATATAACAGGGACACAAAGGTCAAGAGGTAAAGATCTTTGAGCTGTGGCCGGACCTCGTTACCCGGAACTCAAAGGGCAGTGTTGGCGGTCGTATCATTGTATCGCAGGCCCAATCAGCGTGATCTAGAGTAGCTATAGTAGCTATAGCGTGAAGGTGAAGGATGCTGTTTTAACCAGTATATTAGCTGCCTGAATTTGATGCTGCTGGTAGTATGTACTGAGCGACTACTCACCAGCTGGGTTCTCTGTCATGGCCACGCTTATCAAGTCATCATGTCAGAAAACTACACGTGTTTCTCGCGTGCAGTATTAAGCCATCATGATAGACTCCGACAAAGCGGTGGAGTCAGATTGGCTAAGGCCTCTGGTATGATCCTTAGCTTGATGATCACGATGATGGCACGCGAGCAGAACAAAGGGGAGGGGACACACAGTTTCTCACTGGTAGTTCTACCCTTAAATTTGTTGTGAGCTCCCCCCATCGTAATTTAAGACCTCCTTTGACCTTGCAATTGCAATGTATGACCATCAGCGTTGCAAAGAGATACAAGACAGCGCCGTAGCCTCTTCTCGCTTTGTAGTCGAAGAGCCATTCAGAAGGGTAGGGAGTTTACAAAAAGTACGTAAGATACACGCACCCAGTGTCTCTCATGCTAAACTGATCCCTACTTGATCTTTCAGATGGCTAGTTTCCTGCCCAAGACCGGTACGTTCTGTGTAATACCTCATGCAGAATCGGAGCCTCGCTGATAGTTGCAATAACAGATAGTTTCATTTGGAATTGGACAGAGCGCCACGGTCGCAGTCCACACTCGGGAGGATTAGATGACAGTGATGACAAAGTGGCTCACATTCTCCACCCCTATCCTCAAGCACGTAGACCAGCACACACGCGGTCCACCCGCAAATTATCATTTTATTTTGGAATTGCAATACTTGGGCTCATCCTCGCAGTATCTGCGACGTTGATAGTATGGCACCCTCCGAAATCACTGTTGCCTTTTACCACTTTGTCTTGGATTGTGTACGACGGGAAGGACAAGAGCTTGCATGATGTTAGAGAGGATTACGAGGAACGGATTCAGGCCTTGGAGGACATGTCGCGGGATACTGTGACGCGCGTTGCCAATCTTGAAGTCCAGATAGGATCGATGCTGAACAATCAGGAAAATATGTCCGAAGACCTCGCCAGTGACAGAAAACGCCTAGCTCACCTAGAAGAGACAATCCTGAAACTTGAGTTAGTTTCTTGCGAAGAGTTGCTTCGCCACGCATACATACAATTCTCAAAAGACTATGTTGGGAAAGAGGATTTTGCTCTGAAGTCAGCAGGAGCACGAGTAGTAAAAAGCCTAACCTCATCATCATCATTATGTCCCTCACGATCATTTTGGCCATTCAGCACCTCTCCACAGTGCACCCACAACCCGGACATTGTGTTGAACGAGGACTTGCACGCGGGATCATGTTGGAAAGTCGAAGAAACACCATCTCAACTGGGTATTGCATTGGCGGAGCCAATCGTCATCACGGATATCACCATCGACCATATCCCCCAAGAATTGACACACGAGATAGGGCTTGCCCCAAAAAATATCGTTGTCTGGGGTGTTCTTGATGGGCAGGACAATATCAAAAAACTATCTGCATATCCTTTAGAACAGGTTAACGGGGAAGTGAGAACACTTTGGGAGTTGAAGCATCGCCCACCTATCAAAAATGGCCTCAATCTCGTCCCACTTGCTTCGATAAAATATGACATATACGCTGAAAGCCATATCCAAACATTCGGTGTGTTCGACTTCGTTCAGTACTTGGGGCTGGATTTCGGTATCGTGGTCGTGGAATTGCTTGATAGTGAGGGGGACTTACCGCATGCATGTCTATATCGTGTTCGTGTGCATGGAAAACGGCGGATGATCGTGGACGTAGTCTAGGGAAGCGCAATTCATCAGGAGAGAACGGTGGTGTAAATGCAAAATAAAATTACGTTGTAAACCAGTGTGTGAGCAAACCTTGCAATTGACCAGGGGGCCATGACGAATTTTGAGATTTCAGAATATCATGGCACTACCTGAGCTAGCTATCGCAGACACAGGCGGACTTGCAACTTGTGGCGCATATGCAGAGCCATGCATATGGTGGCCTGTAGGTATAGGTTGATCATTTGGTTTCGAATTCGGCACAATGTCCCTTCGATACAAACCTCGCTGGCGACTGCAAGAACACTCCAATGTCATAACATGCCTAGCCTTTAGCCCTCACGGAACGTACATAGCTGCAGGTGGAGTAGATGGCAAGCTTTCGATATGGTTTTACGACCTGGGACGTCTTCTTTATGTTGTATCTGGACATGCGGGCGTGCTATCTCTCAGCTGGATAGGACCATCCGAACAGAGTTTACTATGCGGGTTACAAGATGGGACGGTGTTGTCCGTTGAAATAGACCAGGTATGTCTGTTCTGTTTGACGCTATAGAGCCGTCTCCTTGTTCATCGTGAGGACAGAGCCTTACTGCCACGGGGTATTTTGCCCATCAATACCCTGTTGAATGCATTTCTATCTCGGGCGATACCGTCGCAACTGGTGCCCATAAAGAAGTTCATGTTTGGGAATTCCGAGAAAGAGGTAAGTCTTTTTTTCATTTAATCGAACACTGTCCCTTATGCCATTCATTGGAGCAAATTGGCGTCGAGTCTCCAAACTTGATTTGCCACCTAGCGTAGGAAGCAACAGAAGTGATGAAATCATCGTCACCTCTTTGCATTGGGCTCGTACCAAGTATTCTCCCAACGCCTTATTGGTTTCTTACATGCATCATGGAATCACGTAATGGTTTCTACCCCCTGCGGCTTTCTTGAACTCTAACCTTCGTCTATTAGATTCTGGGACATTTCTTCGCGCATGATTCTTCACTTCATTTCCGTTAAGACACTTGTGTACGTATCATCCTCTTTTAAATGATCATTATTATTTCTCAACTCGGCTCAATGTAGTGCTAGCACAAGCCTTTCTCCCCGCCACCAATATTTGGCAGTTTCCAGTATTCATAACGGATTTGATATATATGACTTGAATTCTGATGCACCAATCATGTCTTTCAATCAGCCTACATCTAAAGGTATATGTATCCCCGTTTTGTTTGCTCATCATGGTTTTGCTGTCTTAGGCGGAAGCACCGAGGGGAAAGCTAGGCTATGGGCTATTGAAACAGGCAACCTCATACATACACTTCATCACTCCGGTAAGGATTCAGGCTACCTGGTAACGGCTCAATTAACAAAGATGAAGATGATGACACCATCCAAGCCATCGCCGTGCGTGTCACAGTACTCTATTTAAAATGTTGTTAGCTGACCTAGTCTTTCCTGTTTCTCTAGGCACACTACGATGCTAGCGGAGACAGATTTATGATTGCTACAGGATCACACTCGCCGAACGATAAACATTATATACAATTGTGGCATGCTCAAGATATCTGTCAGTCTGCAGTGTCGATAGATGAGGAAGTACACTAACACTACACCCAGACCGTGATAATATCCCAGCTCGGCTGATGACATTATTATCACCTCCGGCGCAGCTACAAGATCATCATAATATGTCATGGACACACTGGATTGCCTGGTTTATTTTCTTGTTTATTGGTTTTATCCTGTCGTGGCTTTTCGTGTATTGGAAGGACAAAACAAGTATATAGTGCTATTATGCTGCAATCTATATAGTACGTATTCAACTGGGGAGAATGGGCGAATTCCGATGCTTGTATTGTTTTTTATAAGTTCCTTCTTGCACCAAAGAAGGTTGGTTACCTTCCGTTATAACGAGATATCTAGTCGAACCAGACTCCATGGTGAATTGCTGGCCGTCTTTCACTGTAACCCATCCATCATCCCAACGCCATACCTGACACTTGCTATTTACCCAATGGATGTACAAATCACCTCGCTCAACACCACGTATGTTGGGAATGGCAACACACGCCGAAGATTTTGACTCGAACCAGGAATATTCTCCCTCGGCACCCCTGAACTTATGTGTTTTACGAGACGAGACCTTGACGAAATTAGAAAGGACAATCAAACAACCGGTCAACATCACACTCACCACCAGTAGTTCAGGATTGTTGCTCGACGTGGGCGTTGTTTCGTTGGCCTCGATATTACCGGTGGTCGGGACACTAGGCAATACACTTTCAACCTCTACTGATTAAATTATAAGGGTGTTCCGACCTTGGAAGATTAACGAGTTCTTTGTGATGCTGCTCTTTATGATTTGCAGGATTTTCCAAAATTCTGCACAGAATTATATATATTAGCCTGCAAGAAAATAATGGGTGATTAGAAGGAAATTGACCTGCACCTTTTATAATTAGGGGAACTTGAAGCAGCACGGAAAGATCAAAGGACAGTCGCTTGCGGTGGCCCTGTTGCGGTTGTATATGCATGCCTGGGCGGTGGAAGGTCCAACCGTGTCACACTCCTCTTTTGCAGAGGTGCCTGGACTCGAAATATCCAACGATCGCCGTACTCTGTCATGGTACATGCAAGCAGATGTGCCAGTGATTCGGAAACTTTGAAAGAGCCGTGATCATGACTAATATGTGCCAGACTTGGACGTGCCGCCTCAGCGGCTGAGGCTTCCAAGTCTTTGTGCCACAACTTGACATCAATCTTTGTCCCATCCTACTACTAGTGCTGCACTTTCAGCGTAACACACACCCAAAGCTACGAGATTCAGAGGTAAGATGACGAAATATCAATTCTTCATTATGATTGACTCTTAAGCGTGTTTTGGGTGTCACACAGCACAATTTGATGGACCCGGACAGGCTACAGTCAATTCGAAACAGCTTAGAAGAGCTGATGACGCGACACCCCGCATGCCAAATTATGGACGATGGTCCCTTCACACTCCCTGCCAGTCACGCAGGTGAAATCGTACAAGAATGTTTAAAGATACATAAAGCTGGTGATATCGATAACGAGAGCTTGCTGAAGTATCAACACGCCGATAGAGATTTACAAGCTCAAACTATCGCTGATATGGCAGCATTGAACAACAAGACCGAAACTCGGCTAACGTGCAAAAGGCTTCTCCGTATTGTCCTCCAGGCGAAGATCATGTTGGGGTCGACACTACCACCTGACTGGTATGCGTTTGAAACGCCTGGTCTTTATTTTCTGATCATGATTTATTTTGCTTAACCGTAGGGCCAGTGACACGAACCATATGATGAACTCGATGGTATACGAGGATGCGCAAGTAAAGTCGCGAGAAATCTGTGATCTGAAGAAAAAAATAGAAGCCTTGGAAAGCTGGATCGGAAACATCGAAGAAAAGATGTTAGAGTGTAACAAAGACACTGAATCAATAAAGCAGAAACAGGGGAGCATTGTACGAGATGAGGTGAGTTGTGATTGAGACGTGCCCGTTCTATCAGTTGTTCTAAGTGAGGAAGAATAGGCAAAGAATGCCACTGTCATAGCCAACCTAGAGGGTGATCTATGTAGTCTGCAGTCTAACTTGCGAGAACATCAAGAGCGGTCAGAGCGTCTCATTTGCAGAAAATTCAGTACGTGGTCTGCAGTTTTCAAGTCTGGACACTCATTATTATTTTTGGCCAGCCACCTTAAAAAACCTATATATGCGTCTACAGCAAGTGGATCTCGGAGTTCTAGCGCATACCCAGGAAGAATTTGGCAAGCATTTGTCAGAAATGAAAGACCAGATATCCAACTTGTCCAACCAGCAAACCTCTATGACTAGCGAATCAGAAGTGCTGCGGGACGAATTGCATACCACACGCGATGATAGGACACTGCATGAAACAAGATTATCTGATTTGGAGTCCATTTTCCATATATTGAGATCTGATCTCGATTTTTTGCTCGAAGCTCATAGGGAGTCCCGTTGCAATCACGAGAATAGAGAAGTCCCGCGTCTTCATCTTCCTGACATGGAATTTGAATATGCGCCTTACATAGCTCCCAAGGACACTCCAGTAAGTCACTCAACAAACTAATCACGGCTCCTCAATCACTTCTACGGTTTCTATAGACATATAGTTTGGCTTCGGAAACCCCTGATGGGGCTATCACACTAACGGTAGGAAAATTTGCTTACCATCGACCTCTGAGTATTTATTCACGTCTTGGAGAAGCTACGAACAGGTAGTATGATTCATATTCCAGGAGATGTGATGGGCGACGCATCATCCATCTCTGACGTCAAGCTATCCCTCATAATATTGGAGCACTACTATAGGCTTGCTATTGGGCTGCTTATATGGGCTTGCACGCACCCAATCCTAATGCCTTTGTCGCTACTCTCCACCGCATTAGTCTTTGTGTTTTTGATGGGAATGGGCCTACGGCCTGCTGTGTCACCGTTTGAGGGTGATCGCCCAATCTGGCAAAAAATCCATGCAGATATATAGAATATGCGAATTTTTATGTACCACATTCCACTAGATTATAGATAAGTACTATAGTACATGCCAGACCCCTCCAAAAAGTTCGATTCCTTCGTGCTCACAGACGTCAGGGATCGCCTCTAGGATGCAGCCTGTGACTGTAACGGATAGCGAGTCAACAGCGAGGCGAATGGGTGCATGAAAGACATCCGAGACTTCGGGTGATTTGGCGATGCTGAGGGATCCAGGATAATCGTAGGGGATGTTGAAGGTCATCCAAAGACGGGCAAGTGTGCTGGTTTTCATTCCAGTTGTGAACAATGAAGAGTTGGAGTGTGCAGTTGTATGATAAAGGAAAGACCAAAACAGCGCCTCGTCACGAAAGTGAATGAGGAAAGTTCTGTTCTGGCGCTCGTAGTGTACCACCGAGCCTTGACGAGCGACCTAAAAACATGTTTAGATTATGAATGAGAAGGAAATCTAGATTTTAGCCTTACTGCATGGCCCAAAATCGGTCGAAGAGTGACCGGGTCGGCCGGGACGTTGAGCTGTTGCACGATGACAACATGTTGGGACTTCAGAAGAAGCCATGCTGATCATGATCATTGGGGTTTAGTAATGAAAAGGAGCAGTAAAACATAAGATGACGTACGGGTGTCATCCTTGTCGCCAGCAATGAGCATGATAGAAGCTTGGTCTACATTCCCAACAGTGGTAACAGTATTACCCCATGGCTTGGATATCCCGGCAAAGGTGGTAGCAAAGATGACAGGAGCGCTAGCCAAGGTCACAGACATAGTAGTTAGATAAGTATGGAAGATCCAGATAAAACGGGTGCGGTGGGATGGCGAAATTGGTGGGACATACCGCAGGATACGTTGGCTTTTTGTAAGAATGGAAGGTGGCTCATGGGTCATGGGCAGGAGAAAGGGGAAGAAAGAACCTTTGTACCCTCTCGATCATATTGATAATGGGACCTTGTGAGCTCGCGGAGTTGAGGGAGGTCATCAGGTAGCTACCACCTCGGTGCAGTCTCTGATATTTCAAGATCGGAAGGGAGTTACGGGTAGCTACTTTCATTGCTGTTATTTCGTCCGTTTGTTGTTTTTTGTTTTTTGTTTTGTTTTCGAGTGGTTCTTTCGGTGCTTTCTTTTTCAGAGTGAGTCGAAGGTTTAACTACCACGCGTCTGCTATGCATCAGCGCAAAGAATCCTTTCACTGCTCAACACATGAGAAATTCCGCGAGGCTGGTACACTTGTAATACAGTTTGATTATGAAAGGGCTGAAAAGGCTGCTATTCGAGGCTCTGTTACAATAAAGAGAAGTGTGAGGTCATGTAATTGCTGGTTTGACTATTGCAGTGTGCGACAGTGGTGGCTCTATAAAGAAAACCACAGCGGTGCTGATGATGTGGCCAGGCCAGTGTCAGCCTTCACAAATCAAAGCTATACAAAGCGAGTACATAAAACTGGTTAGTGGCATTTCACGGTGTGCGACAGTCATATATTTGGCGCTCTGCCATCATAGTAAACATATCTTGAATATGTGGATAATGACGGCTATGACACCTTGGCTGAAAGTCGGACACCACATAGAATATTGCTGGCCTTCCATGAAATGGTCTCACACATCAGCATCTTGATTTTTACAGCTATGATTGACAAGTGTAGCGTACATGGTAAATTTTAACACCCTCACCTCTGGCGCACTTTGTGGCATCAGCGCGACTTTTTTCCATGCCGTGGGCTGGCACGTGTCTGTCGCAACGGGGGATTTCGGCCATTGCTCGCAGTGTCTACTCGTAATATCTGGATTACTGCTATAAGTGTACTTTGTTTGTTCCAAATCAATTACCTGCAGTTGAAGCCATGCCACAGTAGCCAAACAAAGCCGAATCATCTCATCATTGTCAGTCACGGTCACGGTGGCAAAGTCAACCAATAGAATCTTCACCTAGGTTACCCAACAAAAGAGCCTTACTATAGTGTACGATCACGTGTCTCGTACACTATAGTAAGGCTCTCTTGTGGCTATTCCCAGCACCAGCGTTAAATATCGCCCCAAAGTGGCCACAGGACTTGGGCTGCAAGCGCTCTGGCTCTGGTTCGGCATATTCGGCATGTAAGCTCCGCCATCATTGTCCGATTACAAACCTTCGTTCAGCTTCTATATATCCCGCCAGCATTGTCCTCGTCATTATTCGCAGCGACATCCTCTATAGACATTTGGCAACTATCTGGGGATCGTTATAACATAGCAGCATGGAAGTCTAAGTGAAGTGGCACTATCGCACAAAACTACCCGCTTTGGAACCGTTACGATGATCTAACTACACTAGACGCCTGGCACGGTACTTACAGCTGAAACAGTGTACTGGAATATACATAGACATGTTGACGATGACAAGTAATAGACTCGGCTCTGCCTGCTCCGTGAAAATAAATAATGCGAAAGACTACAACTGTCATACAGATACTTGTTAGTTTTGAAAGTAGTAATACTCAAATGGACTCACGAACAAATTTGCCATCCCTTCTTCAGGAAGCTGTAGCCGCTTTGTCAGGCTGACGGTTTTCGTATTCACGTATTCTGGCTTTGAGTTGGTCCATTTCAACCAGTCTTTCGGCCTCGCGTCGTGCACTTTCAGCACTGTCAGCCTTCTGTTGTTCTATAACAGCCTTGAGTTGCTCTCGTTCCGCACGACTGCGGTCTTCACCTATCTTCATCCCAGCTTCAACAAGCTTTTGACAAGTTAAAAAAATAAGTAATAGACAGCAAAAAACAACAACGAGGTTTTACTCACTGCACGTCGACTTTCTTCTCGTTTGATCTCTTCCTGCCTCACCCTTTCACACGCCTCGCCCCATGCTCTGTCATATTCTTCAGATACCGCCTCTATGCTGTTACGATGGTCGAATTTTAATCCAAGATAGTCGGCGCGTGTGCCGTGTGAACTACACTTCTCCTGTGCATTTGGACATAGTTTCTTCAACGTGTCGAACACGGTATTCGCAAACCAGTAGCACTGGTGCTCATAAAGATTGTAGAGTGGTGCATGCTTGTTGATGACTTTCAAAAGGATGCATAGCTGCCGAACAGAAGGTGGTAAATAATTTGCGGTGATATTGGAGGGACAAGACTCGGAGAATGTAAGGGTACAGAGCACCCTGTATGATTTATACGGTTTAGTCACTTCCGTTTTATTGTCTTCCCTGGTGATGACAATACGGTCATCGGCAGGAGTATCGGAGACTGACGGTGACACAATGGCAGAGCCTGGAGGGGTATGAACAGACGAGTTGGGTGAGGGAGAGGAGGGTGAACGGTCGACGACCACAAGTGCCTTGGCCGTGATGTTTGGATCCGGGTGGCGAACGTAAATCAACAAGAACTCGTGTCTCTTGTCGTCTTTGCATTTACAAAATACGATGTGGTCGATATAGCAATTTGTGGACCTATCGTCTAGGAAAAGCTGCCGCTCCCATGACTTAGGCCCTACAGGCCCGATGACGCGTTCCTCCTGGAATATGCCAAAGATGTCAGTTGGATACGACATGTGTGGTCGAACAAGAGTCGAGTAGATGTTATGGAGAATAAGAGAAAAACGACCTGAACCCATCTTTAATCTGTAGCTGGTGAGGGGTGTGAGGGCTGAGGGTATTTCAAGTTCCAAAGGGTCTGACCGTCTTCAATGGCGCTGGCAATGCTATGATGTGACAGTCTATCAAATCAAACTTCTAACGAACTCATGTAGTACACATGTCTCCTACATAAGCGCCCATAAGCGCCCATAAACGTCCATTAAGTTGGCGTGAGAATGTTCGCGATGTCTACATATGGGCAACTTGAACATCCTATCCGGACTCGGTGTAAGTAATCCAGTACACCCTACACCAATAATTCTCCTGGGGTCCATGCTTCACATGCTTTACCACAATGGCGGTCTGAATAGTCACTTTCAACGGCCAACGCACTTCAAACCCAGAAGATAAATTATCAACCGAGTACGTCGTGCTTTGGTCGTGCTACCAAGCGTGCCACCAAAAAAATTACCAGTCACCTTGAGCTCTTCCACCGGTCACCCCTTAAATCAATGGAGCGATCACAACTTCTGAACAAGTGGCCTGGTATACATAGTAGAGCAAACCATCGTATAACGAAACCATTATCAGACGTCTCAATCGACTCGATGGACTGAAATAGTTAAGCATTCATTACATCGACTTATAGTAATAGAACACTGACTCGTGGCCTGTTTTACAGAGCATTACACCCTCAGTGAACAAATAGTACCGTAGCCAGTCAGGGGCTTGCATGACTCGGACAACCGCGACGTGTCGAAGCACGGTTACTGTAGGGAATATTTTGCCCTTCACCCTCACATCGCATGAGTCACGATCGTAAGTATCTTCCAGTCTCTTTCCAATTCAGGGGAAGATTCTCATTATCATGATGGATGCTATCACTGATGACGGTTCGTGGTCATCTCCTTAGGGCCCAAGCAACGTGTATTTCACTTCGGTTACTCCCCTACCGTTCATTGCGCATGGAAATATCTTATTCCAGTGTCAGCAAAATCAGTTGCCAGTGGACGAAAGCAATTATCGCAACACGCCGAGATGTCAGCCCATCAGCTTGATGTATCTGCTTGTGCCGGTAGATGGGATCATGACGCGTTTTGATTCATTAGCGCAGGCTCGCATAAACGTATAGCCTTTATCGACAGCATTCCAGATGAAGTCGAGTTTGAACGTGGTAAGATGCGTTCAACCTATCAATTTCACACACCCTAAAATTTTGATGCACATACTAGGTTTTAGCCCTAACCAGCGCATCGTGGGATTGGGAAGCTCTCTACTGACGCTTTATTGTTTAGCACTTTATCATTGCAGGAGTGGACAGCGTGGTTTATCGGGGGGCTAATGTATCTCTCGGAAACGGCGCGGTCGGGCTAAGTGATTATGGTAGCCCATCCATCGTGTTATGTGCTACCTATCTCTTGGCAATGTAGCGTCGTGAATATCATTGGCCGATTAACAGAGAACGCATCTCCTTGGGAAATCTCAAGTGCAAATAATTTCGGACCTCCTTCCCGTATGTATCACTGGAAGCTTCGGAGAACACTGGGATCTGGCCGAGAAAAGATGGCGTACTTTGTGTCTAACACTTGTCTATCCATTACAGTACGCAGTCTCCTCATCGACTTAAGAGTCGGAAGATGGAGCGTACTACGTTCGCCGTCGATCACTACACCAGGGCATTGGATTAAAATTCTTCCCTGCGCAATCTCACTACATTTAATCTAACGATCTACAGCAGATCAGAGGTATTCACACTATAGTCTATCATTCAAGACGAGCCTATGTATACGTCGACAAATTACTGAACTACCAGATCATCATCTCCGATTCATCAACTGGGAGGAGCGTGGTTTGAAGGGACAGTACAATGATGCATGAACGATGACCACCTATCCTCCAACATGATACCTCTCTGTCGATGATCGATACCGGGAATGGCTTGATTGTATACAGCACCGGTGTCATAAGAATGGGAAGGTCCAGGAATTTCAGGGTAGAGGTTTTCCCATTCGAGTGGCAAGCCCACTACACGTTCACTTGTAGGATGCCCGTGATAAGACGACGAGGGTACAGGGATGCATCCAGAAGACTGTTGAAGTTCGTGAGCTTGCCCCTGTATGGGTATTTCGTTCATCGGGCCAGTAGAGTAGTCAACTGAAACTTCTGTTGGGCTGAAGGGTATATAATCTGTTGAAGGTTTGGGAGTGACCAGCATTGTCCGACCACCAAAGATCGCTAGTTCATCGTCACGCTCATCATGATCAGCAGTGTGACTTTGTCCAGTAGTGAATGCTGCAGGATGCATGACTACGTCTTGACTTGACAGCAGTGCTTTCTGGCGTAGCCTGAGCAGGATGGGCTACGGCACAACCATACCATCAATGAACGAAAATATGGAAAAAAAATGTTTTTGCACTCACCAGTGCCTTCTTCGCGCGACTACTTGTTTCAGCTGCGGCTTTGAACAACGAGCATGCTTGTTCCAGTTTGTCGAATGGCGGAGGATCAAGTTTCAAGCCTAACCTACGCATAGCTACGGTACCGATTATGACCTGGCAGGTAAAATAAGGAGTGATAACAATCCGAAACGAAATGCTTACTGCGGCAGAAAATGCATAAGACCATATTCGCCAAACACGAGCACAGAGAATAGGCTGCAGTGAGTACTGAACTCTTGTAGAATCCAAGACTACGCATGCACTTTGATACGCGGCGAGAAATGACTGGCCTAGAGGGCTTCTCATGGGGTCAGAGGGATAGTCGGTCATAGCTTGCGCAAAAAAAATCCTCTGTGAAGAAAAAGCAGAGCTGTTATGGAAACATCAGAGTCTTATTTATGGTTTTTGTGTGATTGTACGTACTGAGCTCCCGATAGTGAGATCGCACCCAAGCTTGCATCTCTTTGGACGTCTGCTCGAGGTGAACCGTGTTTTGTGATTTTGGGACATCAAATTTTCCGGTCGAGTTCCAGGATAGACTGATAACTCGGTGGCTTCACCGCTTGAGTAACTTGCACGACTGGCGCCAAGCATTCCACAGTGTATCTGAGGCTCCATGCGCCAACTATAGTACAGTCGTTAGAAGAAGACGGAGTGCCATTCTGAGAATACCTTACAGCCCAAAGGAACTTCTCCTTCTTGAAAAGTAATTTCATCAAGTTCTGTTGGATATTGGCAGTGAATAAAATCTGGCATGATAACTGGAGGGCGGCCGGTAACTAGACTCTGTAAATATAGATAAGAAGGTTGCGACCTGTCTTAATTCCTGTAGCGTACCTGCCAAAGGGTGCCTGCAAACAGATTCCAGAACGACATCCGTCGATCGTAAGCCTCTCTACTCTCAAAGCCCCACAACGAGGGATCCTTGTCTTGGCAAAGATAATGTAGTCGTTACATATAGAAAGCGAGATAACACGAAGACTTACGAGATCCAATCTAGAAACTACCATCAGATATTTCGAAGAGAAGAAATTTAGGTTGCGGCCCTTACCTGAAGCGCTATCTGGCCCGCAAAATTGAGAAGAGAGTAGGAATTCTCCAAGTTACTCTCCAAGCCACTCGTGCCATTGTATATGCTCATGAGATGCAGCGTTTTCACCGTAACGATTGATCTATTTGTCAGTACTGGCTGCAAACAAAGTGCTGACCGTGCAAGTCTGTAATAAAGTTGACCCTCGGCATTGTACGGAGGAAGGGTGAAATCGACAAGAGCACCAATGGCAAGGACAATGAATAAGAGCGCCAGATCGTGTGGTCCATATTCGAGCGGCTCGGAAGGATTCCCTAGGTGCTTGTATACAGCGGGGATTAGTTCATTAATGATATGTCGACGCGATACTATGTGGAACATCCAGGTTAAGTGCTCGGTGAAAGTCTCGCATAGCAAAGTCGCTCTTCCTATCTCTGGTAGAAATGATTCTATCATCGATTGCACTGGAGCTATTGGGATGCCGGAAGGTGTAAATGGGAAAGATTTGTAGAATATCTTGATTTCTTCGGGAAGATAGGAGGCGTCAAAATCTTGAGGAAAACTTGGTGGTGTCGAAGCCTCCGTGACGATTTCTTTTGCCCTCTTAGGGAAATATATGGCTATATTCTCATGGAAATAAAAGATCGCTCACCAGTAATAAACTCTTTAAAACAGACACCCAACCGCTTAGAAACTATTCATGATTTTGGAAAACATAAGGGCCTACCTCCGAACCACCGGATGGCCCAAAAAAGCGGACAGCACTGCGAACAGCTCCACCGTGCTCCTCGCTGTCAAGATGCAAGGAACCCAAGGCGTCGATTAGGCCATATCTATTGAACTCGTTTAGGGTTTTTGATTGCTCCTCGGTCTCAGTCTCGGTATCGTCTGGAGATGGCGCATTGATTAGAAGAGGATGAGGCTGATTTGACGAATTGGTTTGAATGATGGCTAGTGCATCCTCCAGAGAATGCATGCGTTCCTCCATTTTGGTCATCTTACGACGAAGATAGTCTTCGGCAATTCCAACGAACCTATGCAAATGACAGGTACTTCAGCACGCGACCAAGGAATGACAAGTGGTAATGATACAACTGACCGGCTTCCTTCTCCTGGAGGCATGGTGCCTGAAAGTAAAGACAATAAACACCAGTAAAGATCTTACGTATCTTCCCATACCATTAGGGCATAACATGCCGCATCCTCTTTTGACGCAGGTTGAGCAAGGCACTTTATAACGAAATTGTCAGAAAAAGAACAGCACGAAGAACAACTACATTGAATTAGTTGGTAATAACCCTTACCTTGTCTATCACATTTCGCTTTTAACCTATTCAAATTTCGAGTTGGGATATATGGTTCAATGATTTCAGACTCGTATAGAAAAGGTCTATATTCGGGAACATGTACCTATGGTTCACTGATCTTTAGGTACATGATTAGTAAAGTATTGTAGTTGGGATAGGCTATGAGGTACTCACTTCAGACTCGTATAGAAAAGGTCTGAAGTGAGCCTCTGTGCGCGAGCGGCTTATATACTGCTGCTCGCGCCAAAGTGTCAGTCTTACAAAAATCCTTGTCCCGCTTTAAAGCATAGACATACAAGTGTATATACAGAAATCCTATTGTGTGTTTAGTAGCTTAGTGAAGCCGCAAGTAGCTTGTCCTCGCTTGTATTCCAACAGGATATTAGCATAAGTTCGACGGCACTAGGTTTGACGACGTGCCTGCGGCATTCTGCACACGCAATCTCTCCTCTGGTTCGCCGCCTCTCCCTACTACTGCACATTGTCCAACACTGATAGTTTGTCTGTTTGATGGTATTTTCGAAGGCTAAGCAACACAGGAGTATTCTTCCCTAGTATAAAGCATCAGTAAAATGTCAACTTTCTTTGAAGACCTTAACTCAGCTTATAACGATTTTAAGAGTGATTAAGATCGGTTTGGTGCCAAGGGACCTATGGATTTTCAAGACGAGAAAAGTTTGATTAAGGACACTCAATTTCTTGAATCTCACTGAGTACGACTTTGAACAAACTTGAACAACTCTTGAATTTTTATTAAGGCATTAAGAAGTAACTCCTAAGATGAAAGCAAGATATTTTCGAGAACCGGAACAAGTAGCATTAAATGAGAATAAGAAAAAGTCAGTGCTCCAAGTTGTAAAAGACGAAACACAATTCAAGACACAATTATCACCAAAACAAACTGAGCAGGGATGTGGAAAGAGTCTACAAGGAATTCATGATAGCTGGGGAAAACACTAAATGTATTTGATCATCTATGCACCCCAACGCAAAAAACCTGTAATGAGCATGAATGCGAGGGCACACATACAAGGAACACTTACACAGCCTAAACATCAGCTAGACGGGCTCGAGGGTCAGCACCTCCATCTGTACTTGTGGCCGGCTGTTTAGAGCGTCCTTTTCCAACAACGTAGGTGCTTGCTTTTGCCACTATGTCGTCCATCGTCTCTTGTTTGAGTGCTTTGATTGATGTAGCATAATAGCGAGTAGCCTCACCCCAGTTCGTGTCAGAGAACGCCGCATGGCTACCGGTTGTTTTGCCAGTAGCCCTGTTGAGCTCTCGAACCGGCTTGACTTTCCGAGCTACGGAACCTACTTGGGATTGCGTTACTGGCGGGTCCCAGGTGATTTTTCTCTCAGCCCACATAGTAAATGCACGTTCAACCTATATTCAGGCTTTAGTAGAGACCTCGAAATGATGCTGGTTTTGTACTCACGGCTGCTGCGCTCATCGCTAGGGCCCCTACCGGTGGATACTTCTTAGTGTCTGTGGCATTACTAGGCACACTGTCAGCTCGCAATACCTCAACATCAATAGATGTGTTAACTGCTGCAAGGTGGGCCGCAAATGTTTGCAGGACAAACGGCGACCGAAAGAGACCACGAAATCCCTAAAAACAAAATGTGAGCCAAATATGATGTATTATGAGACCACATACCGAGGGATCATCCCCTATTTCTTCGTAGAGGTATGCAAAACCAGTGAGAACTTCACTAGCAAATTCTTGACGGGCGTGATAAGTTGTGTAAGCGGGATCAGATTCAAAGAAGTGCTCCACCATGGCCATGGCAGTAGAACCAAAACCACTTCTCCATTCCGAAAGACGTTGAGAGGCCTAAGAGCTAGTGAAAGAAATAACAAGACAAAAGACAAAATAAAACTCACCACAAGATAAACAGGGTCTTGTACAGTGATAGCGTGGCGAATGTTGGGATAGATAGCATCCCAGGCCAGTTGCATGGCCCAGACTGCCTTGGTGTCGCTAATGTTCCAGGGATTCTCGCAGGTCCCAACCCACTTCTCATACGTTGTGATAAAAGTGTTGCGCCAACGGCCACCCTCCATGCAACCCTCCGGGAGGTCAGAGTTTGTGATTTTTGTCGGATGTTCAACTTTGATGCGCTTTAAGGGAGGCTTAACACCATCTCGAAATTTAACGAGGTTCTAGAGAAGAATAAGGTCAGTAAAAAACAAACTTGAACGGTTAACTCACAGTGCTTACGGTACGCTTTCCCTTAACAGCCTCTATGTACTCTTCTATCTCAACTTCATCCTCAAGTCCACCCGCCCGATATCCAATACCAGTGCCTTCATTTGTAGCTGACCACGTATTTGATGTGGATTGTGAAGAGAGCACCCGTTTCTTGCTGTTCGGATGAGATGTGCAAGCAGTGGAGTCTGTAGTGATGGGAAAGAGTGATGAAACATCCTGCGAGTTTGTGCTGAGTTCATCTGCTTCGTTTGTTGTAGCATAGTTTGGCTTGTGAACATTTTTTCTCCATGAATTGATGCCTACAGATTTGCTATAGGATGGATCCGACACATTTGAATTGAGGCGTTGGTAGAAAAATAGAGTTATTTCGTTGAGGCAAAGCAGTTGATCAGTCATTCTGTAGAGATCAGATGAAAGAAATGTGCTGACCTTCCACGTGGTCTTTGCGCACCATATTGGGGCTTAGCCAGCGTCAGGTCGGACGCTGCACTTCCTTGTTGCCTTAAGGCTACAATGGCACCTCGAATGCCTGAGTCGTTGCCTGCTTTCTTCTTTTTCTTGGGGACGAGCTCCTCTATGTCACTCTCTTCCAAACCTCCATTGTTGTCTCCATCATCAGCTCCATCATCAATTCCTCCATCAACTCCATCATCAGCTTGGAAGTCCAGCTGAGAAGAACACATCATATCGATGTCTCTATCATCAATTCCTTCATTAACTCCATCATTGGTTTGAAAGTCCAGCTGAGAAGAACACATCATACCAATAGCTCCATCAATTCCTTCATCAACTCCGTTATCAACTCCATCATCAGCTGAGAAGAACACATCATACCTTGTTCGTCTTTTTTGCTCTCTTTGCTGCCTACTGATTCTTCTTCATCCTCGCTATCTGGGATGACCTTCAGGCTGCTTTTACGGCGTGCAAGACGGGACTGGCGCCACTGGGAAGGAATAGGTGCCACAGAATCTTCCCTGCCATCCTCGATGTCAGGGCTGTCTTTCTTACTTACCTGGCGCCGTTGGGAGGGAGGGAGCATAGGTATATTGTCTTCTATGTCTTCTCTGGCATTTTTATTTTCAACCTTTGCTGCAGCAGCAAGACCAAGCTTCATAGCTTGCACCAACTCCTTTTTGGTGAGTTTAAACTGTTCTTTCTCTTGCGCTACCTCCGCTCGAGAACGACGTTTTGGTTCCAGGTCAAGTAGAATTTTCCCGGGGTGTTGATGGGCATTTTTAGCACGAGTTACTGGGCGAGACATGGGGGGAAGATGGATGGACAAAGCTTTACGTGGAAGAGAGAAAACGGAGTTCAGGACTAATAGTAGGTAATTTTCAAATGAAATTTTCTGTGTTACTTCGGAACTAAAGCTTTCTCACACATAGTATGATTGCTCTTACGTTCTTTACTAGTAGACTCGAACAACAATGCCTCCCCAGATATATCATCACAAACCCGCCCGGCCACACCACAGCAGCTTAACTATACCCTGCGAGAATTCTCAGTGCAACCGCTGGTTTCGCAGTGTCTCCGGTTTGAAAAAACATGTGCGCTCTTGTCATGTCAGCACCCCCAGCCATCCACTTCCTCCTGAGCACCCAGCACTTTCACCACCAGCTGAAAACGAACTAGAAAGCAACTTCGAACCATTTGACGGACAGGATGAGCAAGAAAATCCGCTATCCAATGAGCCATTAGAAGATCAGGCTCAATGTGAGATTGAATACCATCCTTTTCTAGATGGTATGTTGTCTATGTTTTCTAATGGGCGTTATTCCTGCTGAAAACTCACAGGACGGCCTTGTGATGAAAACGGGAACTTTCTACCTCCTGGAGCAAAACCTGTACTACCCGAAACCCCGTCAACCAATGATTGGTCCCCATACCGGGATCGTGTTGAGTTTGAGACGGCGGAACTCCTCTACAAAAAGGTACAGATGTCTGGGGGAGATATTAATGCCCTTGTAGATCTGTGGAGGGCCTCGTTCATCAAAAATGGTCTGGCTGATGAAGATGTCCCTTTTGCAAACAAGGACGACTTGTACCGAGTAATTGACTCGACTTCCGGCAGTGACGTGCCATGGGAGTCTTTCTCTCTCTCATATAATGGCGAGCTTCCCGAAGAAGACCCCCCAGAGTGGATGAAACAGGAATTTGATGTTTGGTTTAGGAGTCCGCGTGCCATCATTCAAAACATGCTATCTAATCGAGACTTCTGTGGTGAAACCAATTTCATGCCTTACCGGAAGTTTAGCAAGAAGGGAGAGCGAGAATATAAAGACTTCATGTCAGGGGAGTGGGCCTGGAAGCAGGCCGACAAGATCTCCGTGGATCCAACAACCCATGGCTCATCATTCGTGCCTGTTATTCTAGGCAGCGATAAGACCACAGTGTCAGTTGCGACAGGCCAAAATGAATATTATCCAGTGTATATATCCATTGGAAATGTTCACAATAATGTCCGACGAGCACACAGGAATGCTGTTGCATTGCTGGGCTTTCTGGCCATTCCAAAGAGTTTGTTCTATTCAACAATATTTTTTCTTTGCGTATACTAAAGCTAACACCTTTTCAGCTGAGAAGAAGTATGCAAATGACGTCAAGTTTCGCAAGTTTCGCCGACAGTTATTCCACACCTCCCTGGCTCGCATTCTTCAAGATCTCAAACCCGGGATGCTAGTTCCGGAGGTTCTACGATGCACTGACATGCATTTTAGGCGTGTTATCTATGGTATTGGTCCATACATAGCTGATTATCCGGAGCAGGCTCTTCTTGCATGTATAGTTCAAGGGTGGTGTCCTCGGTAAGTGGCTTTCTTATACGGTACTATTCAGACTAATATCTGATTCTCATAGCTGTATTGCCTGGCCTAACAATCTTGATGGCGAAGGTGGTCGGCGCTCAGAAGATCACACAGAGGTTCTTGCAAACTTCCTCAGTCCAGTGGTTTTGTGGGACCAATATGGTATTGTTAGCGACATAGTAGTGAGTCTTTTACATTCGAACGAATCCTGTTCTTTCTCATTTGCCAACCCTTTTACATTCGAACGAATCCTGTTTTTTCTTGTTCACCAACCCACACTCAAACAGCCATTCACACATGATTTCCCTCGTGCCGACATACATGAAATTCTGGCTCCTGATCTTCTTCACCAAGTCATCAAAGGTACTTTTAAGGATCACCTTGTGACTTGGGTAGAGGATTACCTCCATCTAACATATAGCAAGAAGCGGGCTGACGAGATTTCGGATGACATTGACCGACGGATTGCAGCAGTTCCCTCGTTTCCTGGCCTTCGACGATTTCCTCAAGGCCGTGGATTCAAGCAGTGGACCGGCGACGATTCAAAGGCTCTCATGAAGGTGTACCTCCCCGCTATTGAAGGGCATGTCCCCCCAGACATAATACGCACATTCCAGGCTTTTCTCGACTTCTGTTACTTGGTACGGCACGATACTCACAGTGACAGCACCATCCAGAAAGTGCAAGATGCCGTCAAGGATTTCCACCACAGCCGCACCATTTTTGAGACACTAGGTGTCCGACCAACAGGGTTCTCTCTCCCACGACAGCATTCACTACAACATTATCCATGGCTCATTCGAATGTTTGGGTCTCCAAACGGCCTCTGTTCGTCAATAACGGAATCACGACACATTACGGCTGTAAAAGAACCATGGCGCCGGTCAAGCAGATTTGAAGCACTTGGTCAGATGTTGCTGATCAACCAGAGGCTCGACAAACTTGCGGTCTCTAGGGTGGACTTTACAGCCCGTGGGATGCTTTCAGGCAGTATCCTAGACTATGTAAAGAATTATCACAATGATGCAATGGAGGCTACAAGAGCTCTGGATACAAGAGCGGAGCACCACAACACCGAAGACAACAACAACGGGGATAGTGGGCCGGTCCCAGGTCCATTGACACCTGGCTATGTCAAACCATCGGTTCGCCGTTGTACGTTTTATTTCACTGCTATTTACATGTATATTATACTGATGGCTATCTTTTTAGTGCGTCAATATTCAACAAACTGCCACAAACTCAGTGTGCAGCTCAACCAACCCCGCCTTGTTGAGTTACTCCGGCGCTTCCTTTACAGCCAAGCGCACATGAACAACCATGACGCGCCCTCAGCCTTTAATATACCCCTGCACCAATGCCCCATGTTCAATTCGAGGGTAGTTGCGACGCACTCGGCAGTCGCATATTTCTATGCGCCAAGCGACTGCAGTGGAATCGGTGGTATGCGCCGAGAAACAATTCGTGCCACGCCTTTGTGGCGAAAGCATGCGGCTCGTTACGACTGTGCTTTTGTCGAGCGCGATCCTTCAATTCCAGGAATCCGAGGACTCGATGTCGTTCGCATTTTTGCATTCCTTTCTTTCTCACATGATAATACTACTTATCCATGTGCTCTTATACAGTGGTTCTCTCATATTCTGGATGAGCCTGATGAACTCACTGGGTTGTGGAAGGTCCAGCCTGATACAAATGACGATGGATCACCCAGTCTTGAAATTATTCATTTAGACTGTATCTTTCGTAGTGCACATCTCATGCCTGTATTCGGCGATTATGGTCATCGGTTCATCCCATCTGACATTGATTTCACTAACTCACTAGATAAATTTCCTACGTTCTACATTAATAAATATATAGACCATCATGCCTTCGGACTTAGCCAAGGATGATTCATAACTTGTCAAACTTGATTTTATACTTCATGTACTTGGACCACGCTTGGATAACACTTTGCTCAAAATGTCTGAATGCTTCTACTTAGACCAGCCTACGTGTCTAAATGAAGTTGAAGGTGAATTGGCTCGCTTTCTTGTTCACTTGATAGAGCTTTAATTCCTTATATTTCTTGAACAGTCTTGAAAGTCAGCAAAGCGTGACCAAGTTCCGTCAAGAAATTTGACACTTTACTGATGAATAGTGAGATCGGAAGCAATCTGTGCATAAACAGGGCGGTCAGAATACTGGTGAAAGGATAGACGTTGAGACGAAGGAAAGCGTAACGCAAGTCCGGAACTTGAGCATTAATGTAGTAGTAAGCAGAAATGTGAGGTTGAGAATGTCATCAGAAATCAGGGGACTTGCAATATTACGACATTGAGAACAAGCTTGCAATTGTGGGAATTTCACTTGAAGGTGGCCAAGAGTGGAATCATTAATGAATCAAACTCATCCCAGTTATCACATGCTCATATATGGTGATATTCAGCTGGAGAACAGCGTTTTCATATGTTCGTGCGTCTCGGTTAGACGGCCAAACTTGTCTAATACACCGCTCTAGCTTAATCTTATGGCTTGGTACATACAACATGCGGCACAAACAGAAACAGAATTCGAACGTTCGAAATATACTTCGAGAAACTGCCTCATGCCAAGGCCGATTGCGAAGACCGTTTCCAGCAGATTGAGTGGAAAATCATAGTAAAGTCACCTAGGTTACCCAACAAAAGAGCCTTACTATAGTGTACGATCACGTGTCTCGTACACTATAGTGTAACAATACCCAAAGTTTGTATACTCTGGTGCACACGCCGAACTCTAAGTGATGATGGAAGGGTGACTGAGTTTGTATACTGCAGTCCCTGAGGCTAGCAAGCTCAGTGGGAGGAACAAGTGTGTTGTGGGTAAACAACAGGAAGACTCGCTGAGGAGCTTCCGTCTTTATTGCTCTGTATATATACTAAGGTACATGAGGTACTGTATAGTTTATGTAATAGTTCTATAGTGTTCCATCGTATTCTATATGATGTCATTGTCTATATTAATAAGTAGTGATGTCATGTCATGTGACCTGTCATGTGACTGATGATGTAAGCGATCATGTGTCCTGTCATGTGATTGATCTTGTGACTTCACCATGTGTCCAGCTTATGTAATATCTCCATATGGTAAGTCACGTGACTTAGAGTTCGAAAATAAAAAGTAAACGTAGGTTCTGAAAATGTGATCGTAACACTATAGTAAGGCTCTCTTGTGGCTATTCCCAGCACCAGCGTTAAATATCGCCCGAAAGTGGCCACAGGACTTGGGCTGCAAGTGCTCTGGCTCTGGTTCGGCATACATGTAAGCTCCGCCGTCATTGTCCGATTACAAACCTTCGTTCAGCTTCTATATATCCCGCCAGCATTGTCCTGTCGTTGTCGTTGCTCTGGCTATCGCTGGTCGCCCTCATCCCCCTCCTCGTTGCCACGCTACCACATCATTCCTCCTTGTCGCCACGTCATCCCTCACCCCCCTCCCTCGTCGCCATCAATTTATTAAAGATAAGTACCCCTTTCTTTCTTATCTTATAATAATGCTTCGTGGTGCTTCAAACAAGGTCTCAGGCCTCTCGAAGTCGACAATTAAACATGGAATAAGGCGATCTATTCGACGCTCAGAGATTCAAACAGCTGGCAAAAGATAAGTAAGTGTCATGTTTTCTCAATACAGTATTCTCAACGAACTAACAAATCCAAAGCATCAATTAATTAGTGCACAGTATCTACAACACGAGATGGTTGCTTTATATACAAAGCCACTCTGTTGAAGAGTGCGCACCAATCAAGGCATGTGGTTTTGTATTAAACATTAGACAAATCTAGTGTAAACGGAGCTGTCTGGAACACCGCAGAGCTGTCTTTGGGAGGTGGGGTGTATGGGTTAATAAAGGCATCAAACATCTGGTCGAGGTTGCTGGCTGGAATTTGTGTTTCAAATGACCCAGTCATGGAGTTAATATCCATCCCTTGTAAGTCATTGAAATCATTATATGCATAGTCTGAAGGTGATGCAAAATTTGTCGACTGCAGTCCAGGCATCCAGGAGTTGAACAATTGATGTGTCTGTGGAAAACCGAAGCCACTATTGGTGGGCTGGGAATCAGCAGCATTTGACAGGACAGTAAGACCATTAGTGACTGGTTGTGCCAGTGCCAGCGACTCTACATTATCCGTGGATGGATGTATATCCGCTGCAGGCGCAACATTTGTTGATTCAGGCTGTGTATCAGATGCAGTGTCCATATGGGGTGACATCTGTGTCTTAGCAGCTGGAGCAGGTGCTCTTGGCTGACTATCAGGCTCGTCTTCACTGGAACTATGAATTGTCTCTGCACTCTTGAATGATTTCCCTTTTGCTGCCCCACTACTTCCTTCCTTACTCCCCCTTCGACCTTTTCTCCTTTTAGACCCTTTATCTGAACGAGTTTGACGTGCCGTGTCAGGTACTTCACCAGATTCAATCTGTCTGTCATGTTCTGCACTCATATGCTTGAGCTCATCGCCAGTTATGTGTCGCCAATGAATAGCACCTGTCTGCTACTTTTGAAGGAGCGCCTCGAGGTCTGGGAGAGCACTAGATACTTGGCTCAAGTTTCTGAAAGGAATACTCTCAGGCCACCCTTCAATTTTAACCCGATAACGCTGAACTATATTGCGCCAGTACTGAGTCCACTGCATTTTCGCTTTGTGATCTCCAGTAATGGTTTCTATATGAAAGTGAGTTCTTACTTATAATGAGGAAGGCTCAGAACTGACGAAGGGACATATTGATTTCTGCTCGGATTGTTGCTCTCACTTCGGAAATTTGCTGTTGGTGATTCTTAGCAGCACCTATGTAGCCAGTTAAGGATGTTTCGAAACCGTAAAGGGTGGGGTAAGTCTCACCTGTCATTCCCTGTATGGTGAAGCCCTCTATCTTGCTGAGTAAATGCTGATTATCTATCCCCATGCAGGTGCTCATAAAGTTCTCGATTCCTTCTGTCGAAAAGCTAATACCCCATAAGGGTAGATCCGTCGAACCACGGACCACGTAAAGGATGCTCTCAATGCCTGTTTGGCACTTTAAGCTTTCTAACTATTCTTAGTTAATTATTTATCGCCATTTACGTGTGGGATGATGCCTTACCTCTTGCTCAATCATCTTTAGAGTGTGTGTAACATCGTTGATTTGGGACTTGGCTGTAATACGAAAACCATTCTTCTTGTTATCAGCATGAGCTAAATAGTCTTCCAACAGCTTTTGCTTCTCATCCTTCGATAAGGAATGGTACTCGGTATTATGGTCATGAAGGATATTTTGCAGTGCTTTCGGACCCACACCCCCTGGTGATATGGCATTAGCATTGTCATTTCAAAGTAAGTGTCAAAATATTTACTGCTCTCCTCGCTAACTTCCTGGCTCTTTTTCCAGCAGAACGCATTCCAAGTGCTTGCTTTTCTTTTTGAACGTAACACTGAATGGTGCATGTAAAGATCGTTTTGGACACGGTGGATGCTTTTGCTGTTTGCTGCAGCAATTGTAGCCGTGGTCCCCTCAATTTGTTGCCAAGCTTCTTCAAGGTCTTCTCTGAATTTTTGTGAACGCTCACGGCGAACAGAAGTAAGGTTGGCTCAAGCTTCCTTGCTCAGCTTAACCTTGACTCGAGGTGCACTGCCAGCAAAGCCTTGAAACTTCGAGTTCTGTTTTGCCATGAGGATATTGAAGACCATAGCTGTACTCAAGGAGCGGGTAAAAACCGAAAATCTATGATGTTTTCTGCTTCTCATTTATATGTTTCGTTTGTAATAACATCCCCATAATGCAAGGACAAGAACAACTGCTTACATCACAGAACACATGTATTAAAAAGATATGAATAACATGCAGTTTTTGTACATCTACAAGTACAGCCAAGACAAGTAAATAATACGCAGCAACAACAAAGTCCCAATGATCTTGAGCATGGCTGTGATGAGGGAATATGACTAAAAACGAACCAATATCAATTGATGTATGAGAAATGTGAGGCAATTTTTATCACGAACCTTCGTTTCATCACATGCAGTGCCCTGCATGTCCTTCAGGAGAGCCGTAGCAAGATTTGAGGCTTGTTCGAATGTAAGGTTCCACTTTGGAGACCTCAAAACTGCCTCCAGATGACTGCTCCGCACAGTAGAAGTGAGTTCATGAAGCTTTAACAAAAGCTTTGTCATTCAAACCAAAATGATCCAAGACAGTGTCGGTGTTTGGCCCAATACTGATAAGAGGGGGGCCAAACAGCGTGGAGGAGGCATCACCCCTTCAATTTCGCATCACTGCTTGAACTGTAAAAGATGTGGGACCATGAACTCTTGGCAAAAGGCTTGAATAAGCACTGCAACATCCCCGCCGAGCCTATCAGGTGTTTCAATAAGCTCACGGGGAGTCACATACATGTCAACTGCAATATTTTCGGGTAACAGCTTGGGCATGATGTCCGAACCAGGGCACCAAATCAGGAGCGACAGTCCTCCATCAAGACAGTCTTGCATGGTGATCTATGGGAGGTTTTTGTCAGAAGTCAAATTTAAGTAATCTAAAGGGAGCGCTTCATTGCCATTATCACTGAACATTTTGTAGATAAATTATCATGTAATCAATATATCAGTCATTTACTACGTCCTGCAGAAATTCTAGGGCATCTCGCGCCATTCTTTGCTGCTCTCTCCTTTCCACTATGCTACCATCACCATATTCTGTAGTAATTATCCGGTTTATATCATGATTGCATTCCTGCCCTTGGCCCACTATCACAGCAGAATTGGATGGTTGGGGATCGTCAGATTCAACACGGATGCCTCTACCATGCTGACCAGAGAAGCCATCTAAATTTTGTATTTGATCCAGACAATGTACATGTAACATGTTCACCGCAAATCTCTGCCGCCAACGACACTTCATCTTGGTAGCCAGTAGCACATTAGTCTGTGAAATATGAGCAATAGCACCTGTAACCTGTATCTCCTCATCATGAATTGCTGTTCGTAGGCGGTGGCACTCGACATTCAATCTTAGTATTTCTTCCCGAGTGCGACAGAGCTTAAAATACTTCACTGCAGCAGCTCTATTAGCTGGCTTCATCCAGGAGCTATCAGATATATCAGCTCGCGAGTAGCGGAGAAGATCAAACTCGGCGAGGAAAGTGTAGTCGGCTATTTCCTTCCAAGTCAACTTTGAACGAGGAGGTTGCAGGAGAACAGCCTGATTGTTATACCGTTTGATGGCATTTCGAATAGCCTCGGAATGTCGTTGTAAGCCCTTGCTGATCTGTTGGCGCAGTTCATAACCTTCTACAGATTAGTATGTCTTGACGAAAAGAGTAGATTACACCTACCTGTTCCTGACATGGATAACTTCGATAATTCCGACAGTCGCATCACGACTGTACGTTCAAGAGCATCCAAAGCTGTTCTATACTTGGCCAAAGCAACTTCTCCTTTCTGGCGGGTATAATCCAGACCTCCGATCTCCCACCGTTTCTCGATATTCAACGACATCTCCAGGTCAGTAGTGAGTTTCTCTGCCATTTGTATCGCTGCATAAGCTGTGTCTACGTGTTTGCGAGCCCGGAATACTTCGTCTTGAAATTGGCTTAGATCTCCAATGGGAATGCCACAGGCAATAGTATTTACCGCCTTTTGAGTGTCCTCCCATTCTCGGCTGCTATTGCTATCAGGGCAAGCACTGGTACATGACTATGCACTTACTATCTTTGTGAATAATCATCTAAAGCTTCAACATATCAAATTTCTAGTTTGTCTCTGACCGGCAGCTGTTTGAATGAGTCCAAATATGCCTTCTCATTGTTGTAGAAGTTCTTGAAGTCAATATCACTGAGATTCAACTCTTTTTTTAACATTGTGAGTTCTTGAGTTAGTGTTTGTACCGCTAGCAAAGCATGTCGGTAATGATTCCATAGAAAATCACCTGTAATTCCAACAATCAATACAAAAACACAAACTAAACAATAGAAATCTACTTAGTGCTGCATATTTATCAGCATCCCAAAAAGCAAAGTGCTCTTCAATAGCTTGGTGACGATGGAACCGACTCGAGTGTCTGGTACTTCTAGCTAGATTGTTGGAGGAGGAAAAGATATGCTCGCAGCCCTCACCCTCGGTAAGGCCAACGTGCTTAATATATGCTGGGTGCCAATCTAATTGGCATTTCCTGTTATGCGCATGGCCATGGAATGCCCCTACCATCATGCGAAGGTTTAGTTCTTTTGCACGTTGTCCGAGGCAGCTGTGTGATCAAGTGGATGAAAATGCACAGCCTATGTCATATGCACATCCACCATTTCTCCCGTAAACTGAGAGCAATCTGTCCACAATTGCTAATGGATATTTGGCTCTGTGAATCATATCAATAAATGAGCCAGCTAAATAATGAAGCCGTACAGTTCTCCGCTTTGAATCATATCACATGCAAGTAGTATAAAGTGATGGCGACAGGATGCAATGAATATCCCTGATTCTTCAAAGATGCTGAACATTTTTTTGCGTTGTTCCGGACCTGCATTTCGCCAACAATCAACACAAGTGAATGATTCTTCTTCGTGAAGCGCTACATCAACCCAGTCATCAGCATATTCATCAGATTTTGACTTAGACTTCACCTGATCTTTGTATCTATCAACTGCTTCTTTGTCAACCCAATAATCAGTCCTGGGTTTGCGAGAATCGCTTCTTGAAAGAAGTCCATATGTGGACGATTTCCATCGCTTTAGACTGTTGTTACCATCAATAGAAACAAGCCATTCAATTCCTAACGACGGTTCGTCCTTTAGCTTATAAAAACAAGCGGGGCAGGAGTTTTTAAGTCGCCAATGCGGGGAATCCTGTTGTAGCTCCACTTTCATCAAGGCATCCACACGATAAACAATTTCTAGATATACATCGTAGGCAGCACTAAACTGTGCATCAAGATATGGTCTGTAAGGAATCTAGAAAAGAAGGTGCATTCAATAAAAATGAGTAGTAAGGTCAGAAACACACTTACATCATGAAGATGACACAATGCTTTACATTGCGCTTGAACACTGAGTCTCGGGCAAGTTCTATGAATTTGTCGATAGGCCGCAAGTGTTCGAAGAGATATCGCAACTGTGGGGTATAAAGATGAACACCCAAGATAGCCATGGTAAATTAAAGTTTCGTTAGGAAATTGATGGGAAGGCTGAGGAAATAATGATGCTCTTTGCCGCACTGCTGGGTTGATGAGCTACATACAACGCAAAACGTAAGATATAATCGACTCACCAAACATATCAACTAATTCCACATCTTTCAGCGATAGACATTCGCTATTCTGGAGACCATCAGATGAGGCCGTTGTATGGTTGGGCATACCATCGCCCTCATCTCTCCAACGATAATCCAGATAAGATGCGACTAACTTATCAATCTGACAGTCCCAGTTTTCAGTCTGGACTTGAACACGATCACGTCGAGTTCGTGGATCAACATAATGGCTGGGGAGGCATATCAGATGAAGCAAAAGATCAACAACGTCAACACCTATTATCCTGTTAAGTCGGCCATCTCTTTTGCCAGGTCTTCGTAAACTTCATATTCCCCACCTGCAGCCCAAGTCCCGTGGCCACTTTGGGGCGAGATTTAACGCTGGTGCTGGGAATAGCCACAAGAGAGCCTTACTATAGTGTACGAGACACGTGATCGTACACTATAGTAAGGCTCTTTTGTTGGGTAACCTAGGTGGGGATCTTCTTAGTAAGGTCATGATGATGATTTCGCTGGTCAGAAACTCATTTTTGATTATTTGAACAGTGCACGATGTCCCTTTTAGTTCGAGACAATTATATTCACCGTGGTTGTAAGTCTGGCCGGTACTCAGACTCGGAATCCCGCTCCTCCACTAGCAATGGTTACCTACAACTTTACATTGGCGGTGCTTGTAACGCTCCTCTGCGATGGCACACTGAAATCTGGCCCTTAGAGGTACGCTATGTAGGTCTAAACCAGTGCTCATGCTCAATTGTAGGCTGAAAGTGTTGCTAATGGAAAGATCCGTCTGATTTTTCGATAGATCTTGATTGTAGCTGCTCTTTGGTTGTGCTTACCTTCCCCGACGTGAGAGTATAAAGAAGAAATTATTGTAGTAAGAGTTCTCCGCAGCCCATCTTCGCTTCAGTGATCACTTCATAGCTTCCCGTCTCGTAGAACATGGTGTCCACTAATCAGTTTTTTTCCGGTTTTGCATTCACCGGGTTCGTTCTAGCCAGTGTCCTTTTGCCGCTCCATGTAAAAGGTGATTTATCATCCTCTTGGATGTTTCTCCGTTGAGGTAAATGGCGCTGATGCCTTGATTAAGCAAAAAATATCGGTACATGCGCTCTCATTATATGGATAGGCTTGCTTTGCTTGAATGGATTCGTAAACTCGATTGTTTGGGATCATAGTGTCACCGATTGGGCACCTGTGTGGTGTGATATATGTATGTGCACCTTGGCTTAAGTACTTGAGTGTTTTTTCTAAAATTTTTTTGACAGCATCTCATTTGATGATAGGTGGGGGAATTGGTGTGCAGTCAGCGTGCTTATGCATTACTCGTCACTTGTATCTTGTCACAAGAAACATAACCACTAACCGACTCAGTCAAGTCACAGTACGTTTTACGGTACTGTCCCCCCTAATCAAACTTTTATCGTTGATGGACAGCATTGGAGAGCCACTGCGTGTGACTATTTTTTTGTTATAGGAGTTCCAGTGCTGTACATAGTCTTATGTAGGTCTCTCACAATGTGTTGTCTGCAAGCTTATGCTAATTTGATCTCAGCCTATATTTTTCAAGTTAGGCGCTTTATGATTTACGAGGAGATAGGCTGCTATTTTGCATTATACAACACGCAGCCCATGTACCCGCTGCTTTTGATATGGCCGTTCATAGTGTCTCTTATCCTTATTGTCTACTTAGGTAAGTATTCAGTAATCCTCTCGTACCCGCTGAAAATAATACAAGCCCAGGCGTTACTATTCGCACCTTAACACAGCGGGGAGCAGGATTCAAAAAGCTCATTCAACATGATGAACAATTTTTCCGACTATTGGCACTGGCCGTTGTGATAGTCACCTGCACATTTCCGTACAGTCTATGGGCAATTGTAGCGAATGCAACTGAAAATCCAGTTTCTCCTTGGCCTGGGTGGGATATTGTGCATGCCAATATCTCTCATGTTGTTAAAGTTCCAGCTGCTGAGTGGCAAGCGCAAATACCTGCGTATGTCACTAGTATACAATTCACGCGATGGACTTATGTGGTGTACGCCATCATCGTGTTTTCTTTCTTTGGTTTCACGACAGAAGCAAGGCAGAGTTACCGTGCTATGGCGGGCTTCCTTACTCGCTGCTTCGGTACCTTGGCGATCTTCAAAGGTCGAAAAATGAGGTGTGTATCACGTTTCTCGTTTTCCCGCCAACTCCGCTGATCATGGCATATTTTCTCTCTCAAACATGCCATGTTTAGGCAGAAACGTTCCCCTGCCCATCGCATGCCCGTAAACGCTTCCCAAATATCAGACCATCAACTATGTCCACATACAGCGTCAGCTGTCGACAGTCTGCAACGTGACTCGTGCTTAATCGAACTGTCCGACCCGTCAATGGGGTCTGTTTTAGACCTAGTACGTGATACCGAGGCCACACGCTACCCTGGCAGCGACGGCGATGCACAGCATGCGTACTTCGCGACGTCGGTGCTTGAACATCCTGCACCCGTATTGGACATTGTATCTGTCTTACGTTGCCATTCACCTGATTCAAACCTGGTTTAATACATCTTCGCATGTTCCTTAACATTGCGTAGATTATAGATTTACTGGAGTTGCCATTCCAGTTTTATGTCCTTTTAGAGTTACTGTTTAAATGTGCCATGAACAGTATTCGTGAACCCAGAACCAGCACTATGTATTGATATCCATTGTCGTATCAGTAGTCGGTAAGGGCCAGGCTAACCGTCACTCGACACAGCCCAGTGATTATGTCATCGTATCATCCTTTTCGAGCCAGTCTCTAGAAATTTCTGTATGCACGCCCTTACTTGACCTTTATCCTCAAATGACCTGTTGCTTTCCCGCTCTCCTACTTGCTTCTGTATGATATTCAAATGTCAGCGTATGACCGTCCTTTGGTAGGCTCTGTGTTTGAGCGGAAGACGCTCCTAACGCCCTCGGCTACAACTGCAAAATTCGAAGGCTCGAGGGCAACCGGTTTTCCAGAGGTACAACATCGTTCCAAAAGCGCATTTTCTCGTGCAAGAGAGAACGCTAAAAATGGCAAGGAAGGACATGGTGCAAGGACTCAGGATGTCCCTCCTGTAATACCCTCGCGTATAGCCAAGGGCGAAGCTAGTCAGTCACAAATCCAGACGGTGGAGACCGGAGAGGAGGCTATGCGGCGTCAGATCAGCGAAGAGAATGAGCGCAGGATGGCAAGTATGACAGAAGAGGAGATAGATCAGGAGAGAAAGGACATTGTAGAAAGATTTGGCAATGGCGTTGGTGATTTGCTGAAGAAAGTTAAAGAGGCTAGGGAACGAAGGCCACAGAGTATGGAGGGTGATCGCGAGGAGCTCCCCGAAAAATCTACCGAAGTTGTATCAAGAAATTTGGATATGAAAAGCGCTACCGATTCACTCAAGAACGCTGATTTAATTCCATCTATCATCAAACCTAATATCCAAAGGGCGAAAAGTCTTGAAGCTGTCGGTACTAAGGGTACATAATTTATATAATGCTCGAATTGGACGCCGTTTTTGACGATTAATTTACAGAGCCACATTCTATACTCTTAAAAAGCAGCACTCGTCCGTCTAGCAGGACTGGTCGGTCAATTCGTTTTGCAGAAGTGACCCCTGAAGATGTACACGTCTATGAGTCAGCTCCTGCCTCTCCAAAGCGTAAACCTCTTGCTCTCCCTCCACCCCCAGGTACATCAAATGGAGACATTATCTCCCTTAGTACTTGGAAAGGAGCATCACGTATGAAATCGACTCAGCCACCGTCCGACTCGACGGAGAGAACAGTGAGTTCTGAAGCACGGAATCCCGATATGGAGGTCGATCCCGAGGAAGGTACTCCAGAATACATCCGGCGGCGCTTTTTCCCCAACGTTCCCGCCCACGATCCTAGCGTAGCGTGGATGGAAGCCCTCTCTTCTAATCCAACAAACAACTCGTCAACAGGCATCCGTTTCGATTTGACCGGTACTCCGATCCCGGAATCCATGTCGATGGCACTGCCCACTCATCTAGGATTACACCATCATGCAGATGGCGACCGCGCAGGATATACACTTGATGATATATTTCTACTTTCGCGATCCAGTATCCCTGCTCAGCGAGCAACTATGCTCGGAGTGCTGAGTAAAATTATACAGAGATTGCGACCCAATAAGGGGAGTAAGGTTATCAGAATCCCCGAATTACAAGGACAGGAGGATGATCTTCGAAGGCGAGTCCTGGCAGCAGGACTAGAAGCTATGGTTGAGCGGGGAAGTGTAGGTGCTAGAGCTGTGGAAGCTATCTGGCAATGTGTGGTTAACTGGGACGCAGATGTTGCAGGCATCGAAGGAGCTGAATTACAATCTTCAAAAACCGATGCCCCATCCCTCTTGCAGCAAGATTTCTTTCTCTCTCAAATAGCTGAAGCTTTTGCTCAAATGTCTCTACCCCCAGAGTCCCTTGTGCAACTCCTTGGGATCGTCCATCGTTTAGCGCAGCAATCTAATATAATGGCAGAAACGATTATGGCCTCAAAGAATCTCGTATCTAATATCCTTCAAACATTCTTGTTGACACCTATTCCACCCACCAAAACCTCTCCTCTCCCGAACCCTTCTGCACTTCAATTACTCACCACCCTGGCAATGGCCTCGCGCTCCAATGCGTCCGCGCTGACGGAGCCCGCGGATGCTCTTCTGCGTTTTGTCACCATTCTACCCACATCATCTCCTTTCTCAACTCCACTCGCTGTTTCGCTCCTGACATCAACCCTAAGGTTCTACACTGTACTTGGTTCATACGGGATGTATGCCCACATCGCCACAACAGCTGCAGAGCAGTTTGCTGCAGTAGGTTCATATGTACTCTCAGAGGCTTGTCAGTCCGAAAGTTTAATGGAGGCGTGGCTGGGACTATTAGAAACTTGGTTAGTTTGCGCGACGGATCCACATCGGACCACACCGCCTCATGAGATTTTGTGGAGTCAAGTTGTGGGCTGGGCATGGGCGGATGATGTATTAACCCTCAGAGCCAAGCTAACAAGGAGGGAGTCCCACTGGAAGGTATGGGCTGGTTTGTGGAGAGTTGAAGCCGCGTGGCTGGAGGGTGCGCGGGTCAATGGAGTCAGAGGCGGCGAAACGGAAAGAGCAGGTATCCTTGAAGCCATTGGAAATGGATTCGAGGTAGGCTCAGAAAAAGATATAGTAGCTGGAGCTCTTATCGCATTGCGCACTGAACTCGACCGACTCCACTCTCCCTCGCTGTGGACAGATTTAGCCTCGGACGTTATCTCCCACCTCCGTAACTCTGATTCACAAGCTACCGTTATCTTCTCCGTCCTCCGTTTATGGCTTGCTTGCATGCCGTTGAATAGAGACACCCCTTTAGAAGCTCCACCGTTCCTACTTCCTTTCTCTGACCTCTCAGCATTTTGCGCTCTTCTTGTCAATCACCCGATATGGCCCCATCTCAACACTGATAACACCATACCTTACCAAAGTTACCTTAGACCACTAACGAATGTACTCTACTACTTCTTACGCCTTTCACGACACATCCCTGGTACCTCACCTGATTTGTGGGTGGCTCAAGCATTTTCGATTACCTGTCGATTGTTACCAGGAGACGAAGAAAATGGGCTTCAAGTAACGAAAAGTATCCTGGCAATGATGACCCCAGACTTCTTCAATGCTGGGGGGATGGAAGTACCTCCGATCATATGGGAAAAGGGAGGAATGTCGATCATCACTCCATTCTTGGTTCATGCTATTCGATCCAGTAACGAAGTTTATGTAGGGCCGATATGTCCTTCCCCACAGTCTATCATGGGATCTACGACGCAAAGACTCCTGCACCCAACACTCGACTCCAAACACACACTCCCGCTATCCTATAACTGGATATTCTCGCCGATCGATCACCTCCTACGCTCGGGTACATCTCCTGTATTTTCCTCCCTGTCATCCTCCTGGGATGCTTCTGAAACTGATGTCGTTCGTGCCACGCTTCTCCTCACAAAAGTCCTGTGTAACATCTTACTGCGTCATCATCTGCTGGAGTTCGTCCCGACTCGTGCGGAGATTATATTTTCGTGCATGAAGATATTTATGCTCGAACATGGACAAACGCAAGAGGGTGAATTGGAGGAAGTCTTCCGAGATAGTATAGTGGAACGATTCATGAACGACCTACTCGTTCCTATCGTTCCTGCTTCTTCAGATGCAAGGCCTACTAGACAACCAGGAGAGCGTGACGACTTGGAAAAAGTGGCCGCGTCCTTCCTCGGCTCATCAACTCCCTTCTACCAGTTTTATACTGATTTTGTTGCCCTTTATGACGCCATTTCATTTTCCCACCCACTCTTTGCACGACTTCTTTTCCCTCCAACTTCAATGCTGTACCCGTTGGATTATCGTAGACACCTATGGATGGACTTTGGTCATCTATTGAAGACGATACGGACACCTACAGCACAGATGATCACGTGTAACGTCGATGAGTATCTTTGGCCCGTCGAAAGTAATGGACAGATGCTCTCTGCGTATCTGAAGGCACTGGTGAAGTACCCTCTAGACGGATTTCCCCGGTTTATTGCCGTGCACCACGTTGCGTGCACTATTTGGCCCGATCTGCGTGGTACAGGCGAAAACGAGAAGACAGAGGCCAGCATAAATATGCTCAAGGCTGTTATCGAACAGGGTAGCGGTTCACTCGTGAAGGATATATTCCGGTATCGGCAAAGCAGAGGAGAATGCGTCCTTTTGCCTCCTTATTGTCTAGAACAAGATGGCCAGTGGAAAGCCGATAGGCTTTCATATGTTGGTAGGGCATTGAGCGTAGATGTGCAAGAACGCATGAAGGGTGTATTTGTTTGAAGGGATTTGCGGATCTTGCTTTCTGAACGTGAATGTATCCGTAATGTTTATTTTATGGCTGTTAGTGTATCAATACCGATTTTCTTTGAAGACACTTGGGTCAGCTCGAGGTTACGATTACTAGTATGTGGATGTGCAGCAGGGTAATATATTCGAACATGCATTAGTAGCCTACGACATGAACGACCTTGTAGTAAATCTTCAGCGTTCCGCACGCTGTTCAAGCCACCCCAAGTTCCGCTGCGTTCGAATTCAAAATCCGAGCCATGTTGTTCATCCACAACCACAAGCCTCATATAAGGTGACTCATCAGCCTGAGTTCCCAGTCAATGCAGATTACCCATCTGCGCCAAGGAATCAAGTAATCATAAATTCGTAGGTCACCGCAAGCGTTGGCAGGATCCTTTGATGTTGCAATCATGATGTAAGCTTGTCAGCAAGTTGTTCTCTGGGTCGGATTTGCACTGGCACACCACTTCCGGCTCAATTCCACGCACTGAAATGTGCGCAATATCTCAATCATATACGCAAAGTGCACTGGTAGCCAGGTTGAGGTACAAGAAATTGGATACTCTCTCGACTTCCAGCCACAACCAGTAAATGGAAACTGATCTGGCATATGATTTTGGCCAACCACCGGTGTGTCATGTCTTCTACCGTAATACACCCGTTCTAAGTTAACCATATGGTCACTCCAGTACGCGGAAAATCTCAATTCATTCTTGCGTCATTGAGGACCCTATCTGCATCGTTCTTATAGCTATAATTGCCTTTCCGTCGGGCTGTCTTCTGCAGTCGGATTCACACAGACAAAAATGTCTGAGATTTTGACAACCGCGACTATTGTGCCTGCATTCGGCTTTTATTTCGATTGGACGACCCCACGGGCCAACCACAGACCACGGGGATAGTGAGCACGTTGATTGGCTCCAACTAGAACAAGCCAGACCAACCTGCAAGTGAATATTCTGTTTCCATCAATCGATCCACTCAAAATAGATATGTTCCAGAGAACTTCATGTTGCTATGTGCTGCGTAGGTCATGGGTCTATTCCTACCACAGCCGAAGCACACGTACCCCGCGAAGGAGGCATCTTGCTTGTGACAGCATTCCACTCGGCTTTAGAGTCAAGCGTGGGTCGAGAACAACCTACCAGCAGCTCATGACTCTGGTTATGGAAGGTTCCCGGTAATGGATCCGAAGTTAATCAGCTCATCTTCAGACACATAAGAGGTTTCAAAATGACTGACACAAGGGCAAGCTCGACTTACCAGTGCCTTCCCCGGCTACAGTCGTTGGCTCATTCTGAGGTCACAAATGTTGCTGCAAGGCGTCGTCTTTCTAGCTGTCCACCTCGGCGTCACTGCTGCAGGTCCTCTATCCAAGAGAGCTGCGCCTACCGTGACGCTTGATAGCGCTACCGTAACAGGATCCACTAGTGGTTCAGTGTCTCAGTTCTTGGGTATACCCTTCGCGCAACCTCCGTATGTGTCTATGCTTGAATATAGTGACCTTCGCTGATCTAGCCTATCAGCGTTGGAAATTTGCGTTTCCAGCTACCTCAAACCTTGCCTGCATACAATCAGAGCTTTGACGCAACTGCCTTTGGGCCTGCCTGTCCTCAGCAAGCCATCACGCTGCCAATCCCCCCTGGTCTAGCCTCTGAGACTATCGACTACATCACAAATTCCATTTACCAAGTCATTACTCCAAGCTCTGAGGATTGTGAGTATCACGAGGCAATAACTGATTTGAACTTGAAATTTAAGACACATTTATAGGTCTTAGTCTTAATGTTTACACGCCTGCCAACGCAGCACCCGATTCAAAACTGCCTGTTGTTGTGGTATGTACATTCCACCAAAGCTCATCTGCCATCTAACTATATACTCTCGCAGTGGATCTTCGGAGGTAATCACTATATATTTACAAATTGGACGTCTGTCTTACGCTTTATATAGGTGGATTCGAGCTAGGAGGTCCCTCGATGTGAGCATCACTAAACGAGATACCAAAATATTGCTAATATTTATTTTTAGTTATGGTGGCGGCACGATCGTAAACAGGGCGTTGGATTTGAACGAACCCGTGGTTTATGTCAGTATAAACTACCGGTAGGTCTCTCACCGCGTCTATTCTACTAAATATATTGATAAGTTGCTCCTACAGTGTGACTGGTGAGCAACGCATGTCGCTACGATACTTAAAATCAGACTAATGACCGTCTTTTCACAAAGCTTTCGGTTTCCTGGCCAGTCAAGAAGTGAAAGATGCGGGAGTAGGGAATCTCGGTCTGCAAGATCGTAAGATTCATCACCTTCCAATAACCATTCACTACTGTTTCACTAATATTCGCGTCTACCAGAACGTGAAGCTTTACGATGGGTCCAAAAGTATATCGGTGCATTCGGAGGTGACCCCACCAAAGTTACTATGTGCGTAGCTTCGCCCTCTTCTTTCCACATCTGCTTCATTGAACTATAGCTGGGGCGAGAGTGCTGGAGCAATATCTGTTGCACTCCAAATGGTCACCAACGGCGGTAATACCGAAGGTCTATTCCGTGGAGGCTTCATGGAGTCTGGATCTCCCATTCCTGTCGGCGACATCACTCACGGACAGCCATACTATGATGCTATAGTTAACCAGACAGGTTGTTCCACTGCATCGGATACTTTAGACTGTCTTCGTGGAGTTCCTTATGACACCTTGATGGACGCAGTCAACAATTCGCCCTTTATCTTCTCCTACCAAGTAAGCTGCGTTCCTGTGTATCACACTGTCATGAAATTTATGGGCTGGAATTAGTCCCTTATACTGGCATGGCTGCCTCGGGTTGATGGGGTATTCCTGACTGAGGACCCTCAGATATTGGTACAACAAGGATCAGTAGCGGATATACCGTTCATAAATGGTGCGCTTCAGTTTGTTTATCTTGTCACGACACTGTTGTAAACCATCCTTCGCAGGCGACTGTGACGATGAAGGAACTCTATTCTCCCTCTCCACTACAAATGTCACGTAAGAAATCCCAGACTCGATAAACTTGGCGGTAGAATCTCATGGTTTCCCACAGGACTGATGATCAACTGGAAGAATATCTTCAAACGTACTGGTTACCGGATGCCTCCAGTGATATCATCGACGAGTTGATGCAATACTATCCCGACGACATTACACAAGGATCGCCATTCAACACCTCCATTCTGAATGCACTGACACCCCAATTCAAGCGCATCGCCGCATTCCAAGGAGATGCCGTCTTCCAAGCACCCCGTCGCTTCTTCTTGCAACAGCGTTCGGGATTACAGAGCACATGGTCTTTCCGTGAGCCTCCCTCTCCCTTACCACCCAAGGCTCCCACTGATCTGTCTGCTAGTGAGCAAGCGTCTCAAGGATGTACCTTTCCTAGGCTCTGTGAGTGTTCTCCCAGTGTAACCCCCATCGCCTTCTTTTTCTGATATCTTCCCTACAGTTCCACGCATCCGACATTCTCGACGTATACGGCCCAAGCGACATGACAGACTATCTCATCAACTTTGTGACCAACCTCGATCCTAACGGAGCGACAGGCATAAGTTGGCCACAATATACCACCGCCGCACCCAACCTCATGACCTTCATGGATGGGCTTCCCTCACTGGAAATCACTCAGGATACCTACCGAGAGGCTGCTATGACTTATTTGACGAACGTGACGCTGCAATACCCTATTTAACGGTTGACATATCTATCCGGTTAGGTTGTCTTGTCTTTTTCACAATCCCAATGTATATCGCGGATCTGTTGTAGCTTTTTATGACTTATGAATATATAAAATACTTGCATTGCTGTCAGACGGCTAACATCGTTGCGACAATGATGCGCGAAGGCGAAAATATAGGAGGTGCAAGAAGAAACGTCTTAGGCCGCACAAGCTCTCTTCGAATAAATGACAGATCAATTACGTATATCATCTATGATACAAGGACAGAGGGGGGGTGAATCGATCTATGATAAAACACATTCATAAAAACGGGAAAAAAGGGGGGGCCCACAACCAACAGCAGTCAGTATCACGACTCCCGTCCAGACTGATACTCATCTCCACTCTCCTGCTCGTCTATCCGTGTCCGAGTTTCCCGCACGACCTTCGGCGGCGGCGGCTGGACGGGCTCGTCCTCCGGATCTGGCGGGGACAGCGTTGACCCCTCGGCCTCGTAGAAATCAGATAAGGCGAGCGGACGCATGTTGAAGCCCTGCGCGCGAAAAACCGAGAAAAACCGCAGATCGAGACGATGATGATGATAATGAAGAAGAAGAATTGATTAGCACGAGCACACAACAGACACACAAGATTTCTAGATTTCAAGATCGAGATCTAGACGATGATAAACGCACCTCTATCTGGGCTTTTGCCATCGCCTCTGGATCATCAGCCATGCTCCTCATGCATTCCCTTACGGGCATCATCGCGGCGTTCCGGCACAGTTCTCGAAGGTCAGATCCGGAATAGCCTACCGTCTGGTTGGCGATGAGACGGATGGAAAAGTTGGATTCGAGTTTGGTGTCTTTGAGCATCTAGGGAGGGGGAAATCGGTGTGGATAAGCATGGATGAGGAAGGTAGAGAATGAAGGGGAGGTGATGGTGGAGGTGGAGGTGATGATGATGATGAGTTTGGGTGGTACGCACTAATGATAAGATCTTGAATCGTTGGTCCGCATTTGGGAGTCCAACTGCAAACCGTTTGGGCATCCGCCGTAAAATGGCAGGGTCAATATCGTTCGGCCGGTTAGTAGCACCAAGAACCATGATCTGATCAGACCCAGACAATAAACCGTCCCACGAGCTATCCAAGATTCAAAAAAAAAACAGAAGAAGAAGGAAATCCCAGCGATAACGTTAACCAACCAATTCACCGCGAGAACACCGTGACAGGGGGGGTAGGGAAAGCACTCACGTCATAAACTCCGCCTTCATCATCCCCGTCACCTCATGGTCGTCCTTGCTTCTCTCCCTCAGAAAGGAATCGATCTCGTCGATGAAGATGATGCTGGGCTGCGTCTTGCGCGCGAGGCTGAAGAGGCCGGCGACGAGCTTGTTGGATTCGCCGAACCATTTGTTGGTGAGGACGGAGGCGGGGATGTTGATGAAGGTGGCACCTGATTCTTTGGCGAGGGCACGTGCGAGCATGGTTTTGCCGCAGCCTGGGGGACCGTAGAGCAAGACGCCTTTCGGAGCGCCGAGGAGGGAGGAGGTGGAGGAGAAGAGGGCGGGGTAGAGGAGGGGATATATGATAGACTCGCGAAGGGATGTGATGATGGGGTCCAAACCACCGATATCTGACAAAACATAACAGTGGTGATCAGCCTGACGCATCTGGTGAGATAGACCGAATATACCTGTGAAATGCACGTGGATGTTGTCGGGATGGACAACTTCTTTGGAGATCGTTTCTGTCGTTCGGTTAGTATGGGCTGTGGAGTTAAGTCATGGGGAGTAAGGGTGCACACTTTCGTATTCGTCTAGCTTGAGGCCCTTATGTCCCAGTTTTTTCAACACCTCTGTTCTCTTTGTTTCAGCGTCACGTTCTGACGGAGACATGACATCCCAGAACCACTACACCCAAAAGTCAGCACCCACAATCCACAAAATAGCGGGAGTGCAAGACACTCACCCGGACTGCATAGTATACCGCCGCCTTGCGTGTGACACAATCCAACAAAGATATAGATTAGCGAGAGGACTGCACGAGAGATATTATATTCGTGCCAACACGCACTTGAGAAGCTACGAATAGTGCGACTGTGTGTGTTTTGCCAGGATGTAAGCGATGGAGGGTTTATGGAGAATGACAAGGGTGCGTACCGTCGAGAATGACCCGTTTGGTGGTGGTGGATGCAGCCATGGCGGTAGTGTATGTTTGGTGACTTCTGGTGTTTTATCTCATTAGCTCGTCGAGCTCGATGGTTCCAACGATGTCAAGACCTTGGACAAAGCAACTGCACGATGAGGAATGCTTGAAATTTACGTTGGGAGTTGACCAAGAACTATTTTTGAATTATTTATTTTAGTTACTGTGATAACCTTATCCAAAACATCTCATTGGCTCTGACTCATATCCAACCCTAACCTTCCCGAGTGAAAGCCAAAACATCCGCATTTCGCGTCGTGCTACAGTATGTTACAAGTGGATGGGAGTATGCAAAAAGGTAGGTGTGCTGCACAGAAAAAGGAGAGTATGCAAGAAAGAAAAGGAAAAGCCTGGTCCGTGCCCAGGACGTCATAAGGGATACAAGTACATAGATTCGTGTGCAGCATAACGTCCGCGGTGCGATGGCAGAGACAATATTCCATTTCCTCTTCGATGCCCCAGGGACGATATACCTAAGCCGATGTTATTGCAAAGGCTCACGACCCACACTGACCGCATCTACCTCTGCCATCTCCACAGTGGCGCGGTGAGCACCCCCATGGACGCGAGCACCCTTGGAGCTGGGGAGAGTGAAGGTCTTGTACTCCTCGTTGATGGTGGCTGCGCCCGACGAGGGCTCTGAGCTTTCTGGGCTGGATGAAGATAGCTGTCTCTGTTGCTCTCTGGTGAACTCCCGAGTGCTGAAAGGAGCAGCTCTAACCCAGCCTATGAATCCCGTCCGTCTCCTTGGACGCTCAGGCCTGGCATTAGGCGGCGGAGGCATAGGTGGACCCCGGCGTTTTGTAGGTCTCCATCTAGCGACGACATAGAGACCGAGCACGAGGGTCACGAAACATACTTTTGTAAAAATGTGGCGTTAGTAGGGATGATGCGTTTATGGAGTGGTAACGTACTGAGGGCAACGCCTATAGCCACTGACGTACGTCTCGCTATCCTGTCATTTTGTGGTTCATATCCGCGAGGAGTGTTGTTGGTGGGGGCCGCGGCATTGCGTGGCACGAGAGGCGGGACAGCCATCGGTAATGGAGGCATTGGAGAGAGTATGGGGTGGGGGAGGGAGACGGGGTGCCAGAGATACTCTCGTCGGGTTCGAGCTTTTCAAGGCTTTTATTTAGAGCCGACTGATTCGTGAGTCACACAAACTGGAGGAACAAGTATACTTTGCTGTGGTCCCTTTTTTCCGATATCCGGCGAAAAAAGACATGGCTTTTTATTCGATTGGGTGGTGCTCGTGTGGGCGAGACAGGTGACGAGTGACATGGGGAGATCCTCAATCAGGTAATGTAAGGGGAATGGAAATGGCGCAGTGCTGTGCTGTGTCCTGGTGGTGCTGTGCTCGCCGTGGTTGTCGGGCACATCACATATACCTAGGGCGCCTAGGTGAGTACATTTTATTATTAGGCAGGCTTGGAGAAAGGGTGTTACGTAGGACGTACGCCTGGAAGACCATCGCCAGTTCGGTGGGCCGTCGTGTGCGAAGATTGATAGACGAAAAGAGGTGGAGAATCGCAGAACGCAGAAGAGAAGAGAGCGCGCTAGAGCTGGTGGGGAATATCACCCGAGTCGGATCCTGCCCCCCCTGAGAAATAGCACAGAAAGTATGTAAGCACGACATTGTTAGCCGTCAGACCAGACACGCTGACATCGTTCGCCATTGCTGTATGTAACGTGTTCTGTGTATTTAATTATGAACACGAGGGGGAGGCACCGCTTTGTGGAGGTCAAAACCCAGCGATGGCACTCCAGCCGCGGGTCTGCACCGCGGCTGCAACAGAACGATCCATTCGAAACGGACTTTCGGTCAAGCTGGAATTGGGGCAAAAGAGCCTCTGAGCGCCTGTTGACATGTCATGGCGACGAAAGGCAGTGAACCAAGGCAAATCAGAAACATTGGAAAGAAAGAGACAAGGGCGGTGTCTATCCCTCCTTACGGCACCGCACATAAACCCTAACCTACCAGCACACGTGACCACCCCTTCCTACACGTTACACTCTGCATAACTGCTATCACACAAACCATGAGGTCAATCTCCTTTCTCTTCCTAACAGCCCTCCTCGAATTCGCTTGCTTGGCTGGCCTGGTCATATACGTCCGACATCTCCGTTCTCGCAGTCTCGCAGCACGAAAACATGTATTGCTCCAGCTGGGATATTCGGGTTCCGGTAGTGCTAGTAAGAACCTAAGATTTGTCGGCTTCTTCCATCCCTACTGGTGCGTGCTCTCTTTTCCCATTACACACCCCGCAAATCCGCAATCTTTGACGATAAGACGTGAAGCAATACAGGTGGAGGGGGCGAACGCGTCTTGTGGACCGCTATTGCTGCTATCCAGCGGACAGACCCGTCCATCATATCCGTGGTCTACACAGGCGATGTAGACGCCACAAAGGATCAGATCATACATAAAGTAAAGGTGAGTTTCTGCCTCTTCCCTTCCCTTTCGTCTATTGTTAGTGTTTCGTGCTGGGCAAAAGTACATAAACAAGCAGCAGGGTCTGCGCGTTTGACTGGGCAAAGGGCTAACCATCCTCGCACCCACAGGCCAGGTTCGACATCGCTCTCTCACCCTCATCTCTCCATTTCGTCTTCTTGCGCCATCGAACCCTCGTTGAGGACGCGGCATGGCCGAGGTTCACCCTTTTAGGTCAGAGTCTCGGCTCCATGGTTCTCGCTTGGGAAGCCATGTGTGGGCTCATACCAGACTTGTATATCGGTAAGTCCGTGCATGCCGTGCTTTCGGGGCCGTGCCTTTCATTTGGGGTTTCATCACCACATTGACGATAATAACGATAATAAAACAACAAAACAAAAATAACTAATGGTATGTTGGTCATACGTGCAGACACGATGGGATACGCCTTCACCTTCCACGTCGTCTCCTGGCTGGGCGGAATCCCGGTTGGGACGTACACCCACTACCCGACGATCAGCACGGATATGCTCGCGCGCGTCCGGTCTCGAAAGCGTTGGCACACAAACTCGGACGTCATCTCTTCGTCCGCAGTTCTTTCCCGCGGAAAACTGTTGTACGTGTCGTTCCTCGCTCATCTTTTGCGTGTCCTGATCTCGTCACTCACGAAACACTAATCATAACGACAATAACAATAACTTGTGATTATGATCATCACTTGCACACCCCTGATCTCATCATCACGAAAAACTAATAACAACGATGATGATGATGTTGATGTCGACGACGACAATGACACATGACATGTCCCACCAAAACAGATACTACCGCCTCTTCATGTACTACTACGCCCTCTCCCTCCGCGGCGCCTCCTTCATCATGGTCAACTCCTCCTGGACGAAATCCCACATCGACAGCGTCCTCCAACACTCCGACCCCCTCCTCGACACCCTGCACGCCCTCACCCCGCTCCTCGCCCTCCGCCTCCTCGCCCCCTCACGCGCCCCACGCTCTGCCAAGGTCGTCTATCCCGCGTGCGATACGAGGGAGATGGCGAAGTTCGGGTTGGGAGGGAGGGAGAGGGTTGTGTTGAGCATTGCGCAATTTAGGTGCGTCCCTCCCATTCGCTTGGACACGTCCTAGCGTCTATCGCCGTTAATTAGATGTCTTGACTTACGCGCTTATGCTCTTTTGCTATGTTGTAGACCTGAGAAAGACCACGCGGCACAGCTTTACGCGTTCCGCGAGCTCCTCAAGATGCATCCTTCATACGGGATGAAAGGCGATGAGGAGGTGAGGTTGGTGCTGTTGGGGGGCAGTAGGAACGACGAAGACGCAGCTCGGGTCGAGGCGCTTCGTCGGCTTGCTAAGGAACTAGACATCCAGGTCAATCTCCCATTTCATCTACGATCTATGAACGTCGTACTGACAAAACCCGACTTCTGTGCGCAAAGTACAACGTCGAATTTGTCGTGAACGCTTCGTATCCGTCTATGCTGTCGTGGCTATCGACAGCGAGTATAGGGCTGAGCACGATGGTGGATGAACATTTTGGGATTAACGTTGTTGAGTTTATGGTTAGTTCCCTCCCCTTTTCTCTCACTTATTCATTCACGCACTTATTCGCGCACTCGCTTACCCGAAATGTCGCCATCTCGTTAATTCGCTCGCTAACGAACGAACCCCTTAACTTACCTCGACCAGGCTGCAGGCGTCATCCCGGTGACACACGCTTCGGGAGGACCTCTAAACGACATCGTCGTCCCCTTTAATGGAGAACCTACAGGTAAGAACCGCTAAACTGATCAACACGACGTCTATCACCTCATTCTAAACGTAAAAACTGACGAATTCTTAATCATATTCCCCATTTTCACATGATTCATCACTCATCACTCATCGTTATGGCGCTTCGTGATCGATAATGATGACGATGTGTGCATGTATGCCAGGCTACCACGCGACTTCCCCTGAGACGTTTGCAGCCGCGATGGAGAGTGTGCTGACGTTACCGGCCGCGGAGGAGGTGAAGTTGAGGGAGAGAGCGAGGCGGTGGGCTGTTGAGAAGTTTTCCGAGGAAGAGTTTGAAAAGGGGTGGAATGGGAGTGGGTGGAGGGATTGGTTGTGAATGCGGGTGCATGAGTCGGGAGAGGCTTGGACGGATGATGGGGGATTTCGGTCGGATCTTGCGATTGCGTTATTTGGACAACGAGTTTTAGTTGCCGGGTATGCTGTACACTTTTCGACGGGAAGGTTCGGGGAGGCTAGTGTCGATGTTACATGATGCAGATGTAGTTCCGTCCTTGCATTGATATCTGATATCTGATTCATGTTCCCTGAAAAGTATACAAAATGATAATACAAACACGTTTTATTCTACATATCTCCTCGTTCCTCGCGACGACCGTGACACTCGAGAGGCCGGCATCTACGCATCTAGCTTTGTGATAATCTCCTCCCTCTTTCCAATGATGTCATTAATGTCCTTATAGCCGCTTAAGCCCATGGTGACATGGAGATCTGCGAGGGTCTGGTTGAGGATCTGTTCCACGCCTTCTTGTCCTGCGATGGCGAGGCCGTACATGAAGGGCCTTGCGACTGATGCGGCGGTGCATAGTGAGGAAGATGGGGGGTGCGATGCAAAAATGAAAAAAAGGAAATAATTAAGAACATAAGAGGAAGCCAAAGACGTCAATCATATATGGGTACGCACTAAGAACGCCCTGTGCGCCGAGGGCGAGGGCCTTGATGATGTCGCTTCCCGTGCGAATGCCAGAATCGAAGAGGACGGTGAGTTTGTGGGAGCGCTGGGCTTGGAGGATCTTGGGGGACCGTGTGATGCGGTCGAGGGCGTCGAGGGAGGCGATGGCGCCGTCGACTTGTCTGCCGCCGTGGTTGGAGACGACGATGCCGTCGACGTTGATGTCGATCGCCTTCTCTGCGTCCTGTTGGGGTGTGTGAGCATAAGACAAGGGGATGTGGGTGTGTGGTGTATGAAGTACACACCGCTACGCTGAGTATGCCCTTCAAGATCAAGGGTCCCTCCCAGTTATCCCTCACAAACTTGACGTCCTCCCAGGTCCTGAACGCGCCCGAGTTGGTCTCCGCCAACCACTCTACCCCCAAATACGCACCCTGCTTTGCCTCCGCGTCGCCGTCCGCGGCCCTCTGCACGACGGTGTCTGGGTCAAAGGGGAAGGCCGTGACGTCGTGGCGCGCTTCGAGGCCGTATCGGCGCATGAAGACGGGGTCGGAGGTGCCGACTTGGATGCCGACGCCGTAGGTGAAGGGGATGTAGGCGGTCTTGATGTCGTGCGGGCGCCAGCCGAGGAGCATCGTGTCGAGCGTGATGACGAGCGCCGTGAAGCCGTTCTCTTTCGCTCGTTTCAGCAGCGAGAGCGTCACCTCTGACGTCCGCGGCCTGTGTCGTCGTCGTCAACGTTGGCGTCGGCGTCAGCATCGTCGACGCGCTCAGTGAAGGGGGAGGGAAGGGACTGACCAGTAGAGCTGATACCAGCGCTGCCCGTTGGGACCGTTGGCTTGTGCTACCTGCTCGATGGACCGCGACGACGCCGTGCTCATGATCATCGGCACCTTGCTCTTCGCCGCCGCCCGCGCCGTCGCCAGCTCTCCGTCTGCGTGCAAGATGCCCTGCACGCCGACGGGTGCGACCAAGAGTGGAGACGCGTACTTGACTCCGAATAGCGTCGTCTGGGAGCGTCGTTAGTAGGTTAAGTGTGCAAGTCTGTGGCTGCACTCGCCTCGATAGACCGCACAGAGGCATCCACCAGCATCCTCGGCACGATCTTCCACCTAGCCAACGCCTTGCGGTTCTCATGGTCCGTCGAGCACGTCCCAGCGCTTCCATACGTATACATATACGCAGCTACACACAGTTCACAGTTCACATCCTTCATTCCATCGCTCGACGGTAAGACTTACGCAGATGGTCCTTCATCACCTCCCGCGCCTTCTCCTCAATCTCATCAATGTTCACCGTCCCCAACACGGGCGGCTTTCTGGAGGCGTATATCCCCAGGTAGTACCCTGCATACTCGTTTCGGGGCGGTAGTGGCACGTCTGACATGATGGGTCCGTGTGGGATAGATAGCGTAGAAGTGATATGGGTGTCACTTATATATCCTTCCTTGCATTCCCCAATAAGCCGTCAGCTGGGCGCGTGACGAAGAGAATAATAGAGTGGGTCGGCCTGAGAGAGCCTGAGTCAACCCGTCCCAACTTTCCGCTCTATCCTCCCTGTCGATCCCCGGTCCGAGCCATCTTCGCCTCGAGGGGGCTATCCACTCTTCGTAACCTACACCTTTGACTATCATCCCCCAGCCAGCTCATCCGTCACCTGAGCATGACATGAGTACCACTCGATCTTAAGTCGCCCCTAACATGTCCTTATCACCACCTAGCCTCGGTTCCTTTTCATTTTACGAAAAAGACATCCGGCATGTTAAAAATAGTGCCCGATTTTTGAAGATTGTATTATCGGTTCCCCTGTGTCAAATTCATCATCTTTTACCCCGCCAACTCGGCTTCCGGCGGTAGTGATACAGCCCGGTCATTATCAACAGCAACCTTATCGGAGTCAACCATGCAGGCAGTCCAAAATAATGCAAGCACGGTTTTTGGAAGATCGTCAACCGATTCCTTCGCAACGTTCACACTCTGCGTCTCAGTTAGCTATTCTGGTCGGGTCTGGCAAGGAACAAAGACCTACAATACTAATAAGCTAGGCATTCGTTAGGATGAAATAAGTGGATCTCACCTCAGAGCGAGTACAAGAGTCTGTGGGCTACATGGCAACCATCTTATAAGTAAGTGAAGGAACGGCCTCCTGTCCTTGAAATTCAGGGATTCTGATAGCCGCGACCTTACTCCCCTTGCTGGATCGCAAACTCCGTATAATCTTACTCAGCACAAAGAGCGTTGAGCAGGAATACCCGATCGCCAAAGTAGAGATCAAGAGTCTCCCAGATCAATGGAATGACATAGCAGCAAAATGCCGCCCATAGAGATTTTCCATGTCAACATCACGTAGTAGGTCCTACATACGTGCACGGCACATTTACTCTATAGCAAGTAAACATGCATTTTAATAGGTGATTAAACTGAAACTAATTTCAGGCATGACTCTAGTACTTAGCTCCAGTATCAAGAAAACAACAACTTGAACTGCAGCTCCAGACAGTCCACGCCATGTTGATAAACATGTGAGGGTGTGTCAAACCGGGTTTGCATCGGGTGGATGGTGGCGTAAGACGGATACGATGTCCAATACAGGTGCAGGATACTCGAGCACGGACATCCCGAAGTGCTGTGCATCGCCGTCGTCGTCGTCCGGATACTCTGTAGTCTCGGTACGTAGGCACAGATTAGACCCCATTTTCGGGTCAGACAGTTCAGGTGAGCATGAGTGGCGGGATGTACTTTGCAGACTGTCGAAAGTTGACACTGTATGTGGATGACGCTTTGATATTTTGGGAGTGTGTACGGATATGCGACGACCAGGTAAATGTTCTTGCCTGAATAGAACATGTTCGAGAGAGAAAATATGCCATAATTAGTGGAGTTGGCGGGCAAAGAAACATGGTACACACCTCATTCTTCGACCTTTGAAGATCGCGAAGATACCGAAGCAGCTAATGAGGAAGCCCAACACAGAACGGTAGCTCTTCTTTACTTCTGTTGTGAAACCAAAAAAAGCAAAGACAATGAAGGCGTACATCACAAAACACCATCGCGTTAACTGTAAAACAGCGATGTTTACAGGTGTTGCTTGCCACTCAGTAGCTGGAATTTTGGGAATATGGGAAAATTCGGCATGCACATAATCCCACCCAGGCCAAGGAACAACTGAATCTTCAGTTGCACCCACTATGATTGCGATTAGACTGCACGGGAATGTGCAGGTGACCATCACAACGGCCAGTGCCAATAGTCGGCAAAATGGTTCATCACGTTGAATAAGTATTTTGAATCCTGCTCCCCGCTGTATCAAGGTGCGTGTAGTAACCCCTGGATTTACATGATTTTCAGTGGGTGCAAGATAACCAATCAATACTAACCTAAGTAGCCAAGAAGGATAAGAGACACTATGAATGGCCATATCATAAGTAACGGGTACATGGGCTGCGTGTTGTATAACGCAAAATAACAGCCTATCTCCTCGTAAATGACAAAGCGGTTACTTTGAAAAATATAAGCTGAGATAAAATCAGCATAAGCTTGCGGATAACACACTGCAAAAGACCTACATACGACTATGTACAGTGTTGGAACTCCTATAACCAAAAAAAGGTCACATGCAATGGCTCTCCAATGCTGCTCATCGACGATAAGTCGTCGATCAGTGGTAGACAGCACTGTAAAACGTACCCTGATTTGACTGGGCCGGTTTGTGGTTATGTTTCTTGTGACAAGATACAAGTGACGAGCAATGCATAAGCACGCCGAGTGTACACCAATTGTCCCACCTATCATCAAATGAGATGCTGTCAAAGAAACTTGAGAAAAAACACAAGTACTTGAGCCAAGATGTTCGTACATATGTCACACCACACGGGTGCCCAATCGGTGACATTATGATCCCAAACAATCGAGTTTACGAATCCATTCAAGCAAAGCAAGCATATCCATATAATGAGGGCGGATGTACCGATAATTCTTGCTTTATCAAGGTGTCAGCACCATTGACTTTGATGGAGAAACTTCCAGGTGGATGACAAACCACCTTTTATATGGAGAGGCAGGAGGACAGTGACTAGAACAAAGCCGACGAATGCAAACCCAGAAAAAACATGATTGGTGGACACCATGCTCTTTGAGATGGTAAGCTACGAGTTGATTACTGAAGTGAGGATGGGCTGAGAGGAACTCTTGCTGCGATGGATCCTTTATACCACCTCGTTCAGGAAGGCAGGCTATACGAAAGGACCGCTACAATCAAGATGTATCGGAGAATCAGACAATCTTTGCACTAGAGATATTTCAGCGCACGACCGAACATAAGCCCCGGTTTAGACCTACGTGGCGTACCCTAAGACCATATTTCAGTGTACCATCGCAGAGGGGTGTTACAGACACCGCTAATGTAAGATCATTGCTAAACATGGATGGACTCTTGCTGTGATGCTTCCTTCCTTATATCATCTAGCTGAGGAAGGCAAGCTATACGAAAGGACAGCTACAATCAAGATCCTTGGGGGAATCAGATGGATCTTTGCCCTAGAGATATTTTCAGCGCACAACTGAACATAAGCTTCCGGTTTAGACCTACGTGGCGTACCCTAAGATCATATTTCAGTGTACCATCGCAGAGGGGTGTTACAGACACCGTCAATGTACGAGCATTGCTAAACATTGATGACGCTCGCGAAGCGTGGCGCAAGACAGGCCTGGGAGTAAGTTGGCGTATTGCACGGGTATATTTATCATCGTAAAAGCTATGCACTATATGTAGATATCAATAACTAAGAACACCGTATAATATGGCTCAAACCTACTTGAGCGGCTAGATACAGAGAACTTCTTGGGATCAACTTCTGTATCGATATCGGGATCCCGTGCTTCAAAACTCACCATTCTCTCCCTCGAATTGGATGGTAGCTAAGACGATATCTTCCTTTCCAAGTACCATGGTGGGTAGTGTCCATGTGTCGAGCGAATGGGCAAGAGGCTTACGCTTGGGAGAAGCCGCCGGGAGCTGATTCATAGACGTGTACATCTTCAGGTCACTTCTGCAATAACAGATTGACCGACAAGTGCTGCTTGTCAAGTGACTCAAGAGTATAGAATGTGACTCTGTAGATAATCGTCAAAACCGCCATCCAATTCGAGTGTGAGATAAGTTATGTACCCTTAATATCGTATGGAGGGTGTTTGCGAGGAGCCCATCGAAGTTGTAACAATAAATTTGGGTATGAGTCGGACCAGCGCTACTGATTCTACTGATTCAGTCAAGAATGCCGATTTAAAATGATGCCGTACATCACCAAATCTAATGATTCAAAGGGCGAAAAGTCTTGAAGCTGTCTCTGCAACCTTCGTTCCATAGCGTCCTTGACATATCACCAACGCCAGTGCCAAATTGTTCCACAATGTCTTTTCTCTCCTGCTCTATCTCCTCTCCTGTCATACTTGCTATCCCGCGCCCATTCTCTTCGCTGACGTGCCGCCGCATGGCATCCTCTCTAGCGTCCGGATTGTTGGAGTCGTAGCCGAGGGCGTCAGAAGCATCTTGCAGAGCCTATCGAATGACAGCCATACGCTGGCATAAGAAAGCGATAGATCATTTGATGATAAAGGTCAACTAAGTACGTGCAAAAGTTTCAAGAAGACTGGCTCGAAATGGGTGACATGATTCCGAGTCTACTGCACCAATTTCGTCGACTGGTGGTTGGGCGGTACATTGTTACAGCTGTACGCGGCACAATTTACTCTGTAGTAAGTAAACAGTAATTCTACAATTTGATAAAACCCGAACACGAGCTTAGCTCCAGTATCAAGAACACGACAACTTGAACTCCAGACAGTTGGCGTCATCTTGACGAACATGTAAAGACGTGTCAAACCGGGTTTGTGTCCGGTGGATGGCGATGAAAGACGGATACAAGGGGCAGGCGACACAGGACCGGCGGAATAGACGTATACAACCTACCGGCCACACAGGTGATACAGCCTGTTGTGAAGTCTTACATAATGGACTGTGTGAGAAAGTGACTAAGAGTGTTTATGTTCTGTACAAACCATCTCTGTGAATCGTATGTAGCATGTGAACCATAACATGGCATATGGTTGTGAGGGACTATATCCTGACCCAGGCTCCTCCCAAGCCGCACTGTTTCGAGAGAGGAGGATAATTGTAATAAAACTAAGTGAAACTCAGCCGCTGCCCGAGAGGCTATAGAAATGACTGAGGTATTTCTATACTAAACCCCCTACTACTTATAGTCGGAGGTGCTACTTGCTACAGTATAATGACTCCTAGGAGAACAATGGTGACTCCATGGAGTGGTGGCTATACTCCATGGAGAACAATGGCTGCTTTGGCAGAGACCGGGTTTATCCGGTTTTGTCAAATTGTTAGAGCAAGAATGATAAGATATGATAAGATAATTGTTACGCACGAAGTGCTTAACAAAGTCTGAGGGTTCATCGAGGTTTGTAAAGAGACTTATCCGAAGACAAGTTCGAGAACGTAGTTCTGAGTGGAGGTTTTCCAACGGGAGTTGGTCTTCTTCTGAATAGAAGTCTGATCTTAGGAGTCTAGCTTTGTAAGCGTAAACTGCATAGAATCGTATTAGAGAATACTACTGCTGTTACATGGTATTTATAATGGAAAGGAATCGGTGATAGGAGTTAGGTCCTATCTAGGGCAGGTCCGTCTGTTGAGGACTAAGTACTATAATAGGTACTATGAATGCGAGAGGAACGGAAGTGTACGTGAAGGAAATGAGTCATTGGTCCGATGGTATAACCAATGAGTAAAAAGAAATGAGTAGTCCTTAAAATGTCCAATAGAGATCGTAACAATAATAAAAATTCATACCCAGCATAACCTTGATCCTCACTCTCTCTCCACAGCAGCTTGGACTTAACATTGGTACACATTGGCAAGCCACAGTGATGGTGACAGCGGACTATCAAAAATAGTAGGCAGATTTGTATTTTCTGAAAGCTCCTTCGATTTTGAGAAAACGACAATAAAAAAGTACATATACATTCTGCGATGCTTATTGCACAGAAGCCAAATGCATCAGTAGATCAGTTTGATCAGATACAATGCAACATCATTTTGAAACTGTCCTCAATGCGTTTCAATCAACAGGCATACAACCCCTTCAATTCTTTGAGCACATTTTGTGTTCCCCATCTTGTCAAAGTCACCCTTTCGTGTCTAATATACAGGCCTGGCCAACTTTAGCTTGCCATAGGCATGGTAAGACATTCAGTTCCTGTTCTGTAATATGTTGAACATCAGCTATTGATGGGACATCTTGTGCAGTGATAAGCGCTGCTGGGATGGTCATGCACGGCCCAAGTTAGAAATAGAAGTGTGGTGCAAAAATATTGATCAAATTTTAAACCTCATTTTTTGATAGTCTGCCGTGACTGTGGCTGGCCAATGTTTACCAATGTTAAGTGCAAGCCGCTGTGGAGAGAGAGCGAGGAGCAAGGTTGTGCTGGGTTTGAAATATACATCTATTAATAACACTACTCCATACTTTGTCCCTATGCTCTAGGATTTCTCCTCCTCTCTTGAAACAGTGTGGCTTGGGAGGAGTCTGATCCTGACCATATATTTCGTTTTGTACAAACCATATGATGCCAGAGGGTTACAATGGACCATTCCAAGGAGTGGTCATATGGATTGGATGAACCATAGTGTGGTATATGGTTGGCAGGAACTATATCGTGATGATATGCTTTATCCTGTACAGACCATATGATGCCAGATGGTTCTGCTGGACCATTCCGTAGAGTGGTCATATGGATTGGGAGAACCATAGCGGGTATATGGTTGGTTGGCAGGAACTATGTCATGATGATATGCTGTAACAACCAAGAATTAGTCACTCTGGCGCACACAAGAACACACTATAAGGGTACTGAATGGGGAGTGGTTACCCCTTAGGCTGCAGAGAGTTTGTTGGTTAACAACAGGAGGACTCGCTGAGGAGTCTCCTTGATCTATTGGGGTATTTATACTAATACAGAGTGTTTGTACCTATGTACTGTACAGTTGATAAAAGCAGTGGCTGATGATGTCAGAGGGCGCAGCCCGTGTGACCAGCTCCACTGCATGAGAGAGTTTGTGTCTAAAAGAAGAATAAAGGCAGCGCTGCACGAGAAGGTGGATTTAGAACGAAAAAGAAAAGTGCCGCATGGCACGGAGTGTGAACTATAGTAAAAGGTTAAAGCGGAGAATGAAAATTAAAGGAAAGGTCCGAAAATTGTGTTATTGTAACACTACCCCCCTTCTAAGGCTCGACTTCCAGGTGAGACCAAATACCGGAGGTAGTAGTTAAATTTTCGGGCATAGTTTGAAAAAGGGAATTAAAAAGTTTTGAATCCATGCCTCTAAGCTTCCTAGGAGCTGAGGGGTTCTTAGAATAAAATTTGCAAACAGCGTTGCGGGAGTTATCCAGATGGGCTTCTGGCTCCCACGCTCTGTCCTCGTCTCCATAGCCTTTCCATAGGACTAGGAATGCTAATTTACCACACTTCAAGCGTGCATCCACCACCTGTTCGACTTTGAACTTTTCTTCACCTTCCTGGGTGACTATGACCGGTCCGGGCCGGTCTACACGCTATCCCGGCAGCGGCCCTTTGTAAGGTCTCACACGGCTAATATTGACCGTTGTCATGCACCAAAGTTGATTGGTAGCATGGACAGGTATCAATAACAAAGCAAATATTCAAAAAGACTCGCCTTTGCGCCACACAGGCACAGTGCCACGTGGAATAGTAATTAATATTGCCTTTTTCGAACTTGTGGCTGATCAGCACCACCTCTATTAGGCAATCCAGTCACGCTCACCTTTGCTTTTCCATTTGGTACTTTCCCCATTTTGGCATTTTGGCAAATTTTCGCGTTGCCACTGGCTACACATTGCATTGCGCCCTCGCTTTTGTCATTTCCTTCACTTCCCTTCCTTTGCCTAGCCCCACCATGGGTCCCTTACTCTCGTTTTGATTCTCACCCGACGGTCATTTTTGGATCCCCATTTTAGTTCACCTACTCGTCACCTCCAGCCTCCTCCTCCTCATCTTCTTTGCTCCCCCACCATTTCCAATGTCACCACTTCCTATCCGCTTCCGTTGCCGATCTGTTGACTACCACGTGCCACTGCTGATATCAGCAAAGCCCCGGCGGCTGGTCCAGATAGGGCAACAGGTCCATCTTCATGACGTCGATCTGCCATCATATACTATCAAAACATTGGTCGCTCGTCGTCTTGCCTGGTTGGAGCGTGGGTGGGTAGTTTTTGAGCTGGAGAAGGTTCATCCCCTTGCGTTGCCCATGTTCATCGCTGTCCCATTCACTTGGGTACACTTATCTTTTGTCCATCGTCTTCGCTACAGCTACACCTATCACACGCTGCCTGGGACTCACTTGTTCCAAATTGGAACTACTCCTCTCCCTCCCTCGTTTGATCAGGTAGTCCAACACAACCAGTCCATTGGTAAGGCCATGGAACTGTCGGATTTGGACTAGGTGGTGGACCGGTGGCTCCAGTTTCTTTTTCTTCAGCAGAACATTCATTTACAGTGCAATTATTTTTTGATTTTTGAATCATTTTTATGTTTTTTATGGACACATATTTTTTAGAATGCCTGACTGACAATAAAGGAACTGTGTTGATACTGATAGTGTTTTGCCTTGCCTTTTTTTTACTGCATCTTCCCATGACATCATGATTTTCCTGCTCTCTTTTTGCTATTGGACTTTACTTTATGGCTATACAAACCTGTGACATTACTCACAGCATTCATTGTTCTATCCCTTTCTTTTCCTTTTTTTGACAATCTTATCCTGTACTACCTACGCAGGATTTGTCAGTGTACATTCCTTCCTTCATGTTCTTTCTCATTCTTTTTGCACAGCTATACTGTGCATAGCCTACTTTTCTTTCACTATATAAACCCCTGTATTTTACCTTGTAAAAAAAACAAGAAATCCAATCCAGACTTCTTCTCTAATTTCAAGTTCACTACTCTGCTACTTGTGATCCAGTGTGGTCACAACACTTCCCACTGCTACCACTGTTAACTGCTGTCATTGTCACTTGTCACTTTTAAAGCCATTGTCCTCCCTTTCGATTAGAGTCCTTCTGAGCACTACAGTTTGTGCGTCAGGAGCCTGCTATCACTGGGAACCTTGTTATCTTGTCATTCTCAAACCTACCTTGTGCTATAATTAGCAAGGTAGTGCTCATCTATACTCGCCACAAAGCCCCTATCTTTCTATATTCCAACTATCCCTCCTCCTCAAAACCCACACCCATACATGTCTGGGTTTTACTTTGAAGGATCCTCATACATACCACCCCACGAACAACCAGACCACTCCACTGTTCTAGGAGGCAAAGCCCATAAACAAGTTCCGTGGAATCTGGGAGGATTGTGTGTTAGTTTGTTTTTGTGTGTGGTTTTCTAACAGCAGTTCTCATCATCAACAGCGGTACTTTCCATTTTGTTCAAACTCCACCTTCTCGCACTACACTGCCTTTATTCTTATTTTAGCTACAAGTCTCTCACGCAGTGGAGCTGGTCACACGAGCTGTGCCCTCTCATCAGCCACTGCTTTTATCAACTGTACAGTACATAAGTACAAACACTCTGTATTAGTATATATACCTCAATAAATCCAGGAGACTCCTCAGCAAGTCCTCCTGTTGTATCCTCACAACTAACTTGTTGAAGCCTAAAGGGTAACCACTCCCTCATCATTATCTCCATAGCTTGTCTGAGTTGTGCGCCAGATAACAAACTCTTGGTTGTTAATTAGGACTCGCTCTTTCTACTCTCTCGCACATTGTGCAAACCCGGACCCCAGGGTTAAGGGGATAGTATTATTGTTTGTGAATATCCTGCATAGCAGATAGGTGCGCTCCTAGCGATGGCCTTGTAGTGCTTTGGGAGAAGAAACAATAATTTTGATACGCGGTCCCCAGTGTGAAGGGGAGTACTTTAGCTCAGCAGTTGGTGTGGAACCACTGTTGATTACAATTTTAGAATACAAAACCTTCTTCCTCGAATACCTCTGACCAGGCCGGGCACTTGCCTCTGCCAGTCTGGAGAAGGGTTGACAGCATAACAAGCGGACCACCCCCTGACAACCATTCGGACCAGGGTTTATTACAAATACCTTTTTATATGTTTTTTCAAATACTATAGTGTGGGTAGTCGGAGATTGAGATCTGATACTCAGCAGGGAAGAGGTAGATCTGCAGATAGCAAGCGGGGACCCCCTGTTACATTTTTTTTACCTTACCAAGAGAACAAGTCAACATGTCGTCGCAAAGTCAACAACCCGACGTCAACACTCTGTTGCACAACATGCGTGCACAGATTTTGGCGTTGACCACGCAACTCACTGAGCTGCAGGCACACCCTCCTGCAGCAACCCCCTTGGTCGAGAAGAAGTTCAATAAGAAAGTTGAAGTCATCACTGACCCTGGCGCCTTTGAGGGAGACAGAGCGCAATTTGCCGAGTGGTGGATCAAGCTCCAAATTTGGGTCAAGGCAAACTGGGATGTGTTTGCCGATGGATTTGGGGTACCAACTGCGGTACTATCTCGATTAAAAGGACCTGTGGCGGGTCGATACGCCCAAGTTAGAATGCAGGAGTGCTACACTGCGGGAGTGTGGCCTGTCTGGGACAATCTCTAGGAAATGAATATGCAGTAGAGCTGCTGAAACGCAATGTAAACCCTCACATAGCAGAACAGCTCTACCTACAGGATATGAGGAGCGAGAACCACTCTCAAGCAGCAGAGGAGGTTCAAAAAATAGGTAGGGCCATAGAGCTCTACAAAATGCATCAAGATGGCGGGTCCACCACCAAAAACAACTATTCCCAGAGGAGCCCTGGGTCATCAAACCAAAATAAAAATCACTCTCACGGGTTCCAACCATTTGGGTTGCAACCAGGACGGGGAGCCCCAATGGATATTGGTGCGGTCCAGGGTGGACAGACGCGCAGATTCACCTGCTACAGCTGTGGGCAGGAGGGGCACATGGCCCAAAATTGTCCAAACGGAGTGCGGGCCGCTCAACAAAAAAATAACCAAGGGCGCCAGGCGCACCAATTAGAAACAGAGAAACCGGATGATTGGCTCAATACTCTGGCCGGTCGTTCATACAACAAAATCTGAGCTTTCTTCTATGACCAACAGGTCAATGAAATGAAAGCTCAGGGAAAAAAGTTTGGAGCTTAGGTCACTTGGGTGCCTTCGCTCCTACGAACAATGAAGTAAACCACAACAAGGTGGCCCCTGCTCCGGGGTGTTGCATGAGCAATAAAGGAAAGACGGGGGTGGCTCCCCAATTTGAAAATAGATTTCTAAATTTGTTATCAAAAGTATGTAATTGTATGCAAAGCTGTGACTGTGGATTTGTCTTGGACCCTCCTGATGATATAGCTGCTCTGAGCGCTGATTCAGTGGGTCAAGATGATGAAAGAGTTAATGCTAAAAATACTTACAAAACCACCGCTGTACCAGCGTCTCCCTTGGAGCGTGGCCCCGGCGAGACAAACACTACGGTGCTTTCATTCTGGTAAAAATAAAAATAAAAACATAGAAAATCTTAAAGTAAAAAAACATGTTTTTTTTGATCATTCTTCTTTTTCTTCGGAGCCACTTCCCACAGAAATCCCAAGGCGTGTGTTGATGTGCACATATTTATTCCTAAAGGAGATCCGTTTAGACGTTGGTATGGAAAACCTTGCCCGGTGTCGATGATGAGAACTGGTGTTAGAAAACCACACACAAAAACAAACTAACACACAATCCTCCCAGATTCCACAGAACTTGTTTATGGGCTTTGCCTCCTAGAACAGTGGGTGCTCTGGTTGTTCGTGGGGTGGTATGTACAAGGGACCTTCAAAGTAAAACCCAGAGGTGTATGAGTGTGGGTTTTGAGGAGGAGGGATAGTTGAATTTATAGAAGATAGGTGCTTAGTGACGAGTATAGATGAGCACTACCTTGCTAATGGTAGCACAAGGTAGGTTTGAGAACAACGAGGATGACGAGGTGACGAGGTTCCCAGTGATAGCAGGCTCCTGACGCACAAACTGTAGTGCTCAGAAGGACTCTAGTCGAAAGGGATGACAATGACTTCAAAAATGGGAAGTGACGATGACAGCAGTTGACAGTGGTAGCAGTGGGAAGTGTTGTGACCACACTGGATCACAAGCAGCAGAGTAGTGAACTTGAAATTAGAGAAGAAGTCTGGATTGGAGTTCTTGTTTTTTTACAAGGTAAAATACAGGGGTTTATATAGTGAAAGAAAAGTAGGCTATGCACAGTATAGCTGTGCAAAAAGAATGAGAAAGAACATGAAGGAAGGAATGTACACTGACAAATCCTGCGTAGGTAGTACAGGATAAGATTGTCAAAAAAAGGAAAAGAAAGGGATAGAACAATGAATGCTGTGAGTAATGTCACAGGTTTGTATAGCCATAAAGTAAAGTCCAATAGCAAAAAGAGAGCAGGAAAATCATGATGTCATGGGAAGATGCAGTAAAAAAAAGGCAAGGCAAAACACTATCAGTATCAACACAGTTCCTTTATTGTCAGTCAGGCATTCTAAAAAATATGTGTCCATAAAAAACATAAAAATGATTCAAAAATCAAAAATAATTGCACTGTAAATGAATGTTCTGCTGAAGAAAAAGAAACTGGAGCCACCGGTCCACCACCTAGTCCAAATCCGACAGTTCCATGGCCTTACCAATGGACTGGTTGTGTTGGACTACCTGATCAAACGAGGGAGGGAGAGGAGTAGTTCCAATTTGGAACAAGTGAGTCCCAGGCAGCGTGTGATAGGTGTAGCTGTAGCGAAGACGATGGACAAAAGATAAGTGTACCCAAGTGAATGGGACAGCGATGAACATGGGCAACGCAAGGGGATGAACCTTCTCCAGCTCAAAAACTACCCACCCACGCTCCAACCAGGCAAGACGACGAGCGACCAATGTTTTGATAGTATATGATGGCAGATCGACGTCATGAAGATGGACCTGTTGCCCTATCTGGACCAGCCGCCGGGGCTTTGCTGATATCAGCAGTGGCACGTGGTAGTCAACAGATCGGCAACGGAAGCGGATAGGAAGTGGTGACATCAGAAATGGTGGGGGTGCAAATAAGATGAGGAGGAGGAGGGTGGAGGTGACGAAAAAGTGGATTAGAATGGTGATCCAGAAACGACCGTCAGGTGAGAATAAAAAGGAGAGGAAGGGGCCCATGGTGGGGCTAGGCAAAGGAAGGGGAGTAAGGGAAACGACAAAAGCAAGGGCACAATGCAATGTGTAGCCAGTGGCGACGCGAAAATTTGCCGAAATGCCGAAATGTGGAAAGTACCGGATGGAAAAGCAAAGGTGAGCGTGACTGGATTGCCTAATAAAGGTGATGCTGATCAGCCACAAGTTCGAAAAAGGCAATATTAATTACTATTCCACGTGGCACTGTGCCTGTGTGGCGCAAAGGCAAGTCTTTTGAATATTCGCTTCATTATTGACACCTGTCCATGCTACCAATCAACTTTGGTGCATGACACCGGGGCATAGTACACCCAACCAGTGCACTGCTTGATTCAGGCGCTAACAGCATCTTCATAGATCAGGTCTGGGCGGAGTAAATTGGACTCCCCCTTGTAAAATTAGATGTATCTATTCCTGTCTATAACATTGACAGTACACTTAATGCGGGTGGCTGCATCACGCACAAATGTTCTTTGCTGTCAGGTACCAAGGACACAGAGAATGAGTCACCGCTGAAGCTACCCAACTAGGGAAAATTAATTTAATCTTGGGCTGGATCTGGCTATTTAAACACAATCCTGAGATCAACTGGCAGACAGGGGTTGTCACATTGTCACATTGCCCTCAAGAGTGTAAAAACTTGGGTAAACTCAGTTATGTCCGTCAAACTGAGCGTCTTGAAAAGATAAACACTGGTCACATTTATGAGCTTAGATCTTTAGAAAAGATTGACAATGACAATGACGAAGTAAAACCCGAGGAAGAGATTAAGAGGCTGGTACCTCCCGAGTACCATGACTTCTGGAAAGTCTTTTGAAAACATAAGTCAGAGCGCTTCCCAGAGGCTAAGCCTTGGGACCATGCTATAGATTTGAAGGACACCTTCAAACCGAGAAAAGGACACATAATACCACTCTCTGCTCCAGAAAGAGATGAGGTCTCTAGTTTCATAGACGAACAGCTCAGGAAGGGTTACATCAAACCTTCCAAAAGCCCTATGACGTCCCCAGTGTTCTTCATTCCTAAAAAGGATGGTAAAAAGTGTATGATTATGGACTATTGTTACCTAGATGAGTACACAGTTAAAAATGCGTATCCGCTGCCTTTAATCAGTCAGCTAGTAGACAAATTGGCTGGTGCCAAAATCTTAACAAAGATGGATCTCCAATGGGGGTACAATAATGTATGAATCAAAGAAGAAGATGCTTGGAAGGCCACGTTCATGTGCCACCAAGGATCCTTCGAGCCCCTTGTCATGTTCTTTGGGTTGACCAATTCACCGGCAACCTTCCAAAGCATGATGAACGAGATTTTTGTGGATATGGAAAAATGTGTTGTCATTTACATTGACAATTTATTAATATTCATGAAGTCGGACGATGAGGCTGAGCATGACAGGATCGTGCAAGAAGTCCTTTGACGCTTACAGGAACGCGACCTATTCGTCAAACCCGAAAAATGTAATTTTAAAGTGAAGGAAGTAGACTTCCTCAGAATGATAATTGGCCAGAACGGAATCAGGATGGATCCTGAGAAAGTTCAAGCTATATTGGATTGGCCAGAACCTACTCGCATCAAAGGAGTTAGGGCCTTCCTTGGCTTAGGTAATTTCTACCGAAGATTTATTGAAAACTTCGCAAAAATAACGAGACCGTTGAATGATCTCACAAAAAAGGACATTGTTTGGCACTGGGGTGCCAAAGAACAAGAAGCTTTTGATAAGCTTAAACAGGCCTTTACAACGGCGCCCATCTCCATATTAGCATTTCCAGAATTAGACAAAGAGTTCCGGCTAGAAACCGACTCTTCTGATTTTGCTACTGGGGCTGTTCTATCAATTAAATGACCTGATAATCTCTGGAGGCCTTGTGCCTATTTATCTCATAGTTTGTCGCCTACAGAGCGCAACTATCAAATTTACGACAAAGAGATGCTGGCCATCATTAGAGCTTTAGAGCACTGGCGGCACTACTTAGAAGGTGCTAGGCACCAATTCGAAATTTGGACTGATCATAAAAATCTGGAGTACTTTATGACGGCCCGAGACTTGAACTGGAGACAGGCCTGCTACGCAGTGTACTTGTCTAGGTTTAATTATAAATTAATTTATAAGCCGAGAACTTCAATGGGGAAAGTGGACACTTTGTCCAGAAGAGAGGATCATGCCAACGGCATCAAAGATGACAACAAAGGTGTCACCCTGATAGACCAATCAAGAGTTGCCAATGTTAGAATCGGGCAGGATTCTGATCTTCTGGAAGTCTTCAGGAAAGACATCTCCCCTGAAGAGAAGGCACACCTTGACGGCAATGAAAACTATTTATAGGAAGACGGGCTCTTCCGTTTTAAAGACAAAATCTATGTGCCTGAGTCCGCAAGGATCAAGGCAATAGATAGACATCATGACACTCCAGTGGCTGGGCACCCTGGGTGGCAACAAACCATGGAGTTGATCTCCAGAAACTATATGTGGCCTGGCATGGTCAGAGACGTACAAGAGTATGTAGAATCCTGTCTGAGATGTGCCATGGCAAAGAATTTGCATTAACCGCCGGCCGGTAAACTTATGCCAAATCAAATACCAGCTGGTCCCTGGCAGGATATATCGGTTGATTTTACAATGGATCTGCCCAAATCAAATGGGTATGATTCAGTAATGGTGGTAGTAGATCACTTCTCTAAGGAAGTGGTATTTATTCCCACCAACAAAACCATTACCGCCGCTGGTATGGCAGATCTATTTAAAAATTTTGTGTGGTCTACCCACGGATTGCCGGAAACGGTTATCTCCGATAGGGGACCACAATTTGCTAGCAAATTTACGAAAGAGTTATGCCGGATGCTGGGCATCAAACCTAAATTATCAACGGCGTTCCATCCACAGACTGATGGACAAACGGAGAGACTCAACCAGGAGTTGAAACAATATCTCCGGATATTTATTAATGACAGGCAGACAGATTGGGCCAAGTGGCTATAGATAGCCCAGTTCTCTTATAATATCAAACAGTTGTTGGCTACAGGAAAGGCACCAATTGAGGTTACTAGATTGTACCTCCCCAGAATGGGTGTAGAACCTGGCAAAAGCAAGAATGAGGCTGCTGAGAACATGGTCAAAGACATGAAGTCTGTCTTGGATGAAACGTGCAAGGCGCTATTTATAACTGCAGAGCAGATGAAAGACAGGGCAGAGTGTAGATGCTCTAAGGCCCCTGACTACAAGGTTGGCAACCTGGTCTGGTTAGACACCAACCACTTAAAGTTAAAAGACCGGCAGTCTAGAAAACTGACCAAAAAGTGGATTGGCCCTTACTGGATTAAGGAAGTCAAACCCAACGCAGTGGAGCTGGAGCTCCCAAAACGAATGAGGGTAGTACCCACGGTCAATATTAGTCGTGTGAAACCCTACAAAGGGCTGCTGCCTGGACAGCGCGTAGATCGGCCCAGACTGGTTGTAGTCACCCAGGAAGGTGAAGAAGAGTTCAAAGTTGAACGAGTGGTGGACGCACGCTTGAAGCGTGGAAAATTAGAGTTCCTAGTCCTATGGAGGGACTATGGAGACAAGGACAGAATGTGGGAACCAGAAGCCCATCTGAACAATTCCCGCGATACTGTTTGTGAATTTTATTCTAAGAATCCCTCGGCTCCTAGGAAGCTTAGAGGCATGGATTTGAACCTTTTTAATTCCCTTTTTCAACCTATGCCCAAAAATTTAACTACTACCTCCGGTATTTGGTCGAGCCTGGAAGTCGAGCCTTAAGAGGGGGGTAGTGTTACAATACACAAATTTTTGGACCTTTAATTTTCATTCTCCTTTTTAACTTTATACTGTAGTTTTCACACACTGTGCCATGGGGCACTTTCCATTTTGTTCAAACTCCACCTTCTCGCGCTACATTGCCTTTATTCTTATTTTAGCTACAAGTCTCTCACGCAGTGGAGCTGGTCACACGGGCTGCGCCCTCTCATCAGCCACTGCTTTTATCAACTGTACAGTACATAAGTACAAACACTCTGTATTAGTATATATACCTCAATAGATCCAGGAGACTCCTCAGCGAGTCCTCCTGTTCTTTCCTCACAACTAACTTGTTGAAGCCTAAAGAGTAACCACTCCCTCATTATTATCTCTATAGCTTGTCTGAGTTGTGCGCCTGTGATAACCAGACCCTATACCGAGCTAACGGAGGTCTAGTTGTCTAATCGTAAGCAGGGTCTAACAATGATGTATAAAGATATAATCAACAGCTGGGGGATATGTACAAGAGAACATGTGTTATAAATGAGGCGCTGACTGAGTGACATGCGTAAGGCATGAGGCGCTTGGTAATTGTCTTTGTAAGTAACTACATCATAGGTCACATGTTTGGTCACGTGACTATGATAAGATAAGATTCGGAGAAATTATAGATATGGTATCGTTATCGTTTGAGATAAGAGTATCAGGATTAAGAGATCGTGACATTACCCCCTCCTTAGGACTCTTGTCCCGAGAGTATGCCTCGAGTTTACTGTTTTCCCAATTAAACAGATTTTTTCGGATTTTGGGAGTTTCTGTGAAGTTTTCGAATGCTTGGAAATGTAATGCAAATCAGATTCGTCAGGGTGCACTAGGGTTTTTTGTATGGAATTGTTGTAGGAGTTTTGGGGAGTTTTTTACATTCCCTTCGGGTTCCCATGTGCGTTCCTCTTTTGGATATCCTTTCCAATGTACTAGGTATTCTAGTTTATTCCTTTTCATTTGTGAGTCTAGTATCTCTTCTACTTTGTACTCTTTCTGTCCTTCCACTATCGCTGGTAGTGGCGGCTTTGGTTTTTGTTGTGAGGGGAATTTGGCTTGTCGGAACGGAGTTAGGACGGATTCATTGAATACTGGATAGACATTTTGCCATCTTCCGGGGAGTCGGAGTTTGTAAGCTCCTAATCCCACTTTCTTTTCGATCTCAAAGGGGCCATGTCTTTTGTCATTAAGTTTCTTTGTTGGTCTGTTCGTTTGTATGTGACTGGCTTCAACATATACTTTGTCGCTGATTTGGTATTCAACCTGATCTCTCTTTTTCTTATTGTATTGTTTTTTCATATTTTCTGCTGCTTTGTACAGTGATTTTTCTGCCGCCTCTACTTTCCTTCATCCTCTCTACAAACTCTTCCGCACTCTCACTCTTTACTTCTCTTTTAGTGTCTATTATCGTTTTTGGACGTTGACCACTGTTTAGATAGAATGGGGAATGACCCGTCACACTGTGTTCTTTGTTATTGTAAGAGAATTCTGCGAGTGGTAGCCATTCTGCCCAGTCTGTCTGTTTGTGGTTTACGAATATCCTGAGATACTGTTCTATCTCTTGGTTTACTTGTTCTGTTTGTCCATCCGTCTGTGGGTGATAAGCCGTAGATGGATTTCCCTTAATGTCTAGAAGGGTGTAGAGATCTTTGATAAAGTTTGAGACAAATTGAGTCCCACAATCTGAGATTACTTTGTTAGTTAATCCATGGTGTCTGAAAATGTTGTCTCGGAATAATCTTGCTACTCCTTCTGATGTAAGCTCTGCTTGTGTCGGTATGACTCGAATCATTTTTGAAAATTAATCTACCACTATCATAATCATGTTATAGCCTTGTGATTCTGGTAGAGGTCTTAAGAGGTCGACGGTTATGATTTCCCAGGGCCGTGTAGGGATTTCATTTGGATGGAGCGGTGTGGCCTTCTTCTGATGAATTGGCTTGGTCCTTTGGCACATTTCACGTCCTTCAATGTATCTTTTGATGCCTCTGTCCATGTATGGCCACCAGTATTCTCGTGTGATGAGTTCTTTTGTT